CGGACAAGCGCGAAGCACATTGCCCATTCGCCCCGATGCCGTTCCCAATATCGCCGGTGAAACGAGCCTCTTGTAGCACACTCTCTCTTCCTCTGGCCTGACAGGCTACACACCTCGAGCACGAGCTCCCGGTGCTTGTAACCATATGACCGCTAAAGGCGTTTGGCTGCTGTTCCGACAGGTTAGCAACATACCTATCGACCTGGAGACCTGCGTTATTGTGACCACGCACACATGTTGTTCTGGCCGTTGTTTTCGCCTAGCCTAGGTTTGGAGCTCCAGTCAATGCTAGGGAACGTGCAGGATTTCTGTATGCTTTTTGAGGCAGCCATCACGCCGTCACGACCGATCCATCTCTCGTGTGGACAATTACCTAGTGAAAAAGAAATGCCGACGAGATCAAGTTTGAAAGAAAGAAAATATCCGAATGGCTGGACGCAAGGGGCGGCACCGCGAGTTTCTCCAGAGACCCGGGTGGAAGGTGACTGCCGCTGCCGCATTCCACACACTGGGGTTCGGCTAAAGGAAATGCAGAAGGCTAGATCCAGGTTCAACCACTGATACTTCACGCTGTCAGGTTAGTTGTAACATCAGAAGACACGTCATGGGATCGCTGGATGGGTGCAACCCTGAAGACAGCCAACCAGCCTCCAGTGTTGTGCTGACAACTCCTCACCGCATGAACCCATTGATTGCCCAGCCGTGCTTTCCAGCATTTGTTCACTGGCGCGCTTGGAAGACATGTTGAATGCCTTAGGTGTAACATTACACCCAAGTCCAATCGACAGCCATTCCCCCCATATGTGCTGCTCAGCTGTTCCTCTCCGGCTTTTGGAAGCCAGGGACACAATCCATTATCTATAGTGATCCTAGTTCCACCGATAATTGCCGGTTCTTTTTTACATATGTTTACCACGATGTCCTGTCTCGACGAACCTTTGCTCAAAACCTGCTGTTTTGAAATGCAAGTAGCCATCCTCATCTATGCCTTAATCCGCTTGCGTCATACGCTATATTTTAATCAAGCGAAAAAAATAAAAATAAAATGATAACAGAGAGTCAGATTCTCCCTAGCCGGTCATTATTTTGCCATCTAGGTTCTTGCTTCAAATGGATCGAAGAGATCAGAAGAGTATGAATGAGAAAGAACTCATCTGGATCTCCAGCTGAACCATGCAGCAAGATGCCACCCAACATGCAACGTTACCATATGCAAATATCAAACATGAAACAGCGGCTAATTGTACCTAATGCCAAGAGGGCATTCCCACCTTACTCTCACTACCTATTCGATGGCTAATTCTATCTGATGGGGCTTCTCGAAATGTTATGGGTGTGGATGACGGAGGGACGCTTCTCTCTAGTCCGGGCTCTCGATCTACTGTCAATCATGCCAGTTCAGACCCAAAAGCTATCTATATGTCTTCGTATCAAGCCTCTCATATCTCGAGCACGAGCCTACCTATATGGCCGCCCGCCGACGATCAGAAAGCATGCATTATGCATACAATCATCCATCACAAAGTCTACATACTAAGCCTTCGATCTCATCATCCTACTCGCTTCCTTAGCCGTTGACCTGCGTCTTACTCTGACTCGGGACAATAGATCGCTCAGTGAGCCAACTTTTCCGATAAACGAGACTTGGGAATCCGGGAAAAGTCAGCCGGCTCCAGATCCATCCACACATTTTCATTTACATTTCCCCTTCTTGGATGGAGCCCTCTGCTCTTTTCGGCCTGACATCGGTGGCTTTCTGGCCCGGAACCACTCGAATGCCAGGCTACACACATTGCCTCTTCATGAGCGCTCTCGGATGGTTAATATGAGGCCCCCCCTCCGGGCTCCGAGGCGGCAGATTTCTCCCTTTTGGCCGCCCTACTCCGCTTGATCGTCGGCAGGAATTCTGACAGGGGAGGTTACCGTATGGTCGTTGAGTCACCTAGACTACCTGAATGTTTGCAACCGGGAACAGTTTTGATTAACTCTTCCGGTCGGCCTGGGGCATTCATCAATAGTTCATTTCCCGGCCTGGACAATGAGATCTGCAGCATGGCTTGTTGCCGGACCCGACAAAACCCCCTTTCTATAGCCTACGCTCTCTCCCCACACAGCATTACGTTCTCGTCTTGACATATGGACAGCCGTACCTCCTATATTGCGACGATGAAGCAGAGTGAATACAATTGTTAACCCCAGCAAGCGAAGCAGTCAAGCTAGCTGGACAGTTCTTCGCCTTGCCGAACATTACTGCCGCCGTCTGTCTAGCTCAGGCTTCAGCTAATGCAGCATGGTGGCAACAGGAAATATAGATGGGTCGACTGTCAGAGAGGCTCCAATTGCCTTGCATTAGCGGAGTCCTCCACACTGTCAGGTGCCAATTAGGTTAGTCGACTTGGGTTAGCTTAATGGTGTTTATGACTTGCTTTGACGCCTTTGAAGTGAACACCCGCACTGAAGTTGGAGGAGGAGTGCTCCTGGACGCTTCCGAAAGAGCAAGAAAAGTATGCTTCCAGTACACAGCCCCTTCCTAGTCTGGCCGCCTTTTCTTTTCTTCCGGTGCCATTTGACTTAAGGCGGCTTGATGATGATGAAGTGACACACGGAACCGGAATAACACAGCTGAGGAGGGTCGCGAAGAAGGGGCTCAATTCTCTGTGTGTCGATGGTCGTTTCGTATGTCCTGGCTGAACGGAAAAGTCCCAGGTAGGCCTTTCCGATCTGACATTGAAGTGATTATACTCCTTTCTTGGAAATGTTAAGACGCTCTGTTTCGTATGAACAAAGTGACGGTGTCCCCCTGCCTTTCCGAAAATGCAATATATCGAGCTGAAAATTTGCGTAGGGATGATGCCTTTCGGTTCGAGACTGCCTGCAGTTGTTTCCGTTTTCCGTCTGGTCTGGGCTCGGTATGCGGGACAGACATTCCCCAGTGATCGTCGCGTCCGTTAGAAGTCTTTGAGCTCATATATAGTGCATTGGTGATTTACGATTATTGTTCTAACTTTCGATCACTAACGGACCCTGCTATCAAGGGCTAGGAGGATCATTCTTCCAAAGGCAATTTACAGCGTTTCTCACCGAACATGCTCACCGAAACGCCAGCATGTAAGGCCCTCCTTTATGGGGAAACCTCTTGAGAACGCTTGAAGAAGCTGGATGTTGCAATGCTCCTTTCGTAATGCGGACTCGTCACAGCGGGAGAAGCCGCGGAGAAGTTGAGCCGTGTGTGATATGTGTAGGAATTTGTCTTTATCTAGCCAGTTATACCCTCCTTTTACTCCCCGTTTGCCCTCCTCCTCCTCCTCCTCGTCCTCCTCCTTCGTTGTCAACCTGGGCTGCCGGCACACATGCGTTGGAGGCAAAGTTAGACAAAAATGGATATAGAAGGTCGTGATATGAAAGGGAACATGTGTCAGGCCGAGAAAGTTTTGTGTCTGGAGTTGTCAGTCGGTATATTCCAAGCATTCCCGAGGCTGTTCTCACCATTGTGGGGTTGCTCAAGGAACTTGAAGGAGAGACAATGCCCAAATGGAGGAAGCAAAACGTTCCAGCCTGAAAAGAGCCAAACAAAGTCAGGCGCCGGGGACAGAAGGTGAAAAGGAAGAGTTGCCAGGGAAAGAAGAGCATCAAGGGAGATATGAAAGTGTTATCCGATACCTCTTGGCTTCTGTGCATGAAGATATCTCAGACTTTTCACTAAACCGTCTCCACATGTTCTGTTGACCTCTTCAGGCACTTACTAGCAACCCGAGAGGAGTTCGGGTATCAACTGGATGATTATATGACGAAATAGATACCACCGGGCTCTTAATGGAAGTGATATATTCCGTCTCAAGAGGTTGTTGAAGTTCCAACAAGGATGAAAATATCTGGACGCTTTCCTAGGACGCTTTCCTAGAGCAGTTATGGCCAATTTCTTATCGAGTAAAACTTGGAAGACCTATCATGACAAGCTGGGTCAGACGCCATTTCAATCAACTTCTATGACTATGGTTGAGGAACCAGAGTAAGAGTTCTTTTTCTCATCCACCATTAGAAGGCCTAGATATTCCATGCTGATGAGCTGTTAATCCAGAGTTAGATGTCCCCAAAGATCTAATCGATTTGGTAGGCAGATGTATTGGCATTCTCGATCTTCCTTACCTGCCAAAGGTTCAACATATTTCATGCCATTGTAGTGCCTATCTTAATGTAATACGATGATTAATTTCTCGGAAAAAAAGCGAGATTTATGAAGATAACTTCAAAGTGTCTCGGCCAGTAGCGAAACAGCATCTCTCACAGAAATTTTTATGTGCGAGAACTTCAATTGCACATGCATGTCTAGCCAGTCTTTAGACTACACAACATACGCTTTGTGCAATCTTTCATACCATTAAAAAATACATTGAGGCACACTTGATAAATGACAAACTTCTGGGCAGTCAAGCTGCGATGTGCAGAGAGTGGGCTCTAAGTATCTACACAGTTCTGTTATGATGCAGCTTTGAGCACCTTGAGTACTCATCCCAGAACAGCATAGCTGGCAGGAAGATGAAACACATACGGATAGAAAGAGGGAACATGATGTAGTGGCAGTGAGCCGATGATTATCATCTTGTCTATTATTTCCACAGCCCAGAGGATACTCACACTCCCCTGAATTGATCTTGAAAAAGGCGTAAAGAAGCATATACATCATGAACGATGCAAAATCATAACTGAGACCCATTGCTGTAAATATACCGCTAATGATGCAGATAGCAAATCCAGAAAAGGACCCCAGATAACTCCAGGCTCCTTCCAATGACCCCTCCCCCATCCAAAAAGTCGAGGAAAATCCAGTGACAAAACGGTTAACATGGTATCTAAGTGTTCATCATCGAGGCTAAGGAAAACTGTACCCGGCTCCCTTGGCCCCTATATCACAGATGCATAAGATCACCGTAATAAGCCCATATGCCAATTGATATCCAAACTGCCAACTACGAACATTCGGATTCTCCTTCACATGTCTCTTATATCAGCCATAAAACCACCACGACTGCAGACATGATCGTGCTCAGCGAGACAAAATTCATATCGGTTAAGACGCGATGAGCAATGCTTGTTATCTCCTCGGCAAGCGATTCGTTCACAAATGTTGGACCGCAATTAGTGTTGATCTGCTTGGCAGCAGAAACATAGGTCAACGAGATCAGCTGGTTACGGTCGGCCGTGGCGTCTTGGTAAATGGCCATGGTTTGCTGCAGACACCAGTTGCAAGCGGGAATCGAGGAGCCGGGCAGGGACCGGTTAAGAGGAAGGAAATATACGTAGGTGTTTGCTGGGCTAGTCATGTTGGTGACGGCACTGGCATAGCAGTAGGCGTTGGTTTCAGGATCGCGCAGACAGCCTGCACTGTAGATGGGAAGATAAGCTCTCATCGCGTTGTAGGCATCAATAATGGCGGGATCGTTGGCCTGGAACTCGGCGCCGCAGTTTTCACTCGCGATCAGATTTTTGGACAAATTCGTCATAAACTTGGCGCAGGCAGTCGCATTTGCAGCGCATGTGGCATCCAGGGTACGAGTTATGCCCACCATAGATCTCTGGGCCTCAAAGAATGACCGGGAGCTCTAGTTTAGGTTAGTCAGCTGTCACTGATAGTTAATAGAGAGCGCTAGATAATTACTCACATGCATCAGCATTGACAACGGATAGCACTCCTGGAATGTTGGATCGGCCATGAAGGAATTGATAAACTCCATGCACGGAGGAGTCCCACCATCATCAGCAGGGACCCAGTTGACAGCAAGAGTGTCGAAGATGGTTGGTAGGGAGCTTGGAGCGGGGATTGAAGTCGAAGTCGAAATCGAAGTCGTGGTTGTCGGCTTAACAGTGCCGAGAGCAATAGAGAATGTCGATGTCACAGATGCGGTGCTTGACGTTGCCGTGGCGGTCTCAATTTCCCCCTCCTCGGCACGCTGTCTAAACTTGTGCCATGCAAGATCGTGCTCTGAAAGCATGTGCCATCCTGAAGCATCTCGGAAAGGGGCACGTCTATCGAGGACCAGCGTTTCGACAGGTGCAGCAGGGACGGCGAGCACATGGGATACAGAGAGTGCGAACAACGTCAGAATGACCGGCCAAGAGGTTGAAGAAGGTCGGCATGCTGAGTGTGATGGCCAGAAGTGGCCGGTAAGGAGAGACACTGCAACGGAAGCCATTATGTCTAAGCTGTGGCGTGGCACAGGGGCTGGTAAACCATGACTCTGTACAACGTTCTAAAGGCGATTGTAGTTTAACGAGAGACTGGCTTTCCGACTGCCTGGGTCAGACAGACAGACCGGCTTTCGTTGAGCACTGGATGTTCAGGCGAACGACTGTTACGATCACGAACGACGGTAACGAAAGAATGTGCCCCCAGGTGGCACAGTACACGTTAGAGCGGGCGGTCTTAATTATGAACGATGGTCGATCGGACCAGCAGTCACTTGAAGACTGGAGGGCTAACTTGCGCGGACAGGTGGCTGAGGGGCCAGGATCTGGGGGTAGCTGAAGAGGTTCCGGAGCCTTGCAGTTGGCACAAGGACGGCGCTTGGTTGAACAATCGGCTGGCCAATATCGGGGCGACGGATAAATGAGCGAGAGCGAGCAACGCCAATAGGACGAGGCTCCAGGGTAACGAGTTCTTTGGATGTGTTTATACCAGTGTGCCTCGAGGGGCTAAGGCACTGCAGTTGCGCGGTATTCCCGGTATCGTGAAGTCAAGACCGTAGAGTTCGTCGATGACAACAGTTGTCAGTTTCTGCTGTCCGGAATCTCGACAACAAGCGACAGGACAGAAAACCTGGGAGGACGTTGAAGGAGGTCATGCAACGCGCAGGGTAGCAACGATAAAATAGCAGCAACCCGGACCAAGAAGCGCGGCGCAGGGCAGGCACCCCCGTCAAAGCTTGATCACCCCCTTCACACGCCAACTTTCCGCCTTCCACGGGCTACCCACGATCTAGCCAGGCCCAGCCCAGAGCGCCCCAGAGGCGCAAAGATTGGGGGTCAATGTCAATGGGGCCCATTGGACGCAATATTGGAGCCAAGGGCAGCCGAACAGGGCAGGTGTGGGTCCGAGAGTAACTGACAGGCTGGGGCTACTGAGCGCCCCCCTGCTCAAAATGGTTCACCCCCTTCGCACTCACACCCCACCGCAGCCTGGTGTCGGCGGACGATGGCCAACGGCCGGCGACGGTAACGATTGCGCTATTGCTCCCTTGCAGATGAGGAAGCCAGCAAAAGGAAAGCAGCCGAAAAAAATACGCGGGGAACGAGGATTGTCGTGTTAGAGAGCCTCGCAAATATCGATTTTAACCCTCCAACACAGGCCGAAAGCCATTGCTACAAGTACATAGGTACATACTGCACTGCTTTGTCTTATCAAGTGAACACCAAGATGCCAGTAACCGACATGGCAATGGCATGAAGAAAGACGCGATGTAAACGGTGTCTGGCTTGCGCGCCGGCCGCGTCGCTGCAGGTACAGATTAAGTCAAGACGGCCAGATATTAGCAGATATTGGGCAGGACATAAAAACAGCACATATATTGCCAGATTTATCCTCCATTCTGTCAGCATTTCGGCATTGGAATGCTTCTGGAAGAAAAAGAATTTCTTTCCCGGCAGGGATGCGTGTGCTCATCACCGTCATCATAAGCGAAGTTGGTGCACCAACCACACAGTATTTAACGGAAGTCATACTTGTCAACAGTAATCCGTCTGGGTACACTATCAAATACTTATCCATCCGCCATCCGTAGGAAAACGACGTCCATGTATTTCCACTGGCTTCACTTTTATCTCTTGTTAATAACGTTGTCCTCCATCTCACTCGATCCTCATGTCGATCGCCCACACGAAGCAGGATCCAGTCGGGTGCCTGGAAGCAACCGGATCGGCGAGGGGAAAACCCCTGTCCAGCAGGGACTACCGATGCCGACGGCGTCGGACGGTGGGTTTCCATGGATGGCACCCCAGGCGGCTGCGCCCAGCAGTCCAGACCCAGGCCTCGGAGCTTTTGATGAGCGGCGCTCCAGTCCATAAACCCCCTCGCGATCTGGACCACAGTGGAACCAATAGATGCCAACCATTGGCGGGGCTCAAAATTGATAGAGGTCCAATGGGTTTTCGACATCCACATCGGCAACTTTTCATTCATCGCCTGGGAAACTGCATGTCATGAGGCTCTGCGAGCCCGTTGGCGATGGCTTCTGCTGGACCCATCCCTCCCACAACCAATTCATCTCTTGGCGTTACACCAATCCCAGCACCCGAGCATGAAGCTTGTTGCTATCACCCGCAGAATATGAGAGAAGCTGATCGAGAGGCTCGACTGTAATATAGTATAATAGTATTGGGATACAAAACGGGTTGGGTGTCGTGCAGATGAATGTGGGATGCACGTCGAAAAAAACGGGCAAGCTAGCCTGAATCCTCATCTGTGTGTTTCAATTAAAAGCGACTGCTCAGAAGAAGCATGCGGATGCAGTTGGTTATCAAGCGGCACCGTGATATATGCATGTCGAGAGAGCGAGCGATTGAGCAGAATGTCAGCCATTGGCGCAGACTGCCACCCTGGCATGCCCGGGGCATGTAACACAACTTTTGGAACTATCACCGATTTGGTCAGCAAACCGATTACATTGATTGCAAAAGAGCAATAACACCACCTTGACTGGCCCAAAACGAGATTAATATCTACGCAGGTAGGTCGTATGCGAGCACATCTTTGCATGATATTATCTTTTCACCGACATTGCTGATCCTTCTGTAGAGCAAAGAGCTCAAAAATGTCCAGTAGTAAGCCTCGAATGCCTTGGTTTGGGAAATACGCTCCGTAGATGACAGCTTGCGAAACGGCAAACTAACTCTTTCTTTTAAGAGACCTTGTTCGGTATTCACATCCTGATCTTTAACGGAGAGTGCGCCTCCAGCCATCATGTAAGTAATGATCCAGATAGATGCCGTTCGCAAATTTGAGCGCGTTAAGTCCTGGAGCTCTCGGTATCTACCACTCCGAAAAATGAAGTGTCTTAAATAATAATCCAAGGTCTTCCACCCTCCAAATCAGAGTCTTAAATATTCAGTATCGAGAGACTCTGAATCCAAGTACCTTCATCATAAAACTCCGACTCCTTTCGCTGCTCTCTGGATTGCACGGGAAGTACCAAAGTCAGATTGTCAGGCATCCCAGTATCCGATTACTATGAATGAAGCCAGCCATTAGAAATAAACCACCCAAATTCAGAGGCTTTTCCGCGAAATTTAGCTCTGCTCAGGCTCCAATGCATGTCCCATACCCCTCCGTACAACCATGACTTGGCCCATAAATTTAACTGTCATCATGTTCGCCTTCCCTGACGAATCGCTCCTTCAATGCCAATTTCTTCATAAACTCTTCATCCGAATGAAACAAGGGTCATACAAATCCATTGGGTTCTCATGTTGTTTGGTAATCTTCATGCCAATCCGGCAGCTGTCAATTGTCCCAGGCAAAAGATGTATGACCTGAGACCTGGTTGCGGTGCCCGTGCATAGCTCCAACTATGCTAGGTAGACATAGGAGTTACCTTCACGCTCAAGATAATCCTTCTCAATGAGTCTGCAGGTGGTAGAAGTCAGCATTCCAGCTCCAGACAAAAAAATCAATATTCGAGGTACACATGATTGGGGGAAAGGGGGGGGGGGGAAAACACACTTCTCAATATTTGCCTTAATATCAGCTGCATCCACAGCGCCTCTCTTCCTAGTCTGTTCAATCACCTCAGCAACCAGCTGCGCGTGCGTCATCGTCTTCCGACTCTTCATAATACGCACGATGGCCGCCTGCGTCTCAAACTGCCGATCGGCCGCCACACGCTGGTGTGTTTCCCGGTTCTCCTCCTTCGTCTCCTTCAACTGGATCTGATTGATCTTGACGCGGAACTTGGGATCCGTAAAGGACTTATTGATTGTGAACGTGTCAGTTGGAGAGACATCGCGGCCCTTGGGGTGCTTTGTCAGCACGCGGGCCTTGCCACAGGCGAGTGACTGTAGTGTGCGGTCGAGCTCGCCGCCCGTGAGGCCTGTGGAAGTGGAGATTTGCTCGTAGGTAAGCACGCCCTCGGGGTTGTCGGGGTCGTTCTCAACCTCATTGAAGAGCATCAAAACCGCAGCCTGCGCGGCGCTGACGAGAAGTTCCTTCGGCCCGCGGTCGAAGCGGGCCTTGAGGACGCAATGCGCCATGTTGTGCTTCCATGTCAAGCGGCGACCTGTATGCTTAGACTTGTAATAGTCGTCGAAGATCTTGATCTGTTCGAGCACCTCCTTAGGCAACAGCACACGCACGTCTGGAAAAGTTGGCCAAGCGGCAGCCGAGAGAACGTTGACGTTGAGGTCGATGCCGCCCGTGTCCCGGCCAGAGGCGGCGAGCCATTCCTTGTATGATTTCATTTCGTCTTTGGACAGCTCCTGATCCTTGAACATCTGCTCAAGATTATGTGTAAAACCAGAACCACACTCGCTCTTGAGTTTGGCAAGCATACTGCGCTCAGCATCCTTGCTGGCACTCCGACCAAGGAGCACTCTGCGGGCCAGATCCTTTTTGTAGAAAGCCTCGAACACGTCCTTTCCATCAACGAAACGGAACAATTCGATCGCATGATCTAACTGGCGATCCAACTCAGCATCTTCATCTCCTGTGGCCGCCACACCGCCCATTTCAGCATTAGCCTTGTCTTTGTTGTCTGACAGGAGTGACTTAGGAAGCGTCTTGAGGCCGCCACGGAGAAGCATGTCGATGTACTTCGCGATCATTTCGCCAACCTTGGAGGTGCGATATGCTGAGATGTGCTTCGTGTCATTAATGAAATGGCCAAAGGCGTTCCTTAGGCCATAAACGAAAACTTCGTCGCGTCCAAACGCGTCACGAATCATGAGATCCAGAGAACGACGCAGCTCCAGGAGACGAACAATCATCTCGTCCGGGCGTTCCGTGTCGCCCACGATGGCAGAACCTGTCGTTTCGATATAGGTTTCCCAAGGGCCTTTGAGTTGCTTGTGTAACTGAGAGGTCTTCAGCAGCGCATACAGCGTCTTTATCGATTGAACATCTCCGGCTTGGAGCAGTTTCGCGATGCTCTCACTCTCAAGTAACTTCTGTGACTTCTTAAAGACAAGAGTGTGCTGTGCAAGTTGCAGAAGTTGTCGCTTGGTGGTACTCTCGAAGTTAAAGGCATCGCACCTGGCGCCTTCATTCTCCATCAACGAGGCCACACTGGCGACATATTCCTTAAGACTCATTGTGGAGGACATCGACTCAGCAAATTCCTCGTAGTAGATGTTCGACTTTGTCAGGAACATGGGCTCGAATGACTTGCCATATACCCCACATACTCTCAGCATACCAATGGCATCCTTAAGCAGAGCGCGATCGGCTCTCTCATCGCCTTCTCGCATGTAGTTTACCAGGCAGCAGATAGCATGCAGCACCCCGTCGCCAAGAGACTTGCGTGATGACCCAAAAACGGCTCTCCTGAACAGCTGGATGGCGATCTCATTGATTCCTTGTCGGCCCTTTCCCCCGTCCCCGTGTAACAGACCAAGGTATGCCCGATCCAGATAACTGTAGATGCCGCGTACAACATACACGACCCGATTCCATCGCCTCCATTTCTCAACGACGGCCTTCAGCAAGCTGTCGAGATCCGGGGATGCCTGCTGTGAATGCCTTGAGTCGATGTACTGTTCTTGCAAACCACCGAGCATCTCTGGGCTGGCCAGCCAGGCCTCACAACGAGCTCGTAGGCGGTCGGTGAGTTCTTGGGCTAGGGCTTGCCGCGACGTACAATATCCTCGACCCCCCGGTATAGGCGCTCCATGGGCTGGGTGGGGCTGCGCCCAGCGAAAATACTAGCCAGGGCAGCATCAAGCTCGGCATTGACCGACTTGTAGTATGACTCGACCGATGAAGAGCCAGAGGATGTGGAGGGCTGGCGTAGATTTTTGACGACCAATTTGCGGGCCCCATTTTGGGGTTGCAGGCCGGGACGCTGGTGGATGTTGTGGAAGGTAGGTTGCTGGCGGGTTGGGCTGTCGCCAGTAAGGTCAATTATGTCGGGCCGCTTGCCCTGGACTTTGGCAGACATTGCGGTTGTGGATGTCGTAACTGGTGTAGCTGAGCCAGGTGTAGAGGAGTAGGTATCGGAACGCAGTCGTTTAGGATCAGGGCGGGCAAACGCGGGGCCGCTAGAGGGTGCGGGATGAGCCGCGTCTCGGTCGAGATTCCTTTCAGGGTCCGAGTCGACGCGCTGTCTCCGGCGGGGAATGGATGGGGGTGGGGATGATGTCGGTTCTGCGTGGCTCGGATGCAAGGAGTCGGCAGGAGTTGTAAAGGTCGGAGGAGACATGGAACACCGGTCCCGGTTCCAGGGTGCCGGTCACCCACAGGCCGGTTTGCTGCCACAGCGGGTTGCGATTTGCGGCTTGTGGATCGCAAGGTTGCGCAGAGGCTGTGGGCTGTGACTAAAAGAAACACCTTGCTTCTTGTGTTGGCTTTGTCGTGGTGTGTATAGATGATTCTGAAACGACCGATAAAGAATCAATACGCAATTTTTATATGGGTGTGTCGAGTTGCAATTACAGGGCATTGGCTTTCCAGGTCGGTAGGCATGAAGCAGCAAGAACCGTGAGCTATCATATCGGCTGGGAATGGGCGACGGAGGTTGAGCCGCCAGCTGGGGAACAGGTGGATAGCTTATCGATAATGGGCCTCACTTTCAACCAAGAGCCAGGGTTAGGGCTGATACTCCCATAGCCTTACTATCAGACGACAACCATAGAGTTAAAGTTGGTGCTATGAGGAGGGTGGTAGGGAGACTTGTTCCTTGTGTTCATGAAGAATCAACGTCCACTGTAATAAAGTCGAGCGAGAAAGCTCTACCAGAGTCTTATCTCGTGCTTCAACTTCAGGATATGGTTAGTGGTCCGACTTATGGGAAGGCCCATGTGGTAGCAAGCAACGATTGAATCTCCGTCCCGTCTTTCTCTACTCTGAGATGAGTACATAGAGGTATCTGACAGCTACTAAGCAAAAGCATGGATCTGCAACCTTGAACCCAATTTGTAGCGATGCCTTGTCTGTCAGCTACAAAGTGTCTCAACTCATGAAAGATGTATAGGGCAGTACTCCTCCTGCAGCTTAATTAACTCGGGACTCGAAATCTTGGAGGGTAGGGCTGAAGTAGTTTTTTTGAGCGGGAAAGGAGCTGTCAGAGCTGTCGATGGAGGTGTCAATGTTCCTGCAATTTCCCTGGTCGGTGAACACACGGAAAACACGGAACAGGCAGGTCCGGAAGATGTCGTCCTCAGCTACATCCCTGAAGCATCTTGTAAAGCTTAATTGAGATCTGGAATTACCAAATGATAAAAGGTCAGTTTTTCGAAATGTGAGCTTCATCTAGAAACCGTGTCTCAAGCAAACGCTGCATCGGAGTTTCCTGTTATGAAAATTATTGTTGCATACTTTCAAAGGGGGGTCTCGGCGTCAGGGTTAGGGTGTGAGATGGGCCATACTGGCTCCACTGGTGCAAACCTTGTTCGCAAGTTCACCAAGGGCCCTTACGTCATGGTGTGGCAGAACTCCACCAAAAAGCTGTGAAATCTCCACAGACTCAACTTCACTCTCCGTAATCGCAATTTAGCGACTCGCCATCCTGCTGCGAGTATCCTGACTTGAAACAGACCGGAACCCAGGGGTCCGGATCTGATGCCGGCGCTGGAAAGCCGCCGGTGTTTTTTTTACTCTAACTTCGTCCCATTTCCTGTGGTGTCACCAAGCGTCCGCCATTTCCAAGTCTCAACAGTCAATACCCGTTTTAGACATCCAGCCGTTCATACACTGACCTGACTCATACTCTTTCTGGCAGCCTTCACCGAGAATGGCGCCGCCGACAGGCCCGTTGAATCTCGATGTCGAGGCGATTTCTGGGATTTGCGGGTAGGCGTTCATATCCATACGAGGGCGAAGCATGCGGCTAACCTGTTGTTGAAGATCAATATCAATTGCCTGCTGGGTGGTTGTCTTCTCACCCCAAATCATTGAGAACTTCCGTCGCAAGAGTGCCGAGGGTCTGTCGATTCAATTCATTGTCATCTGGCTGATAGGCGATGTCTTCAACATCTTGGGCGCGGTGCTGCAGGGCGTACTACCTACCATGATTATCCTCGCCTTCTACTACACCATCGCCGACATCGTCTTGTTAGTGCAATGCTTCTACTATCGGGGCTTCACTTTGAGCGATTATGTGCCCACACAGCCGTCACCCCCACCTTCCCCTCCACAGAAGTTGAGACAGCGCAATGGCCAACATCTCTCACCACCGCCAACTGAACACACCGGCCTACTGAGCCGGATGCCTAGCCACGAGCGCTTGCCTTATCATAGCGTTGAGGAGCATGAGCGGCGCGATTCTTGGACCCATCTCTCCCCTGCAGTCCCGTTCGTACCCACCGAAGAACCCCTGCCGGTGCCTCCTCCTGCGCCGCCCACATTCTGGCAGTCAATTGCTTTCAACAGCCTCGCCATCTTGATGGTCTGCGCAGCTGGTGTAGCGGGCTGGTGGCTCAGCCGGAATTACGAAGACCGCGTAGTCGGTGGAAGCCCCCCTAATGGTGATAGTCCAGTAGGGAATGACCCCGTGGATATGGATCCTTTGGGTCAGACATTCGGCTGGCTATGTGCGGTTCTGTACCTCGGGTCGCGGCTGCCTCAGCTTCTCCTGAACTGGCGGCGCAAGTCAACCGAGGGCATTTCGGTGCTGTTCTTCTTATTTGCCTGCCTGGGCAACCTCACCTATGTGCTGTCGATCCTGGCCTTCGAGCCTAGGTGCGTCGCGGACGAAAGCTGCCAGCCGGGGGAGGTTGCGCGCCTCTACTGGCAGAATATTTTGGTAAATTCGTCTTGGCTGGCGGGCAGTGCGGGTACGCTACTGCTGGACATGGCCATTTTTGTTCAGTTCTTCTTGTACAACAAACCCGAAGAGGAATATGAGAGTAGTAGCAGTGACAACGGGAGTTCTGATGAGGAGAGTCTGGAAGGAGAGTCCTGGGATCAAAGGCCTCTTTTGGAAAGAGAAAGCACGGAAGTGTAGAGAAATTTGACATCTTACACATTTCTTGGATATAATTCGGGCTTGATCAATACCAAAAAACAGAGATAACACTGAAAGATGTAGTGATAGGTACCATAGTCGTGTCTTCCCGACCACATCCTCCTTGTAGGCTTACGATGCAAAACGACATACCCCATGTTGCTGCAGACAATGCCAACGTGTGAAAGATATTGATCATATTCTCGACTCGGTTGAGAGAGGCTCAATCGTCTCATTTGACAGGAGACTAAAACAAAGAACACCTAATCAAGAGCATACACAAGAGCGAGAGGCTTCTTTGGAAGAAAGAGTGACAAGAAGGATCTAAAAGCATTCATTGTAATGCAAATAAATCAGAATTTCTCATCCTATCTATGCTCCACTCTCCTGGAACTTTTTATCAAACCGTCTTGCCAGCAACTACGAATGACAATGAGATACGTCAAATGACCTCGAATCCTTTTGCTCCACTTGAGGGTATGTACGATGGATAGATCCTAGAGGTAGACATTGCGTACATGATGTCGATGCAACTATCTGTCTCTGCGAACCTCCCACTGACACATCACGACATCTCATGTGGCTGGAGTAATTAAGCTGCTGACGTCAAGTCTCTCCCAGGCCATCCGCGAGTGTGGGGCAATGAGGGGCAGTGTGGTGCAGAGACCCCTATACATAAGAATTGCATGGCTCAGCGTCTTGGCAACTCGGGTCTTGGCAGACGCTCCACAACAACGGGCGGTGGGGAGATTGGAGTCGCAAATGCGGGGAGCCGAGGTCCGCTGCAGGACGGGGACGGGCGGCTGGCCCAGTTCCGGTCTCGCGATTGGTGACTGGGAAACAGAACCCGAGGAGGTGGATGTTAGGAAGCTTGACGTCTGCTAGCGTCCGGCCAGAATCCGAGGCCGAGTGTCTTCGGTAGGTGGACATATAAGCATTAGGGGGTTAGCTGCGACTCTATGAGATAGGGCAGGGTTCTGAGTTCTGGCCCGACTTTGGGTGAAGCCACTTTGTCATCCCGATCCAACTGAAATCTTTCTCGAAGGGACTTGGTTCCATTCTAGCATTGGCGCAATGTCTGACCCCGCCATCAAAATCGAGTACCGCGGCCGGTTGGCCATTGTCACCATTAACAACGAAAAGAAGCTCAATGCTCTGAACGGGAACCAGTACTACGCCCTTGCTCAAGCCCTGCGCGAGGTTGCCACACATGACGAAGTCTACATCACCCTTCTGATCGGCAAGGGCCGCTATTTCTCTGCGTATGCTCTCCCAGCCGTTCATCCCATCTCGCTAAACCTCAACCCTGTGTCTTGAGCCCCCACTAACACGTCTTACAGCGGCGCCGACGTCTCCCTCTCACAGCCCTCTCCTGAGGAACAACGCATCCGTTCCGAAAACCCGCACCGCTTCTGGCTGCAGTCCTTCGTCGCCAACAACCTGAACATCACCCACGCCTTCTACACGCATCCCAAGATTCTGGTCGTCGGCCTCAACGGCCCCGTCATCGGCCTGTCCGCGGCGCTGGTCGCCTTCGCCGATTTCATCTACGCGACTCCGCAGACCTTCTTGCTGACCCCCTTCAGCTCGCTGGGTCTCGTCACCGAAGGCGGCGCCTGCCGCGCCCTAATCCAAAGATTGGGTCCCGCGAGGGCGAATGAGGCGTTGATCATGAGTAAGCGCATCACGGCAGAGGAGCTAGAGAGGGCTGGCTTTGTGAACAAGATCTTCTCCGAGGTGGGCAAGGGAGAGGACGAGAAGTTTAAGCAGCTGGTGCTGAACGAGATCAATGAGCGGCTGGGAGAGCATCTGGTCGGTGACAGCTTGCTGGGCATTAAGAAGCTTATTCGTCGACCTGAAACACAGATCCTGGATGCGGCGAACGTCGCCGAGGTGTTTGCGGGTTTGGACCGGTTCGTCAGTGGTGTACCACAGGGAGAGTTCGAGAAGATTGCAACGGGCAAGAAGAGGCACAAGCTCTGAAGCGACATTAATCCATATGCGTAATATGTTTGTATACATCTCTGTCTAATAGACCCATTACGTACCTTCTTGCAATTATGCAAGCAGGCCAAACAGCAGTGTAGTCCGCTTGTGGTAATCCTGAGATGTCTTTGCCAGCCTTGTTTCAATGGCCGTTTTGTCCAATGCTGTCTTCTTCCAGACTGCATCTTCGAGCTCCTTGAACAACTCCTCGCTCGGTCCAAGGAACAAACGCAGATAGTGTATATCCAACAGCCACTGTACTAGCAGGTCGTGATGTACTTCAATGCTTGTGACGTTGTTGCTTTCTTTCTCCCCGGCAGACCCTTTTTCGCCCCCCGACTCCCCAACCTGTGCATTATTATCATTACTGCTCAACCCTTCAAGAGCTTCGACCCATGCTTTTGAGATCTCTGGGACCAGATGTTTCTTCAGCACAGCAACCGCAGCTAGGCTCCAAAGATCTGCCCCAGCATCTCTCATGGCTACGGTTAAGTTCCTTAGGAACTTGAAAGCGCCTGGAGAAGGAGAACAGGGCAACTCTGGCTCTCCCTCCCATAATGCTCTGCCAGCAACTGTCCTCCTCGTCAAAGTCACTGTGGAGAGTTCGTCGAGCGGCCCGACAGAAACAGCCTTAGCAAGGGCCTCATGCAGTGACGGGACCATGGCAAGACCAAAGTTCTTGACCTGTTCTAGCTTCTCAAGCTCATGGTCAGGCAACCTTGCTCTAATGTCACGCAGCACCCGCAGCAAGTACGCCGCCACAGCCCCGCTGTTTGGACCCTCTTTTTGTGCATCCCACAACGATGACAGTTGTTCGCTCAGCTTTCCGAATGCCTTGGCTAGCAAGTGAGTAAGATGGTTGCTCAACGCGGCTGGGTCATCGCGCGTCAATAACTGCTGGCGCTCTTCGATCGTTTCTTCGTCTTCAACAAGGTCATCGACATCGTTCTCCCAGCGCTGCCGGCGCAGCGTGTCGACTACCCGGCCAGCGTCTTCGATGACCCGGAACCAAGAGCGGTAGCAAGCGATGGCCTTAGACACGACATCACTACAACCGTGCATGCGGCCGATCACGGCCTGGGTGAAGTCGACCGCTCCGTTGGGAGTGGTAAGATCTGTGTCAAGGGCAGTTACGTCGTCCCAGAGGCTTGTGTGCTGGTCAGTGACTCCCTCGCGCCAGGATGAAAGCGTAGCCGCAACCTCAGAACCAACGAGACGGAGTTTGGACACTTTGGCTTCGAGGACGCGGAGCATGTGATTGTTAATCACTTCGCGCAGCTCATTTAGCATCGTAGACTGGTCGATGCCACGCACTTTGCTGCCCTCAGCGACCCAGAGCTTCAAAACGTTTGTGCGCAACTCGACGATTGCCTTGAGCTCGGTCATCCGCTCCAGAGTCCTGTTCAGACCCTTTAGCAGCACTTCGCTGCCGGATCTGGCCCAGCTAAGAAGCATTTCCCGTGCCTGGCTCGGTTCTAAATCATCATGCCGGATGAAAGGTATATAGAACTGGATCTCATCGCCGCACCACTGTTTGTATATGTCCAGCCTTAGACACTCCATATCCTTGAGCAAGGAATTTTCCAATAAGCGGTCCTGTTTCAGCGCATGCAGAGCATCAGGTAGTTGTTTCGGCACGAGCGACTGCACGTCCAGCAATGTTTTGGCGTACAAGCCAAGGGCGCGGGTTACGTCTGCTGACTGTTTGGTTTCATTGCCGTCATCCTCATCTTTGTTGACGTCAAGGGCTAGGGCGATGGCCTCGCTGCGTACTCGCAAAAAGTACCGCAGAACATCGCGGGCGCCAGCTGTCTCAGCCAAGCTGTGCGCACCTAGCGCCTTAAGAACATCGCCGCAGCGCATAGGACCGTCGCTTGCGCTGCGCAGAACAGCCGCGATATGAGAGCGCAATCGGGGGCTGTGCACATTCTCCAGACTCTTCCTAGCCGAGGCTGCATCGGTACTTCCCGTTCCAGACAGGCTCTGCACCAGCAGCTTGGCCAGCACGTAGAGCCTAGCCGCACGAAGGAGCTCATCACCGCTCTTCTTTTTCTTCCTTGATGTATCGGCCTTGTAGCTACCGCCGCCCAAGATTTCTCTCAATCCCAACAGGCACCCTGCTAACAGCTTCTCCCTCGCGGCAACCCCGAGGTCCTTCCCGCCGTAGATATTCTTCCCCGCATGTGCAGCCGTAAACTCCTTCAGGCCCTTGACCTTTTCTGATACAACGCCAGCGCCACATCTCGCCCCCATAGCTCCCAATAACCCTACTGCCTTATCCATCTCTGTTCTCATCGCGACGATTGTATCGGCAGTGCCCAGCAAGTCCCGGTATGAAGCGCCGACCTGGGTGCGCAGACGTGACTGGATGTCTGCGGCGCGAGTCTGAAGAGCAGCATGGATCGCGCGGATCTGTGGGAGCGTATACGGTTGTCCAGGGAGATGTTTCGAAGGTGGCACTGGGGTTGTCGATGTCGAGCTGGTTGTCGAGGTCGGATCGAGGGCCGAAAAGGGAGCGGTGCTGAAGAGCTCATGGGAGCTGCGCAGGAGGGCAATGTCAAGGCCTTGGGGTAGGGTTGTTGCTGTTGGGGCCATGTTTCTTGTCAGTTATCTGGATGATTGTTGAGCAACGATCACAAGGCATGCGCAGCGACAATTTCTGAACGAGCTGTAGGACGCCCCAGGGCTGGGAAATTGCTCTTGGTTGCTGTTGTTTTAGATATGGTAGCGTTGGCTAGAGAATGTTGCGACTCTGCTACACTTAAGCTATCAAAAATGGCATCTGTCAAACAAACAATAACGGTCAATGCGACACCGAGCTCAATACGCAGGCGTAAGTACTGTCACAAGGTTGGTAAGGCAGGCTGGTGCGATATCGTTGACATTGTCGATGGTAAGCGGATCGAGCTTTCAAGCTCGAGGTTCGGACAACCTGGACAGTATTAACCCTAACCCTTGGCCTGCAGCAAAACACTGCCCAACAATCACGACACATAAGGCTGGTGAGCCGAAACCCACCCCTCTTTACTCTAATTTACACAAACAATTTTCTATCAGCTAGAGCGGACATGGTATGATCATGAATTGGACATATAGTACAAAGAAATCCCAATATAGCCCTGCGCCATCCTTGTAGAATACAGATTCCCGGTCCTCTATGCAGGACATTACAAATCATTTCGAGACTCGTCTGGGCCCGGCTCTTTCGGCGAAAGAAGGACGACCAAACCAGCTAGCCTGGACTTTTGTGTGCTTTCGAGCATTGGAGAGGCCCCGACACGCGCGCGCGCAACGCAATGCTCACTGCTGCTGGCCCTCCTGCTGGCTCTCCTGCTGCTCACCCTCCTGGATGTTCCGGCGCGGGCGGCGCAGAACCTCGATGCTGCCTGCTCGTTGTCAGTTCTGGTTGAATCCGATACCGGCCATGCGGAGGTGGAAGACATACGGTGCCTGATGTTCAGAGCCGAGCGCTGGGTACCCTCAGCAGTAACCCATTGGTCAATAGTCACATCGCCATCAACCATGACGAGCGAGCTGGTGCCCAGTATACGTGTTAGCCTGCACGGTAGCTTCAAGACCAAGGTAGAATGAGCCGTGGGTTTAACGGTAGCATGACTGGCACGTACCCCTTGGGGAGGTTCTGCAGGAACTGACGCTGGGGGCCCTCCTCAATCCAGGCGTTGACATTCCACCAACTGGTCTTGGGGTTCGAGGCAGGGCCAGACCGGGTGTTGACAGTGTAACGCAGCCACTGGCGGCCGCTGGCGGAAGTACGAAGCTCGGGGGTATCGGCAAGGCGGCCGATGACAGTAATGCGGGCGACCTCGCGCGGGGAGCTGGTGCTGAAGCTGCGAGCCGACGAGACGGCAGTGCGGCTAGCGGAGCGAAGGAAGGCCGACATATTGATTACTGTTGTCTGTTTAGATTAATTGGGGTTTGTACGTCAGAAATGAGTGTTTGTTGTCGGCGTTGGGCTACGGTTTGGGTGTTGCGGTGCTTGGGGGCCAGGATAGAATGCGGCAGACGAGGCTCGAAACCGTTTGAAAAAATTCACTTCGGGGACCGTTGCTCTCACTGTCGTCGTGGTGAGAGGCCACAAAATCCCCACTAAAGGGCCCCGCACGATGGCTCGGGCTTATCAATTTCGGAGGGCCAAGGCTGGTGGCTAGTGCACCACATGAGGCTGGTGCCAAGAGGCGCCAACCAAATGTGGCGAGTAACCTGATTTTCCGTAGCTGTCCCATCACAAGGCCCAAGTGACGCCCAACAATAAACTCGATGCCTGAATAAAAGTCTCTTTGAAACCTCGAAGCTTATTGACTCGTCGCCACGAGGAAGGTACGCATGGACTATTCATTTGCAATCAGATGCATCATGGCCAGCCCACCCTTCAGTGCCGCCACTATAACACAACTGGTCTCGGTCAGCATATGCTGCATATCGTTCTTCGACTTTCATCGCAGCCGAGAACCGATGCGGATACACGGCGGCTGGTCATGGAAGAAAGTTGAGATCCAGACACATATCAAACACACGGTGCCAACCAGTGCTTCATACGTGGTGGTCACCCTCAGGTACCTTATTCCTCAGAGCCTCATCATCGCTGCCAGCCCAGCCCTGACGCAAACACCAGTGCGCCCACGGCAGCGAATCCAGCCCCGAGCATGATGAGTCTCATCTCTGTTCTCCGGAGCCTCCAGGAAAACTCTTAAAAATTTTGTCGAATCCCTGAACTGGTTGGTGATGTCGTAGTTCTTGTAAGAATGCTCTTTGTTGATGTTGGCCATGTCAACTTGTGCTGCTGCTGAGCACTTCCGCTTGTGGGTTTGAGTAGAGACTCAATAAGCTTCCGGTATTTAGAAATACCGGCGTAAGCCCACTAGCTAGTATTCAAGCCACGCTCCAGCCAGTTGTGTATGCGCAGTTCCAATACCTGATCGAAGTGGGGTGGTTTCGTTTTCAATAGGCTCCCTAGAGTCAATAAGTAAGCCAATAAGCAAAAGTTGAGCAGTAGAGTTGACCTGTCCGTAATCACCATGGCTCTTAAATATCCTTGCTGCCCCTTATGATGCCTACAACTCGCCTGCTCAAATTCTCTTTCTCCATGATGCCTGCTTCCTTGCCATTGCCCATCTTGCTCGTCGTCGCCAAGTCTCCCAGCTTCGACCTCATGTGTCGCTAAGGCTCCTCAGCCAGACGGGCAGCCAGCGCATCATCAAGCCTTCTCGCCTGTTTTCTTACCAAAGCCACACATCTCCTTATGCGCCTGTTTGGATTAGCACATCCCTTGGTGAGGGTATCCACGTCTCTGCCTGCCATGTCCTCACCGACCAATAACACTGTCCTTCCGGACAAGTGTGCTCAATATGACTTCACAACCACTCCTGCAGAGCGTGTTGGCCCACCGCCCCCTTACACTTCTCCCTCTCTCCAAGCGAATCTCGCCTTCAGAGTTACCCTCGGAGCCATCTCCCTCTTCATTACTTGGGTTCCTGCCCGCCTGCTCTGGAGGACGGGAGAGTTCGCCGGCACGATACTTTGCGTGATGCTTATCATCAATAATACTACGACGCTAGTTAACACTCTCATCTGGCGCGATAACAAAGTAGCTGAATGGTGGACTGGATATGGGCTATGTGACCTTCAGGTCTACACCCAGTTTGCTTTTCACGCCGTCTTCAACATTAGTCTCTTCGAGATCATGCGTGGTCTTGAAGCCAAAGTCTCCTTGAACCGCTCCATCGCCCCGATTCGTGCTGAGCACCGTCGTCAGCGCATCATCTCCGCCCTTATTATCTTCACTTTCCCGGTCCTGGAGATCACCCTCAACTACTTCGTTCTTACTCGCCGCTATGACATCAAGACTCTGGTCGGCTGCAATACTATCTACTTTTCCAGCTGGATCTATCTTATCTTTTATATCCTTCCGATTCCCGTCTTTATGGTTGGAGCTTCTTTCAGGGCAGGTAAGGACACCATCTAATCATTTTCGGGTGGCTTCCGCTAACTGTGTCCTCGGCTTGGTTTTCTACCGCTACCGTGAGATCGAGCGGGTCACTCGTAACGCTATTCTCACAGGCGATAATGTCGCCCAAGCTTGTCAGCAACGTGTCCGTATCAAGCTCTACTTTATGACCTTGATCGTCATCGTCGTGGCCACGCCAATCACTTTGGCGTTCTTGATCTCCTATCTGCTCTCTGCCTAAACCTGGCTCCGCCCCTACGATTTCCGTGCTACTCATCCCGGCGCTGACCCCCTCAACATCCACTTCATCTCCTTTACTACATCCGACAAAATGTCCTGGTTGAACTTGACCGAGCAGTACCTATCTTTCGTTTCTAGCTTTCTTGTCTTCGTCCCCTTTGGCACTACTACCGAGACACTCAACATGCATCGCGAATACCTGCTTACTCTAGGCTTGGGATATATCTTTCCTAAGCTCAAAAAGAAGATCCAGCCATCTTCGACAATGTTTAATTCCCGGTTCAGTTGGTTGGCTTCGTTCGCGCGGTCTTTGCGGAGAAACAGCTACAATGCTTCTAGGTACGCGGCGTGTCTTCCGCAATTCACCCTTCTCATATCCGCTAACCGTGTTCCTTAACAGTACTGGCTCAAAATCTACCAAGAAGACCTCTCTGTTGTCAACCGTTTCCGATTCAAGCCTCTCTACAAGAATAGAGGTTACTCTGGTTCATGGAGCTCAACCCTATGGTCATGGAGGGATTGAACTATCCTCTCTGCCGCAGCTGACATCCTCATCGACTACCAGCAAACGGATCAGAAACCTTTGGCTTGAGCCGACTATCGAAGAGATAGACGCTGCCACAACCCAAATCTTTTCGAGCAACAACAACTTAGTGCAGACCCGCATCCATTGCTTCGACCTCTGCACAAACATCTCCGGCTTCTCACCACTCCTCAGAAACAGGAGCATAGCCAGTAGCAATAGCAGCAGATTCGAACCAGAGAGGCCCATCATGCGGCCCGCTCCTACTCCAAGACCAACCCAAACATACTCCAGGGCTCCCGGCCACTCAGCAAACAGGTTTGGAGGGAGCGGTTTGGATAATATCTCGCCCTGGATGAGGGTGATGGAAGAATATGGATATCTTGAAGTCAGGTCGTCGAGGCCAAGGGTCGAGGTCGACACCCGTGTATGGGCCAGTCCCAGAAGCAGTGCCCTTCCCACGATTGATGCGAGTGATCACGATAGTGATATGCTAATGGGGACGATGGGTGCTGGAACAGTCACGGCAGTCACCTCTCCTGATCCTCTCAGGGTCTGTAGCCCTGAATCTCGCCAAGATCCGAGTCACAGCCACAATGGCGAATCCCGGACGGGGGCTGTTCACATCCATACAAGCATCGAACACTGTACAGAAATGGCTAATCTTGTCCTTGACAACGCAAGGACGGATCGCAATAGGGAATTTGGGGATTAATTCTCAACGGCGACAAATTTGGCGCTGGACGTCGAGAGGGCTTTAAAGTCCATCCCTGGGTGAACTTGAGAGGAATGTCGTCGGGGGCAAGGAGGAGATACCATAATAGGTCAAGGAGATGGGAGAAATCATTCCTTGTCGCTTAATAAATTCTCGGTGAGTTGCACCATTGTGTTTCCCCACTGGTTTACGGTTACTTGCATTTTCTCGTGAGTGATTCATCAAAGCTAAGACGTTTCTACTTGGTCACTACCTGGTCATTTCGGGTTGCCTGGGGATGCGTTTCCAGGAGTAAGGATGGGCATCTTGAGTGTTAGATTCTCCATTCTTTTCTTCCTCCTTTTCGAGAAATTATGCCATCTGAAATGCTATACCGAAGTCTGGGGAGCAATGCCTTCTTATTAAGCTAAGGCAATTAATTGACTCGTGCCTTTCTTACGGTAACCCACCTGACTGCTCCTTTCTTCAGTTGTGCAATATCGTCGTTGATTCTGTCAGCATGCCTTCTTTGACTTTGCGTTTCCAACCCACATCTTACACAGCTCTCAATGTTTCGGCAAAAAGAAAACTTGGTCAAGAAACACCAAATCGCATGGTGCTGAGAACAAGATAGCGAAGGCGCAGGAAAAGTATATGCAAAGCACGCAATACTATGGATACCTCGGTCGTCACCGACCTGAGTACTGACCTGGCCTTCACTGGCCTAACTTTGACAGAGCGGATGTGATGCCGTGTTTTCCTGTGGGTATGGTCATATGTCATAAGTAAAAGAGCAAAACTTCGTTTAAATATCGCGAGTACTACAGGTTTGCTGGATAAGACACCCCCCTATCCATCAGGGCAAGCACATGACTTCGAGCAGAACGATTGGCAAGACAAAGACCTCCTGGTTTGATGAGTGAAAGATCCGCGAACTGCCACAGCAGCCAACCTTGCCCTACCCTCATCTGGATAGGTACTTAGCATGTATATATATCGGTAATAGAATGAAAATGCATAATGATACTGAAAACCATACATAGCCACTAGACAAGCCTTCTGAACTTCTGAAAAAGCAGGCGGAAATCAAGCGCTACCCTATATCATGGCGAGCAGCCACATTCCCCTTTTCAAGCCATCAAACCTCCCAGGTTTTAACCTGAGCTTCATGCGAGACATTTTGAAGAAGACTATGTGTGAGATCATGTGAGTATACGCCGCCAGTAATGCAACCGATACCAGCAAGTTGAAAATAAAAAAGCAGGGAAACAGGCCAAATCAGCATAGATAGGTAATGTAGAACGCTGCCCCTTCCAACCAAAACTATGTCAAATAAGAAGGGGTATTGTGATATGAAAAAGCAAAATCAAAGCCGCCTATACCGATCCTTTTTTCGCTTTGTGCTAAGTCGTCTGATACGAGTCCCCGGGTTATATCACCATCATCCGACCAATGCAGAGCTCACACTGTTTTTTAGTCTTACCATACTGATAGCACATAAACCATTCAGTGCCGCCAAGCAACATCGCCAGAGTTGTCGCGTGCTCCAGACTAGAATCATCATCACAAACCTCCTCTTTACCATCCCCCAATAAGGATAAACCTCATGATAACTGGGCCGCTACCATCTCAACGCCCTGGCACCAAGGATGTGCAAGGACACCCTCAATGTCCAACCTCTGCGATACATTGCGGTTGAGCATCTTTCGAATCAGATCGATGCTTTCATCACTCATGGTCCAGGGAACGCGCAAGTCGCGATCCATGATTTCGTCGACATTGTAGAATGGGTTCTCCTTGTAGATGATGGTATAGAGCAAGATGCCGAGAGCCCAGACATCCTGCTCTTTCCCGCGGTAGGGCCTGCCAGCCAGGACTTCGGGGGCGGCATAATCTACGTGGCAAGAGTGTTAGCATAGCTGGAGATGAGAAAGGGGGGAATGCTCACCAATGGTGCCGACAAAGACATCGAATGGGCCACTCTTGATGTAGGCCGCGCTACCGAAGTCGATGAGCTTGATCTGGCCTGTGCCGTCGAGGATGACATTCTCATCCTTGATGTCTCGATGAACGATTAAGGCCTTAGTGTGCAGATGGTGCACAGCGCGAGCAACCTGCACGAAGATGCTGCGGCATTCGCGTTCCTCCATGTTTGTGCGCAGTTCGATATAGTCGAACAAGTCCATGCCAGGCAGGCCGTGAGGGACCATCTCGATATAATAGTTGATCTCATCCTCGAAGAAATCCTGCATCTCAACAATATTAGGGTGTTTGAACCCGTCTCGACGGAGGAAGTCGAGCACATGAATTTCAAGTGGCACTGTGCCGAGTCGCCTGTCCCTGGTCCACGTGTCTACCAAGATGCGCTTCTTGGTCACGTACTTGAGCACGCATGTCTTTCCTGTGCTGCGGTATCTAGCCAGCTTGACTTGACCATAAGCGCCTTGGCCCATTTCCTCAAGGATTTGGAAATCGTCAATAGTTTTCTTCTTCTTAACTGGTGGTTCTGACGCTTGCTGAGCAGCAGGAGTCGTTTGCTGTTGTTGTAACTGTTGGTCTGGTTCTTTTTTGTCCTCTTTTCTCTTCTCCTTCTGTTGCTCCTTTTGCTGCTCCTCCCCAGGCTGCTTCTCAGGATTCTCTTGTGCTGGAGGATTTGTGGACGGAACCTGTGCAGTTGATCCCACAATTTGGGTCGCGTTCTCGGCCAGCAATGGTGCTCTCTCACTCTTGGGTTGTTCCTCCGAGTCAAATTGAATTTCTTGTGGAGAGTGGACGGGCTGTGTCTGTCCTGGCGATGGCTGATGCAACGGAGTAATCATGCCTGACATCAAAGGCGATGAGATGCCCTTGTCTGGCCGGGTAGAGTGCACTTGTCTCGAGTATGTGACCCAAAGGGCATACACCCACTCGGTCTCGGAAACCACAAACTCGTCCCCTGCCTCACTTGTTGAAGACTCCCCGTCACTGTCGCCATCCTTCTGGTCGCGCTTGGAAACCTTCTTCTCGCTCTTCGCTACCCGCATCTGGACATCAACCTTGAGTTGACTTCCATCACGGTGCCTGGCCGGGATGCCATCGCAGTGCATGAACAGTTGGGCAGCGTCTGGGTGATTCTCCTTGATCGCAAGCAAGGTATAAGCCTTTCTGAAAGAGTGCTCCGGAACCACCATTCCTTCGACGAGTTCGATGCGCTCCTCTTCCGTGAGGATACGGAGCAAATTCTCGAAGTTTGGCACTAAGGAGTTGATAGACTTGCCGTCAGGTTTCTCATGACCGAAGAGGGCACCACAAAAGACCGAATTTGAGCTTTTGATGTGAAGAGTCTCAGGATCGACAACGATCATGCCAGCGATGTGAGGGAAGCTGGAAACGCGCAGCTGTGTCGTTCCCCTAATTTGCTCAACGGTGGCTGGTAGATGCATGTCATCAGCGTTGCGACATGTGTAGTGTTTCTTTTTGGCGATTTCCATGTAATCGACTTCTCCGGAGTGCGGATCGATGCCTTGTCGCGGGATACGAGGAATCAGCTGGCCAACGTCCATACCCGACTTGGGATGCTCATTACCCCAGATCGGGCCGAGAGCACCCGAGAGTTTTGTCACAATTCCTTCTTCGTCAAGCTCGATGTAGGCCACATCTTCATGAATTTCTTCCATGACCCAGATCAAGCCTACACGCTTCTCCTTAACCCACAGGCTGGCAGATCCCGTGGCCCCGTTTCGTTTCTATAGCACTATTAGTCACACAACAAACGAGTACACATACAAGAGCATTATGAACTCACTTGTATGGGGACGACATCACCGCAAAGCAGAACACCCCTGGATTTGTTGCTGGTATGGTGAGGGTTCCCAGGCCTGGGGGGCTTGGGATCGCCACTATGAATGGTGGCTGGGCGCCTGTCGGTTTTCGCCTTCAGGGCCCTTGAGTTCGGCTTGCTTAGCAGTTTGGCAGTGATGCCTCCGTTTCGCGACCCAAGAAGCTTGGAGGTGTCAACAGCAGGAGTTGGCGGAGATGGCTCCTCTTCAGGGCTCTCCTTGGTGTCATTCTGAAGGCCTTGCTGGAGCTTGTTAACCAGCCAGGCCCTCCTTTCTTCCTGTATTACCTCCAGAATTCCCATCTTACGGACTTCTGCCTTGGTCACACCGAAGAGCAAGCAAGCAAGATCATTGGCGGCGAGAATTGTCCACGGAGGCTTCGATTCGGTAGTGAATATCGCTTGAGCCGCAGGAACCCATCTTGTAGTATGGCCAGGCACAGGAGCTGCCAGGGCTTTCGAGCTTACGGAAGCAGAGGAAAGGAGCTGTGCCGATACTGGCTGCTGCGCCTTTAAAGGTTCACTTGTCATAGGGTGAGCCAAAGCGTCCCTGAGGCGTTGCTCCATAGACAAGTTGACAGTATCTGTCATAGCCCGCTTCAGCATACTCTCACGCCTTGAAGCGGGTGGGGAAGTCTGAGCGGTCGTTCCACTTTCGTTCGTGGGCGTCCTTGAAGACCCTTCGGATTCAATGGCCTCCTCCGAGATTTTGTGAACTGTCGGGAGCGAGGGTGGATCAGACATATCTTCACAACCTTCTTTCTCCTGAGCAGGAGCTGGAGCAACGATGGATAAGCCAGATGCTGGCAGCGTTGCAGGCGACGCCAGCAGCGGTATCCGATCAATGGATTCAGGGCTTGCGGTCCTTGGGGCGAAGCCTTTGTCAAACACATTGCCCTCATTTGGGGTGATGGCTGGGTCAGTTGAAGGCCCCATGGGTAGTCTGCTGCGTCCTTGGATGTCATTCCCACTCCCAAACATCTGGGCTTGGGCAAGAACATCCATCATGCCCTGCATCTCCGGATCGCCACTCACTCGGGCTTGAGCACTGGCTACCGCGGCACTCGATACTGACCAGCCCATGCGATCCTTCATAAACTCGAGCGACCGCTTAAGCAGCGTCTGACGGTTGTGAAGAAGGTCATCAGTCTGGTTGGCGAACGAGAAGGAATGGAGTGATTCTGAAGGGAAACGGCTCAGGTCTTCGGTGAAAGCCGGGGAGACCGGGACAGACGCCGCTGTAGGTATCTGTTGCAAGTCCGTTAAAGACAGCGAGCTGGACCGTGTAGCAAGATTGACTAGCGAGGGAGATCGGCTTAAGGTTGAAGAAGGGAGGGTTGGTGTGCGGAGGGGGAGCTGCTGGCGAATCCGCCTGAGCCCAGACATACCCAGGCCATGATCGTGCTCGTTCATGATGGGGCTTCTAGCACTACAACAGTGATCGCGTTAGCCTTCGATTTTCACCAAATTGAATCGACCAAACCCAACCATGCGGCAGCTGACCTTGACAGCCTGGGATCGTATTCGGGAGACAGGGCAGGATGGAGAGAAGAGTCGGCAACAAAGGAGAAGCGGCTATGGCCAGCCTTGTCGGCTGGGTCGTTCAGGGAGCCCAAGTTTCCCGTACTTCTGTTCTTCGGGATCTGCAGTGACGGCACAAGCTGCTGCTGCTGGGGCTGCAAACTGCTGGGGGCCTCGGCATCGTCTCGCGTGTCGTTGTCGCCTGTCGGGAGGGCACAGGGTGGCCAAGTCAGCACAGGGACGACCACTGGCATGCTCCCTCTCCAGTCTTGCCTGTAGTACTCTAGAGCAGGCCACGGCCAAGAGAGGGATCGAGTCAGCGGCGCACAGTGTCGGCTCGACTCACCATTGTCTGGATGGCTACCATATGTTCCGCGCATAGTAATTCGTGCAACTGATGTTAAACCTGAATTGAGAGGAAGCGTGTGGAAGTTTTGAGATGATGTTGGGTGTTCCCTCGGAGGGTCGAACACCTGATTCAAAGCGGCTGGGTTGGCGAATAGACTTTTTTTTTGTCAAGTCCTTGATGCGGGTGCTGATTAGGTGCCGCTGAAGAAATCGTTAGGCGGCGTGCAGCAGTTGGCGTGGTGGGGTTGCGTCAGGTATCGAAATCGAAATGGGTAAGCAAACCAGAGCCACCCATAGCGTAATCGAGCACTTAACCTGGGCCTAAATAACTGCAGAGGAAACGGTGCTCATAAAAATATGTCTCGACCTTTGGATAATAAGGATGGCATCGAATTATCCTTTTAGACATATGTGCGTTGGGTTGAAGGGCCAGTTTTTTTATTTTTTTCTTTTTTGTTCACAAGATGACTGGCCTTAACCTTCAAGGGCATATGCAGTCGTGCGTAACCCCCGTCCGGAGCACGGATGGATGTGCCATGTAAGCGCGAAGACCACGGCTTGGGTACAGCATTTCGATTCTGGGTCTGATACCTGGGTGGCTGGAATGTTTGGGCTTCATGCTGCAAACGGCGCAGCGGAGACGAGATCGTCGCCCTTTTTGCGAAGCAAGCCCCTGCGCCCGTCCTTGGTACAGCAGCCAGGCTCCTGGAAGGGGTCGAGGTTGCCCTCGGGCGTCAACACAGCAGCATCAGTCCCTCTTGGGCATTGAAAGGCGTCGACACACTCATCCGAAAGTGCCTTAACACGACCCCAATTGCAACGCGTCATGGAGCTGACCAGGTCGAAATCCGTAATGTGCTGCTTGAACTACTGTGCGCGCACTGACGGCGGTCCAAAAGCCCCGATACTGCCCAAATCAGAAGTGTAAGATATTGTCATTTGGAAGCAAGGCGGACGACGGATCATGGGTCGTCGGTGATTCCAGATCAACACGTTTTTACGGGTAAAACTTCAATAGCTGGCCATTTGCTGTGTTCCAGTCGTACGGATTTCGTACGGTCTTGGTTTGATCAGACCATTCATCGATGTCGTCGGCTGCCGAATTCAGACAGCTCAGCTTACACAAGACCAAATCTGCATTATTTTTACCCTTTGATCCCTATGGTCCCAAGCCCACAGGCTGAGTTTGCTACCACACGTGTATGGTTTCTTTCCCAAACCTGCACAAACAGAATCATGGTCAGTTCAACTACACTGCGTTATGGTAGAGTCTCACTTCTCTGACTTGATGGCTGCTTTAGCATCGGGCCTCTCGGCACCTTAGACCAAAACAGAACGCTACAGTGTTAGACTTTTCAGTGCATACTGTATCAGAGCCCAAACCTGGCACTCTGTTCTTGAGTTGGCATCCGTAAAGACAATGTTGCATGTGATGGCTCCAGAAACACAAATGCTGAAATAAAAGAAACCTGAAGCTATGCTTGATTTTGAAATTGAAGTCCATGCCGAAGACCTGAATGCCTTTCGTTCCTAACCGCAACCTACACCTCCTTGTAGCCCCTTAGTAAGAGGGCCCTGGGCATCCCGCACCAGTCTTTGGGGCAATCCACCCCACGCCTGCAGGCCAACAGTCCGATGACGGGCTTTTTTGCAGACAGTGGTCGTGTGTGTGCCGAAAGAACAGAGAGTACAATGCTTGTCATGACCAAACCTGCTGCCACCCCACGTCCAGATTTGTCCAAAGGCTCAAGCCGATTCTCGTCACGGCGTCAGCCGACCAGCCGCGTGGGCTAGTCAGTGGGGTTACAACGGTCACCTGGCCAGACGAGGCTTTAAAACCAAAACATGTGCTCTCCCGACAAGCGGCTTCCCCTGGGGAGTTCCAAAGAACAAACCAGGTACCACAACGCTGGAATCAAGGTGTAACCAAAAACGTAGAGTGTAAACCGTACAAAGATGTATGAAGACGTTTAACAGTTATCATCAAGTTACCAAGCAAAACGCTGACAAGATCCAACGGTCATGAGTGGGCCCGGAGCTTGGGCTTGTGGCGCTGCCGAAACTCAGTTCAGGGGGCTCGGCGGAGATAACACCGGCGGATGCTGCTCCCGTGGCTTTCCCCGTAGACAGACAGGGATTAACATGCCGGCCCGATCGGCTGGGCCTGACCGGGCTGCCTTGCGTTGAGCGGCATCCAACAACCCATCACGGAAGTATTCTTGCCGGTCTACCGTGCTACACCAAAGTTTATAAAACTATATCAATTGTAATCAGAGCGATGGCCGTACCTAAGTCAGCCACATTGTATCCACGGCTGTTCACTTCGCGCTCTCTTGCCTTTCTTATTGACTTTCTTTCATGAGGAGATCATCCCACGACATGCAGGTTAAAAACCTCTACACAACCCCCCTTGCACAACCACCCCATATTTCGTGCTGAGCTCATAGGGGCGATCATCGATTCGTTTTTTCACGGGTTCTTTCACTTAAACCGTGCGGAACAGAGAGCATGGAAACTGTCGCTGACTCTACTTGGTTGCGTTTGCTGGAACCTGCAAATATGTTCTCTATCATGGTTTTGATACTGAAATGGCGACTATCTTCGCCATCAGCACGGCCTGAACATGGTTTACAAGATACCAACCGGAGATTTGTAAAAGCGTGAACGTCAATTTGAGGTGCAATTCAGATTTCTGCTTCAGTTTTCCCTGGGCGAACACGGCTTGTAAGCGATAAGATAAGCCTAACCCCGCCCGACCGAGCTTCTGATTGTGATGCAATAGTCCAGTCAGCCAACCACGCCGGCAAACTGCGTTCATGAGCGGGCCATGCAAAGCTCCCGCGAACCCCCCTCCCTCGCGAACTCTTGTTCCACGAAGCCTCAGCTAGGTGACTGGTCATGCAGAAGGTCCATCAATCAGGTTGATTGGTTACAAGCAGCCTCATCAATCGTTCCCTAGCTTCCTCGGCGTTGGCTGCAACATCGCCTGGAAGACCGGAGGGGCATCTTATCTCACCGTTCAGTTGCCAAGCCGATACCGGTATTGCCCTGTTTACGGCCCTTTATGCAGAGTGATGACAGCGAGAGATTTCATGAGGGTTGAGTTGGGAGGATCATCGTCGCGACAAGGCAATTAACCCCTGAACGGAAGAGCTTCAAAAGCCGACCCGAAAACTTTCTGTTCTGTTTGTTCCTTCGGTACGGATCCATAAACAGCCAAGAGTTATGGTAACCTTCGTCCATAGGTGTTTTGAGATCAAGCGCGGCTTGCAGCTGTAAATGTCGCTGCTCTCTCCGGTCTTGGTGGCCAAAGTTCTTCGTCGGACGTTCACTGACTTCTCAAAGCCCCTCCGTTTTGGCGCTAAAGCCAACCAACTGCTCTGCACCGTCGCTCAGTCTCCTTTATCCATCCTGATTCATTCAACTCTCTGTCAAGCTGCCGGGATCCGGCAGCGAGCTGTGGTTTCGCTGCCGGCTCTGGCCTCGGTTCGGTTTTAGACTCGAGAGAGGCCCCATCACAGGCTTGGTTCCCACCGCTTAGCCAGGCACCTTTCATCATCGCTTCAACAACCGATCCTTCTCGAACAACCTGACCCGACCAGGCCTGCTCGCGCTCGTACCATTAACAACGGCGGTGAGACTTGGGTGGTCGAAACCACCTCGTTCCCAAAGGTCTTGGTTATCCACTTGTTTGCTGCTCTCTCTCTAGCTGTTTGCACTACATTTCTTTAACTTATCGCGTCAAGCGAGACACTTACAGAGGCACACAGGACTCATCATATCCATCATCAATCATCACCACCAATCCACAAATAATCCTCAACAGTACCATTCCGGTATTACGAATACCTATTTGAGCTCAAATTCTTTCAGCAGATTGATTGTCTTCGTCTGGATTGTCACAACTATACCGATCTTCAAACTTTCTACTTAGGTAGTTTCCCGGCTCAACCAGTGGCCCCATCTCATCTTCTCTTGTGATTGCTTGCCCCCCATCTGACTCCTCTCTTAACCTTCCTTCGTTGCTTGCAATCTGGACCCACCTGATCTTCCTTCGTCGATATCACTTGTTCCTGTCCTGACAACGCCACTCTCGAACTCACCAATCCGGTGCTGTCTTGAGAAGGTGGAGGTGAGCTGCCAGCACTTCTCGACAGTGCTGGGACTGCAGTTGAACCCTCCTCTTCTTCCTGTGCACACCGGTCTTGACTGCCTACTCCCAAATACTGCCCGCCACTACCTAGTATTGTTATCACCATGGCCGACTCGGCGATCTTGCCGTCCTCCCGGTTAGGCTCCGGGGTTTCAGAGGGCATGCCTCCTGATAATGAAGTCGTCGGGCCCCTCCCCGAAACCGATACGAAAAAGAAAGGACGCGAGAGATTGCTTCAAGGCCTTCAACGGATCTCGTCCTCGCCCTCCCTCGCCCGCTTGAGCCGTCCAAGGTCCGCAAGCAGCCCTTACAGCATGGGCTCCCTTTCCTATGCCAGTCTCTCCTCTGTCCCGTCGCCTCTTGGTCAACCGAGTGCAAGTTCCTACTACTCCCAGACATCATGCGCGAACCCTTCTAGCGCCCCGACGTCAATCCCTGGCAGCCCTACGACAGAAGAACCACCGGAGTACATCTGCGTCAATGATTCCCACCTGAGTTCAAAGGTCAAACTGGCAGGAAAATTAAAAGCGAAAGAAATCAATTTATGGAAGGATCTGCCTCATGAACTCAAAATTCACGTCTTGTCGTTCTTACCCCAAAAGGAGCTTGTCCGTATCTCTCGGGTGTCCAAGGAGTTCCACAACATGTGTTTTGATGGCCAGTTGTGGGCTCGCCTGGACGCTTCAGAGTTCTACCAAAAGATACCCGCTGAAGCTCTCGCAAAGATCGTCCTCTCCGCGGGCTCCTTTGTCCGAGATTTGAATCTCCGGGGCTGCGTCCAAGTGGAACACTATAAGAAGGCCGAAAAAATTGCTCAGGCCTGCAATAACCTTCAGAGAGCGACACTTGAAGGGTGCCGCAACTTCCAGCGACCAACCTTGCATAGCCTGATTCGAGCCAACCCGAGACTTGTTCACCTGAATCTCACAGGGCTTCCAGCAGTTACAAATGTTACCTGTAAGGTGATAGCCAAGTCCTGCCCACAACTAGAGTACTTGGATGTGTCTTGGTGCAAACAAATGGATTCAACAGGCGTCAGATTTATCATTAATGATTGCCCCAACTTGAAAGATCTCAGGGTCCGCGAGATTGAAGGTTTCAATGACCCCATTGTGGCCGAAGCGATCTTTCGAACAAACAACCTCGAGCGCCTTATCCTTGCCGGCTGCGAGGACCTGACAGATTCTGCCCTCCAGATTATGCTTAGAGGGCAGCATCCCGAAATTGATGTTCTCACCGGACTCCCGGTTGTTCCCCCACGCAAGCTCCGTCATCTTGACTTGTCATGCTGCAACCGTCTGACCAACAATGGGGTCAAGGCTCTTGCCCATCTAGTTCCCAATCTTGAGGGCCTCCAGCTATCGGGTGTTACGCGCCTCACTGATGCCGCCCTGGAACCGATTCTGGCGACTACCCCTCGTTTGACACACCTCGAGCTCGAGGATATCCAAGGGCTTACCAACGCTTTGTTTTCCCAGCATTTGGTTAAGGCACCATGTGCTCCAGTCCTGGAGCATCTCAGCGTTAGCGGCTGTGAACGCCTAGGTGACTCGGGCTTGCTTCCGCTCTTCCGGAATTGCACCAATCTCCGAAGCGTCTACATGGACAATACTCGAATCAGCGATCTGGTCTTAGCAGAAGCCGCAGCAATGGTAACTGCTCGCTCGGCTCGTATCCTTCAAAGCCGGCCTCAACCTACATCCAACGATTCATCTAGCCACATCCTCCCCGTCGTGGGTTTGAGGCTTGAGGTCTACGATTGTCCCCTTATCACGTGGACCGGCGTCCGTGAAATCATGAGCCGCAACACGGAAGTCCCCCGCTTGCCGAAGAAGCAGACAACAAAAGATGACTCCAACACCAACTCCGATGCTACCAACTGTTCGGCCGAACAGCCGACCGTCCAGCCATGCAACCATTCTTATCCTGCTGAAATCATCTCTCTTAAATGCTTCTACGGGTGGCAGATGACAGTAGACGAGCACACAAAACGTGTCCTGGACGGCAAGCTCATGGCAGCGCGACGTCTGGAACGGCTTTGGGCAAACTATATGCAGGCGAACGAGGAAGCTGGAATTGATGGCTCTGGGGCCAGAAGGAGACGCAGGCGGGTGAGAGCTGCGCAGCAGGTGCACGACCAGGATGCTGGAGATGGAGGAAATGGTGCTGGAGGTGTGGGAAATGAGACTGGAGATGGGGGACCCAGGAGGAGGGCGAGGACTACAGCTTGTATTGTCATGTGAAGGCGAGGGCAACCTGGTGTTGAGTTGGTGATATGGGCATTACTACATGGATCAGGGAGGATGCTTGTTTATGCTTATTTAGGAGGGGAGGGATCTTGGCGGAGGGTTTTTTTTTTTTTTTTGTATCTGGTTCAAGGAGTAAGGCGTTGCTGCGTTTCTTCTTTACAAGGAACAATAGTGTGTTTCTGCTCGGTCAACTTTCACCCCTCACTTACATCCTCTATTGTCGTGAACTGACAATTCATGGTTGCATTTTACAGTCTCTAGAACTAGGATCGATGATCTTCGAATGACCGTTCTCTTTGAGATGAGGTGACTTTTAAGGCATGGATTTCATTTGACGACGCTAGTTATGGTGAAGAAAGTCTATCGCCAACCTTCTAAGCCATGTATCAGATTGCACGAGAGATAAATTATGTCCTAGACAGCTTAAGGCTAGAGATGCTAACATGCTGCTCTTTGTACAGGTATCATTTGTCGCCAATCTGCCGATCAGCCTGGCGTAGCCCAAGACAGTTGAATGTTCAAGGAGATTACACTGTACTATCACGTATATAACAGTTCATAGATGTATTTTGTTAGAGGCTTTTATCCCTCTTCAATTCTGCTTTTCAACTTTCATTGTGGTAGCTCTGAGGTCTGCTTCGGATCAACAACAGAAACGTTGTCCAGGGCGAGAGCATTCAATACTAAAGCCAGTCTGGGAAGTACTTGAGGGTACTTTGTCAAAAAAATCGGTATATCCTCGCGATCTGAAAAACTTACATGCAAGATCGCGATAACATGAGAAGTCGGTATAAGCAAGAAAGGCCAGACGGAGTTTGTAAGCCGTATCACCTCAGGAAAGACATCAAATGTGTCGGGGAACTCGTGGCCCGTCCCGCACTGCACTCTACTAGCGTTGTACAGCAGGTAAAGTAAGCTGCCTCTTTCGCTATGATTGGAGCAGGTATGCCGCTGGAGAGCTGAGTAGCGAGGGTACAAGTAATGCAAATAAGAGTGTTGCTGGGAAGAGGGAGAATGTCCCGTCCCTCAAAGGAAGATGAGCATGTAACGTGTGGCACCGTGCTGTCTGAGAGTATCAACTGAGGCTGGCTGATCAGGAACAAGAGCAATATGGTATATTCCTGAGGCAATGAATCTGTGTCAGATGCGCAATTGATGTGGAACAGCATAGATGGTTGGAGTGAGAAGAAGGGTTGACACACCTTCGAAATGCCTGCATAAGGGACTACCTGGGACATCATCTATACACATCTCAGCGTGTGGCTCGAGTTGAATGTATACGGGGAATTGACACGATGTGATTGGATGAAGTATAGGCTCTACATGCATTACGGCAAGACGGTCTAGTCCGGTTTCCAGAACGCAACTAGTACTTCTGGGTGGATGTGGGAACGGCTGCAGTAGGAATTCAATCTCGCAAGTGAGCCGGCGGATTCTGCAGGCAGTCGAATCCACCGAACTTCCTAAAAGAATCCCTTCTGCGACCGGGTGATATGTGATTATCAACCAAACTGTGGCCCATGAGACTTGGAACGCGTGTGGCCATGATAATAACAAGCTCGTCGAGCCGAGCTCGAGGGGAGGGCTACAGGTAAGTTGTCCCTCACGTCAACAGATCAATTAGGGGTCTCGAGGCCTGTCATCAGAGCTGAGTGCCGTGAATTTAGTCGCCTGTTAAATTCTCGGAAGTAGGTAAGGGACAATGATGCTGCAAAAAGTCGTGAGGTTGGGGGAACGCGGCACGCTGGAAGTGGGCAATCAGCCCCGCGTATGTTAAGACGGGAGCTTAGGTTGCTGGTTGCCCTCCTCAGCGAAGGCTGTCAAGTGGGACGAGTCCCGCGGTGCCCAGAGTATGGTGGAGCTGCTGTACCCCAGCCAAGATGTGAGCCAAGATGTGGGGCTGCCCGCACAACGGCCCGGGCACACTGCGAGCTTGCGACCTGCGCTGGTCAGACATGCCAGAGCCAAAGAACAACTTCGAGAACGCGAGTGAGTCTGGAAGCCAGGAAACCGGCGCATCGATGTCATTGGCAGTGCCTTGATAGGGACAGAGCCTACTGGTCGAGCCTGGGGAAGGATGAGTCTGCGTGGGTGAGGTATGATTGCGAAATTCATGTGTAATGTTCCGCCGTTTCATTACGAAAGAGACACATGTCTTGGTACGGAATACGGGTTACGGAATTGTTAGAATCTGCACGTGAGGGTAGGTATAAACAAAAACTCGTTCACAAGCACTTGAAATCAATTGACCATTACGAGTTCAGATTGGAGTTGGGACCTAAAATAACTATGAGATAAAAGAGAGTTGATGTAACTCCAATGATATAAGCAAGGCGTCAGGTGGCATAACGATCGATTTGCGCACGTACACGTAAGTACGGTGCTTGTGTAATGCATGAGGTACCTGCCTGAAGTTAAGGGTCCAGGCAGGCAGTTTCTTTCAACAGTTACCCTGGCCAGTTCGCCGCTCGTCCCTCCAAAGCACAGTCTCTGGCTCTTTGCCAACTCCGTTGACCCCTCTTTTTTTTTCTTCCATTTTCACCCCAAACTTGCGCCTCACCTCACCTCTATCGCTTCTTTCCACTTACCACCGGTCGATCGTCCATGTGGTAAATCCAACCTGCCGCACGCAATCCGTTTTTTTCCATCCTTTCTTTTCTTCAGTTCCCCCCCACCTTTACCTTCCCATCCGCCACTCGCCCTTCTCCTCTCCCGTGCTCCTCCCCGCCGCCTCCAAAAAAAAAAAAAATCCTTGCGCATCTCTAGGCCAGCTTCACAATCGGCGCGTCTCTTGCACGCTCCAGATCCGTGGGCCTGGCTCTTTTCCGTCACAATCGCCCTTCCGGCCTCAGGTTACTTACCTTACGCCACGACTCTTACCTTTACCTTACCACCTACCAAGCTCCAACTTCTCAGCGCTCCCGCCCTCGTGCGCTGCCCTGCAACCCCCCTCCCGCCTGCTGCAGCTCGCAGACGGTACATACATCGCCCTAGCCAGCGGCATCTCTTGCCAGGGACACACACCAATCCCATCATCAGAAGCACCAGCAAGATCCACCGTCTTGTGCTCTGCTCCAAAAAGGTACGTCGCGCATTTCTACAGGGTCATCTGCCCCGCTGTCGGACCCGGCGCCTGGTTCGCCGCCCGCAGTACGCCCGCGTCGCGCTACTCTGCTTCCCTTGCTGTTTCTGTTGCTGCTTTTGCTCCTGCGTCTTTGTCTGCTTCTGCGCTTCTCGCGATCGCATGTTTCTTTCCGCCCAAGGAGGAGAAACATGTTTGCGCCAGAAAGCACATGGGGTTTTTCAATGGTAGTTCCTGCTCTTCTGTCGTGATCTGACGCTTGGTGCGCCAACCCTGCTTCCCCTCTGTTTTCTACCTGCTCCTGATCCTGAAAGCAAGCAGTGTGCAGTGTGCAGCGTGCTGCAAAGTTCCCACACCTTCACCTTGCCACGACCATCCATCATCCCCCACCACCATCTCCCGCCGCTTAACATACCAACCGCTAACTGTCTACCCCAGACTCTTCATTCGACCACCGCTTCGACAACTCTTATCGAGCTCGAAAGAGCTCTCCTTGATTTACAGCTCCTCCTTACGACCATCTAATTATACTCGCCCCCTCCCCCTCTCATCTCCTCAACCCCTTTCTGTAATCATGTCTTCTTCGCAAGACACCCATCCTTCCAACAATGGGGCTGAACTCGCCGATGCCATTGGTCATATGCACATCAATGACAATGAGCCTCGCCTTGGCCCCGATGGCGAGCCGGCACCCAAGACGGACGAAGAGTACGCCCAGACGCAGTTGACTCTGCGCGCGCTCGTCTCATCCAAGGAGGCCGGTGTCATCATCGGAAAGGGCGGACAGAACGTCGCCAATCTGCGCGAGGAGACTGGCGTCAAGGCCGGCGTCAGCAAAGTCGTGCAGGGCGTTTACGATCGCGTCTTGACCATTACTGGTGGCTGCGATGCTGTCTCGCGGGCCTACGCCGTTGTGGCACGAGCTCTGCTCGAAGGCGCTCCCGCAGTCAGCATGGGTGGAGTCGTTCAACACAATGGAACTCATCGTAAGTGTGCTGGTTTGTCGCTAAGCACGAGCCTGTACTATGCGGTTTCGCTAACAGATTGCCCGCAGCCATTAAGCTCCTGATCTCTCACAATCAAATGGGCACTATCATTGGCCGCCAAGGCCAAAGGATCAAATATATTCAGGATGTATCGGGCGTGCGCATGGTCGCACAGAAGGAGATGCTGCCGCAGTCGACAGAGCGCATTGTCGAGGTCCAGGGCACACCCGAGGGTATCCAGCGCGCCGTTTGGGAGATCTGCAAATGCCTGGTCGATGACTGGCAGCGGGGCACCGGCACTGTCTTCTACAATCCCGCCGTTCGCACCCAAGTTGGCGGCTTCCATGATCGGTATGGTAGCCGTGTGCTGCGGACCGGCAACGGCGCCGACTTTAGCAATGGCTCTCGGTCATATGGTCGCCGTTCTGACTCAGAAGGAGGCCCCCGCGGTCCTCCGACTCACGATGAGAATGGCGAAGAGATCCAGACGCAGAACATCAGCATCCCCGCCGACATGGTTGGCTGTATCATTGGCCGTGGTGGATCCAAAATCAGTGAGATCAGGAAGACTTCAGGCGCTCGCATCTCCATTGCCAAGGTGAGTGAGATTCCATTCGCAGTCTTTTTTTTTTCCCTTTCCCGAGCTAATACCATTTTCGATAGGCTCCTCATGATGAAACGGGTGAGCGCATGTTCACCATCATGGGCACTGCCAAGGCAAATGAGACGGCTCTCTTCCTCCTCTATGAAAACTTGGAGGCGGAAAAGATGCGTCGTCAGCAGCAGCAGCAGCAGCAGCAGCAGCAGCAGCAGCAGCAGGCGGCTGCTCAGCCATCCGAGTAGTGTGGGGATGAGAGCAACCAAGCGAGGCTGTAAAAGTTCTCCAAAAGAAAGTATTGGTGAAATTATGGGAAGGCTGGAGTTAACATGACATGGGATTTTACCAAATGTCGAGAGACGCCCCTCTCTATCGAGGATGATGTCTACTGCCAGCTCCTTCGGTCATTTCCAGATATGACTGCCGCAAGGCGTATTCTTGGGCGGGCGGGAAATGAATTGACGACTCTTCTTTTGCCGATAACAAAAGCATCTTCACAGCCTTATTCTCCGGTTTTTTTTTCCTTTGCTACTTTTGTCTTGGACCGTTTCACTCTCACCCATCCATGTTTACTCCACTTTATCAGGCGAAACCTAGCCGTCTACGATGCACGACACTTGCCTCTTACAATCGAAGGGACTTCAGGGTCGTGAATATCGAGACCTTGACAGGCAGGGGGGCGTTTGGCATGGAAGAAAATTGGGTTATGTTGTCCGAAGTTGTGGTTGTGGGCTCTTGCAGAGCGCAAGGTTTCGAAGCTTCTGGCATTGGCCAGTTTGAACGACCCTTTCCACAGATACCTTCGGTATATTTACCAAAGATCGAACGAGACCTGATGCCTGAGCAACCCATGAAGCCTTCGAGCTGCGGGCAAGGGACAGCCATCCGCTGGTACTACCTAAGCAATTTCATGAAGAAAGAAGACGGTCGCATTGATAGGTTTTTCTTGGCCGGCTTCTCAGTTAGCACGAGCACCATGCCGGGTGTGATCATTGAAAGATCATGCCTTAGCATTACTAGCAGATCTTACGGGAGAGTTGTCGAGACCAAATAGGTAGTAGGCAGAGACGGGAGCGGTCAAATATGAGTATCATGGTGCCTTGATTACTGTTAACTTTGATCATGTGCATGAGATGATCTTGCATGACTTTGAGCTATATATATCTATGTATATCAGAGATGACGTCCTGGATGTCAAGTCCCTGGCAACCCCACAGAGGGGCGCGCGGATCTGGATGGCAATCTTCTATGCCAGCAACAGCATGGAAGCCTGCTAAAAATGACAGGCGGGCCACTAAAAGCGGAATCACGGACCTGAAACTTTAGCGCGACAGCGGCCCAGTGGGCCTCCCGCAGTGTGGAGAGGCTCTGCAGTCAGCCCGGAAAAGCCAGGCTGTCCCCAATCGAATGTCAGGGCGATGGAAGGTTACATAACGCTGGGATGGGGGAGCATTCCTCATCGAACCATTGCTTTCCAGAGAAATCGTCTGGAATAGATTTTCGCTCGTTTCCTTCCTTAACAAGGGTTTATTTTTTTTTCGCTTGTTTTGTGTTTGGTTTTCCCTTTCAGCTGTTTCATCTGAGAGGCTTCATCAAGCATTCGGGAATTTGAATTTGCCTCGTTCCTTCATTGACACTGGGGAGTCATCAAGGTTCTTGAGGGTCCTGCAGCCTACCGTCACCATTCACCAACCCATCATCGCATCTGCCGCATCGCTCGACGTGAGCCTGCCGACATGGCGCGCATTAAGCAGGCAGCTCCAGTCCAGCGCGCGCCATCTTCCGAGTACGCCAGCAGGTTTGATCCTGAGTTCCGGAGACGAGATGTCGGCGTGTCGTCATCACCCGCCCTGAATGGCAACGCCGAGAAGACCAATGGCCATGTCGCGACTGCGGAGCGCGAGCACAATAGCACGAAGAGCACACAAAACACCAGTGATAAGCATGCTGAGAAGCCGAATACCGGAATTGCCACGCTCGTTATTGATGTCGCTGGCATCTACGCGTCCTTGTAAGCCTCCCTATCGGCCCGAGGACTATGTGATATATAAAGGGCTAACATGACACTCCCCCAGCCTAACCTGGGCCTACCTCCAAGAAAAGCTGACAACTACGGCTTACGGTCCTAATGGCGAGCGCTTCAAGTTCTCCGTCTTCCTTCTGACCATCCAATCCGTGTTTGCCGCCGCCGCGGGCAAACTCTTCTCTATCCTGACCACCCCCAAGGGCCAACCCATCCCTCCGCTCTTCCCAACACGCCAGATGATCCCGCCCTTACTCCTCGTCGCCGTCACCAACGCGCTCGCCGCTCCCTTCGGCTACGCTGCGCTAGGCCATATCGACTATATCACCTACATCCTAGCAAAGTCTTGCAAGCTGCTGCCCGTCATGTTCTTGCACATCACCATCTTCCGCAAGCGCTACCCATTGTACAAGTACCTCGTTGTGGCGGCCGTGACTTGCGGCGTCGCCGTGTTCACGCTGCACTCGAGCAGCAAAAAGCATCATCATCACAACAAGAACACCGAGGCACAGAACAAGGCCTGGGGCCTGCTCCTGCTGGGCATTAACCTGTTGTTTGACGGCCTAACGAACAGCACGCAGGACTACATTTTCTCGACTTTCCGGCCGTATTCGGGCCCGCAGATGATGGCGGCGAACAACATGCTTTCATCGGTGCTGACCGGCACGTACTTGCTTGTGGGCCCCTGGCTTGTCCAAACTCCGCTGGGAGAGTGGCTCGGCATGGATAGAGCCAGCGGCGGCGAGCTGAAGGATGCGTTGGCTTTTCTGGCGCGGCATCCAGCTGTGTGGAGGGATGTGCTGGGGTTTGCGCTTTGCGGATGTGTCGGGCAGGTGTTTATCTGTATGTTTTTAAACCCTTAATCCTGTTGTTGATCGCCATTGCTAACCCTTACACCCTACAGTTCACACTCTGTCGACCTTCTCTTCTGTGCTCCTTGTCACCGTGACCGTCACGCGCAAGATGTTTACCATGATTCTGAGCGTCGTGGCCTTTGGTCATCGCCTGTCGCGCATGCAATGGCTGGGCGTTGGCTTGGTATTCGGTGGCATTGGCGTTGAGGCGCAGATTGCGCGTCGCGAGAAGATGGCCAAGGAGGCTGCAAAGAGGAAGCTACAAGACAAGGCGCAATGACGATGTGTATTAAGTGTCCCTTTTGCCGTAGAGCAAGTGGGGCACTGTTGTAGAAAACCCCAGATTGTTTTTCGTTGTACATAGCTTACACATAAAACTCCGCGCTTGACATTTCGTTAGGCGGGTTCGCCATGCTTATTTATACTGTTGCACCTTATAAAGGGAATAGACCTGGTCACTGGCATCGTGAGAAGTTTTGGAGGTGGTTACTGTGTGATAGGTGACACAGGCTGGGCACGGGCATGCTCTTTACCATGACAAAAGGACACTGGTCGCGATATGTTGTAGACGCAAGATATGTGGTATATTTTTACTGACCTGAATCCATCAGGACACAAGCCGCCCTATCCCAGACACTTCCCAGCCCTATTGGCCTTTGTACAATTGCCTCTCCTCATCCAACTTCCCTTTTCAAATACAGCCAACCATACCTATTCCCATAGCCACCATCCCATAAACTTCAACCTCTCCTTAGTTTTGGGTTGTCATAAGATTATACATTGACCTTTAAACAGTGAATCAAGCACCAAGGCAAGCAACACATTAATGAACTGAAAACCCTTTGAGCGCAGTCAATCCAAAACAACAACCACATATATGTATGCACCGCCGACCCGCGCTATGGTATTGGATAAAGACGAAGATATGCTCGTGTTCGATCGTGGCAGAACACAATAAACGCACAAACAAAAATGGTTTTGCAAACCAATGTGTTCTAAGCAAAAAAAACAAAGTTTGTCAATTCCATCGCTCAGACCTGTGGAGTTGACGCTCTCCCTCACAACATCTCATCTATACTCCTGACAATTGGCGTCTCCCCCTTTGTAGGTGGACTCCGTGGATCAGCTGCTTGCATGGGCCGCCCAAATGGGTATAGAGGGTCGCGTGGGAACAAGGTTGCCCGTGGTGAGAACACACCGTCGCGTGGCGTCGGTGGGATCTCGACAAACTGAAGGCCCGTACCTGCTACACCTCCTAGACCGCTAGCCCCAGAAGAAACCGCGGCCAGCCTCTCGTGTATTGGGTTGCTGGTCATCGTCTCGGCACGAGGGGACATGAGAGGCTCATCTGCAAAGCTGGGGAGGATGGCAGTGATGTGCTTCTTTGGCTGCTGCGATTGCTCCTGCTTCTGTTGATGCTGCTGCTGCTGCTGATGCTGCTGCTGCACAACGCGTATTGTCTCGGGTTCCTTCTTTTCCTCGGTCTCATTGGCCTCTTGCTTGAGCGGAGAAGCACCGAGACAATTTAGAGAGCCGAAAGTGAGACGATTTGCTTGGCCCAGTCCGAACCTGCGCGCGCCGAACCCAGGAGACGGCGGGGGCTTGGCCAACCGGAACCCGGGCGACATTGGAGGCTCGAGAATTTCGGGAGGAGCGAAGCCAGGAGACTTAGGAAGGCCAATGAGTCCCGGGGATGGCTGCGGCGCTTCTATCTTGATTGATCGCAACGGAGGGCCAACCTTTATTGGGGGCGGGGGTGTCCGAGCGCGTGTGCTCACTTGTGGAGGAGGAAGTCTTGGAGAAGGCGGAGGTCGAGTAGTATGTTGAGATAGAGGAAGGCCTGGAGACGATGGCGGGCGAAGTGCCTGCTCACCAAAGGAAGGAGGTGGAAGTCCCGGAGACCGCAACGGTTGAGAAAATGACTCGATGGGCGGGGCAAGTTTTGTCTCCTCTTTTGGAGGAGCGGGGCGTTCGGGAATATGAAAGCGACCAAACTTTCCCGGGTCTGATTCATCCTCCTTTTCTGACCAAGAGAAGCTCGAGGGAGCCGATGAGGGCCCGGGAGAAATGGGCTCACCCGGCCGAGGGGTAGTCATACCCCGAGGACGATTGGGAGTCCGTTCAGGGCTTGTGCGCCTTGAGCCTGAATCCTCAGGCAGCGGGGCAGTGAGAGGTTCTGGCGGCGTTACACCGATATTGTCGGCTGACATCGTTGCCCGGTGCTTCGTGGGGCTTCTTCCAGACCGCTGCTTAAGAGCGCCAGTCGGCGATAACCTCTTCTTCTTTGCAACCTCCTTTTGAAAGTCTTGCAAGCAGTACATCAATCGCATGTTAGGGCTGATCCACCGGCTTTTAGCCTGAGCCTGATAGTAAGCGTCGTTGACGCTCAGCTCGGGGTTGCGATACAAGCCATAAGCGATAATCAAACTGGCTGACCTGCTGGCGCCCTGTTGGCAATGGACGAGCACTTTCTTCCCTTCCTTTGTACGCTGCTCAATTGTTTCACAGAGGCGCATCAAATCGGGAACGATATCCGTGTTGTGATCCCAGGGAACATGTATGTACTCGGGTACCTTGAGAATCTTCTGAGCCTTTGGCGTAGTGGGCGAGTCGCTCGAAGCATCTGAGGATGGATACTCGCGCGCAGTACAGAAACTGGCATCCGTGGTCGCGGTATCAGGGACCGGAGAGTCGTCCTCGGGCCGTTCCTTGGTGTCTGTAGTAGGCTCACTTTGGGAAAGCTTTTCGAACGGGTTGCGGACTTCGCGAGCAACGTTGATAACGACATCAAAACGAGACGCCTCCTCCGCTGTCGGCTCGAGATATAAGAACACATTATCGTCGTAAATCGGGAGCGGTCCATCAGGGTAGCCAGGGGATTTCATGTCCTCATTGTTTTCGATATCGTGGTAGGGCTCGGAGTCGTACGCAGCACGGTTTGCGATCTGAGTACGGATTGATGATTCTTCCTCGGAAATTGAGTTTTCGCGTGGCGGCCGGAAGTAAGACGAGAGTCCGGTCTCGTTTCGCTCCAAGACAGCAGGGATTGTCATCCCCCCAGGAGGACCGAACGTTGCCGACCTGAGACCTGAAAGCATGTGGGGCGTCGATGTTGAGTGCTTGAGCGCTCGACGCTGCAAGATAGGAGGCACGATAGGGGAATTAGGGACCTCGACGACAGTGCGAGTCAAAAGATCGGACGAGTTCGTCTTTAAGCTCAACTGACTTGGCTTGCGCTTCATCGCCGGGATGACCGGCTTGATGAAAGAGGGAGAGGCGGGCTCAGAGAGGAGCGTATGGGAAGAGAGCGGGTTATAGGGGGGTTGGATGGAAAGACCCTTCATGTTCTTGGGCCGCCTGGGGCCCGGTGAGGTCATCGGACGCTCTTGGGATGAATCCGAAACGCTAAGATTGGCCATGCTAGACAGAGTTCCGCCAAAGGACCTGGTCGATGCGAAGCCGGGGCCAGGAAGCGGGGCAAGGTTGACTGGGGAATCCGGGGACGAGGACGGGGACGGATCGGAAAGGTCCGACGAATCGGTGCACGACACCGTTGTGGTAGGAGACGAGTCTGCCGACTCGGTGGTTCGTGTGGATGTGCTGTCATGGTGCCTATGGCCAGGTTCCGGCGGTAGGGCACCAGGCCCCAGCGCCAGCTGCGAGGCCTTCGGGTCTTTGGCGCCGTCCATGAGAATGGAGGGGTCGATGATGGTAACGGCGTTGGACTGGTCTATTGAGCCGCCGTCTACGTCATAGACAGACATAAATGAGGGTATTTGATCCTCGTACAGCTGTCTGGCTGCAGCGGAAGGCATATTTTGCGGCTTTCGAGCGGAAAAGCAGCAACAGTTTGGGAGACTCTTCTTGTTCTGTCGGATCTCTTGGTCGGGCCTGTAAAGTGTCAATCAGGCCACTGCCACAACCTAGTCTGTTGCTGGCGGACCACCTGGTCGCCTGGTCGCTTGATCGTTATCCGTCTGATATGCGCCGAGCACCGGGAAGCAAACCACGAATCCAAAGAGCCTGGAAGGGGGCAGGGACGGGATGAAGTGAAGGGGAAAGTCGACGAACAGGGGTTGCTCTTGCCGTGATTATTGGATCAAAGCCGAAGAGTCGAAAAGTGATGAGTTTAGCGGGACAGCGCTGCTGAATCCGTGCTGATATCCAAACGTCGTTATCTTTAGCGTCTACGTATGGAAACACCGTAAACAGGAAAAAAAAATGAACAGAGACCAGTTTGTGTTGCTGCCAATCCCCGAATCGCTGCTTCTGGACAGACGCAGAGAGAGGAGCCCGCCAGAGCAACAAGCACGCGCCGACGTGACCTCAGTCAAGGGTTGGTAAACAACGGGAACCCGAGACGACACGGTCCGATGCGGAGACGCAGGTCGGGGCTCGAGTAACAGTGGCACGCGGATGACCTGTCGCAAGTACCGTGGGCGGCAAGAGTTCGAGGCGTATGTTCGTTTAAGGGTGGCGAAGAACCTGGAAGACTGCGGCGCAGCCGAGCACAGAGAGATGTGATTAAGACGGAAAGACGAACAAGCAGAAACTCGAAGAGAAAAAAAGAGTGAAGGGCAGCTTGGCCGGCGATCGAGCGACGAGAGCGTCAGTACATCATCCAATGGGCGCCGGCGATCGTGTGTAGAGTACGGAGTGGCAGCAGCTGAGGAAGAGGGTAAGGGAGCCTCAGGGGGCTGGTAGGCGAGAAGCAAGACAAAGAGTCTGAGACGAGACTCTGCGAGGGGAGATCAAAGTCAGAGCAAGTCCCGTTGTCCAGGTTACAGTCTCCGAGTCTGACCACGGGCCCTGATGTGCGCAGGCACTGGGCTGGGCAGAGCAGGGCACAGCAGCACAGCGCAACGGGCCGACCACAGAAGGGGACGCGGGGATCTCTCACTTCTTTTTCTTTCTTTTGTCTTTTGTCTCTTTCTTGTCTCGAGGCTGACTGCCGACTCAAGCGTTGCTGGGCAGATAGCCTTAAGGTTTAAGCTTGTCGCTTGTCGGCTGGTGCTTGCGATCCCGTCCGAACTGCTATCCGTTCTTTGGTCGGATGTCGTGCCCTTCACGCCTGATGGAGGGGAGGGAAGAAGAATAGGCTAGGAATCGAACAACGGACGGGAGACGTGGGATTGGATGTGGGTAAAAAAAAAAAGTTGGAAAAGAGGGAAAAATGGGAAAAGAACAGAAGCAGGCACCTGCAACAGAACACGCTGGAATGGCCCGGTGGCAGTGGTAGACACAGACCTGAGGCCGCAGAGGAGATTGACGGAGGGAACCTGAGGCGCTTGAGGAGCTGAAGGGGTGCGGGCGTGTCCAGCAGCCCGTCCACGGTCCACACACAGTCTCAGCGCTCTCAGCGCCAAAATTGGGGGGAGAGGCAGGGCAGCGTGGAGTGGAGAGGCTGGTCACTCGCTCCTACACTGGACTGGGTCACCTCAAAAAGCCCCCTCCCCAGTTTGGGTGCTGGGCGCGGACGTATGGGGGGCTTCTGAAGTTCGCTCTTCAACCTGCACCCCTGCAGCTGCTTGTCGTCGCCTGTGGTTGGCTGGTGGACCGCGGGGCACTGAGATTACGTCCAATCAAAGCCCCGCGGCGGATTCAATCTGCCCCACACACCTGTGCTGCGCAGGAGCGCCGGCGGCTAACCGTCCTGGCGATGTGCTTGCGTACAAACGATTGCAACCTAAAAATAGACGGTGAGACTTGGGACGCAAAATTTGTGAAGCAGCTCTAATTGGAAGCGTGCCCTGTTTGGAGATCCTCTGGCCAATCATTCGCTTGTCTTCGCGAAACCCTGGTTTTTCGTCGACTTCAAGTTCTCCTGCCTTTGGCCCTAAAACATGTCAATGGAAACCTGTTGTTTCGCTCGACATCATCTCCCCGATCAACAAACTTACAGTTACCTATCATGACGGCTTACAGACGCTCTTACGGCTTCAAGGCATTGCGATGATGCTTCTCAACAACGAGAAATTTTGGACTGGGCGTGGGAGCGTGATCCTCCGAGAAACGGATAGGTAAAGGAAAGGCACAGCATCAGTCTCGAGTCGCTAACAGCGTCTCCCTGCTCTCCTCCGAGAAGTTGAACACTTGCATATGTGTCGGCATGCAAGAAATGCGGACCGCTCGCACCCGATCGTTGCGCCGGACGAGGTCCTGCCCAGTCGGCATCCGAAGGTGGCCTCGGCATGCGGTCATTCCGTCTTTGTTCCGGCCGCATCCCGTCCGAAGTCTCGCAAACGACGGTGCGATTCCGTGCCATTTATATGACTAGACTACCTGCCTGTGCCCTACGCTATTCGGTCACCAACGGTCCAGATGATTTATTTACAAGCTATGCATGACTACCAACATGTATACTTAGCAGCAGCTTTTCCCGACACACCCAGCGCTTCGTGGGGATGCGGTCGGTGGCACAAGCTTGATCACAGTGTGGGGCGAGAACACGATGGAGAGGTAGAATGCCATCCCATCCCGGACACCCACAACTCTACTACCAATTATACTAGATCTTCTAATACCCCCAACCACAGTTCACCTGCTCTGCCAATTGCAGAGCCTCGACGCTTCATCAATTCGTCAGGTCTAAGATCAAGACGGTGTCTCACATCCCTAGAAAGTGTCTCGAAGAGTAATTCCTGTCCCCAAGACTTCTCAGGTCTGGTGATCTCAGACCGAGAGTGACAGATATCCGGCTATATCACTACCCAACCCTATAGCCAGGCAAATTTTGTGTTTCGAATGTCTTGTTCAACTTCCCAACTTCCAACAAGAGAAAGCCTACTGTGTACCATCATCGGTCTGCTACGGTGGTACGTAGCATCGTTCAACCGACCGTAGCCCTTGGATCAGTGCTCCCCACGAGCCGCGGCCCACCAGCTCCATGCAGTTGGCCAAGGCAAACCTGAAACAAGCCAAGTTCGACAGGTGGAAACCTGGGCCGTGCGCTCGCTTCACTAGCCAAATCTCGCTTGTTCGAGATGGGTGGGGACTCTCTTAAGGAGTTTCAACAAAAAATCACCTCGTCTTTCGTCTCGTCTGAGCTTGACAAGGTCACTGGCCAGCCTTGTCTACCGCCGACTGGGGAACCGAAACGCCAAGAGCAGAGCCTCATTCAACTTCCCCGGCTTGAAGTTGCTTAAACCATCTCGTCCGATGAAGAATGCGCGGGTGTTGGGTTTTGCACACGACGCCTAAACCGTTGCTGTTCGATTCCAAAAAGCTTGTGCAGGATGAAATCCATCCAGCGATCAACAGCTTTCCCTATCTCACACTGACTGGGAACCTGTTCGGATACCATGCTTTCGCTGAAGGCTTCTAGAGGTACTTAACGGAGTGAGGCATCTAGACTATAAACAAGGATACGGCGAAGGATTATGTATCACAGCTTTGCTTACGCGGCTGACGGGAAAAGGTTCCTATGCCAAAAACTAATTTGAGATAATCCAAAGTCACGCAGCCAGAGTTCAAAGCATCTGTCCGGTCTATAATAATATAGAGCCGCGCTCCGGAGGCGTTGCAGTGGTGGCTCTCAGGAATGACTTCTCGACACGGGACTTACTTCAAGTCTTCTACAGCCATCTTGACGATGCTGTAACTGAGTCCTCGGATAGTCTGGCTGAGCAGCTTCAACCCGCTCAAGAAGGTTTGTTCATCATACTCTCCTGCTAGGCAATTGTGTGTGATTAACCACTCCGTAAACTTTGTTTGCTCTAATTCAATGACGTTAATCTGTATGGTTTATCTTGCGACTCACGGTAGGCAAGTCCTACATACATAGGTGTCTTCGTAAACAGCGACGACGCCAATGGTAGCTTTCGAATAATTCACGTTCGTAGGTTTTGAAAAAAAAAAAAAACAGGAAGTCGATGGCTGCTCGAAAGATACGAAAACTGTTGAGTAACAATGTGTGCTTGGTCTCTTATATCTTCATTTCAAACAAGGGAAAAAAAGTGCACGACAAGGCCTGCGAGAGCCAATGACAACAGCCCAGCCATCAAGATTCGAGACGAATGGCCATAGCAGAGGCAAGTTACCGCAACAAAACATGCACTTTGAGAGATTCCAACTCGGTTATTCGCATTTCCATTTCCTTTCTTTGTAGCTTGCAAAAAGAAAGATGCTCACATCCATTGGACGGTATATCTGGACAGTTTTTAAAATTGTGCTGTGGGACTATCGTAATCAACACGCGTCAGACGGACGCGAGAATGACGTTTTTACACTACTGCTAACTTCTCCTTCTTAATTGAGATAACTGCGACAGTCTTCTAAATAGCCCCTTTATTAGGAAATAAGTCACCAAATGAGTAATACATAACCAATACAAATCGAAATACTATAAACTGTGTTGTGTAGGCAGGTTATTTGAGGAGGCACACTTGGGGGGAGTCTAACTTTGCACTCGCGACCAGGCGCAAGCTAAAACAGACAAGTGGAACCCTCCCATTGGCTGAGAAAAAGGTTACACTGTTTCCTGTCGATACACAGCGACTGTTACGTATCTTGAGAGACTTCAGGGTTGGTCTTGTCTTAGCTGGGTCAGCCAATGACCTGGTTGCATCGCGTTCCGAGAGTATGTTTTACAGGGCGCATCATCGGCTGACATCAACCCCCGCATCGTCAGGACTTTTGCCAGGGTTGGTTCCATCAAGAAAGCACGGGCCAACCGCGTTTCTAACCTCATCGCTGTTTGGCCTGACCCCCGGCCGATGACGGGTTCCCGGTTCCTTCTCCTCTTCCCCCCGAACAGCTCCGGAGCCCGTAGTGTCAACATCGCGAGCTCCAATGACGCCCAATTGTTCCGTCAAAACTCAACGCTCTAGATACAAAATAACTGCTACTACCTACCTCTCAAAGAATAATGGTTTTACATTGCGAACTGTGCTACCTTCACAGCATGGTAACTTTCTACGTTGCTGTTTTCAGAGGCCCATCCATGATGTCCTCGTCTATACGTCGGATAGCAATAATGTGGGGGTAGATAGCAAACAGGAGCGAAGCATGGCAGCAACAGAGGCGCACTTAGGTAGATATGGCTCAAAGATTTTTTGGTGGGTAACTTCCGAACGATAATCCCTCGCCCTTTTGAAGAAAGCGCGAAGAGGAATGAGAAGAGTTTTAGCCTTCTAGTCTGCTGCCTTATGCATGCTTCGCATGCAGGAAAATGAATAGGCTGCGTATGCGCGGGGTGATGCCAGGTGACACTTGCATGCCCGTGCTCTAGCTCCCAGCCTACCTACACAAAAACCGCCTTATAGAGGCGGGCTTTGGTACAGGGCCAGCAAATCTAGAGCTGCTTTCCAAGAGCCTGTCGCTGTTCTTGCAGCTGTAAGTTTTCCGCAAGCCTCACGGAACTGACAAGTCGGATCAAGTAATTTTGGGACTACATTCGAGGGATTTGGTAGGGCTTTAAGGATTTCTGCTTCTTAGTGAGACAAGCACGTAGTGTTCCGTGTAGGGAGGGAGGATAGCCCCGGGCTAGCGGGCTGAGCGGGGAAAGGGATAAAAGACTCGCTTCCATGCATGACGAGGAAGGCCCTCCGTCCGACCAATGGATACCTGTCTACAAGTAAGTGAACCTATGCAGTCCCCGACCTATCACCGGTTCATATGAGAGGTATCAGGGAAAGGGGGAATTATAGAGGCCAGCTCTGGTCTTTTTGGGGAGATGTAACAAGATTCTCATTTAGGTCTGCATCAGCACTCCCTCCCTTCCTTGCAGCAGCCTCAAGCTCCCTAGCATTCGCCCAAATCATATCACCCGATTGTTGTTTGCTCTTTCTCAACAACCAGAGTCTGCGTGCCCTGAAGTTCAAGGATTCCAACAGTTCGGAGAACTCGGGTTCCTACCTCAGTATTCTCCTATCATAGTGTCATTTAGAGAATAAGTTGTGCAAGCGAGAAGAGAGCGCAACCCCTCCTTTTGACCTAACATTAGGTTTTCAGTTGTTCATGCGAGCTTTTTGTGGGCCAGCCCCATTTTTTGTAGACTGCGCACATTCCTATTGGTCAATAACCCAGTAACATTCGAAATTACCAGTACCTTACTCCCAGTACCCCTAGTGTTGCTTCTCGGTGCACCGCACACACACCACCGGCCGATGAGGCGCTTCCTCTCTTTCTTCCCCAATTTTTTTTTCACCATTTTTGACATCCCTCTTCGACTCAATGCCGTGACAAGGGCGGATGCTTTCATCTGCTGCTTTGCACAATTTAATTGATCAGCTTTTATCGCAATTGCGCCAGGCTTGTGACTACCGACGTTGGCTTTCGCCTGTTTCATACCAACTTTTGCGAATTCGGAAGACACCTTGTCCAGCGAACCCCGTTGGATGTTTGCGAATTTGGACACGCAGCGAAGCGGTCGTCCATCGCTGAATTGGGTGTGCAACCATCCCGCTAATGGGCCTGTAGTTTGCGTTGTGAGTCAAAAGTCGAGTTTTCAAGACATATTAAACCTCATCACCTAGCGCCACTCTCTGCAGTGAGGATCGGAGCTTGCAGCACTGCGTGCGCGCGCCTCGAGACACGGCGTGGAAGCGCGGGCACTTTCTCTCCAGCGCTGCAGACGTGACTTGCACCCAGAAGAGCCGACCCGGCCCTGACAGCATCGGAGCGGGAGGACGCGGCGCTGGCGTTGTCGACAGCCCAGGTCCAGTGGACAGGACAAAGTGGAGCAAAAACATGGCGTCGTCCAGTCTGGCAATTCAGCGAGTGGACCCCGTGGCTAGCCCCACAACGGCTCCTCCCTATCGCAGCACCCACAGCGACCAGAAAGGAGCCCACCAAGCATTGACGCTGGGCCCGGCGCACAACACGCGCAGCATGCCCAACCCAAATCCAGGGGATTCGTCGAGGGCGCGCAGCATTTCCGACTCCTCGCTCTCCAGGATCAGCGCCCAGAACCTCAGGGATACTCCCACAACTACCGACGAAACCAGCAGCAGTCTGCACGCGCATCGCCAGAAACACAACGCATCGAAGCTACCAGCATTCCGAGCAGCGGTAGCCGATCGGAAGAGAGAGAGAGAACGGACGTCGTTGGCATCGGTACTGCGCAACCACTTTCCGCCATCCCCTATCTCGCCTAGACCCCAATATACGCAGGACACGGCGTCTCAGTCCCAGACCGTCGCCAGCAAACATCACCACGCGCTCGACGAAAGCCGCTGCATCCCTGATTCATCGCGCGAGGGCCTCCACCACTCCAAAAGCGCGCACAATCTGTCGGACAGACCGGAATCCCAGCTGCCCACACCACAATTTTCACGGTCGCGATCGCTCCGATTCCAGAGCGCTCCCACCTCTGCGCCCACACACTCACGTGTCGACCCCTCGACGGCTTCTTCGAAGAGCCCCGCATCACCATTTGAGCCCGCCAGGACTGCTGCACGCGTGCATGCATCTCGATCGCAGTCATCGTACGTCGCATTCTCTCTTGCCCTACCTTGTTCGACCGCACAGGCTGTGTTTTCATGCATTTGCTTCCACGGCGTCCCGGTCGCAGCTGACTTTTGGCACACAGTCCCGACACAAACGCGCGACCCTCAACCGGCTCGAGACTACCCACTTCATCGCATACCTTGTCTACCCGAAAGAGTGTAGTTCTCGACCTTCCCTCCTCACCTAGCATTTCGAAGGCGCCTGTCGACGAAGAAGACATGGCCGATATCAACAGTTCCCGCGAGCGGGCACTGCGGGCCCTCGAAGGACGAAATGACCGCGATGATGTCTCCCAAACCACCGAGAACGACACCACTGCCGACCTCTTTCTGAACTTGGCGAAGAATGAGAGCATCCTGGAAGACTCCAAGACTGAAGTTCAGCCTGTTGAATCCAGCCCGAATGTAAGTCTTTCGTCGGTTACGTCTCCTACTCTCAAAAATTGCTGCCCCTTTTTTTGTGCAGGCTGAATGCTCTCTCTCTCACATTTTTTTCTCTATCTCTCTTTTTTTCTCTATCTCTTTGGTCTCGGCTTTTTGTAAATTTTTTATTCGTCCGTTTGCCTTGATATTCCGGTGCTGGGCATACCTATCCCCCAGTTTTCCTGGGTTGTCTTCTGCAGCAAGGCCATCTTCAATGTGCCCATTTGCTTTCGCTTTCCGTCTTTGCTCCTGAACACTATGTCTAACCGTTCCCTCAGACGCACCTCCGATTATCACATCGTCGCCCCCTTTCAGCTGCTGTCCCGTCTTTTCCAACATCGCCGCCACAGGTTTCTCGCCGTCTCTCGGCCGACCAGCGCGACAACTCGAGACTTCGGCAGCTCGCCGAAAGTCAGCTTGCACAACAGAGGACACGGGAGCCCGTTCATCGCATGTTGAACCGTGAGAACTCGGCCCCGGCTTCGATTCCGACTGGTCTTGAGCGCTCACAGTCCACCCGCTCAGCCTTGAAACCATCCCCTATGACGCCTAGGCAAATCTCCTTCCGGGAATCGTTCGCTGAACCTAGCTCTGGCCGCGAGAGCGCCTTCTACCGGAGTAGGAGACCGTCATTGACCGACAGCAACAGCCAAAACAACACGTCGTCGAAACCGTCGCCGTACCGGAGCTCAACCCTAGCGCTGAACCAGAGCCGGGCCTTTAGTGCTTCCTCCCCTCTGGTCTCCCAGTCCAGGAACAGCCAGAAAGAAGACGCTCAACACAACTCGGACACAACTGACTCGTCGACTTCAGCAGAGCCGTCGTCTGTTTGGGACGAGCTAGATGACTTGAAGTCAAGGATCCATAGGCTAGAACTTACTGGGCGCATGCCTCCTCCCACAACATCTCGCGTCTCTGATGATCGCCCGCGTACTGCTACTACCAATGCCACGACCATGTCGACCTCGCCGAAGCAGATTCCAAGCAAGGAGACTCGTGAGGTGCAGCCTCTTCTCCTTTCTGCACTTAACAAAACAAAAGGACAGGTTAGTTCCGAGGTCTTCAGCGCTATCGAAAGCGCTGCCATGGATGCGTTGGCCCTTTCCTCTATGATGGGTGCTCCGGGGCAACCAGGTCCGATCTCAAGTGCCGCTAGTTCCATCGGCTATAGCGGTGGCGTGACTGATAGGCAGTTGCGTCGGAAGGCCGATAGCATTTGCCGGAGCTTGACGGAGCTTTGCCTTGCCCTTGCCGACGAGATGAGCCGCAGGAAGTCTTTGCCGGTAGCAGAGAGTCTACGGAGTCCGCCCCTGACGTCGTCAACTATACGAACCAGAAGGCCGAGTGCGACAGAGCAGACGCCCACGGAGGTTGCAAGGCCCTTCTCAACTTTGGAGCAAAGAAGGAAGAGCCTTCTCAACGGCACGTCCCTTCCCAACTCCCGCTATGCAACTGCTCCACAAACCCCGATGGAATCCAGCGCCACCACCACCGCTTCTACCGCTGGCAGAAAGTCGTCGCTGCTGTTGTCGCGGTTTCGTCGTTCTGAGGAGCTCGAAGAACAGACCTCTGACAGGGCGTCAACGTTGTTGTTACGATCACGGCGAACAGAAGGCGAAGAATCCCAAGACGCACGTGAAGGGCGACACACATCCTTGCTGCTGCGATCTCGGAGAGCCGCAAACGAAGATGAGGACGCCCGCGTTCGTGCCCCTTCCCGGGCCGTCACTGAAGTCAACACTTTCCGTGGCACCTCGCGTGATCTCAGCACGACTGCCGCGCAGCAGTCGTCACCGGATGCTGGCACCGCAACCTCGGCTTTGTCTCGGCGGAGCCTGATACCTTCTGTCCTTTCACCACGCACGGCTCCCAATCAAGAAGGCCCTCCGACAAGCCTTGCTTCTGCTGCCTCCGCCGCATCGCCTGTGACTCCGGCGCGGAAGTTGCTTGAGCGGCCGGCACCGTTGACCGAGCTGCCATCCCGTCGTCTGTCCGAGAGACTCGCCGACCGGCTCAACGAGCGGCTCAACTCTGCCCTCGAGGAGCGCCGTCAACTGTCTCTTGGTCAAAGCGGCCTTGGGTCGAGCGCACTTCTCAATCGCAGTGGCAGCTTGAGCCATCGCACTACCACTGGGCTCTCTTCTCGACTGGCTGGAGAGGGCTCCATTCCCACCAGCATCTCGACGTCATCGGTACATCAGTCTCCTGCCACGGCATATCGCAGATAATTCGTCAAACACGGAAACGAACGCCTGTTATATATTTCCGCCATCCGCCTAATGACGAGATTTTCTTTTCTCCCTTTATTCTCGACCTGAGGCATGGGTCGTATGATATATGACCTTGTATATAATCAACCACTTAAGGGGTTGTACAAACCAAGAAACGACGTCACTCACACGATGGAAAAACAGAGCGCAAGAAATCAGGGGCGTTTTCGGTCTTAGAAGCCTTTTTTTTTATTTTGATTTGGTTTTTGAGCGGCGGTCAAAAAGATAAAAAGACAAGGCAACTACATGTATTTTCTTTGACATGGGCGGCAATGTTTAACGCTGGTTTTCTGTTTTGGATTTGGTGTTCTGTGGCCGGGTTATTGCAACTTCAGAGGGACAAAGGCAGTTGGCGTGTTTGGTTGTCTGTGGGCTGGCTGGCAGGACGAATTGGTCGGGTCGGACAGGAACTGGATGGACTTGGGAGGGATATAATAAGGCTTATTATTATACCATGATGACGACGCCATGATAAAAAAAAGAATCATGGGTTCATACAATACTCATGAAGCAGCTGGAGTTGGGTGGAAGAAGGCACAGGACTTGGGCATATTTTATTGTATATTGTAATAACTGCTTCGCTTTTGTCTGAATTGTCTTAGGTTTTTGGAAATCTGATCGTTGAGTTCCTCAATTTGGCTTGATTCCGGGGAAAGTTTGGGTGTCCTCTCTCATACGTGTCCCTCGATCAGAGGATGCATGCAAGGCCAGATACGGAGTAGCAGCCGGTTGAGGAAAAAAGAGGTCCCACAGATGATGCCCAATCCCAAGAGCGCCGGGGTTGATTGGTGACAAGTGTAATCCGTATTGCCCATGTAAACAAAGAAACGCTGCACACTTTGACAGCACAAAAACCAAAAAACAAGCAAAGAAACAGGAAGGCCTCTCCTTCAACCAACAGTTTCACCTTCCACGACCCCTCCCGCCACCTCTACTCCCTTTGGCCCCTTTCCCTGCCTTCCCAAACGGCTGCTTGATTACCAAACCTTCAGGCAAGTCAGCAACCTTCTCCCCATCCTTCCACAAGACGCCGACATTCTGCCTTCTTCCCACAACCTCCTTGAAAAATTTCTTCTCCACCATCCCCTCCTCATTCCCCTCCGTCAACACAACCCCGTTATCGCTCATCCACCACTTCAGCCCACCCTCTCGAATACTCCTCTCCACGTCTACGTATACCAGCACCTCGGCATCCGACCGCATTCCGCTGATCACCTCCTTACCGTTGTCCTCTGGCAAGCCGGTCGAGAAGTGCACGTGGTTGCGGTTCATGCGCTTCAGACCGCCGGAGGACTCGATCTGGGGCCAAAAGGCGAAGTAAGTGCCGTGTACGACGACAGGAGGGATAGGAAGCTCGTTGGAGTCGGGGGCTGGGTTAGGGACGATCGGGCGGAGAAGGTGCTCGCTATCGAGCTTGATCGAGTGGCCTTGGTTGGCACGGATCAGCCAGTGGGATGGGTCGGTTGATGACTCGTCTAGGGAGGGGTTTGTGGCCGGGTTGGGCTTCATGGCGAAGCGCTGCTTATCACTGCTCTTGACGCAGTCGACGATTTCGCTGAAGGTTGGTTTAAGAGAGCGGATGGGGCCATAGAGAAACTATTGTGGGCGTCAGTGTTATATTTGTCATGATAGTGACCAGGCAAGACTCACCACTTTGTCGAGAGGAGCAAAGCCCTCCTTGTCAAGTGTGATTCCTGCTGCGTCGGCCTGGTGCCGAAGCAATCGGCTCAGTGCCTTCGACAGAACTACATCACGTTTGCTGCGGCCGTTTCCGCCAGGTCCTCCGCTGCCGCCACTGCCACCTGATCCCGCTTTGCGACCGCCGGCAGGTCCTCTTCTCTGGCCCCTGCCGGTCGTTGACATGGCCTGCTCAAAGCGCTCTGCAAGAGCGTCGCTTGCATCGGGAGTGTCGTAGTCGTAGTCCATTGTGTAGGCAGTGTTCTGTCGACTACGTGAGAATAGTGCGCAGGCCAGTGTAGAGGCAATGTTCTGGCCAAGTTGAGACGTTGGGTGATGTGGGATCTGGATCTGGATGTGAAAGCCGTTAGGTGGGGTATAACCAGAGCGTTTCTCATTCAAAGACAAAAAAAGAAGGCAATGGATTGAGATGGAGTTGAGAGGTAAAATGAAATGAAAAATCTACTTGTTTCTTACCCTTGCCAAGATGCTCCAGTACAACTTAGCCAAGGCTGTTTGTTGTTAATAAGAGACGACCAGATCGAAGAATGACAAGAGTGAAATGTGCTTGTGCTGATGAACCTTGTGCTATGGGAGTTTTGTCAAAAAAATTACTCCACTTACGGTAATCTGGCCCCCCTTCAAAATGGCAAACCTTTCGGTAAGACCCCAAAACGGAAAACGGATAGAGAGACGATGAAAGTTAATCGCAGAGCTCTCTCGTTTCTTTTGAATGGGCTTTATTTCTACTTCATCTATCTCAACTGTCTGCAGTTCGACTTTACCTCGCTCAGCTCGCCGAGGCTGAGGTGGGTTACCGCGTGACTCATGCCATCCAGCCAAGGAGTCGGGACGTCTGACTTCAGCTTCGAGCGAAAGAGGCCTACCGATGATGCGATAAGTGTATCGCCGCAAGCAGTTCAACATTAATTCATCGAGCTTAAGTATGACGGCTCAGGCATGTTTGATATTATACGAGCAATTGACTGAGAATAGCTCGGAAATCAACGCCATCATTCTTACGGTTTCTATCTGTATGCTAGGAAATCAACCTGCGCCCAACGTTAACCATCGCTATGCACGTATCGCAGGGCTCGACATCCCAAGCTCTCCGCGCCTAAAGCTCACTCTGTATTATTGATCCATTCGTGTTCACTATCATGATGCTCCCTCCTTTCCTGCCAGTGTGCCTGATAACAATGCCCCCAGCTCCTGGTCCCTACTTCTTTGCTCTTCCATCAACCACATGAGGAGCTTTTCCGCCATTCTCTCTTTCGCCTGTTTTTTCCCGTACACCTGTTTCACGCTAGCCGCTTCGATAACCTCCCGAGGGATCTTAACCCCACTATCTTGCCCAAAGTCGACCCAGCCATCGAAGTACCAGCCGGAGGGCAGGTCGTCGTCTGTGCTGTCGGTGGGAGGTTGTGAAGGGGTCAAGTGGTAGCGAGGAGTCTGGATGTCGAGTAATGAACAGAGTTTGACGACGCGCTGGGTGGCGGGGATATCTTTGTCGTCTGAGGGGGAGTCACGGAGAGGGCTCGACGGCGGACGAAGTGATGGAGACTTTTTTTTTCTTGTGTGCAGGGAAGCTGAAGCTGACCCTGGCCTGGAGATGTCTTTCGAGCTGGCGTTGTGGTAACTTGAGGAGAGGAAACGGCTGTATTGGAATTGCTATTGCTGGCACTGCTGCTTGTGCTGGCCAGAGGTGCGCCGTTATCGCTTTCAGTAGATGGAGGAGATTGAGATTGCTCCGGGGCCTGGATTTCTGGTTGAGTTGCTTCTTTAGCAGTCGGGCATTGCGGAGGAGGAACTGGCTGCTTAATGGCAAGATTTGGTTTCGTCTTGGGGAAAACAACATTCTCGCCATCCGAAGGCAGATAGCCCTCTGCCATTAGCCTGTCAAGGTTGTTAAAATGAGACAACGGACATGAGGCCAAGGCAAGCAGAAAGTAAAGACGTTTCATACCACTCAACACAGCACTTCGCGGCATACTGCTTGGCATCTTTCTTTCGAGAAAAGCCCTGTACTTCAGGACCATAAGCAACGGGGAAGGCAAGAGTTTTGCTGTCTTGACTGAGCTGGATTTGACAGCGACAAGCCCATGTGTTATCAGGGGCGGAGAGGTCAATGAAGCTGACAGAGCATCCTGATTTTTGGTGAGCATCGCGATAGCCTGCCATGTTGTTAGTTGTATATGTATCTTCTGCGCATTAACATATATCTGATACGCGAAGTGGACATACGCAAAAGTAGGCTAACCCAGTCTTTGCCACCGAGGTCAAGCTCGCCTGAGCGGATAGCGCGCTTGAGGTCTAAGATGGCCCTCAGTTGCTGGGGAGTGAGCGGCTTTGGGTGTGTTTCCTGCTGTCGGATGAACTCTTTAATATCGCTGTAATCGATAGGTTTCTGAGGCATCGAGGTTGAGTTTTCTCTAGCAGCTAGATTGCTATTGTTATTATTACTGTTAGTTGACGTGAGTTTGTTAATTGCTTCTGGGCCTGCTGTTCGTTTTCTCTTTGTGTGAAGTTGGAATTCAACGTTCAAGGAGGCAGATATGTTTGATAAGGCATCCTCTGATGGGCGTTTGCAAGGTGACATCTTTTGCAGTGGGGGATTGCTGTGGAAGCAAGCAGTAATGAAATAACAAAATAAGCCGTCCTGAGTTGCACAGGGTTCCTGTAGCAATTCGAACCACGAATCACACAGCAAGCCAGCGAAGTGGGGGCGGCGAGTTTAGCACTTGTTTTTGGGTATAAGCGTTCACTAAAGACCACCGATTGGTTCTGACAAATTCAAGGGGGATACGGCAGTTTTGTTCACTTCGGGTTTACCCCCAAACAGATAACGCTTGCACAAATACTTGACTAGGTAGGTAGTTAGGTAGGAATGAACTATCAGTCTGTGCTGGAAAAAAAAAAAGGGGGGGGGCATACTCTGTAGTCTGTAAAAGTGTCAAGTAATTCACCCATTTCGCCCCTTTGCCAGCTACTACCAGGAACTCTCTCTTGTCGTTTCATTAACAAATCAAAGTCTGTCGTATGCTGTATACACGCTAAGGGTATCATGTTAATGTGAGCCTAATGCAAGTCGACAGAATCGCGAGACAAATTTTAGTCCTCTTCAAAAAAGCCTCCATCACTGTCACTTTCCTCGCTCTCCGACCTCGCCGGGGACTCGTCCTTCTTGCCTTTGCCCGACTTTGGCTTGTCTTTTTTCTCCTTTTCTTTCTTCTTCCCAACCCACTCCTGCTTATCCTGCGTATCTTCTGCCCTCTCTTTCTTTTTCTTCTCTTTGCCATCATCGCCATTCCTCTTATCCTTATCCTTTGAAGGCTTCTTGGGCTTCTCCACTTTTGCATCAACCTTTTTTATCACTTTCTCGGGAGCTCTATTTTGAAGTTTTTCCAGCGCCGTTACACCCTCCTCCCTAATTTTCTCAATTTCGTACCACATAGGTGGTCGCGGGGCATGCAGATAACGGGCCGCAGCACCCTTGTCGTCCTTCCCGTCTTTGTCGTCTCCCTCCTTGTTGCCCCTCACCTGGGCATACAGGCTGACATATGGTTCCATGAATGGAAAGTACTTGGTATAGTCGATGTCGACTTGCGCGATATGGAGATCGGCTTTCAATTGCGCAATCTCCACAGGGTCTGTGGCCTTAGACAGCCTCCTCTCGAGCTGCTGCGCGAACCGTAAAGCCTTTCTCCTTTCTGCTTCAGTTAGCAGACACCCCACAGGGGAAAGGGACGGGGCTGTAGGACATACCAAAGAAGCGCACCATGTGGTACTTCGAAATCATCTTGCTCCTTTCCCGCTTGAACTCTATGTCTTTGATGCGCTCCTTGTGCGCCTTCAGCTCGCGCTCGAGTTCTTTTTGTTTGTTCGCTGGAAGTTTCAGATTATCTCGCGCAAGCAACCGTTCAATGGCCCTTGCGCGCTTCTTGATGGCACCCAAACTCTCTTTGCCCTCGTCTGACTTGTTCTGATGGTGTCGCTTCTTCTTGAAGTGCGCCTTGTTGATCTTTTGGCGCTTGGCAGCCGCAACCTCGCTGTCGCCAGAGGCTTCGTCGCCGTCTGAGTACGATCTCTTCTTGCTCATATTTTATGATATTCACTGGATGACTGAAAGGGTGTTGAGGTGAACGGCAGAAAGTGATAACAGACGCAAGAGAGAAAACGCCAGAAATTTTGGAGACGCCGAGCTCTCATTGCTTTCCGATAAGGGTTAGGGTTATAACTGTGTCCCACTCAAACGTTCTTGGCGTGAATCTCATCCGGCCCGCTGGGCGAACTGCAGAACGAGCCGCCCATGGAGTCGAGACACCACATCGAAAAGGTCCAGAATATCCCAAAGTGATAAATCGCCATATCAAAGTTTCATATGAGAATACCATCGTCAAAGAAGTGAGGCTTGTGGCGGATGGATTATGGGGACGGCAGTCCTCAGAAGCACCCTGGACGACAATAGCCCTCAAGAGCGGGCACTCCACTTACAACGACAATTATCCCGATAGAAGGACAAGCAGACAACCCCTGAGATGGATCGCCAGGAGCCAGGACTCATCAAGTGGTCGCCAAACGCGGCGCACGACTCGTTCCTGCACATCAGCTTACAGGAGCGTGTCGTGCAGCTCTATGAGCCGACAGGTCTCGCACAGCGCGGTCGCTTCGAGTACCGTAAGCTGGCCAAACACAACGATCTACCACCGCTGACGGCCTATGACTGGTCTCCCACGGTTCCAGGCATCGTAGCAGTTGGCACTCAGACCGGCGTGGTCAACTTGCTACGTATCGACGATAACTCAAACGGTTACCAGGAGCTAGCCCTCAAGATCTCGCGTACCTGTCAGGCCGTCGCCTTCAACACTGGCGGCAAGTTGGCGGTTGCCCTGGACCGCGTGCGCAGCGATCACTGCCTGTACATCTGGGATGTCTCGCGTCTTTCATCCCTGAACGATGCCCACATCGTCGGCTTGCCACCCGACCTGGGCTTGCCCCTGGATCCTGTTGATCGACTCGAGCATAACGCGTCCGTGTCCAGCATCCGTTTCTTTGAGGACAACCCGAATGTTCTGGTAGCCGGTATCAAGGGCCAGGGATTGCGTATCCATGATCTACGAGGTACGAGCCCAAGCCCAGGGAGAAATAAATGAATAGGCAGTGGGAACTAACAGACCATAGACCATGCCCACTCCTCTGTGGCCTATTTCCAGACCAAATGTTGTAATAACTTGGCTATCGACTACGCTGACCAAAACTACTTTGCTTCTTCCGCCCTTGACCAGCCTGGAGTCATGATTTGGGACCGCCGGGCTCTGAACCGGCATACTGTCAGTTCCTCCTACGCTGAAGCTCTTGATCGGGATGGCCTCTGCTGGGGCGGTGCCCTACGCCTCGATCGTGCAGTACACGTTGACCCGAACGACCCGGCTGCGCTCGATGCCAAAAGCTCCATGATTCGGTCTCTGCGCTTCTGTCGTGACCATCCTGGCATGTTGGCCGTGCTCTCGCAGACGGGCCAGCTCCGGGTCTTCTCAGCTCGTCATGAGCATCTTGACCCAGATGCAAGGGTTGCCAGCAGCCCAGAGCTGCTCGAGGTTCGTCGTTCCTATGAAATGGACCCTCTGTATGCCGAGCCGGGCCGTAAGAGTGAGAGGATTGTGTCATTCGACTGGATTACGATGAGCTCCCCTGTGCTCAAGCCACGAGTTCTGGTTCTTCGTGCGAATGGTACCTTTGACGTGCTTGAAAAACCCTCGTTTACGTCAGAGTATCCGTTCAAGCTGGTCCCTTGGCAGCCTCCTTACCGAGGCCTGGATGGTGCGTTTATGATCTTCACCTGCTGCACTGGCAGCTCTAAGTACTAACAATCTCAAAATTCAGGCACTGATTATCAAGAACTAATGGAGTTTGAGCCGTCACAAGAAGAGCGGATATTTGCTCCCTTCCTGACCGAACAGGCTCTGACTGATGTGCCTTTGTTCGGGCCCAACAAGGCCAGCGTCAGAACACTTGTCGAGAAAACACTGGCCGATGGCCTTTCTCAGCACACACTAGCAGTCTCGGGCGGGTCTGACCAGCGTACTTCCGTCTCGAAGGAAGCACCCACGGTCGCAGACAAGCTGAAGGCACTTAGAAAGGCTGCTAAAAACAGCGAGGGCAACTCCGAAGGACTCTTATCGCAGCTCGAACGCCGAGAGAGCTTGCTCAGCTGTACCAGGGATATGACAGGGCTCTCGAGCCAAGACCGCTATGTCCTGGATCATGTCATGCTTCTGCGTGCTCAGGAGGGCTATCGATTTGATCCGATAAAAAATCAGGGAATTGTGGCAGACGATCCGTGGTTGAAAGATGCCTGGGCTTGGGTTGCTGGTGCAGAGGCAGCAGCTTTTGATGACGGGATGGTAGCGTTTCCCTTAGACGTTGGCTACATGGGTGTTCACACAATCTGGAACAACGATTTGGGCAGTCGCCCTGAGATGAGGCTAGCTGAAGATGCCGAACTTCCGGACGAGGCCGGCTGGGAGCGTTGCTTGAACACGATCAATAAGCAATTGAGGATACCCAAATTTGATGGACAAGTCAAGACCAGAAGGCCGCATCATCGGGCAATGTGTCTGGCAATATGTGGTTTTGGTCGCTCGGATACGGAGGATATGGAGTTCTCGTCACCCTCTAAGCGAGAGTCGACATGGTACACCATGGTTGCGGCACAAGCTCTCTTCCGGGGTGACACAAAAGGCGCCGTGCAGGTGCTAAAGAAAGCGAGCACCGAGTATCCGGAGCTGTTGTTTGTGTCACTTGCGCTCCAGCTCATGGGAAAGAATGGTGGTCATGATGGCGAGACAAATGTTGCGCTAGACTTTGACGAAAAGGTGGCGTCTCGGACAGACCCGTATTTGCGTGCCATCTCAGCCATCATCGCAACGGGAGATTGGGCCGTGATTGCTAACCAGCGGTCGCTGCCCCTGCGCGATCGATGCTTCGTCGCTGTCCGAAACCTGGACGACGATGCTCTTACGGCTTGGCTCGATCGCGAGGTATCTTTGGCGATTGAGACAGGCGACATCGAGGGCATCGTGCTCACAGGTATCACGGACCGGCTGGTAGATATTCTTGCCCGTTACGTGCACAAATTTAACGATTTCCAGACGGCAACCCTGCTCTTGTCCATCTGCGCCCCTCGCTTCATCGACGACATCCGCGCTACGGCGTTCCGAAATGCCTACCGCAACTATCTCCAGCGTCACCGTGCTTTCTTCTTGCGCGCTAAGTTCGACGTTGAGTCCACGAAACGCTCCAAGCACCGTGGCGTGCCAACCCTGCGCCCGGCTGCCAGACAGATTGGCCTGCGCTGCGTGTACTGCGATGTAGCAATCAAGCAGGAGCAGCTTGCCAACACCAGCGTTTCCACGCTCCCCTTCCGCGCGAGCACCGGTTCGAGCGGCATCACGGCCACTAATCCTGCTACGCAGAACAGTCCCAACCCTTCGGGCAGCTTGAGCAACCCGGCTACTCCGCGGCTCTTGCCTGGAGGGAGCGCCGCCGCTAGTCGTGCCGGCACACCGTCCTCCCGGAGCGAGTTCCGCTACCACCAGCAGCAACAAGCTGCTGGCTCGGCATACACCGACAAGCTTGTGTCGGCGGGTATAAGTTGTCCGAACTGCAAGCAGCACCTCCCACGGTGCGTCGTGTGCCTGGAGGTGGTTGGGATACCTCGGACGAACAATGCAGATCTATCACAGTCACGAGGAGGTGAGGAGACGAGACGGACAGCGAGATTTCCCACCTTCTGTGTCGCGTGCGGACATGTGCTACACCTGGACCACGCAAGGCAGTGGTTTGCACGCCATCGCGAGTGCCCTGTGCCGGAGTGCCGGTGTTTGTGTAATACGAGGGTTAATGAGGAGTTGGATTACGCATGATTTGAGGTTTTGGCTGACGAGGGTAATAGCTTTCCTAGCAGTATGTCTAGAAGCATACGCTATAGTTATCTTAAACTCAGATATACAAGCTGCATGTGTAAAAGCAAGCAAACCTGAGATACACTCTATTGATACTGTAGTTATCTAGATATGATCAATGTGGATGAGGCCACATGCTCCGTGTAGATCCAGCACGGGTTTCCCAAGGTCATGGGCAGCTCGAAGATACCACGGGAGGGCGAAGCCTACCAAAGTGATGTACAACCACTAGGTACTCCCAACCATGTCCCGAGTGTTTAGGTAGGTACGACAAGCCCTTCGCGCCGATCATGAGGACATATATATAATCCGGATATTTTGAGAGACGTTTTCATAGGTAAGCCAATGTACAGCTGCCCTGTTTCTTCCCTGCTCATGCCGTTCATTTAGATTACTCCTGAAGCAAATGTCAGAATGCAGCAGGCAGCAAGCATAATCAACCCACTTACTGACTTCTTATTCGGGATGATGGTGACGGAGAGAGCCTGTTGCTTTTCTAGCCAGTACCATATTGAATTTAACCTGTACTGTGCACAATACCAATGCTTGCACTGTGGGATATTTTTACACTTGCCAGTACAGCCCCCAATCATTTATGTGTCTGTTTTGACCATTTATGTCGTCAATCCATTTAATGATGTCTTGTGTGATCAGTGAGAACATGCGCTCCGTTGATCAACCTAAACAAACCAAAGGAAACAAAAAAAAAAAAACTCCGAGACAGAGGGGCACGAGTCCGGACTACTGGGAACCAGAGGTCATGCCAAGGAAGCGTCGATGATCCGATGGAAAAGCCAGAGAAAAGACAGATCAGGCCGAGAAGGAGAGCCAAGCCGATCAAGCAGAGGTGACGTTCATCTCAAGCATTTTCCCGCACTGCCAAGGGCGTGGCCGACGCCTTGGCTTTGCTGTGCTACACTACCTAGCCTAACATACACTAGGCATGCACAGCCTGCAGTTGCGATTCTGGGATTGGGAAGTGGGTATCGGATCTAGTGACCTGGGTGTTGGTTTGGATGCTCTGCATGACGATGTTATTCCTAAAGCCAACACACAATATATCGATCCCTAACAACCGGCCTACGGAAACTGTTCGTGTACTCCATAGATACTCTTCATTTTGGTCTGGTTAATCCACAGTGAAGCACAGTTCCGGTCGACGACCCTTTCTACGTAGAACCAGGGAAACTGACTGGCTGGGAGCTCCCACAGCCAGTCCGTCGCTCTGGATGCCGTCTGTTACATTGTCTGGTCTCTGGCCTCATGCCCAGCCGGGAGATCGCTGTAGAGTGGAGGGCACCAAGTGGGGTGGGCGGAGCTGACGGGGTTGATGAGAGGCTTACGCAGGTGGTCTTGCCATGGAGCGACTGCAGAAAATTGATGGAGGTGGGCACACCGTCAGGGTCCAGAACGTGATGGGAAGTCAGACTCGTTCATCAACATTCAAGAAGCACCGAAGACCAACGAGTTAGGAGGGGACGAAGAGAGGATGGGAGACGGGAACAAGGGGGTGGAAGGGCACGTGCGGAGGGCTTGGCCAGCAGTGACCAGAAACACAAGCGAGGGCACCAAGCACAACGAAGACGAACAAGCACCCGATGCAAGAGGCCAAGCGAAAGCATGGGGAGATGGGGGCTGTGCTGACCCGGGCTGACGGGATTCGCTGGAAGCAACGGCGTCGGGGCAGACAGGACGCCAAGCATTTGGCGCGCGGAGGTGATCTCTTGGCTTTTGTGGGAGCTTGGTGTGTCAGTCCGGCAGCTTGCTCGGACCCCGCGACTGCGGTGCGCTCTCTGTCTGCTCCGGCGTGTCCAGAGTTGCTTTGCCAGCGGCCCGTCCCCGAATGGAAATTGAAGCCATTGTCCCTCATCCAGTGCACCGCCATGCAGTCGCAGTGCCCAATGCGCGGCTGGTGTCGGAGAATGAGTGGTAAGTGGAAAGGAACATCGGAAGTAAAAGAGCACAGGGCAGAGGCAGACTAGCAGAGAGCGAGAAAAAAAAGGCGATCGAGCGGGATGGAACGAGGAGGATGAATAGATGGGGGATTGCTTGCCCAAGGCGTGGGACCAAACTACTCCACCCCAGAAGATGGAGACCCAGAAAGGAAGAGAGCACACCAACCAGCGCCCTCTTGGCATCCACCCACGCTTCCCACACTTTCCACAGCAAATGGGCCGAGGATTGCTTGATCTGGCCAAGCACAGGGGGTCCCGCAGGGAACACAAGGAAAGAGAGCAGAGAGAAGCAGGCAGGGAGCACAGCTCTGGGCAACGCGTGTGATCAAGAGGCAAGGGTGGCGGGGGGCAGAGAGGAGCGCCAAGCAGGGTCTGCCAAATACCAAGCCTTGGCTGCGACTTGGCGTAGCTTGGCATGACTTGGCAACCATGTTGCGTTGTTAGCAAAGTGGCACTTTCACGTAAGAAAAAGCAGGCGTGTCCCATCAGACGGTACAAGACGCGGTCCGGGGGCCCAGATGCTGGCCAATGAGCGGTGCTTGGCATCCGAGGCCCCAGACTGCCAAGGCATGCCAAGGCATGGCGCCAAGGCTCCTGCCAATGTACCGCCGTGAGGGCGAGAAGGCGTAATAAAGACAGAATGGCCCGCCTGCTCTCCTGAAGTCTGGTGGTGAGCGCTTCTCCCTTCTGCATCACTTCGCATTGCGTCTTGCTGCAACCCGGTCCTCTGGGGACGCCGTTTTCCCTCAACGAGCGTGTTGCGTGTCGTGCACCATTCTCCGACCTCTGTCCGCCTTTCTTTCGTCTCTTGTTCTGCGTCCTGCACCGACGGCTCCCACTCCAAGGCTTGGCACTGCCATCACAAGCACTCATTCGACTCTGGGCAAGTCTTGGGAAAAGTGGGTCCTAGGGCTTGTCTCGCGTGCCCTGACGTTTGACTTGTCGCTGCGCTGTTTGATCCGACGACCCCCGACCGACGCGCTGACCTCGTGCTGCGAAGGACTACGGAGCTGAGTGTTTGCACGTGACCTTTGAAGGCACGTGCACGTTCCCTTTCTGTTGCCTACCAGTACACCCCACCGGCACTCCCCACACTTGAGCATAAATTACTCCTTTCCACGTGACTGGTGCCGTTCGGAACGGAAAAGTTCAACTCCGAATTTTCCATTGTCGAATAAACACAGCAAATAACCTAACACCTACGCACGAGCCATGTCTGCCACTTCACCCACCCAGCAGCAGGCCCAGCAGGCCTTGGCATCCCCCGCCTTGGCATCCCCGACCCAGGCGGCAGCGGTGGCAGCAACGACGACGCCGACCGCTGCAAATGCTGCAGCCGTGACGTCGCCTCAGCAGGCTCCGCAGCAACAGTCGGATGCTGCTGCTGCTGCTGCGGGCAACACTACGACCAGCGCCAACAATACCAACACTGCTGCCACCAATACTAACAACAACAACAACAACAACAACAACAACGGCAACGGCAACGGCAACGGCAACGGCAATTCTGCCCAGCAAACCACACAAGGCCAAGCGCAGGCCCAGGCGACCGCTCAAGCTCCTGCAACCGGCACGACGTCGGCCCAGAACCAGTCTGCTCCCGCTACAAATGCGGCGTCGGCCGACAGCAACACTCCTGCTCCCACGTCTGCTACCCCGCAGTCGGCCACCAGTACTACGGCTGAGGTGCCCCTCATCTGTAAGTGGAATGAGTGCAATGAGCCGTTCGCCACGGCCGAGGCTCTCTATGTAAGTGACCCATGTGTTAGCAATGTCCTGTTTGCCTGCTTTTAAAGGCGAGCAAAAAAAAAAATAAAAAGAAGGATCTGACGACATCTCCAGGAGCATCTCTGCGAGAAGCATGTCGGTCGCAAGAGCACCAACAACTTGAACTTGACCTGCCAGTGGAACCAATGCCGAACCACGACCGTCAAGCGCGATCACATCACTTCACATATCCGGGTCCACGTTCCTCTGAAGCCTCATAAGTGCGACTTCTGCGGAAAGGCGTTCAAGCGGCCTCAGGATTTGAAGAAGCATGTCAAGACGCACGCCGACGACAGTGTCCTCGTTGGCCCGCGTACGGCCCAGGATCCGCAAGGCTTGAACGCGAACTACCGTGCCACGCCGAGAGGTGAGTCTCCCTGGTTCGGTTTGGTTTGATTTGGCCTGTCTACTCTACGCATTGGCTTGTTGATTTTTCTCCTCCTTGCTCGTCCAGATTTGTGTTCCCAATCTAATCTGCTGCTCTCTCTCTACAGCTCCTCCCTCCATGTACGACCAGCATGGCCATATGCGCGGTGCTAACCAAGGCCACTTCGCCGCTCCGCCGCAGAACGGTCAGCCTAACTACTATCAGCCGCCTGCCCCTCCACACCCTTCGTACCACCCGTCCATGTATGGCTACCAGCAGCCTCCCCCGATGGGCGGCGGCGCGCCGCGTCCGGACTATCTGAGCCATCAGGCCGCCGCCGCTCCCGCTCCCTCGCCCTCGTTTGGCGAGGTTCGTCGCCGCGGTATGGATGACCTCAACGAATTCTTTGGAGCCCTCAAGCGCCGCCAGATCGATCCCACTTCCTACCAGCAGATCGGCCGCTCCCTGATGCCCCTCCACGCCAGCCTTGGTTTTAGTGCCGGCGGTGGTCTGGCCGCTGAGTACATGCCGCAGCCCCCTCATACCCTTGGCGTGGCTGGCTCGCACGGCCCGCTGACCCAGCACTACTATCTACCGCCCATGCCCAACCTCCGCACCAAGGAAGACTTACAACAAATTGACCATATCCTCGAACAGATGCAGGCTACGGTTTATGAAACCGCGGGCTCACCTGCCGCGCAATACCCCCCCGTCGATTTACGTCACTCGCCGACCGCCTATGCGCCCCGCGGCCCCGCCCCTGCCGCCGCTGCTGCTGCCAACCCTGCAGACCAGTATGCCGTCTCGGCTGCTCAAGTTGTTTCCCCCCTTACTGCCCCCGCAAGCTCGACTGGCGGCACCCCGGCCGTCACTCCTCCCTCAAGCACCATATCGTATGCCTCGGCTCACTCACCTACCGCGTCTTCTTCGGGCATGTCTCCCTCTTCGCGCCATAACTCGACCTCAGCCCCCGTCTCGTACCCAAGCCTGCCCAGCCGCCCGGGCCTGCCTTACCCGACCGCCACCGCTCTCGGTTCCAACTTTGCTCATAACGAGCGCCGCCTGTCGGGTGGCATGTTACAGAGCGCCAGCAGCATCGCTCGTCGCGACTCGGACCGTACCCCGACCCCTAAGGGCGTTGCTGCCGCGGCTGATGGTACCGCTGTCAGCTCGCCCTCGGATGCCTCTGAGCACGGCACTGAAACTGACTCGTACGAGGGCACTCAGCTCTATCGTCTCATTGAAGCTCTGCGCATCTCCATCCGCCAGCGTCTCCAACGTGGCGAGTACGAGGTCGACTCGGATTCCAACCAAATGCAGATTGACCCGGCTCTTCATGGCAACCAGGCTGACAATGTTGGAAATGCCGATGACAGTACCAACATTAATGGCAACGGCTCTGCCCGCGAGGATCGCGTTTCGTATCCGTCGCTGCCCTCTGCTTAGGATGCTTGGGGTGAAGACGAATCCAATACTGGAGCTTACCCCTCCTATCCGACGTACCCGTACTGAGGGGAGGATGTTTTCTTTGACACGGCATCTTATCGGCTTACCCCCCATTCAGTGTCGAGGGCAGCCCGCTTGGTCTTTGCTATCTTTCCGTTTTCTCTTCCTTTCTTTTCTTCTCTTATCTTTCCTCCTTTACTTTCGGCAAAATGATACCTCTTTTTCATCTTTCCTTGTTTCGTGATTTGCCTGCCTTTTGCACAAAGAGCAGGCCGAGACATGGGTGAAGAAAAAAATCAACACTGGTCATGTTCCTTACCAATGGTTGGCAACGGACGGCGTGTCTAGACGGATGGTTATTTGCGACGGTGGGAAGGGCGCATCGTATTCGGCTGGCAAGGTCAATAAGGTTCCCTCTATTCAACTTATCAGTTTTGCTTTTTTTTTCTCATGGAAAGTAGGCTTGAACACCTGTTTCAGCGACAGTCTTTTCCAGTTGGGAGGTGAGCGTGATGAGGAGTTTTTTATGAACAGATGGGGCGAAGTTAGGTATGAAGTTTTTTGTGGGTGTGTTGGTCTATGTATCTTGATGGTTTGATTTACTTTTATTTTTTTCCCTCTCCTCTCTTACGGCAAACCTAACGCACGTCGACAATAACGACCTAATTTCGGTAACTGGATTTCACCACACTGTCAAGTCTCTGTGCGTTTCTCTTTTGCTGAGGTGCTTTGGCCGTGATGTAGTGGACATCAGCTTTGGGAGGGCCCTGCTGTAGGAATAAAAGTTGCTTTCCAAAGCTTTGGTGTTCCCAGTGCCCTTGGAGACGTCTCTGAAGCCATGATTTTCCCTCCGAGTTATGAGCAACTGTGTGATACAGCATGGAGCAAAATTTAGCCGTGTCTCGGATGGATCAATGTTACGCGTTTGAGATCCCGTCTACGCTTGATCTCCAGCCACCAGGTAGGCGGACGGTTTCATGCCTGGAGTACTTGGCGTTTACATTACTTTTTTTTATAACTCTGCTAATTATCTCCCAGACAGCAAATCTTTGGCTATTCTCGTCCTCTTGATAGGGCCAATGTAAACGACTTAAATATCAATGTGTCATTAATCCTAAACCCATAAAACCGCCCATAACGCCAACACGACTAGGATATATACAGAGAACCCCAACTCCTCCACTAGCTCAATTCTACAATACCGGCTTCCATACTTCTGATCAAGTTCCATCCCTCCAACTTCAACAGGAAAGTGTACATATACACCTGGTCGCTCTCCATCCCAGTTAAAAGACCTTACGCTTTTTTTATTTTTTTTATTTTTTTATTCCCGTTCCTTACAACACTCTCCATATTGCCCCAGCTTTCCTTGCTCCCCCCTCCCCTTCGTCCTCTCTCCTATTTACTTCCCTCACCCAGGCCATCTCCTCCTCGGCCGCGTCACGCACCATTGCCTCCATCAAGTCCAGCTCGTCGAGCATGCCGTTTACAAGGGCACGACACCCAGCAAGGATGCGTACTAGACTCGAGGGGGGCTGCTCTGATTCCTTGCCGGCTTTGTCAGAGGGATGTTCTGGATCAGGCGGCGGCGGCGGTACATTACCCAACGAGATCAGCTTCCGACGATAGTCCTCCAGCCGCCGGGAAAGGGTCGAGTGTTCAGCATGCCAAGCTGGCAAGAGCTCAGGCAAAAGTAGGGTATCAGCATCGAGAAGCTCCGCATCGACTTCCTCAAACCGAGCAACAAACTCTGCTTGACTCTGCCTCACCTCCTCCACGCCGCCAACCCATTTTTCGAACCCCCTCACAACCCTCTCATACCTCTCCCCAAGACCCCAGACCCCGCAGAGCACCTCATCCAGCATCGCAACCTTCTCCTCTAACCCGCGTGCTCCGCTCCCAGGGGTATACCCCCATCTCAGCAGATCGTCTAGGCCGCGCTCAAACTCGACCTGCGCCTCCAAGTCCCGGACTTCTTTCTCTTGCGCCCTTACGTGCTCCCATTTAACCCGCAACTTCTCCCTCGCGCTTTCTTCCCACTGCTTACGCGTCGGTGCCGCGGCGCGATGCAGTACGTGCAGCTGTAGCAGCTCGGCCTGCAGGCGGGATACCTCGGCGGAAAGGGCCACGTTGGCGGGGAGCTTGGATGGCGTGGGCGGTGCGAGAATGCTGGCCAGGGAGGGCTTAGATGTTAGCGTGGGCTGTTGGTCTGTTGCTGGTTTCGCGGGAGATGCTGCTACGGGCGGGCCGGTCAGTGAGGCTCGCCTGGTCCGGGTGGCGCTTGTAGCAGTAGTGCCGGATTTGGGCGCTGGTGCTGTGCTAGCAGTCACAGTAGCGTCTGAAGACGAGAGTCCTGCAGCCGTGACACGGCGGAGCAAGGTGTTCATTGTCGTCTTGGAGCGATCGGTCCCTGCCCCTGGAGGGGGCGGGGGGAGTTTCACTCTCGTTGATGGCCCTGCGATGACAATAGTTCGTGCTTTCTTTGGACCAGCCCCGCTCGTACTGCTGCTGCCTTTTCCCGTCTCTTTTGCTGCTAATGCTGACCCAGAAGAGCTAGACCCATTGGTCTTTGCCCCCGTCCCAGATCCCGTTCCAGATTTTGATCCGGCATTGGTTGAGACTGATGATCTCGATGTTGCATTTGAAGACTGTGAGGATGGGCGGCCAGTCGCCGCCGTCGTGGCCGTCCCCGTAATCGTCCCCGTGGCAGTCGAAGTGACGCTCGAAAGTGCCGCAATGGATGACTTGGCTCGGATATGTCTGCTGGCTGTCGAAGTGGTGCCTGTGCTATTGCCGATGCTGCTGGACACACGCTGTCGCGAGGACGACACTCCTGCCGAAGTAACCGGCCTTGAAACCACTGATGTAAAGGCATCTTTGCCATTAGTAGAGGTCAAGACGGATCCTGAGGTAGCCGGTCTGTTAGAACTCGGCGTGGTAGCGGAGAAGCGCATCGAGGGCACACGGCTGAGGGTCGTCCGAGTGCCGGCCCCGGTATCTACTCCCGACTCAGCCCGGTCCTTTTTGGTGGACGTCGGGCTCGTGGAAGTCGTGCGTCCATACACTTCTGACCGCGGACGCTCTGAAGGTCTTCTCGCAGCAGCCGCGGCAGAGACCGGCGTGCCTGTTCTTGCAGGAGCAGTTGTCGTCGTAGCGGTGACTGTAACCGCTCGTCGGAGTCCAACTTTCGGCGCACTAGAGGTTATCCCATGCGTCGTCGTCGCTGTGGTCGTTGTCGTCGCCATAGACCCTGATGACAATGACGAAACGGTGGTCGAGCGCTCCCTGTTGCCATTAACAGCTGGTTTGCCTGGGGAAGGAGATTCACCGCTGCCAGAAGAGTCGCTCTTGAAATTGGCGGACGAGGGCTTGCGCAGCGATCGTGCGCGGGCGAGGGTCGCGCTAATGCTGCTGGACGACATATCGGCTTGCTTCTTGTCTCTCAATTGCGGTCGCGTGACGACATAGATGCGATCTTCGGATATGTTGAGCGATGCCGAGTTTGTTGCGAGGACGTCGGAAGGGAGGTGAAGTTGAGGCGAGGGGAGGTGAGGCTTGGTCGATGCGGTGGGAAGCGAAGTTGACGGGACAAGTCGCAAGTCTTCGTCCAACTGGTATTGCTGCTTCCCACCACTGACAGCACACCTGCTGCGGGCCTGCGTCCCTAGTGTACTGGAATAGCCGCGCCACGGCAGCAACAAGCAAACCCGAACCCCAGCCGCTTATAACGGCTCACAGGGGCCTGATGCTGCAACCTTAGCGGTTGCTAGCGGCTTGGCTAGTGGGCCACGTTGCCGAGTGGCAGCGCGCTGGCCCACTGAAGTCGCTGGGCTTGCAGCCGAGCCCAGGCTCTCGGCACTCAGCTGGGCAAACGGCGGGGTGTGGGGGATGGGGCAGCCTGGAGTTTCCTGAGGCTGCTTGGCAGCGTTGCATTGGCAGAAGCAAGTCGGCTTGCTGTCGATTGCAGCTAATCTTCTTCCCCGAGAGACAAGTTTCGGCCATCTCACATCTCACCATTTACGTATTTATATCACACACATCACAACCTGGAATGCAAGATCATCACACGACAACCGAGACATGACTCAGCTACATCCATTACCTAAGATATATCCGTGTTTTTTGGAAGCCAAAGCCAACCCGAGGCCACTCATTACCTGGGTATCATGCAGATGCCATGCTATCTCCATCCCCTCTATAAGCTGCCAACCAGTTCCTAATCCATATCTTCCATAGCTGTGTCCATACCCATTAGGTCCCTCCATTGCTTGTTCCCCTTCCCTGTCATAACTCATTCCGAGACAGATCTCATTAGGTATGTTCCTTTGGTCAAGCACTAGGTAGCTAATGAAACCAGGTCCAAGGTTTCCGCCCTCCCCCTCCCCCTTCCCTCTGCTCGAGGACTTTCTAATGAAACGAAAAAGAAGCTCATGTCGCAAATGTGCCAGTCAAAGCTCAATCCTTCAAAGAGCAACTACTGCCCTCATTCTACTTTCTTCCAGAAAGCACAGTGGCAGTGGCCGACTCTCTCTCGTCCAAGATAGCAGAAGTTACGGACTCCGGCTCAACGTCCCTCTGCTGATCACCAAACTGTGGCGCTTGCCCGCCGACGGCGTTCTCCGGCTCGCTGATCGGCTGTTCCAAGCTGCGTGCCTTTTCTCCTCTCTCGGCATTCTTCTCTTCAAGATATTGCAGCACAGCCCCAAGGTCGCCCTTGAACCGCTTCAGCAGCCCGCTGCAACCGGAGCAGACATTGAGATAGCACGACGAGCATATATAGGACTCAGCATTGCGATCTTTATGCCTACAGGTTCGGCACGCCCGTGGATTCGTTTTCTGCTTATTCGCCGTCATGTACCGATGCTGTGTCAGACAGTCGAAATGCTTGTCCTGAAGCGGCAACGGGTCAGGAATGTCATCAGCTGGTCGAGGCGCGTACCAGTTGCGCGGGAAGAGCGCAGCGCCGGGATTGTCCGTCGTGTCCGGTGCGTTCGGATCCGGCTCGCGCAAGGGGAGCTCTTCAATAGACGGGAAATAACTCATGCCCTGGCGAGGGGGTGGTGAACGCAAAGTCTTGACTGAGCCTGTTTCGGAGACTGGCTTCGAATTTCGCGGGCTAGGAGTCCAGCGATCCCGGTACGGCTGTGCGATTTGGGGGTCGGGCAGAGGAGGAACGGGTTCTCGAGGAGCATGTTGGACTGACATGAAGAGCTCGTCATTCCCACGAGAAGAGCTGCTTGTATGTGGCCGGGGCTGTGTTTCGGCTCCATATTGTTCTTGCGGCGGGTACTGAGACATTCCCAGCGGCGACTGCGCATTGAAGGCCGGGTTGCTAGTCCGGGACGCCAACGAAGGCGAACTGCGCGCATGATGTATCATGTGAGACTCTTGACCTGCCAAGTTTGAACGCACTTTTGCGTCTTCAGGAACATAAGGAGATGGCGCTGGAGAAATTGGAGAGACCCCATTGTGTGGCAAGGGGTTCCTGAGGTCGCCCGAGCTATACTCTGGAGTAGGCAGGCGGGAAGCTGATGGAGGAGGAACAGCGGGCGCGGAGACTACTGGCGCTGTGTTCGGCATTGGCTGCGTTTCGGGGGCAATCACCGGTCGTTCCTCTCTGCTGCCGGGCCTACGCCCGCTTCCCAGCTTTTCCTTGAGTTGAGAAACCTCTTGACCCATGCTATCGTCCCCATGCGACACGAAAGGCCAGTTGGTAGGTTGTGGGCGAACGTGGCGCCCAGGAAGGCCAGGAATAGGGCCCCAAGCATGCGGGGCTCGGTTTGGAGCTGATGCAATTGGTTCGGATAACTTCGGTTCAGATGATCGAGATTCAGATGAATCAGGGCGAACAGACTGCGACGAATCCTGTGTCGATGCGGCGGTCGAGCCGTGGCTCTCGACAAGGTTCAGATTTGAGACAGTGAAGCTTTTGTCGGCTTTGATGGAGCGGCGCCTCCAAAGCTGTTCCTGCTGCTGTGGCGACGCCCGCTTTCTCGGCGTAGGTGATTCAACGGCCTGGGCTGGTGTGCTGGTGGGTGTCTGGGGCCGCGAGCCGGTACGATTGGCATTTTTCAGCGGCGGAGGCGGTGGAGAGAAAGCTTGGTCGACGGCCGGTTCGCTGCGGGCCTGGGTATGGTAATAGTAAGTTGAGGACAGCAACGAGGACGACGAAGGAACAGCCCACGATGGTTGGGAGCGTGCGTCCAGGCTTGTGCTACTGCTTTGTGTGTCGAGTCCGGGAGACACAAGCGAATAGGCGCTCTCCGAGCCCGTCGTTGAGGGACGCTGGCCGGAGTCAGTGGACTGGTTATGATCTGAGTACGCCGACAACAGGCTCGAGATCGATCCTACCGGCGAGGGCGCCGCGTTTCTAGGGGGAGCCAATGCCGGGCTGACACTCGAGGCCTGAGTTGGCATAGAAGGGAGTGGCGCAGGGACTGTGGCAGTCGCTGGTACTGGTGCCGATGCTGGTGCGGGTGCTGGTACGGGCCTAGGTACGGATACAGGAGCCGGCGCCGGTGCCTGACCGGTTGCTGGCGGCTCTGCTGAACCACCAACAGGCCGGCGACGCGGGAATTGCAGCCACTTCATGGCTTCTAACGGCAATGGTGAAGATTTCGGCGGCAGGGGCGGTGCGGGCAGAGAATCCCGGTCTTGGGGGTTGGCGGACACGGCCCTACCACCAGCAGCTTCCCCCACTTTCTCTGATGAGCTTGCTGTTCCGCTGGCTGTATCGCTTCTGCTCGCGTTCTTCTTGGACGATGGAGGATTCACAGAAGAAAATGATGCAGATGAAGGAGAAGGTGAAGCGGGCAACCCAGCAGCAACAGGAACCCGAGGGACCCGGGCCAGAAGCGGGGACGGGGTAGGCAGCCCCGATGTCTCTTGCGTGTGACTGGCCAGCTGCTTCTCGGGCACTTGAGGAAGCGGAGACAGAGGAGACGATAGATCCAGATCAAGGCCCGGCTGCGATTCGAACTCAAAGCTGGGGAGGGAAGGAGGCGCCGGCAAAGCTTTTGAGAAGCGGGAACGGCCGGCTGATTGGGGGGTGCTGGAGCCATTGGGGCCTTTGTGGCCCATTGTGCGCAAGGTGGTAGCTATACCCATCATGTCCACTTTTATGTATCTACCTAGGTAGGTAAGGTAGGTATGTTGTGTGATGCTTTGTGCGTCGTGTGTGTCGAGTGTGTTGAGTGTCGTGTGCTGGACTCACCCGGCGACGTCCAATGCTGCCTATCTACGGGCAGCGTCTCACACGGATGAATAATAATTGGAAAATTGTGAGCGACGATCCTTTTGATGTTCCTTCTCGCACACGCCGTGAGAAGCCCACATCTGGAGTCGCACAGCGCACTGCAGGTCTGCCAACAACGATATCCCGACTTATATACCGTCGGCCCAGGATGTGGGTGGGATTGTGAGTGCAAGTGTAGTGTGATGCCGCCAGGGACACAAGATATCAGCCGGGACCGTAATTAACAGAGAGGCTGAATTCTGATATGGCTGATATCAGGAGCCTTGGTAGAATATACCTGGAAGTGCTATGTATATATACAAGAGTCTGCACAATAGGAAGACACGAGGACAGCACAAGATCTTTAAAAAAATTAAAAAAAAAAAAAACAACCCCCGAGCCACAGCAGGCCGGTCTCCTCTGAGTGGAAAATCTCTGATGATGCCGCATGGCGCAGGCAGTCCCCAACCCAGCACTAACCATGTAACTAACCATGATGGTTTGGCTCTCCATCCATGTGCTGCTCACCCATGGCCGGCTGAAACGGCGACTAGCGACCAGCAGGGCTAAGACCGTGCTGGACCACACAAAGCCACACAACGCCGTGCCTTTAATGACAGGGAGCCAACCCAAGCAATCACCACTGTTGGAACCGCTGGGCCAGTGGACCGTCGACGCGACAAATCACTGGCCCATTTTTCTCACTCATCTCGTCGATCTGCCAGGGGCAGCTGTCTGGCGATTCATGCCGCGGGTTTGCGGAACTTTAGATGATGACAGATCCTTTCCCCCTTCTTCCCCCATTTTTTTTTTCATCGCAAGTCGCTTTGTCCACAGATCGTGTTCCGCACCCCTCCCTTATCATTGCTGGCCTGTGCCTCTGTGCATGTGAAGATATCCTATCTACGTATGTCCTATAGGTAACTGCGAACCCGCTGAATAAAGAATATGCATCAAGACCGATCAAGACCGATCAAGATGCTGATGAAGAATGAATGATGGATGGGTGGTGTGGAATCACCGGATGGATGCCCAGAAAAATGATGACTGATGTGATAGCCCCGATGGCACTGATGTCAGCCATGTCCCCAATCAAATTAATCCATGGATGGGAGGGGCTGTCGTCACTCCTCAGACCTTGTCTGGTTGTGGAGCTCTCCTGCTCAAAGTGAACCCTGGCGCCACCATCCCACCATCCCGCATTGCAGTAGTCATGGCTGCTAACCCAGCGCCGGCTGCTGTTTGTTGCCCACCATAATTTCCAGCAGTTTGAAAGTGCACATGCTTGGACCTGAATGAATCTATGTCTGAATGAACAAATGCTTCCAGAAACAATTTTGCAATTCTACATCACATCTCGCTTTCTGGGTTGGATTCAAGGCAAATGTCGCATCATGTTGCAGCCCGCATGGATCCCCATATTCCATTCATCATATCATCATTCTTTCACCAACAATGTTTTTTCACCTTTGACAGCGCCTCTTGCACCAAAGACGTGAATAGCCATTCAGGATTCCCCTGGTAGGTTGAGGGGTTTGTCACTGTCTTATCGATAAGATAGTCCCACATCTTGGGCTCCCCCTCGGGTTAACGTCCAGGAGACAAGCCTTGAGTCCAATCCAGTTTGAATCTGATGTCTCTAAAGTCTTCAACGACAGCAGCTCAACCACATGTCTTAAACTGAATCTGGGTACCACATTTCAGGCACACGATTAGAGGTGTAGCTTGAATACTCCTGCAGCCGCTCCTTCTGGTGCTGTTCCTGGGCCAGATGTAACCCACTGCGTTCCGTCCCTGCATCAAGCCGCAACGGCTTCGTATCAGTCTCGCTTCGTGCTCAAACCAACCTATTCAATTGAGAATTAAATTGCCAAGGTGATGAACCACGGCATGTGGTGAATGAGATGGACAAATGCTACACCGGCAGCCGACTCTGCTGTAGTCTTTACCCTGGCGGGGTGAGCTGCTCTTGTGCTTTGAAAAATCGTGACCAACTCCTCAGCTCGCTCCTTAGTTCGTGTCCTATGACCTCACACAGTCTGGGAATGTTGTGTTAAAGATCCATATACATACATCACTAAACGGAAAAATGTAAACAATGTCTGAGAGGAATGAGAATGGCATGTGAACCAGATTACAGTTACCCCATACTGGCATCATCATCCCAACCTTTTTGCCAGTGCCCTATGGCTCTAGGCACAGTGGTTCCTCTGTGCAACAGCTCCTCAAGTGTCTGACCCACCTGGCTTCTTCTGTGCTCTTCTTCCAAGCGCACACGTCCATGATAATGTCCTGTCCTTGATGAAGAGGAAGCGCGCTTTGGCCTAGAAGCCGAATGTAGCCTATAAGCTGGAGCAATTGACTTATGAACCATGCTCTTCTCAAATATAGCCCTCGAGAAATAATAATGGCCGGCATTGCTGACTTGACAGCAGCTCTTGCTTCTGCTGACAGAAACAGAGTAACACGTGTCGAAGCCATGCGACGAAGCCCGACGACTATCTCATTGTCAACTCTTGGTGCCCTTAGCGCCCTATGGGGCATCTTGTACTTCATGACCTGCTCCGGACGAAACTCTCGGGGGGTTCTGGCAGATGCTTCCTCGGGCATGCTACAGACCCGTCAATCCGACTCAGAGTCCCTCAACTCGACAGGTCTTGCACAGGCGGCTATCAACGGTCTAAATGCACGCTTCTACGAGTCTTCCAATGCGCGCTGGTCGTCTGACGAGCCGTGGTGGATCAGCGGTGTTGCGTTGACCATGGTGATCGAGTACATGCGTAGATCCGGGTCTAAAGAGTACCTAGATCAGGTCGAGGACGTCATCGAGGTGCAGCGCCAGCCGCTGAGCTGGTGGCCCTCCGGCGAGGGCGAGTTCCGCGCCGACGCGACTGATGACACAGGCTGGTGGGCGTTGGCCATGGTGCGCATGTACGATCTGACTGGCAACGAGGACTATCTCAACATCTCAATCAAGGATGAGGCCTATATGCGGCAGTGGTGGACGGATACAGAGTGCGGTGGTGGGCTGTATGTCGACATCCAGGATCTGACATACAAGAACGCGATTGCAAACGAGCTTTATCTCAAGCTGGTCGCGTCCCTGGCCAACAGGGCGCCCAATGCCACCATCTACCTCGATCGGGCACAGCAGGCTTGGACCTGGTTCTTGGGCTCAGGCATGATCAACGGCGTGAATCTCATCAACGACGGTCTTGCTCGCGATTCCAATACAGGCAGTTGTTACAACAACCGTCTACCCGTCTGGACATACAACCAAGGTGTCATTTTGGGCGCTCTTGTCGGTAGGTTTCTCTCCTCTTCTACCCCTATTCCTCACATATGAGTCCACCACTCACCGGGAAACCCTTTGCACAGAGCTCTACCACGCAACCAAGGACGAGTCGTATCTCCTTTCAGCGCAGGCTATCGCCGATGCGGTGCTTTCTCCCTCCAACGGGTTAACCTCCTCCTCGGGTGTGCTCACCGAGACCTGTGAGGGATCCGACAGCTGCAACCAAGACCAACAGGTCTTCAAAGGTGTCTTCGCCCTCAACCTCGCCGAGCTGGGCGACGCGGTGGCTGGTGCGTCTTCTGATCCAGATGCCGGGCAAGACTATCGTGAGTATCTGGACACCAACATGCAGAGCATGTATGCGAACGATCGGTCTGAGATTGTGCCGACGCTTTTTGATTCAAGCACAGGGGATTTGTATGATGTAAGTTGGTCGGGGCCATTCCGCAATGCTACTATGCCAAAGCAGGCGAGTGCTATTGGCTTGTATGTGGCGAATATTTGAAGAACGGGAAGGGGTGAGTGAAAAGCTAGAAATGGAGAAAAATCTTTGGTTAGAATATGAAGCTCCATCTTGCCCCGCTTGTGTTTTGCATTGAGATGTTTGCCAGAATGATTAGAAGCTGGAGAGAAGTTTGTCGGGAAATATCTACAGTATGTTTGATGGAGGGGAGGGGTGGGGGGAAGGGCAGGGGGAATACAATAATATCAATCACCATAATCATCAAGACAGATGACATGGGTTGACTTGCTTATAAAAAGTGTCTTGGAATAATGGTAGAACGAAGAAAAAAAAAACTCTCCTTAGGTAGATTGAATATCTAAGGGAAGAGGGCTGCTCCACCCTTGGACGAGCTAGCTCCATTGTCGTCAGTCATGTGCCTCATCCACCTCTACCTTTCCATATGGCAAACCAAGCATAGAAAACAACGCCCAAGCAAAACTGGGCAATGGATATCAAAGGGCAACAAAAGCTGGCCCGAGAAAAAGTACTGACGAACCTCCCATAGCATCCGCCTTTTGCACCGTTTCTCCATCTTCCTTCGTTCTCCAACTCCACCATGGTAAAGGAAACGCCCCTCTAAACCCATAACCATTCCTCCAGCTCATAACGCCCCTTATTTTTGTATCAACTTCCATGCAAACAGCCTACAGGCTGAATGGCCTGCGGGGATAGCTGACGCCCTCAACCGCAGCGTTGTCCACAAACCAGCTGCACCTCTCCCCTGTACCTTCATTAACCAGCGCACAAGGCAGCCCGTTGCCCTGCTCAAAGATCTCTTTCATAATTTCCTTCTTCCCGCCACCCGTAGCCACAAACGCGATCCTCACAGCATGCTTCACAACAGGCAGGGTGAGAGTAACGCGACGCGGCGGCGGCTTAGGCGAATCCTCAATGGGGGCAACCCAGGCGTCTGACTCACGCAGCAGTGGGTGACCAGGGAATAACGAGCAGGTATGACCATCAGGACCGCAGCCGAGCAGCAAAAGGTCGAAGATAGGCAGCTTGACCGAGTCACGGCTGGCAAAACTCTGAACAAGCGCCTGTTCATAGCGGTCGGCCAGCTCCTGGGTGTCTTCAAGAGCTTCAGGATCGATGGTATGCACTTTGAACGGAGCAACGCCCTCGGGAAGCTTGTCAAGGAGCTCGGCCTTGAGCAAACCATAGTTAGAGTCGGGATGATCGAGGGGCACCGCACGCTCGTCGGCGAAGAAAATCTCCCACTTGTCCCACTTGATCACATCCGTTTCAGAGGAAGGAGGAGCCAGAAGGGCCTGAGCTAGTGTCTTGGGAAGGGAGCCACCCGAGACGGCGACCTTGAAGACGCCATGGCGCTGCAGACCAGCATCCTGGCACGAAATGACATAAGCACGGAGAGCGGCCGCAAGGGCGTCGATGGTAGGGAAGGCGTAGAGGTTGGCCTGTTTTGTCATTTCGGGGAATGGCGGTATTCGCGACTGGACTGCTGAACGTATCCGTCAACGAAGCAATTTGTAGTCCCAGCGTCAGTTCAAGTCCAAATGAGAAGCGAGCCGAGCCGGTCGTTATATCGGTGAGGTTGGAAGAGAAAGGTCCTTAGGTCGTCTTGCGCGCTGGCGGCGATCGCCGTGACAGAATTGATAGGAGTCCGTAGACCGTGGTACGTAAATTGTATGCAGGCTGCGGTGGGGTTAGAATATGGCCTGTGATGAAGCTTGGGCTCGATAGTGGGAGCAAAAGCACGCATACCAGGGTAAGTTTCCTCGAGAGAAGTGCTGCAGGCTTGAGATGACACTGGGCAGCAATGGTCACAAGGCAGAAATTCGGGTCGAGGCGGTGCGGGTCTTGGCCAGTAATTCTGAAGCGGGATTTTGCACTTCAGTTGCCTCGTTTCTCCTTGTTTTGTGGAGGGGGGTTGAAGCTCGCCGGAGAGGAGTTGCCTTGGGATGGGATTTATTGGAGGATTGAGAGATATGGAGGGGCAGTCGCTGCGGAAAGCTGTCTCGGCGTGTGCTACCCCGCTATCGATAACGGGCCCAGCCCCTCTCTTCAGGCACGTACAATACTACTATCTAAGCAGTGATGCAGAGGGGGGGTTTAAGGCAATGGCCATCATGAAGTTGCTATGAAAGTCCGGGGACTTGAAATCGTGTTTTTAAATTTCATTAACACGTCCTCATGTGGTCAAGATAGCTGTGATCGTGGAGAGGGATGGCTTCTGGTGCTTGCTTACCCCTCCAACTTTTCAGTGGGCCTGTAAGATTGTCGCTGGCGTCAAACAGTCCGTACATACGATGGTAATTTACCGACATAGCGCTTGACATTCTGCCGCTGATCAGGAACCACTCTGGAACCTCCCCGCAATCAGATCAACTACCTAGGTAATCGTGATGCTCTTTGTCTCTCCACGGCCCGACAGCGCTTAGACACTATTTGACATTAATGGTTTGCATGCATGATAGGGTTATTAGTTTCCTGCCTCTTGATGTAAAGTCAGGCAAAAAGTTATAGGTGTCCAACTTTGAACAAGGCGTTAGGTTGGGCAACGGGAAGCTCGTGTCCCATCTTCCCAACAGCATGATTCAAAAATGGAAAATGCATCCTTGTTTATTACCTAGGTTGATACCCTAGAGCATTCGAGAAAGCATGCTGTATCCGACTAGGTATCAATTCGCCTATCCAATGCGCCCAGGCACAAATGGTGGGGACAGGCGCAGTGGAAGCTCCGGCCCAGGTGGACCTGGGCGCACCACGCTACCCAGGCAGAGGTCCCATCTTGTCCACGGATCTTGGTTGGTGATGGTGAGCCCGTGTCACACCTTTTCAAGGTTCTCGTCCAGAGTATTTTCAAGATATGTAACCTACCAAGAGACAGTAATCTATATTGTCGATGGTGGTGGCCTGGTGTCTTCTAAGTAAGGTAAGTAGGAGCAGTTTATTCAGGGGCCACATTACGTCATTGGGCTTTGTACCTTTGGGACAGCATCCCCAGGCTTGGCTTGGTGTAGAATCCACAGGTTCTTGCAAACTTTTGGACAATATATCACTGCTGGCTTTTGCAGTAACAACAGCAAATTGTGGTGTCTCGAATCCTGACATTGCGTAGTGATTTCAGGATAGCAGACAGCAGACATACCACAAACGGGACACCCAGCTTCCTGGGTTTAGCTTGTCGAATCCCTCACACAGGTTATCGCTGATGGGGTCCTGGAACACGCGGCGTAAGATCTTTGATGAGCCAATCAAGCCCCGGCCTTCTCCTTGAAACCTGCAGAGGTACCCCTTGCCGATAGCGAAGTCGGCGATTTTCCGGCGCCGATGACTCCCGCCGATTTTGAGCGGCACGACCGCTGTGTCTCTGGACTTTACCAAGGTGATTACCAATTGGAGTTTTCCAGCTATAGCTACATTGATTCATTTCAACAAAAGGAAAGACAAAACCAGCTTACCAAGATGTCGGAACCAAAGTACCTCACAGGCGACATTGCGGCCATCAATGAGTTTATCGATCGATTTGATGTATGTCTTGAACACATCGATCTCAATTCTCTCTAACGCAAGTGCTCACCACACTCTAGGTATTCCTGCTGGACTGTGATGGTAGAGCTTCAAACATCCACAATCAATCCACATGCGGCAAGTATTGACGAGACTGCCCCAGGTGTGATATGGTCCGGCGATCATGTCTTTGAAGGCGTCCCCCAGACCCTTGAGTTTTTGCGCTCAAAAGGTTGGCTGATGTGTCCTTTCTGAATGTGGTGATCAGTCTTTCTGAGCGCTTTATCAGGCAAGAAGATTGTTTTCGTTACCAATAACTCGACCAAGTCTCGGGACCAGTACCTTCAGAAGTTTACCAAGCTGGGCATTCCCTCCAATACGGAAGAGATTTTTGGCTCAGCCTACTCCTCTGCGATTTACATCTCTCGCATACTGAAGCTTCAGCCACCAAAAAACAAGGTTTTTGTGATTGGAGAAGCAGGTATCGAAAACGAGCTGCGCAGCGAGGGCATCCCCTTCATTGGCGGCACCGACCCAGCTTTTCGGAGGGACTTTACGCCTGAGGATTGGCAGGGCATCGCTGACGGCTCTCACTTGGACCCGGACGTCGCAGCTGTTCTTGTAGGGCTCGATTTCCACATCAACTACCTTAAGCTGGCACACGCTCACCAATATTTGCGGCGTGGGGCTCTATTCCTTGCCACCAACGTCGATTCTACTTTCCCCATGAATCACAACTTCTTCCCAGGTGCCGGCTCAATGAGTGCCCCGCTTGCCTTCATGATCGGGCAGCAGCCTCTTGCGCTAGGTAAGCCCAGTCAGGCGATGCTGGATGCTGTGGAGGGCAAGTTTCAGCTTGATCGGGCGCGCACCTGCATGGTGGGCGACCGGCTGAATACAGACATCAAGTTCGGCATTGAGGGGCGTTTGGGTGGCACGCTTGCTGTATTGACGGGTGTCAACAAGAAGGAGGACTGGGAGAAGGCAGATGCGGTCGCTGTCCCAGCTTATTATGCAGATAAGTTGAGCGACTTGCTGGCGGCAAAGCAGTAGCGTGGCGGTTTAAGATAAAGGGAGGGGGAGGTGCGTGGATGATACTCCGAACTCTTCATGGCTCTCTGAGATAGGCCTTACGGCCACGATACCACGTTATGTTGTCAGAGCATAAACCGGGCAGGCTAGAGAAGGCAACCTGGCAGGATAAGAACTATTAATGCTGAATATCATGTCTCATACTTATCAATAGCTGATTGGCGCGTCATGAGCACGGCTGACAGTTTGGAAGTGAGGGGGAGGTCAACGTCCGATGATGCCGGTATGGAGGTTATCCAAGAACCCCCATACTCAACCCTTGAAATTTCAAACGTTACCGTAAATATCAAATTTTTCGTTGCGTATCTGGGAGTGAAAACGATCGCTCACAACGCCAGATGTTCCCTTGGTTTGGAAGAGGTATGCCCGAACCTCAGGCAACAACCTCTAAGCCCTAAGAGAACTCTCTTTCCTAACTCATCGCGAATATTACCTTTGGCGTATAGGCAAGTATTGCTCCAAAAAAAACACTGTAGGTATGTCATGGTTCACCTGATCTTTATTTCGTCCATGCTTTACCAGATGACATGGATCACATCGAGCTGTCTGTTAACAGTCCCATCAACAGATAACTCTAACCAGTTTCGGGGAAATGGTCGAGGAGACTACTGCAGAGCTGCTTAAGCGGCGTCAGGAGTTAACCGATGCCCTGGCAGACGCACCCTATGACCTGATCTTATACTTGGAAAGGGCCATCGTTCACTTTGATCTCGTATACCCCGATCTTGCTGCTGGAGATGCCTATCGTGCTCTCTTACTTACCGATGAAATCCGGGATGAAAACTTCGAATATCATGAGGAGGCGCTCAAGGCCTGTCAGGCATACACTATTAATCCTTGCCCTGGAGTCTTGGACCACAGCTCCCTTATCCAGGACCTTGGACCAGTCACCAATGATGGTGGCGAGCAAGCTTATAACTGGTTGGCGAAACTTGCATCAGTACGGTGTTTCCAGATCCTTTCATCAAGTTTGTTGCGCTGTGGCTGCCTGCAGAGTGCGATGAAGTTTTGTGAACGGGGTTTGGGAGTTGTTCCTCACAACAAGGAGCTCCTCCAAATCAAGAACGATATCGAACAGGCGGCCAGGAAGAGGTTGAAGCTCCAGCCGGGCGACCTTGTTGAGGTAAACAATCTTCCAGACCGTGGTATTGCACGTCGGGAGGTCTACCCATGGAACACCTACGAGCCAGACCGCTTCTCTGAACATTCTCTCTCTTTTCTCAATCAAGAGCTTGCCAAATTTGCCCCCAAATGCGAGGTTCGCGTCTCTGAGCTTCCTGTCTTGCTCAACGGAGGGAGCGGTGCCGCAGCGAACGGTACCGAAGCTATTTTGACCTGCAAGCAACTTGGTATCTTTGCCAAAGAGGATATCGCTCCCGGAGAGATAGTTCTCGATGAGTACTCGGTCTTGACGGCCAACAACCGGCACAAGGAGTCTACCTGTGACTCTTGCGGTACTGAGCTCCCGCCACTCGCTGAAAATTCTAAAGCTGTCAGCTGCCCGGAATGCTACGACACGATCTTTTGTGACGACTTTTGTTACGAACAAGCCCAAACCCAATATCATCCTGCCGTCTGCGACAAGGACGTTGACTCGATCGCTAAAGATCCCGATCCTCAAGACATCGACCAGTCCCTTTACCTCCTTCTGTTGGCCCGACTCCTGGCCATGGCTGAGCACCAAGGCCTCCACCCCCTCGAGGTTAGCTCTGTGAAATATATCTGGGGTGACTTTGTCTCGCCTGCGCAAAACAGTTCCTCAAATCCATCGCAGGCAATCTACCCTCCTTCACAATGGACCCTGCCCTTTTCCTTCCGCTACAATATCGCCACGCCACTCCACATTCTCGAAAAGATGGACATTAACATCTACACGACCCTCTCCCGACACGATATCTGGGTCTTCAACACCGCCTACGCCAAGTTCCGAGGTACTGCCTCGGCGCGCAAGAATCCGCGCGACGGCCGTCCCGACGTGGCTGCTGTGCATCCCTTCTGGTGCCTGGCAAACCACGACTGTGATCCCAACGTAACCTGGGAATGGGGAGGCCGCATGGTGCTGTGGGCACGGAAGACGAGGGTTGTGGGAGGGAAGGAGGGCGGCATCAAGAAGGGAGAGGAGGTGTTGAATCATTACTGTGACGTGGACTTGCCGGTGCAGCAAAGACGGGAGTGGGCTTCTGGCAGCTTGGGTGGGTGGTGTATGTGTCGGAGGTGTAGGGAAGAGGCTGCTGAACAAGCAACAAAGAAGGCTGAGTCAGAGAAGAAATAGTGTGTGGCATATGTGAAGCATAGACTGAGAGTACATTTTTTGCATCTACAGTCCAAAATCGAGTATGTTCTGCAAAGTGTATATGAAATACCGGATCGTTCCAGCAGCCACAGGACAGCATTAGAAAATAAGGAATCTGGAAAGAAATGGGCAAGATATAGGAAAGGTTCTCCTCCGGACCTTTTTGTTTTAACTTCTACCTACCCATCTGTTGCTTCTCCGCTCAAGATAACATCGATGCTGACAAGAAGCACCCAGAAAACTAATTAGCCCGTCAGCAACAGAGCTTTCCAGCTGAACATGCCTGAGTTTTGATTGCTATGAGCCCACGATGCATCTAGTAACCATGGCCCTCAAATCTTGACAATAAACAAGACAACCCCCGGGAGGTACTTGACATGACAGAATATAGAAATAATCAGCCCGATTTTGCAAAGGACAAAAGTTTCAGAGAGGATGTGAAAATATACCGTACCTTTTATGAGGTTTTGTAATCACTCAACATATGCTGAGTTGCAGTTATGCCGTGCCACTCCACTAGGGTGCACCATGTTACTCAAGAGCACTTCAAGTGGATGTCCATGCCCAGGCACTGCATCATCCGCGCCATCATGGTGTTCCCCCTACCTCTCTGTAAACCCACACCAATCATCAGGAGCATAACCCTAGAAATGACCAGACCACATTATTCAGTCAGGCGAGTATGGCCAAACCCGATGTGAAAGCATCAAAGATAGAGCACCAAATGAAGGAGTTAAGGAGCCAGGTATAGAAACGCATTATGACTTGAAGCTGCTGAAAGCGTTCTCCAAGTCGAGCACTTGATTGTATTTGTTTTGTTGATCGTCTTTCCTACTCCTATAAGGGATGTGGAGAGAAGAGCAACAATAAACAAGAAACGGGGGGTATATACAGCATTACTTAAAGCCGACTGTCATTTTCATGCAACCGCCCTTCCTCCCGAGTACACAAAATTGCATAAAAAGTCACAGGGAGTGAGGAATAAACATATTGAAGTGACATAACATGAATGCAAGACGTGCAGCAGGCAAGATGATTGATGAAGGGGATGTGGAGAAAAGTAGCGGTGTCGAAACAATAAGCAAACACCACCATTATCCGACCGACAGAAGTAAGATGTGGACAATAAAGAGAAGCACCTAGGGGCTGATCCAAAAGGCGGTGCATGCCCAAGGTAAGCCGAGGTCGCACGGCTCGTTTTATGTTTTTTTTTTTTTTTTGGAGTGTTCTCTTCATGTCCTATGGGAGAGATTTTCATTGTTTAGAATCTTTTCCTCTTTCTCTTCCACACCATCACCATTCCATCCCTAAATTGTTTTTTCTGATGTCCACCTGTACATCAAATAAGGTATTACAAAAGTAGTATATAAGGAGAACTAGTAAACCAACACGCAAAAAAGGGGGGTTGATTGTCGGTAATTGATGAGAGGGGTTGAATGAAGATAGCTGATGGATACGAGCCTGCATGACTCATCCACATCCGGACCTAAAATCAAAAAGTCATCTTGGGAGATAGCGGTCGATACTAATCCGTTGCGGCCTTGAGAGAAGTGAGATGGTCGATATCTGCAAGGTCGAGCCGATATCAAACTGATCGAACTCTTCGATTGCAGGACCGGGGGGGAGGGGGAGATATGCCGATACTTCCAGTCATCTGCATCGCGAGATCAAGAGAGCTCGAGTCGAAGGGGGCGCTGCAAGGTCTTTGTCATGAAGCTGCGAATGAAACAGTCATGAGCCCTGGTGGCGACCGATTCCCAAACAAATGAGTTTTGGAAGTCCCATCGTATTGCTCCTTAAGCCTCATACTCCGTCGGCTTGCTCATCCAAACCCCGATACATTTATCCCTAAAGCACCTGGCCAGCAGAATCCGACAAACCAAACCCCAAAGCAGATAAAACCTCTCCCAAAGTAAACCATATCAGCGGCCCAAGGTAGTATGGTTGTATGAATGCGTTCATTATGTGCCAAACCGTCCCAAAGTTCCTTCCTGCAATAACCCAAATTCCCGCCCACCCAACCAACCAATCCACATCCGACAATGAAAGTGCGTTTGTTTTCAGCGATAAAAAGTGGCGCTAAGTGTCAATCAACCAATGTTCCGACCGACCGCAACCCCTTGTTGAAAAGAGCAGAAAACGCCGAGCCATGCAGAGAGGAAGTGGAGAGTAGCCGTTCAAAACCCGAGAGAAGAACACGAATTACATTGACCTGAGGCGGAGAAGCGCATCAACCGCCTCGCGTTCCTGCGCCTCCGAAGCGGTCATGGCAGACAGAGGCGAGTTGTTGCGCATGGTAGTGTTGTTGAAGGCAGCAAGATTGACACCGCTAGGCAGCTCTGGCGGGCGAGCCATGCCTGTCGAGAAGGAGCGGATGCCGGAGGGGTGCAAACCGTCGCTGTAGAGCGTGCTGAAGGGGGATTGACCCATGGAACGGGCGTTGTACGACTCGGCACGCAATGCGGCCGCGCCGATGGCAGCCCAATCCTCCTCATCCGTGGCATCCTCCGGGTCATCGTTGCGGCGGCAACGCGGGTCATCACAGTCATCAGGAGCCTCAGAACACGAGGCCGAGCCAGATTCATCGTCATCGTCGAGCGACATCTTGTCAGCCTCGTAGTCCATGGGGTCCATGAAGCGGTCCCGCTCGTCGTGAGAAAAAGCGACTGACGAGCGACCGCCCACGCTCGATCCCAGAGTCGCACCCAGTCGTGATCGGTAATCATTAAGATACGAACCGGATGCCCGGATGATGGGAATGCTTGCAGGATGGCCGACACCAGGAGATGTCCGGCTAGCCGAGGGAGAGTCGCCGCGTGCCGGCTGACCCCGGCGCTTCGCATCCCAGCGGCCCCAGCCAACCTTGATAAATTCCACATCACCATCCACTCCACCGCCTTCGCCATTGCTTCCTTTACCCTCCAACGCCGCCACAACCAACCTGCGCGCCTTTGCTGGCGGAATGCTAGCGAATCCAGGTACCGAAGTTGTTAGGTAACCCATAAGATGCCGGATGGGGAGGGGCCCATGATTCAGCAAAATCTCGGAAAGATGGTACTTGGCGAGCATGGCGGGGGTGATGGTGCCAGCAGGGTCACAGGGGGGAGAGTCATGGCGGTCATCGGGAGCATCATGGAGATCAAGGTCCGAGTCTATCGAACCCAGACGCGCGCGCTGCAGTTGGGCCTTCAGCCCGTGAGGAGGGAGAGAGGGCGAGATGGAGTTCGGCGGGGTCGGCAGAGTCGACAGGCTGTGGTTTGTTGTCACAGGGACGCTCCTAGCGGCCGCTACAGCAGTTAAGTTGTCTCGGCCGGCACTGGAGGTCGCCGCGATATCGCGAACAGCAGATGCCACAGTTGCCATATTGACAGTTGGGGGAGTTGACCTGCTTCGAGACGGATCTGTGGAAGAACGCGACCGTGTGTTAGCTCCAGTCGATGTTGTTGCCGTCGCGGATCGAGAGGAAGAGCAGGACACGGCACAGAGTGCCAAGGCTGACGAGGAACAGCGCTGGACGCGAGAGCTGCGCAAAGCTCCCATATTTGATGCCGCCTAGAGGGGAACGACACAGCCGACTGGCCAGCAAGTCGCAAGCAGGCCAGATTTCGGGGGAGGAGGCCGCTGAGAGAAAGCAGGCCGCCGATTCGCAGAAGCGGACAGACGAGGGGCTAGCTGCTGAAGTGCTCCTCGTCTGCTGGGAGGAAGGACAGGGCAGAAAGGCAGAAGGGCAAAGAGAAAAAAAAAATAAGCAGAGCCGAGCAACACACTCACTATGTAGCTTAGTGTTCAAAGGCAACGAGAGGTTCTCGAATGTCCAAGCAGAGGATCAACTACTTAAAACACCGCTTCTGGCCGAGGGAGCAGGGTCGGGGGTGCTGCTGGGTCGGGCAAAAGCTGCGGTCAAGGCAGGCAAAATGGCAGAGCTGTTGCGATGATCCGCTGTGACAGGTCTACAAGAGAAGAAGCTCTCGTTGTAGGAAGACGTGTGGAAAGAAAAGTGGTCGTGTGGGATTTGCTTTGAGGAATCAAAAAGAAGGAGAAGGAGGGCAGGTGGAAGGCCGGCAGCCGGGCCCTGGATGGTAATAAACTCCCGGTCCGCCGCCCTTCCATCCTCCATTGTGAGTGATGGGTGTGTGAGATTGTGAGTCCAAGTCCATCCAGGTCCAGTCACCTCTCAGCCCAGCCCCGGCCCTGGCGCCAGTGCGTGTGCCTGGCCCTGTGGCCTAGACACCGTCATGGCCTTCAGTGGCCCGCCATCCACCAGCATGGCCCCCCAATGGCTCCAGCGCCTACAATGATTCCAGCAACCCGCATCCGGGGAAAGTGTGCCTTTGCTCGGTCTGCCAATGTACCGGGTCCAGCGAGGTACACGTTGATACCGCCCCGCACAGGGCAGGTACCTAGCCTGCAACCGGGCTCACCGCGGTTGCACAATTCCCCACTTGTGCTGGCCACATTCCGATGCGGTCAGCCCTTCCTGCCGGTACATCTTTGACACGCCAGCAACTGTCGCCCAAAAGGGCCAAAGGCATGACAAGGATGAGCACAGGGGTTGAAAAAGGATCGAAAATTCGGCCAGTGTTCGCTATCCTTCGCTGTGTGTCCGGTGCCAGCAGCAGCCGGCCAGACTGCCATACCACACAAAGAATGGTGTGGGCCTCTGCAGGCACAGAAAGCAGAAATCCGCCGTTTTGCCCAAAGTGCTTCCTTCTCCCAGGCCGCTCTTCTCTCAGCTTCTTTGTTGTTGTTGTTGGGTTTCAGGTTGTGGCCATTGCCATTCCCAAGTCTTAGCGTCAGCGCTGCCATCAGCACCAGCGGCGTTGTGCTGACAGGTAGCTTGGTTTTCTGGAAGGATCGCTGATCCCTTTGCTTCCCTCCACCAACTACCTAATGAAAATGATCAATTAGCACAAAAACATTTCGCCCACAAAACCTAAATGTCATTAGGGTTTGGGCAAAAACGAAGCACAAAAGCGCTCATCGATCCCTGATTTTTCAATCGATGTGTGCGGATCCCCTGATGACGATGATCTGTGGAGCTCTGAATCCTAGGCACAGTGCAAGGTTCCATCGCCATTGGATCACCCAACATGCTGTCACCATCCCGCACCTTTCAATCCCCCAACACCCCGGAAAGGTTCCATGGATATCATGTGCCTCAGCAGTTATTCATTTGCTGCCATCATGAATTCCCTCAAACGTGGTATTTGCTGAGCATGCTGCCATATCACTGTTAATGATAACTGGAGTGTCACCATTTCGACCTCTGTTGTCCTGCGGGCGCTAGCTGCTAGAAAGAAGCAGATATTCCCAGAAAAGTATGATACTACACTATGCCATGCGCCATGATACAATTAATGGCCCGATTCAGCAATCGTTGTGTCTCCGTCTGTACTTGCATCTGATAAGATACGGGTCCCCCAAAGCACACATTTCCGCCGCTTCCATAACGGACAGAGAGACAGGAACAGTGATAACGGGCCCTTTCGCTCGTCAGTGTCTGTGCCATCGTATCACCCGCTCCTCCCTGGCCATTCTGATCTGGAAGGCCGGGAACTGGGGAACCTAGGGACCAGACTTGACTCGCACACAGCTTGCCTTGTCGTGCTCTGCCCTGCAAAGTCCCAACAGGCTATTGAAAAACGTAAAGTGTGGCCGTTGGTCTCATCTAGTCATACCTGTCGCTATCATTCATCGAGGGTGCCGAATATTCCCGCAGAACAAACACACGGGGGCTCTAGCAAGTTTTGAGGCCTTAGCATCGCTCCGTGGGATGATCCGATTGGGTTACTTACATTTCTTAGCAAAGAGTTCAGCTGACCTTTTAACCCCTCTGAGATCTCTCTTTTCGAAACTACAAGTTACGAAATCAGACCTTTCATTTCCCCAAAATTATGAGCATTAAGAGGGCTTAGCCCACATGGGGTCCAAACTTGCGTTGTCGCTCTAATCATTGCCACTACCAGTCCACCAAAAGGGCCAAAAGGGATCGAGAGCTTTCCCCACGTTTTTGGGAAGATCTGCAACGCGGTCAATTTCCCAACCTTCAACTTGGAACAACCTCGGAGAGACATCAGGAAGGACTGGATCCCATGATCAGAGAATCCACTCCACCAGAGCCCCGAGGCAGATCCGGCCCCGACTCCAAATCCGTGAACCTACCGCTGTAACAGTGGAGCCTTCGTCACTCGACTTCCCACAAGTTCAGAGCTCCCGATTCTCCACACCGGGAGCGGCGGGAGGGCGGGCGGTGGCTTGTTTATCTCTCGCCGTGCGGGGAAGTCCCCTCCCACAACGCAAGCCCCGTTGTCGCCCGAAGCCACAGAAGGGACCAGCAAAACTGCCTTCTCCTCCGACGCTCACTACCCCGAGCTTGTTCCGTCCACAGCAGCAGGCTCTTGCATCACGGTCCCAAACGAGTGGTTGGAAATATGCTGCCGCTGCACGCTCTGCAACTGCTGCAGCTTCCTCGTCCTGCCCTCCGCTGCACCACGATTCGCAGCTTTTGGTGGCCAAGGAGACAGTGCATCCGGTTCTCGGAAAGGAGATAGCAGCCACTATGCAGTGCGTTACAGTAGGGATACCCCTCACAGGGCTGTGGCAGTCCACATGCACCGCCAACTGAATGATAATCCCGCTCTGCCGCGGGGATTGCCAGCCCTTTTTATCCTTTTTGTCAATTGCGTTTTGTCTCGGCAGTGGGGGCCTTCTTCAACAAGTAGGTACAGCAAGCACTTACGCGAAACATGGTGTTGACGCGTTTCGTTTCACGTGTCTCGCCGCATGGCGCTCAACTTAACCGGCAGATGCAGGGCACGAGAGGTGAGTCAAACCCAGAGTTGCGACCTGTTTGTATGGTCGCAAGTCGCTTGCTTTCACTGGTGATGGAAGACGTATTCTCTGCATGCCTATCATTCCCTTTAGCATGATATTTAAGCGGACAAAAAAAAGGACAGCCGATTGAATGAGACGTTTAGATCACGTACCGATTTGAGAGTACCGAGTTCCTCTTGCGATTGGTTATAGACCTGTCGGTACTGCGAAACGCTTTCTTGCAATACTTCTTGTTTTGTGACTCGACCATCGCAGATTGCCTTCATTTTGAGCTCCATCTCTTTCCGTAAAAACGGCTTCCCGAGACTTGTGTCAAAGTGCATCCGATCAAACCCTTCTATCAAAGCGACCCCGAGGCTGGTTGGGATAAACTCACGAATTGCCCCTCGTGAACCCCGGCCGGAACCTCCCCCACGCCCACCCCGGCCGCCCCCACGACTACCTCGTCTCCGCTGTCCTCCTCGACCACCTCTTGTCGCGGGAGACCCATCGTCCTCATCATCTTCTGCCTGAGTTGCGCCGCGATTACCACGTTCCACGGTCCTAGCATACTGGCGTTCCTGGATCTTTTCAATATGCTCAGCCATGGTTGCGTCGGTGCCGATTCCGTTGGCGTCCATGAGGGCGATGAGGTCTGCTTCTGTAAGGTAGTTGGGAGGACTCGTCTTTCCTTCCGTAACCATTGCTTCTGTGGGCTCGAACCGTTCCCCTTCAGTGAATTTCGGCAGTTGAACCGTGCCAGTCCAGTTTTCGTAAGGGTAAACATCGAGGTAATTGCGTTCCTTCACAATGACGCCATGGGCGGTAAACGTCTCCTCCCCATAGAGAATTTCGATGTCAGTTGCTGCTCCTTTAGCGTCTTCGGAGCAACAAGCGAGGAACCGCCGGGTAACGAGCTCGTAGATCCGCTTCTCTTGATCATCCAGGACCGAGGGCGAGGCATATGTAATGGGGTGAATGGGCGGATGGGCCTTGTCGTCGTGCTTGCCTTGACGGGGTTGCTGGAAACCACCATCAAGAAGATGCTGTGCGAACTGTCCCCATCTCTGGTCCTGTGTCTGCTTTCTGACAAGCGCTTTGAGATCCATTCCCTTATCAAAGCGGTCGGTTTCGGTACGAGGGTAGCTGATGAAGCCCTTGTTGTATAACTTTTCTGCTACCGTCATGGCCTGCTGACCTGTCATGCCCAGGAACCTAGTAGCCATTTTTTGCAGCTCAACTGTCGTGAGTGGTAAAGGCTTCCACTTTTTCGTTTCTTTTTCCTTAACCTTCATGACCTTGGCGAACTTCGCGGTTAGACATCGTTCATAGAAGATAATCACCGTCATGCGGTCGAATAACCGATGTCTAGCCCAATTAAAGTTAACCTTGATACCATCCCTTTCATGCATCACCTTGATGCTCCAAAAGGGCTCTGGTATGAAGTTCTTGACCCGGAAGTAACGGTCGACAACAAAACCCAGGGTTGGGAATTGACACGACCCTTTTCCCGTGTTAGAAAGCAACGAGTAAGGGGAAAAAAAATGAGATACAGGAGCCTACCGTAACTGATGGTGAGTTGGGACATAGGTCCCCCTAAAGTACGGAGGTTCAAAGTCAAAAACCGAGTGAAGGCATATCCGATTCTTAGGTCCAATTCTATGCGGGCAGCTACTGCGTCAACCTGCCTCTCATCCAGACAAACCAGTCGCCGGGCAGCTTGTAAGATGTGGCTAGCCAGGTGTTAGCGTGTCCAGAATGGAAATTCCAGTCAACTTACGCTCTTTCGACGTTGCTAAACCGAGCTCTCTTGACCTCGATGTACCGGTTGCCTTTCTTGGCCGCATCGCGAATTTCGCTACCGATGTGCTCTCCTTCGCGATCACAATCGGTCCAGATGATGAGAAGATTGGAGGACCTAGCTAGATCCTCGATGTTTTTGGCGATGTTTTTGTTATCCTTTCCGATAGGACGATCAGCAAACAGTAACATGTGGAGCTAATGCTGGTATCGCATAGGTAGGTACCTTTGGGATGACCGTATACACTGGCGCATCGAAGAGACGCTCGGGGGGAGGATATTCCCATCTGTTGTAGTCTGAGGGAAACTCAAGAGTAGTGAGATGGCCTTTCACAGCCGTCATCGTAACCGAGCATCGGCCCCATGGGGGGCCAAAGTCAAAGTCGAACGAATAGTTCTTGATATGGGCATCCCGAGTGCTTGCCTGACCGGAAGTCAGCTAGCTGTTATGCACCTTGACGGTGGTCGGGAGAGCTAGAAAAGAGCACCCACTGATTGGTACCGTCCGCCCGACAGATGCGTTGCAACCGCTTTAGCGATGGACGGCTTTTCAGCCACACAGAGAACACGCGTCATGTCTCCAAATAGGCTCCTTCAAGCAAGTTTCAGAAAAGCAAAATACGGATTAACTATCCACGGTGGACTTCCAGATCGGCCGTCAAAAAGGAAACAGCCTGAAATTGAAGATGCGGTGACTGGGCAGCTTGCTGGCGTTGTTTCGGTCAGACTTGGATGTTTTGCCAGTGTTTCTGCTTCCTGGGGCTTGCAAACATTCAATTTACCTCAATTGCTTGTTGATTTCGGAAAGAAAAAAAATCAAGGAGCAGTCGAGAGATTCCAAGTCAGAAGAGTCCCGGGATGGCGAGGCGCGTTAAGAGGCAAACTCGAAGTACAAATTCAGCGGACAAAACTGCTTGCTTGTTTGCCTGCGCCTTCCTGAATCGGAATTCTACAGATGTGCACTGATTTTTAGTGTGATGAGTGACACGCCATCATGAAGCACACAAATAATGATGAAAGCCTCACACCCCATCACAGCCGTTGTTGATAGCTACAGACGCGTGGTAGTCGCTGATGACACCGCGTTCTGGGTGGACGTTTTGTCTTGAGAAAGGTTCAATTTGGGATTATCGAGTAAACACACTGCACAATTACCGAGGGCTTCACCTCAATGCTGATATTTGCATAAGTATGCAATTAAAAACATTGGTTCTTGCGTGCCAAGACTCTCTGTGATGAGTTTGCCTTAACTGCAACCATCAACGGACAGAAGACCCACGAGCTCATGACGCCATGAGCATTAAAAGCGTCAACAGGTCCAACACACTTCGCTTTCTTAGCAATTGATGTGGAAATCGACTTCCATCTAGTAACATCGCGTATACCTAGCAAATATGGCACTCCCAGTCCTTGACGCGTTGGAGGATTGTGCCGATTTCTCCAAAACCGTGACCCCCTACATTCATCAGCTTTATGCACTCCCGGGCAGACTTCTTGGAGCTATCACAGGCAATGATAGCCTTCTGAAAGCTTACACAGAAACGAACCCTCTTGTGTCTGGATTCGCTCTATCTCTCGCACTCGGCGTCGTGTTCCTTGTGGTGTCGGAGATAAACCGCAACTACTCGCAAGTAGACCGCTGCTGGAGCATCTTGCCGACACTGTATATTGCCCATTTTAGGCTTTGGGCGGGTTTATTTGGTCTGCCTACTGGGCGTATTGATTTAGCTCTTCTTTTCAGTGCCATTTGGAGTGTGAGTTGTACCCAGCTACATGCGTATTCACATGGTATTGTGATGAGGTACAGGTACATTGCTAACGAGCTTCTCTCACTTTGCAGATACGCTTGACATATAACTACTGGAGAAAGGGCGGTTACAGTGTGGGACATGAAGACTACAGATGGTAACACTGCCCCCCTCTGCATGAACTCTTAGCCCTTCTCTGAATTGTGCTGACTTCTTACAAGGGCGATCATTCGGGGCAAGATCTCGAAGCTTGCGTTTCACATCTTTAACCTGACCTTCATTTCGTTCATGCAAAGCATTCTTCTCTTCCTGATTTCATCTCCTGTTTATGTGCTTTTGTTGGCCTCTACAATCGAGCCTGAGGTCAGCACCGCTGACGTCGCAGCCCTTATCATCGAGCTCGTCTTGATTCTCATCGAAAGCATCGCAGACCAGCAGCAATGGAGTAAGAATTGACGCTTACTGAATGTGTGGGGCTATGTTCTGCTGACAAACTCGTTAAACAGACTACCAGTCAGCAAAGAAGAAATATAAGGACTCTGGTGAAGTTCCACGTGGCTTCCGGAAGACCGACTTGGACCGGGGATTCATCACCTCTGGACTGTGGGGTTACAGCCGTCACCCCAACTTCGCTGCTGAGCAGACAATTTGGTTTGTTCTCTATCAGTGGAGTTGTTGGGCAGCTAGGACGCTGTTCAGTTGGGCCGGTGCAGGAGCAACCTTCCTCATTATGCTTTTCCAGGGCTCGACGTGGTTTACGGAGTATATCACGTCGGGCAAGTATCCGGAGTATTACGATTACCAACAAGCAGTTGGAATGTTTGTGCCAAAGAGCATCTTTTCGTATGAAAAGCCAGTCCGGAGGCCCAAGATTATCCGCACCAGTGAGCTGGCACAAAAGAAAAGCCAAGTCCAGAAGCAGAAACAGAAATGAAGATGGTGAGCGTTGGCAGAGACCGAGAGGATTGTTTGGAACTCTGAATGTGTTCTCATTTTGCAGGCTCGCGGTGAAGGTAGGGGAAAGGGGGGGGTGTAGGAAGACCCAACTGTAACCTCAGACAGACAAGTACAGTTGGCGAAGAGACTGAGTGAGCGGTGGGACTGGGCAGCCATGACTTGAATGCCTAGCAGGTAGTTCAGTCTGTATGGATTGTCCGAACGTGGCTAGTTGAGTATGAGTACGTACATCCACGATCATCACGAGTGGTATTGTTGCCTCGGTGTTGAACCCCGGAAGCCAAAATACCAACTTCAACGGAGCAGGGTAAACATTGGTGACCGCTTCAAGTTGCAACATCGCTACAATGTCTTACCGGTGCCAGGAGTGAAAACAGATTAAGCTCTGCGGCAGATCCTTGTTGGCACGTTTGTGTTACAGCATGGAACACCGCCCGCGTATGCCGTTCTGTAAGAGCATGATCTTCACTGGGATGTTGATACAGTTGCGTCAGCTGACCGCCGATTTTAGGATGGAAAAAAAACAATCACTTAATAGGCTTCATATGTACCAACAGCTTGAGTAGACAGCAAAATTTTGAGGGCGGTACGAAAGAAGACGGAAGAAAATTCGCTGCAAATATCAACAGCTGCCTGACCCTCAGGTAGTTTACCCCTGACCTTTCTACCCTGGACACGTCACATGCGGATGGGTCCGTATCACAGACTGGTTGCAGGGATCTGCAGTACGGTAATTTACGCATCTGCAGCCCAACAGCAGCCGAAGATTGATTGACGGAGCCTCTCCGCACCCGCGCGCCTGGATTCGGCGCTTCGCTTTCAGCCGCGACAGGGTGTCCCCCACGACGCTAATGGTTTCCAGAATGACACACTACCGTCAGGTGACCCGATCTGCGAAATTACACCTGTTGCCCAAAGAATTGGGCGCCGGTCTCTACGGTTTCAAACGGCCCAGTGTGCCCAACAAGGCGCGAATTTCTGGGAGGATTGGCCAGGGGAAGGAGAAAAACGGAAGGAGTGCTGTCGTTGGATGAAACGTAGAACGGTTGGGGGCCAGCTTGGATCGAACCGTTATGGGAATTCTGAGGAGAACGCGGCTGAACGGCCAGCGCCGGTCAGCGGCAGCGGCAGCATCCAGTAAATAATCGGTAAGGAGCTCACCGAATTATTTCTCGGAAGCAACAAGAGATTGTATCCTTGAGATCCATATGCACTGGTTGAAGAATAACAAAGCGCGATCTTTGTGGGAAAATAAAAAATCTGGGGATTGGCCCTCTTTTTCCCCTGGAATGCCGGACCGCGGGTCCACGGGAAATGGCCCCGGACCCGTAGCTGGACCACTTGGCGGGTTCATCAAAGGACGACAGGGTCAGCGGCCGTGATGAGCTCGTTCAAAGGGCCCACCTCCCTTATTATTGCTGGGACCGTTTGAGATGTGATATATATATATAGCCTCAAGCAACAACGCCTCGTCATTACTGTTGTTTTGGCTGTTGTGTTTCTGCTCCGTTGCCTTCTGTGTGATAATCTCAGCTTGGTGACCTGGATTCAGACCTCGCACGTCGGTCTCGCAGCCTAGCAATCGCCGGCACACCATCCAACCTCGTCATCGTGTGTCCCCGGCCTGCATCTGCTCCACTCCTCCGTTTGCTTGTGCTTTTTACGTACTGAACTGCCGTCGACTCCCAACCGTGACGCTGCTCGCATTGACATTGTACGCCCTCGTTCCTGAACTTCATCCCAGCCTTCAGCCAACCCGCACGACCATCGATCAGCTGGGTTAAGTGAAGTGGATACCAGGCAACAGACAGAGCAGAGACTCGTGGGGGTCCACTGGTAGACGCGGCGCTGCCCAAGCTAAGTGTGCAGCCAGACGCAGCGCCGGGTGTTCCTGGGGGACGGCACCTGACTCCTTGAAGATCGCGGGGAAGATCCCAGCAAGTCCAGTTCGGCAACATAAATTTGGGGTTCGAGCTTGTTCTGCCCACCAGACGTGACCAGACCTCCGTGGCTTTGGGACCTGGACTTGCCTGCCATTCTGTCAGTCCTTTGACTCCTCTCTCGTCCTCTCTGAAGTTCAGTCGTAAAAGAGCAAGAGTGAACCAGCAGTACCCTTGCTTTCATCCGAACCCGCTCCTGCCAGAGCGATCACCGTCCGGGATCATACTGAATAAAACTCAAAACTCGAACTCCGCTGCGACCGAATTTGGTCTCCTTTTTTTTTTTCCACGATGGCCTTCTTTGAAGCACTCTTCTCATTCTTTTCCCCGCCGGCCTCGCGCGCCTCGTCGCCGCAGCCTCAGCAACAACGAAACTCTACCTCATTTTTCTCTGTCTTTTCTCCCACTCACTACCAACAACGGCAAGCCCAACAATCCGACCTTCCTCTTCCTCCCACATCAGCGCACGAGGTATCAGCAACCATGAGCACCTCTCAGGTCGAACTCAATGCTTCGGCCGTCTCCCTTACTGAGGCGCGCGATGCCCAGCCGACGGGTCTGGCCCCTCATCGGAGCGACTCCGTTTCCTCATCTGCGACTAGCATCACCACAGTTTCCAACAACCAGGCGCAGCAACCTTCCACTGTTCAAAACACCACCAACAACAATACCATTACTGCTACTAATACCCTTCCTGTCACTAACTACCGGCCTGATCCCCCTCGTCGTTCTGCTACCGACATTGCCGGCCCCCGCGATCCGCTGTCGCGCCAATTCCCCGTTCCCGCTCAAGAGCCGAGCCTCGATGAGCTTCTTGCTCGTTCGCCTCCTAAGTATTCGCTGGGTCGGTGGGTCAAGAACGCGCGCACTGCGAAGCCTCGCGACGATAGCACAGCGGAAGAAGCAGCCGCGCGCCGCGCCCGCGAACTCGAGGCCGCCAAGGCCGAACTGCGTCGGGCAAAGGAGGAGATGGAGCGCCTGCGGGCCTGAACTCTTCGATTAACCCTACTATTTGGGACTGTCCTTTCCGGTCAAGTCCTCTCTTTTCTCCTTCCGATGATTCCCCTGTTTGATCTTTTTCAGTATTGGGTGGTTATTAGACGGGATTGCTTCCTATCTCCTCTGTGGTCAAGGGAGATAAAAACATTCCCTGTTCTGCATTGCTTTACGTCTTTTTCAGCAGAGCAAGTAGCATCTTTTAGAGGGCGAGGCGTCTTGGGGTTCGGAGGTTCGAGTCCTTTTTTTCTTTTCCTTCGGAGGTTTTCTGCATCGGGATAAAAAGCATCTCTGGTTGCGAAACAGCCATCTCTTTCGGAGAGAGAGGCGGAAAAGGGGAGAAATTGAAGAACATGTGGGCACCACAGAACCGGGTCGCTTGGAAGTTCTTTCGTCGGTCGCGAAGATAAGAGTTCGAAAATGTCTCGGGGACATGGTCGCTTTTGTCTTCGGTGGTCGCGAAGTCGCGACGTAAAGCTATGGGAGGAAAAAAAAAATAAGTGTTTCATGGACATGATGGCCCTTTTCAGTCACGAAGAAGGGCTAGGTAGTGTCACATAATGAACATGTTTACATCACCTGTATTCTCGTCCTGTCGGTTGACATGTGATATGTCTGAAGTGAAGGCAAAAGTTGTGTCCCGGTCTCTACCTTTGTGCTGACGCCCAACCCAAGCTACTGTGATTATTTTTTCGGCTCACGACAGCCGCAACGAAAGGGTATATCCATACGCAACAGCTGACAAAAATGTGCCCAGGTTCAACAGCGAGGATATCCCATGAAGCATAGAAAACTGCTTATTGAGAGCCTGCATCGCCGGTGAGTGCGGTCCCGGATCATACGACTTCTTGCCGTCTTTCTTTTCTATCAAGCTATCAGCATGTATTGCCCAGCTCTACTTTCCTTGTAACGAATAAAATGATACCTACCTTGCTCCTTCCTCTCCCTCATGACCCTTGTTGTCGCTGGTCCGACAACGACCAAGTTAGCCAGCGCAGTCAAGAAAGCACCTGAAAGCGGTGTGGCCACGCTCCATCGGTTGGTCGGGTCCAGCACGCCTGTCACTCCGCTCAGGGTAGGGAAAGATGCGGGCGCCGGATAGGTCAGCACCATGATAAGCGGCAGGGTCGTCTGCATGGCAAAGTAGACCGGGAAAACTTTAGCCATGAGAGCGGAAAACTGCGGACGGGGAAGGACCCGGAAAGCGATGATGCCTCCTATAAAGCTCTGGGGAATATGTGAGTGGATGGTTAAGACATAAAGTCATACAAGTAATCAGACCGGAGGAGCTTACATGGAAGAAGGTTGTGCCCAAAAGGATGCCATAGCTGGTTTTCCTGAGTAAGATATCTGCTGCGGGGTTCAGGTGCGGAGAGTTCTCGCTCACCTCAGGATATGGTATGGAGCAGGGGACAAGAAGCCCATGGTGTTCGCTATGTGTCAGTGCTAACGAAAGCAAGTCTATTGGTAGTTTATTGAGACAGATGAGTTGAGACGCGGAGCTTAGCACATAGTAGAGGTGGAAGCGTTCATCCCCTCCGCAGTGATAAGAAATCTGGTAAGGGATAGAGTTTGGTTGGAGTTAAAGAGATGCCGCTCCTGGATGCAACGTCATGGCCTCAAGAAGGGTACCGGTACGTACCTCTCTTGGCAGCCTCGGCAGTCTTGGCGCTCTGGGGAAGTGTGGATCTTGACACGCGACCATGTGCCGACGCGAGGCAGCAGCACTCAAAGTCATCGACGCGATGTTGGTTCATTGGCGGCTTTGACCTTCGCCGGCTGATGCTGCCTGAAATCGGCCTGATCCTTGTGAGATGCCATTCATGACAGCCCTTAGCAATAATAAATTCAAACAGCGCCTGTACAGCGCGTCCTCGCCCCCTTAGCATTTTGACTCCGTTACTGCCACCACCGTCAATTGAACTGTAAAAGCCCCGGGAACAGCATCAATTATTAACGACGCTCTTTTGGTGAGACCATGGCAGACAAGGAGGCAACCGTCTATGTCATCGACCTGGGCGAGTCGATGAGTGACTGCCACAATGGCCGCGAGGAGTCCGACCTCGATTTCGCAATGCGTTATGTATGGGATAAAATCTCGACCACTGTTTCAGCCAACCGCAAGACCTGGACGGTTGGGGTGGTCGGCTTTAATACTGATGACACCGACAATCCCCAGGACCGCGAGGGTCTGGAAGGGTATGAAAATATCTCCGTACTTCAGGAGATAGGCTCGATGACAATGAGCTCGTTGCGACGGTTACGCTCCTTAATCAAGCCGTCGCACTCCTCTTCTGGGGATGCTATCTCAGCCGTGGTCGTTGCCCTGGACATGATCGAAAAGTTCACAAAAAAGCTGAAGTACAAGCGAAAGATTATTCTCGTCACAAATGGGCACACACCCATAGACGACGATTCTACCGAAGATGTCGCCCTGCGCCTCAATCAATCCAGCATCGAACTAGTGGTTGTGTAAGCACGGAGTGGTCGACGCCAATGTTGTGTATTCCAACTAACACTGGTCAGCGGTGTGGACTTTGATGACCCTGAGTACGGGTTCAAGGAAGAGAATAAGAGCGCATTAAAGGCAAGTCGGCACTGGCGTTTCCATGTATCAAAAAATACACCACTGACCCAAAACAGAAATTCAATGAAAAGATTCTGCGAGATCTGGTTGATAGGTGCACAGAGGGAGTGTTTGGTACAATGGCAGAAGCTGTTGAGGAGCTGGCCATTCCACGCATTAAGCCCATACGGCCCTACAGGTCGTATGAAGGCTTACTCACCCTTGGGGACCCTGATCAATATGAGAGTGCCATCAGCTTCCATGTCGAGCGCTGGACGAAAACCAAGGTTGCCATAGTTCCCTCCGCAAGCACGGTAACAGTCACGCATGGTCCTGGGGGATCTTCGCAAACACAAACACTCGACGGCGAAGATGTCGAGATGGCAGGCACAGAACTCTCCAACATCAAGAATACGCGCACCTATTTCGTCAAGGATCCCAATGCCCCTGGTGGCAAACGTGATGTTCCCGCCGACGAAGTCGAAAGGGGGTACCTATACGGTGAAACGGCGGTACCTTTTAGCGAATCTGACTACACAGTCATCAAGTTTGATGCCAAAAAGTCATTCACCATTCTTGGTTTTATTCCGTTTAGCAGTGTAGGTCACGTCTTTTTGGCAGCCGGGTCTTGGACGAGCACTAATAACCGCGCATAGTACCAACCTTTCCTCAGCATGGGCGAAGCTGGCTGCGTTGTAGCACAGAGAAACAATCCAGAAGCCGAGATAGCTCTGTCCTCGTTCATTCACACCCTCTACGAGCTCGAGTCTTATGCCGTGGCACGATTCGTGCAGAAAGACGGAGCCCAGCCACAGATTCTGCTGCTGAAGCCTAATCCAGGAATCGAGGACGAGTTCGAATGCCTATACGACGTCCCGCTACCGTTTGCCGAGGACGTGCGTAATTTCCCATTTCCACCGCTAGACAAGGTTTTGACTGTCACCGGCAACGTCCTCAACGAACATCGGCTTCTGCCCTCGAATGACCTTAGGAAGGCAATGAGTGATTTCGTTGATGCTATGGATCTGTCTAAATTTGATGTTGATGAGGAGGGGTATGAGCTTGATCCCGTGATCTAGAGTAGCCAAGTGCTGACTGTATGGCAGAAACCCGGCGGAATATGCCACTCTGGACGATATGTATAATCCAACCATCCACCGTATCTACCAGGCTCTTCGTGCCCGTGCAGTCGATCCAGATGCGCCCATTGGGCCACCTCCCGAGATCTTGCTTCGCTACTCTAACCCCCCTGGAAAACTTCTGGAGCAGGCAAAGCCGCAGATCGAGGCTCTGATTGAAGCCGCCGAGGTCAAGAAAGGCACGTGCTTTTCCTTCTGATTGTTAGTTTATGGTTGTGGCCCAACTAACCTAATACAGTCCCTCCTAAAGCCCAAGGCCGCCGTGGCAAGAAGGAAACTGTCAAGCCGCTGTCAGGTTTGGATGTGGACGCTCTCCTAAGCGATACTGGACGGTCCAAACGGGTACCCACTATTTCAGCAGAGAACGCGATTCCCGAATTCAAGCAGGCGCTTGCGACAGCAGCAGATGATGCGACTATTCAGAGTGCCGCTCACCAGATGGGCGAAATAATACGCAAATTGATCGCAGACAGTTTTGCCAACCTGACATACGCACGTGCTGCTGAGTGTCTAAGAGTGATGCGCGAGGAGCTGGTAGCCCTTGAAGAGCCAAGATTATACAACAAGTTTATTCGAGGGTTGAAGAAAAGCATACTCAGCGGAGAATTGAACGGAGATAGGAGGGAAATGTGGGCTGAGCACATTGCCCAGGCGGGGTTAGGGCTGATTACGAACGACGAGTCGGAGGTATCGGATGTAACTCTTCAACAAGCTAGTGAGGTAAGTGTTTTCCTATCAAGCAAGGTTCAAAATTACTGCTAACTGAATGCTAGTTTCTGAGGCCCTCCAACAAATAACTGGCACCTGCGTGGAGGAACTGTCAAGCTTAATTGTAATGGCATCTCGGATGGAGGGAGGTGTTCAAGTTAACCTGATATGGTCCCGGTGTGTATCAGTACCAACCTGTATTCGGCTGTAATTTACAAGTGGGGGATGGGTATGGCATAGACCTCTTGCTCAATCGCCAACGTAAAAACATCTCTCTGGTGCCTTGTACGAGATGATATTTCTCTATGATACAGATATGGTCTCCATTTTATTTGGTATCGTAGAAACCTGGACTGAGTATTATCGTCACAGATTAGATCCCACCACTACCGTGGCTACAGTTGCTGGTGTAAAGTGGGAGTAGAGGTTGCAATCTGCCTGTAAGATTCTGTCCTTGGCGGGTCCGAACTTTCGGGCCCAAGAAATGCTACAACAAAAACCTTGTGATGTCTGGCCAAAGATCAGGGCCGTCAGGATATATGCCTACCCACCTTAGGTGGGTAGAAACCGATGGAAACTGTTTGATTTAAGACACGGCTTCTAAGTGTACCTATGTATGTCTTTCATTCCTGTTTTGATCTGTCAAAGGCCCAGACAGCTAGCGTGTGTAAATACTTTTCACTGATGAAACTGGGCTTTCGTTAAAGTTTTACCCCATGGTATCTCCTTTTCCTCAATCTGCCTTTTGGTAGCACTTCAACTGAAACAGTAGATAAGTATTAAACAGGTCGCCCAAGCCAATCACCTCACATCATTCACATCCAATACTCCCACATTACACCAGCTGACTGCCTGTTTTTTGAGAGAGTAAATTCTTGGCAGGTCTCTAGTTCAAGGCCTTTGCACTTAAAGGTGCAAAGCGAACTAGGCCACAAGTCAATTGGGCACTGCTGCCTTAGAGGATTGCTTGACCCAGCAACACAGGGACGAACTGCAGTCTGATTCACGTCTACAACATCCCATACCCCTGCACATGCTAGTCTGCTGCTCACAGATCCTGGGAGCAGAAGACAGCAATCCAAGGACAATAGTGAGCTTGCTTTCCGCTGCGAAAGACCCTGAAATGCTCTTCTTCAGTTTGGAATGAGTTCTCCGTCCTACTACGAGGTTTTCTTCCGCTGAGCCAGAACCGTTTCCCCACTCCATTCAGCTTTAAACACAGATCAAGATCAAGCCTGCGCACTGCTACAATTGTGCTGTGACCTTGAAAGCATTCCTGCCAAGATCTCTTTCTCAACACCCCTTACAAGTTGCATCCCGTGGAGTTTCCTCTACTGATTCAAATGGAGGATCAGATCTTGCAGTGTCTGAAGAACTTGTCAGGCAACAGTAATATCTGGGATGGTCTAGACACATCCGGATGGAATACAGCAAACAATGACGGCTGGGGAGTTGCTGACGACGATATGAACTCTCACCTATCAGAAGGACCCCCATCAGAATCCAGGGATGAGGACATGATCACTCCTGGTACGAATGCAGAGTGGGATTCTGATGACTCGGCTGGCTTGTTGTTTAATGTGAACAAGCTCACCAAGGTGGAAAGAGTCCAGGCAGAAGCCCGTGGCTATAAGCTGAGCAAGGCTCGGGCTTTTGCATCCGATGAGCCTGTTGTGCCAAAGAAAGACCCCAGGGAGCTAGAGAAGGTTGACTGGAAGGAGACTGGCTTGACTATGGGTGATTTGTCTCCAGAGACTGAAGAGTTCGTCCCTTGGCCATTGGTCCAAGGGTATGTCGAGAGGTTTGTTGGGAAGCGCAATTCTAGCAGAGTGAGTGTACTCCTATGAGACATAGGACAAAAGCTGATAACTGTCTACAGGCTGCACCATACTTCACGCTCGAGGCTCTGCACGAGAACAGAGTCTGGGACCTGTATGTTACTCTGTAGCATGGTGTAAGATTGAGGCTGATCTGAGATACTAGTTACTACCTTCACTCTCCTCCTCCTAAGATCCGGCCAATGCTCTTTGTGCCGACATACCAGTTTGAGCATCTCTTGGAGGTCATCAACGCAGAGCTGGAAGTGAGCTTCACTATCCCTCCTGGGAAGAACCAGTGGGCTTTCCGCCTTCGTTTTGGCTTTGGGGGCACACCACGTCCTCGTTTCCTAGGCCGCTCAACCAGCGCAGATTCATTCAGAGACTTGCGAAACCAAATTCCTCCATTTAACTTTGACGATGACTTGAACAAGGCTACCAAAGAGGGACAACAATACCAGCACGACATTTTTTACACCATCAACTCACTCATTCACATGAAGAAAGGAAGCAAGTCAGACAAGAACCGTCTGAAGTGGACCTATGCGCATCGTTCTTGGGGCAGATCCATCAAGCGAGTCCAACGCTATCTTGGACTGCGCTGTAAGGTCTCTGGTGATGACGCTCCGCTTTCAGAGATGCCACCATCTCTGAGTTTGGAGAAAGTCATCCCTTACGAGCCCGAGGGCTTGCCTGTCTTTATCGCCATCGACCTCGAGGCATGGGAACGAAATAACAACCTCATCACCGAGGTTGGAATCGCCGTATTGGACACCCAACGTATCCGAACAGTTCCTCCCGGTCGGAATGGGAAAAATTGGTTCGATCTCATCAGTGCCCGTCACATTCGTGTCAAGGAGAATGCCTGGGCGAGAAATGAGCGCTTCGTTCTTGGCTGCCCTGACCGTTTCAACTTCGGGTGAGTAAATCGCACGTGAAAGCTGGATTAAAGGATCTGAAACTGACGAGTGTAACCACCGATGTAGTTTGAGTGAGTTGATCAAGAGGAATGATATCCCTCTCCTGCTCCGCAGCATGATCGATGAGAACTTGTCAAAAAAGGATAAGGACATGGTTTCTGAAGGGGATGACACTCCGAAGCCTCGCTCCGTCGTCCTCGTTTTCCACGAGGCGAGCTCTGATCTCAAGTTGCTCTTAAAGATTGGGTATAACGCCTATACTGCGGAAAACGTCATTGACGTCGTTGACACCCGCGAGATGTACCAGTGCTTGACGCGGAGCAACGACTCGTCAAGCCTGGCGTCGATCTTGACCGACTGCAACATCGATTACTGCTGGCTACACAATGCCGGAAACGACGCAGTCTACACGCTCCAGGCCATGATCGCACTTTCTGTCAAGGCACGAACTGCTAGCCTTGAGCGTGTGGGCAAGCCGAAGGCAACTCATGTTCCCTTTGCTGAGTTCCAGGAAAAGGAGGGATGGACAAGTGGAGGGGAAGATTCCGATGGCGGAGACCCTGTCAAACCGATGCCGCCTCTCAGCACGAGCCCGGTGTGATGGTAAGCAAGAAACATGCGCCTCTACAACAGACATCGTGAGGTTTTAGAAGTCTGTCAGGTACTATGGACGATAGACGCCAACTCAGGGTGATTGTTTGGCAGCACCGGTAGTGTTGGTTGCGAGCTGCGTCGCTCTGTGTGACTGGATATCGCTTCATCAGACGCTTTGATTTGCCTGTCAGACTGATCGTCCATGGCTCAAAACACCTCCACATCAAGCACGTAACGACTCAAAACGTTGCTATTCTCGTCGTGTAATATAAGTAGCTTAGCAGAAAGTTTTACCGGTAGACCATCAATCACTAGCGATGAATAACCATATGGTATTAAACAATGAAGTCACTGAATTCCTTTGATGTCTGGGAAATTGAGATCTAAAGGTCAACATAGTAATACATTTGTGTTATATCAGCCCCGAGACACGTTTTGTTGTATACATATACTAGTGGCATGACCAAGCCAACCGCCTCCCTTTTTGTTTTGTAAGACGAAAACCAGCCAAACTTGTTCCCTTTCCTAACGCCAATGCTATGATGTATGTTGTACAGATCTGCCGATGTAGTTATCGACAATGTAATTTAGGTCAAATATCGTATGAGAAGAAGTGGAGAGTGGAACATGACTCTAGGCGCAAATTGAGGGGGCGTTCGGGTGAGACACGGGCGTCTCCTCTACTTCCCCATTATATCCCATTACATTGCCGCTGATGACCCACGATCATGGGCTAGTTAGTGACTTTACCCATGTTCATGTCTCCTGCCTCATAGAAACCTGGCTCATCGAGCCCACACACTCCGAGATACTGGTCTCTAGTCCACCCTGTCGAAGAATGCTGTTGCAATCCTGAGAATTCGGCGCAGAGGTGATTCATAACGTCCCCAAGAGCCGAAAATCAAGACGAGGGTCCGTCAATGAAGGATAGTAATGAAGAATTCCTGGAAATACCGTGCTCATTGGGACACTGTCTTGTCGAGAAGCTCCTTTGCCTCGTTTATCTTGCTCGCCAGGTACGGGCTGCCACCACGATCCGGGTGATTGAGAAGCATCAATGTGCGGTGCGCCTTGCGAACCTTCTCCTTAGTTAGGCCAGATTCGCTGTAGTGTACCCTTGGTTAGCATCATGTACTGAAGGCAACAGGATGGGGGTGGGTGAGGGGATATGTACCTCAGAGACAGAATCAACGCCGCTTCCCGCTTGTTCATGCGCGGTTCGAACCCGCCTTTGTAGAAGGCTTGCCCGAGGGCACCAACGCCGCCGCGTGAGCGACGCCAGGCAATGAGACCAGCACGGCCCTGAAAAAAAAAAAAAACATTAGCCCTGTCCAATCTAGCCGTGACTGCGATAGTTGTGTTGTTGGTTGAAAGGGAACACGCACGAGGAAGGCAGCAACAGCGACGCCAGCACCGATAGCGATAGTTGAGGCCATATTTGTTGATGTGTTTTTGCTGGGGAAATCGGGTCTTGAGCTTCGCAGGTGCGCAAGTGACTGCGTGGCGGAGGGTGAACGGCGGTGGTAGCTGTGAGCGGTTACAGCTTAGGATGGAACTTTTCTGCCGGATTCGCAACGACCGAGATTTGCCTCCAAGGCAAGCGGGAGATGTAATATTACCGTAATTACATGTGCTTCATCGGTGATGGGGGATTTCGTCTCCACCAGCTGAGCCCGATGCCCAAAAATCCAGCATCCTCTACCTCTTTCCCATGAGCCCAAGAGACAAAAACTCCTATATCTTGCTGATGACGAGTCGGAAATGTCCGCTGGCTTCAAACATCTCTAGGCTAAACGGTGTTTCACAGCATCAAGTCACTCTTACGGCCTGAGCGCATTCAATTACAGTTCCAGCACTCCTATCTCGCACATTATTTCCACTCATTAACTGGGACTCAAAAGAAGCAGCGATGGCGAAGAAATATTAGTGATTCTTGTCGTGAGCAAAAGTTGAAACGAAGTCCTCCACTAGAAGTCCCCCTCGTCAGTTGAGACTTCTCACAACCTCATTACTTTGACTATTGGGATAGATAAAAAAACCTGGCTTCTTTATCACGCGTACTTACCTCCTTGGCTTCGCTGCTACCTCCTCTTAGTCTTCCTCATACCCCTGCCCCTGACCAACAGGATGATATGCTCTCGCCGGTTCCGCCAGCCCGACATCGACTTCCTTTAGCACCTGCAGCTCGACTTCTTTCTCCTTTCGCTCCTCTTCCTCGCGCTGTCGCTGCCTCTCTTTCTCTGCATCTGTTCCGTCTCTCCAGTTCCCAGCTCCCCCCCGCCCACTTAGTCCTCCAGCCCGTTGCCGCGCTGCGATGCTTGCTGCTACAGCGGCACGCGTCTCCTCAATTCTGGATGGGGACGGTGGTCTCTGCGCTTCCAGGTCTGGGCTGGGATCGGCGGAGGTTGGAGAGGTCGGGGTTGGAAAGGTGAAGTTACCGGCACCGCCACGGCCGGCGCGAGTGTAGGTCGGAGCGGTGGTTGTCGTGTTAGTGAGGATCTGAGTTAGGGGGCTGTTCTGTGTTTCAAGGTCCTTTGGAGACGACGCAAAGTCAGTGCTGAATAGGTAAGGAGAGCGGACTGAGCAATAGTCTGCCAAGCTATACAGGTAAGTGGCTATGAGAGGCAAGTGCCACACACACCTCCTTGGCTGCCTTCTCAACTTCTTGCTTGCTGTAAAAGTTGCCCGCTCCGCCACGGCCAACGCGCCGAAAGACGTCGGTTGACATGGTGGACTGATAGATGTGGATTTGAGAGACTGTGGTTGTGATGACGTTGATGGAGTAAGAGATGACTCTTCCTGGTTGTATGCTGGTCTCGGATAGTATATGAGATGTTTGTTCACCTCCCCAGGCCTAGAAATTGGTACAGATATGATCGAAGTTGAGATGAATGCTAGTCTGATGATATTCATTGATGCCCCCGGTCCTTATCAGCAATAGCATGCAAGCTTATCAGCTCCGTTCAGTTTGACCTCGGTGATGTCGTAATTCCTCCACTCTTTGCCAAGAGATTCAACTCCTCCCACATTCCCCATTTCTCTTGCCAACCTGTGGTCGACGAAACAGTTCCACGCAAGCCCCCAACAAGACTCACTAGTGTATAATGAGTACCTGATATATTGAACTTAGTGTAAAGTTGCTTAAGTAAAACTCTGAAGACTGGAGATCCTCTCGACCAACCCTTTTGAAGTCTGGACACGGACTCTACTATAACTTCACCTACACAGCACATTTGATTGCGTGACTAGTAAGGTCAGTTGTCAGCAATCCCTTTGTTCTATATAGCCTAGGCACGTGGCATGCCGGAGTTATTGACGCCAATCACGCGGACGAGCCTACTCATTTCTTCATGGGTGACAACATGTGTGACACTTCACCAGCCACATCATGCAAGTTTCTGAAATAAGTTTTCTGATGTCCACCATTTCCTTACACATTACATCCAACCAGACAGTTTCGTGTGCATGTTGCCTCGCAGCGAAGTTAAAAAAAAAATTAGCATCCTCCCCTTCAGAGCACCAGATAATGGTTTCAATAAGCTTGCAGTCCTTTAACCACTCATATATGGAACCTCAACACTAATAATGTTTGGTAATGTTTGGAGCCTCGGCCCAGGTTTCTTAGAATTCCTCAATGGCTTTGGCATGTTGCAAGTCCTCACGTACCAGCTCAGCCTTTTAATAGATAATTCAACATCAACTCACAAGACACACATTACGCTAGTTACAAGTTCCTCTGAAAATAGAGAGGCCAAATAATGACTTATCCTTTGCCTGTTTGTACACTAGTTAGTTAGTTCCGGCCACGTACGTGGCACAACTCTCTTCTGGAAGACATGATGTCCGTACACGCCAGTAATTTATTCTCCGTAATTACCCTGTTAGACCCCACGACACAGGCCCGGGTCAATCACCGATCTGATGGGAAAAGGAAAGTACACCCTGCCACCCGCGCCAGCACCACCAAAGCATTTGCTGCGATAGCGCCGTGATCGATTCACGAGATAGGTGAACATCCAGCATCCATTACCTGATCAATGGCCCGGTCTATCTTTCAAAGCCCAACACATTTGCATGGCTTGCCCTGGCAATTAACCGTCCTTTCTTGTTTCCCCCCCTTGACCGCGATCCTCTGCCTTGTTCTCAGTCATTATGTGGGTCCTCGGTCAATGTCATCTGTCTATATGTGTTCTTGTCTGTCCTGTTCAGGACTTGGTATCCTTCTCAGAAAACTTGGCTGATCATGAGTTTTCACAGTTGCCTCCATGCAATGCTCTAAAACAACCTGTAATGGATTTCTGGTGAAGAGGTCTTTTGCTCGTGGCACATACCTCGCTTTTGACAGTACGATGAAGAGACATAGAGCCTTGTCGAGGGCCATTTGGGAATACACTTTGCTGAACAGATCTACACTGTTGTAGGTATGCTTTGGGAGCTTAATGTGAGCCTTGGCTATATCTCCAGGATCACGTGTGCGTAGCTCATCGGTAACAAGATCACCTTCCAGGGCGCGGCAAAGCCCGGCCGCTAACCACGAGTTCCCAGTAGAGAGATTAACATAGGCTAAATGAGGGTGTTATGGAATCGTAGTAAGCACATGGTGGAGTGTTGTCGAAAGCCCTCGATATTGCTGGTCTGCAAGATTCGCTCCCTGGGTTCTCTCTCTCGACGGCAAAGGCCATATCCTTGTACTCTCCTAAAAGTCTTGGAAATCTTGATGTAGCATGCACAAAGGGTCCTTACCCATTGGATGGTCTGGTGATCTCGAAGCTCCCTTCTCATTGGGCTGTACCGGACGGCACCTCTCGAGCGGGGCTTTTTCGAAGGTCCGGCCTGCCCAAGAACAGAGATCGGGCGAGGGGTTTCATACTTTGGCATCATTGATTGGTGGGTACTTCAGGTAAGAACCTTCGGACCTTCCTATCCACAGTATTAGAGTGGACTGTGTCAGGTGGGTGCAAGTCGCGGGGCAAGACACTCTGGTCTTCATTGGCTCTCTGCTGTCTCGAACAGCGAGTAGGTTAGCCGACCTTTTTTTTCTCCCTTTTGCTCTTTGACCACCTTCAAAACCAGATTGCGGATCTGTATCCTCTTTGGTTTCCTCAATTGAGACTCTTGCATTCAAACATAGGCTCGCTATCATTCAGAGAGCCGCCTTCGAATACTTGGCGACTCCACGCAAGTCTCCATGGTTTGTTCTGGATCACGAAGTGAAGGTGGAGACAACTTCTAAAGCAGAGAGGGGTGTATAGCCTCGGAAACCAGGTTACCAGTGTGCACAGTGCGTAAACACTAGCTGGACAAGTTTTCCACTGAGTGTGGAGCACGGAGCTTAGGCCTCAGTTCTGAGCCTGTTGAACACCAGTAAAAAACCAAAAGATACCATAACTCCGTACACTGCAGATGTTGCACAGCAAGATAATTGGAAACCATGAGGGTTAACATGTCGTGTTTCCCACAAGTTTATATGTGGAACGATTCATTTGGACAACGTTTTTGTGTGTATGAGTTTTCATGATGATGTACACATATCGCCAAGTTGTCTGCAATGGGCAAAAAAATTTTGAGGTGTGAAAGTGGAGTTGGGCTTGAAGTTAAGGTTCGACTTTACCCAAAGACAGTCAATCCTTTCAAAACCAACAAAAACTATCCGAAAGATAGCAGGGGCAACTGCACTGGTTTTACGGTAGGCATGTCGAATCTGTAAATTTCTAAGGGGTTTGGATTATGGACTCACTCCAAGATTCTACTTAGCGGATGTTGCCGCTAAAGAAGTGCATAAACTGACTTAAATCCGGGGTTCAAAGGTCAAACCGACCCAACAACACTCATTACAATGTCGATTCTCTAGATATCGACATGTCAAAGAAGGAATGCTCTACCGCGCTAAGTAATTCGTACGAACAACAAGTAGCTACCTCTACTCTGTGCCTCCAATGACTCCTCGTTCAGGGAGACACAACGTATCACAATAGCGGGGTAGGTAGGGACGGCGATGACGGCGGCGTTTGCCCGTCTTAACGATTCAACGCAAGTACGGACTAGTTGGAGAGGAGGCCACGAACTCTCGACACAAGGAAATGATAAGAATACTTACTTTTCAGCATTATGTCCTGTTGGAACCGGAGTAGCCTGAGATTTTGAATACGTAACCTTTCCGGCTTTTGCTCCGGAAGCTTCCATCCATCGATTGAGTCGGCTTAAACATGTGGAGACGATGCCTTTGATTATGCTTCGAGCTTTTCAACAAGCAGAATAGAGCCAAGGTCCCTATGTATGGCGAAAAACAGTTTGCCATCTTGATGAGGGCTAGCAATACAGCTGGCTATGCAGGTACACTACTCCTCGCTAGACAGTTCGACCCCTGGGACCCCCTTAGTGCCGGTCTACTCGCCAGCTCAGCACTTCAGCCTGACTCAGCTTCAGGCAGCCTCGCATCGAACATAAATTTGCAGGGCCAAGACAGCGCTTACAATGTACGGATTGTGGTGTACCTGTTCGACTACCGTTCAGATGGCCTGCGTTGGCACGGCGAATGTGTACTTGACAGCTTCTATATGGACTCAACTCACACAGCTGGCTTCGTGTAATGCTTCTTGTCTATCCACAGGGAATCCTCTTGATAGGCTTAAATCTACCGACCTACCTTACGGTATGTACTCCCAAACAACATCTTGAGTGCTCTCCCGCGATGGGCGTTTGCAAAATCATTCAGCTGCTGCCTGTCTTTTTACGTACTCATATTTCGCAGGTGTTTTGAGAAGCCTGGTATGTTTGTAGAGCCTTGTGTCCCCAGAAGAGCAAAAGATGGGTACCGTGCAGACAACTGTCCACAGCCGACCACTGGACTGGAAGAGGGAAGCTACGGATACCTTTTGGCCTGGGCACGCCAAGAGTGCGGTGTATCTGGTACAGCCTGCCGCCGGTACAGATGCTTTCGCACTGTGTGAGCACAGGTACCTCGCCCCAAAGAGAGAGTGCAAGTTGGATGGGCGGGGTGGTCAGGGGGTACTTGCCAGGGGCACATGCAGGCTCCGCCAAAGCGACCACCCCTTGTAGTGCCAACATTCCCACTTATCCCAGCTGGAAATCCGAGGCCCAGATCTCCTGTCATCCACCGCTGCCAGCCCAGTCCACGGTGTCCACGGGTGTCATGAAAGAAGTGGAAGCTTCCCGCCATTGCATGCGACCTCCACGGTCCCAAGTCAGCAGCAGCCAACGGCAGGCGTTCCTGAAATCTTTTGGAACTTTTTTTTCCTTTTCCTTTTGCTTTTAGGTTTCCAGACGGTCGATTGAATGCCTTTCAGCTTCATTTCATGCCGGGTGTCCACCACTCCGAGCCCTTCTCTGCATTCCAAGCACGCCGCTGACCTGAGCTGACTGACCCGCAAGCCATTCCTCTCGTCACGGGTCGGGTCATTCTTTCAGATCTCGTCCCGAGAGAAGGCACAGCCACTCAGCTTTTACCCTGCTGCTCATCATTTTTTTCTGCTTCATGCCATTGCTCAACAGCACTGCGCTGATCTCCTAATCCAATTGCCTGCCAACCGTTTCGAAACCTGCGTCCAAAAGCTTGACTGGCCGAGCGCAGAGAGTCGCGCACACCCCCCGGTTGGATTGTACAAACCCTAGCAGGACCGAAATTATTATTGTTCCTCCCCGCGCTCCCAAGGACCTGCTGCTGCAGCGAGCTGTCCCAAGTAGCGACGAGACCGTCCTACCGACAACGTGGCTCGCTCCCAAGCAAGCGGCACAGAAATTCCAACCGGCCAGTCTGCTGTGTATCACCACCCGACAACACAGGGTTTTTTTTGGTCACTTCAGATTTTGGATAGAAACCAATCTGAGGAAACCGCTGAGAACATTTAACTTCCAGTAGCGGTTTCGCAATGGCGTCTTTCAAGGTACCTCTCTATCATCCAGCTACGGATACCGCCATATCTGTCCTGTCCCATGGCAGTTCCGGCCAGACATGTGTTCCTGCAACATAGCTGCACGAAACCGAAGCAGTGCTAACCACATGGTTAATTACCTTCAGGACATACAAACCTCGCGGCCCCTTACTCACCGGCCTGCCCTTTCGTCGAGTCCGGCCCCTGGGGGCGGTCTGTCGATTACTCGGCAGGCACACACGCGCAACAGCTCGCACTCGCTGCTTAGCAGCACTCTCAATGGCACTCATCGCATTACACGCCGCAAAAGCATGACCAACACCGGCGCAAACGTCGCAGCATTAGCCGCAGCTCTCCAGGAATCTGGCGAGATGTCTGGGCCTCTGCCCATCGCTTCTGGTTCGCGTCGCAACACCATGTCGAAGCAGGGCCTCTCGCGCCAGGCCATCGTTGGAAGCCTTCCGTCCCCACCGGGGAGTCTACCCAATCGCCAATTCGTGACCGACGATAGCGGGAACGGCAACGTACAGGACAGCGCGATCGAGGACGAGCCAAACGACGTGTCTGGAGAAGATGCTGCGGCGGCTTTCAAGAAGGCACGCATGAGGAGAGCCAGCGATGGTCAGCCCTTGGTAAAGGAAGGCGGCCGAAGGTTTAACCGCCCAGAACTCCGCTGCGAGACATGTGGGAAGGGATACAAGCATAGCAGCTGCTTGAATAAGCATTTGTTTGTGCCCACTTTCCTCCCCCTATCCTCTCCCACCTGGTCCCTGAGTGCGAAGCTGGCAGCCACACTCCGGCCTTGGACCCAGGGTTGTGCCGTCTGAAGCACTTGTGTTGACTTGTTGTCTACCCGCCAGGTGGGAGCACACTCCCGAGTGGTCATACACGTCCAAGCTCTTGATCTCCAAGCACCAGCAAGTTCAGCTGTTAGAAGCTGCTTCGGTCCTGGTTGCTATGAACGGCAATCCCCCAAGGCGTCCCACCGCCGCAGCCGTTCCCGCCGCCTCCGCGTCGGTTCCGACGACTACGACGACACCTCCAGACTTAGGAAGGCACTTCAGCAGCGACCGAGATTCCTCCTCTCCACCCGCGAGTGGATATTCGGAACAGCAAGACCGCAGCTCAGCCGATACAACTCCGCCGCCACATCTGGATGACATCTCGGCACCCCACGGATCGTATACTTCTAGCTTCGGTTGGAGAGATGGGTATGGCCCAGGGGCTGGCCTCTCCCAGTCATATCAACCCGGTGTGTATGGTTCCTCGGTTGCCGAGAGTGTCACCAGTGTTTCTGGCTTCGGGCACCTTGGACACTTCCGTCAGCCTAGTCAGGACCAGCGACCGACATCATCGGGCAGGAATGCCACGGGGAAGGATGATCGAGAGCTGGCGGCGGCTGTTGAGGCTCTGAGCTGCAGCTACAACAGCAATACCGGATCCCGACGCGGCCCTTTCCCGACGGACGTGCCCCCAGTACCTCCGCTCCCACAGTATCTTGGCGATGACGTGTTGTCGGGCACGAGCTTCATTGGAAGCTACCCTAGCAGGGCACCCGAGAGCTTCGAGCGTGGCGCAGGACGCCGATACGATATCGATACCAAGATGGCGGAAGATAGTGACGACGATGATGTTCGGTCTCGGGCACGCAGCGACGAAGATGACGACGGCGTCTTTGGGAAAATGGAGGAGTGAGCGTTATCAGGTGCAACACAGTGACTGATTGATATTCTATGAGAACGAGGTTATTCTTGGGTCGACCAACCTCAATGACCTAGTTACTTTATGGTTGGATGGATAATGGATATTTCTTTTTTTCTTTTGTATACCAATAACTGCACGACAATGTGTAAATGAAATAGCTCTGCTGATAGTCCTCGGTTCCGTAAGTGAAAGGATGCTTTGACGGCTTGATCAAGGTCGATGATAAGGTTAGGGCATTGAAACCACAAGGTTCAAGTGAGGGCTGTGTGCAAACATAGAGTCTAGAGGTCTCTTGTGGTTAGGACTGAATAGCCCGGGACTCGCCTCGCCTTACATCGAATAAATAAAGAAGATAAACCACCACTGACAACCAACTATACGACGCATTGCGAAACATCATTACAAAGGCAACAACCACACCCTTAGGCAGAGTAGCAGCCGCGGGGTCTGAGTCGTAGCGATGTCCTCAACTGTTTATTCTCGTGTCTTGACGATGCTGTGGGTTAGTCGTGACCTTCCGATGGTGCACTGAGCGCTTCCCTCTATACTTGATTTGACTTCAGTTCCAGGGCAAGCGTACATTGCAGCAACGTAAACCTGTGTTTTTCGTGTTCTGTGGCGGTCGCGTTGTACTTCGGATGTAGGTAAGTCATCAGGAGGGTTGGCGGAGCGAAGGGCGTGAAGGGCATGTAAGGCAACCCTCTTGAGGGGGTTCGACTAACCAGACCCAACGACAGGCCGAATGCAAAGCAGGAAGATGGAAAACACCACATGGGTCGTTTTCATCAACCGCGGGGCAAAAGATACCTGACGGTCCGCCGATTACCTGATGGACTGCGTTCCTGGACCGCTGCGAGTTTGGAAAGACGTCACTGATCCACAGCGTGCCCACATTACCCCAGCGGCACTAATCCCTAATGAGGATGGCACAACTGTCGCTGGTCATCGTCGCGTGCAACAGACCTACAGGCTGTTTTGCTGTCCAATTTCACCTCGACTTACGCCGCAGTTGACCCCGTTGTTGGGATTACTCAGTCCTCTTACTCCGACCGCTTGCAGAACACTACAAGCGTCTTTTGATTGGAGGTGTTGAAGCAACTGCGTTGCTCTGTTATCGTTGTCAATTCCATTTTCATTTTGATTGACCCTAACTCCATATCCGTTGTCCCGTGCAACCTGACGAAAACAGCTCCACAGCTTCTGACAGTTTACTTTTGCTTGACGAGACACGCGCGCGTCCGCGCACACTACCGCGTCAAGCTCTCCCTGCCTTTCCACCTCATTCGCATTTCGCCCCAGCAGTTGCGCCGACTTTGCACGCCAGTCGTACTTCAGACTGAATAGCTACAATGGGTCGAACACCACAGGAAACGCAGGCTGAGTCAGAGGCTCCTACCAAGGACGCCGTACCACAGCCTGGCAATACTGCCGATGCCGACGTGCTCGAGGAAGCCGTGAGCAGCCGCACCAAGCTCTCAAGCCCAGTACGCTTTTTTCTGGCAGTCGTTTTGAGTTTTGCGCTTGGGTCACTCGGTCAAGTTGGCCTTCACTATGCGACTAAGGACGAACTAGCAAGTGTTGCGAAGGACTTGGGGAAGTGGGAGGTTGGACTGCTGGCAGCGTGGAGGCTGTATGTTTGCTACCTTGTTCGGTCTTCTCCGTGAACGGTTTTTTCCTTGCCGTCATACCTAGGTGATGTTGCGGTCTGCTTTCGTTCTCGGCTCGCCCTGTGTTGGGGAAGAGCTGAAAATAAGGCTGAATCAGCTCCTAACTTGCTCAACTGTGTTATTTTGCAGCACGCTAACACCGAAAATGACAGAGTCATGCTGGCTCTTTGCTGGCTTGGTGACTATGATGGATACGATTCTGCTGCCCTTGCGTTGCTCTCGCATGGCCCGACTGTAAGTGAGGCTGCTCATCACGCCCCGCAATGCAGACACTGGCTACGACGCCATATGCGGCCCGTGTTGCCCCCCCCCCGGCCCCCGGCGGGATGATCGCCCTCGTTGGAAGATATCATCTGCTGACTGATCTACGCATATGCTTGCATACAGGCTTTCCTTGTCTCTGTCTTCTACGGCATTCGCTCCCTGACGGCCGGCGCCTATCTCTTGGTCGACATCCTTTCCACATCTCTACCTTTCTACCTCCTCCGGCGTGTCAGCGGCGCCCATTCTGCCGCGCCGGGCACTCCCAATCGTGAAATTGTCACCGACAAGACCATCTTGGCGCTCACCTCCTTGCAGGCTGCCCTCATCTACAGTGTCGTTCTGTACCTCGCTACTCGCTATTTCCTGCCGCAGACGCTCGTGCTGTACTTCACTGGCATCCAAACTGTGCGGCCCAAGGCTGAGGACATGTTCCTCGGACTCGGCAGTCCTATGGTACAAGTTCTGAGTCTCCTGTTCGGCCTGGCGGCGAGGACGTTCATCTTCTCGCCGACGGTCACAACGCCAAGAACAGAGGAGGATGAGAAGAATGAGGAGTTTGACCCCGTCAACGCCACGCTTCGGGAGACGGTAAAGTGGAACCTGTGGGGTTACACCACACAGACGAAGGTGTCGCTGAAGAGGACTGCGACTGCGATGTTGGTTACAGGACTGGGCACGGTGCTTGAGACGGGGCTAGTGTTGAAGGGTGTTGAACCATATGGTGCAGTTGTGTATGCAGGAGTTTGGGTTGCGGCCGCGTGTGTCACGGGGTTGGGGTTGAGGTACGTGGGGAGTCTGTGAGAGTAGCGGGGCTGGGAATAAGAGGTGTCTGGACTACTCAGCGCTACAGCTGAGGCTGAGATACCGGAATTGGCGTGTGATGATGAGGCTGTCTGCTGCTTTGGGAAGTATGGGTTGGGTACGGACTATTAGTCTCGTATGTGTGTTTTAGTTTTTTTCCCTCTTTTCCTCGTGGACCTCATGCAGAGGATAGTTTGTGAGAGCTGGGCGGGAAAATATGCAGGGCGGCACCCTAGTTGAAGAGTACATGAACTCCGGACAGTTTCACTTGGTTGGCATCCCGTCGTTCAGACAGCTGGGACATGTAGGAATTGGATAGGGGTGTAGAAATTTTTGTGAGTAATTGCATCAACACGTGCGGATAACACCGGGGTTAGTTCAGCTGCTGTGAAACAAGACTACAGGCTCATACCTTACCAGCGGAAACTTTTTTTTTGGGCTTGCAGACACAAACTATTGAAGATCTGAAACATAGCACACGGCATAGGTACATATTTTTCGGCATCATGGCAGATTTGACGCGCGTTTATGCCAGCCGCGAGTCTGGTCAGCCCTTGCCGACGGCAGCAAACGATCGAAAGGACTGGGTTAGCGGCCAACACGATGCCAAGACCCAGCTGAAGGCTGAGCAGCCTTGCGGGTGGATCAAGGCAAGGCGTATTTGGGTGCTTGTTGGCGCTTGCGAGAGGGGCGATTTCCTTGATCGGATGATGCATCAAGAGCAGCATGGCAGCGATGGAGCCCAGCAGTATCAGCCGCAGAGCGGCTGATGGGCCAGTAGAAGATCTGAATGAATCGGAATCTGTCGTTTCGAGAGTGTGTGGAGCCATGGTCGGTGCCGTTGGGTTGGGACGCCGACCAGATAGACGACCGGTTTTTTTTTTTTTTCAATCTAGCGGGAGGCCTCCGTCAGCGACCCGATGCTGCACAGCACCCCAGGCTGTCCGGTTTCGGCAAGGGCCAAAAGGCTTGGCTTGTCTGAGGCGATGGCGAAGCTGACGACCCTGTTGCCCTGGTCGACTTGGTTATGGCTTCGATTGCTTCTTTTTGGCTTCCATGCAGCTCGCTCACCATGCCGACACGTGGAAGACAACCCTACCTAGATCTGACCATACATGTACTAGCTACATACTGCGCCTCGCAGCCCGTCGCCTCGGCATCCAATCATGACAATCCCATGGGTTCGTCAAACGCAACACTTTCCCTCTGCTCTCTGTAAGAGATCTGGTGTTCTGCCCAAAGCGCCTGTGCCCTCTGCGTTTCTGCTTAGCGTGTAGCCAGCCCAAATTGGAAGTAGGACTGCTGCTGTCGGTGGTCCTAGTCTATGATTCCATGTACATTCATCCAGCCCTTGCCCCTTCGTGTGCTGGCGGGGAAGACGAAGATGGGGCTCCCCTGAAAGGGACTGAAAAGGCCTAGAATGAAGACCGTTAGATGGCGTGCTACTGGACAATCGGAAGGCTCCTGATTGGTTCAGCGTCCCGAGTCAACCTCGTCTGAAGGCATAAACGCGCGCCCAGGATGCATAGGTTTATGGGTTTGATCAACCATTTCCCCAGCAAACCGGCAGTAGCAAGCGAGCAAATGTCCATCCCAAGCCCGAAACGGTCTTTTGACGTGGAGATGGTCGCTTATGATCCGCAGGCAGAAGCCAGCCAGCCGGCTCGGCCGTGGAAATGGAAGAGGAACTACGGGCAATAGAGTAGGAGAGGGGAAGAGGGGCGTGCGTGGATGGTTCCTGTAGACCGCCGACAACACAGCTCACCAATGACTGGAATCGCAAAGCACACTTGATACACCATGGCGAGAGTCTACTGCGGGGAGCTGACATATCCTCTACTTGCTATCGACTGCCTGCGTGTTGTCCTTCCAACATGATTACCCCTTTCTATATAGCTGCCCGAATTCTCTCTCCTACGGCACCTCCGAGTTACATCATCGAGCATCTTGTCGCCAGCTCTAAGCCCCTCTTGCTCATTTGACAGGTATCATACACCGCTGGATGCCTTGTGAAAAGAACATGAGAGCTGCTTTGTCTGACTGCCCTCATCGCAAAGCTAGATCAAGTACAGTAGTCTTGTTGTGGTGTCTTTTTGTGTTCTTGTGTCAGACAATATGAAAAGGGGCTCGACGCCGCCCATGTCGATGACAACAGAAAGCTCATCATCATCATCATCATCATCATCATCATCATCATCATCATCATCATCATCATCATCATCATCATCATCATCATCATCATCATCATCATCATCATCATTATCATCCCCCTCTACGACAGCTGAACATTCAAAGCGACCAAGAACCTCAGTTTCCACAACACATTCAACTACACCAACTGTTACCACAACGGCATCATCATCATCATCATCATCATCATCACCACAAACCACTTCTTCAGAAGCGGTAACGATGTACGAGTACGAGCAGATCATCACCTTCGACCAGCCCATCATGCTTGCTGGCTCCTCCAGCAGTTTTTACCCGAGCCATAATGCTAATAAAATGAGGTCAATCAAGTCTGACGACCCGCTGGATTTGCGTGGGCCAATGGAGGTGGACGGGTCTGTCAAGTCTATGTCTTCTGTCACCTTTAGAGGGGACTTCTCTGTGAAAGATCGGATTGAGGCATACGGAGATGTGGATATTCAGGGCAACCTGTCTTGTGGGTATGTCTCCCCGATCGTCATCTAAGTACCAGTTTGAGAAGCATATACTGACGAAGCTTTCTCCAGTGGCAAATTCAAGAGCATGGGCAATGTAAAGATCCGCGGAAGTGTGGTTTGCACGGACAAAGTCAAGGTTTTTGGCAAGCTCAGGATACACGGCACTCTGGAAGTCCAAGGGGATCTGGAGGTTTACGGTAGTCTGACCATTGATGGATATCTGTAAGTACCCTTAACTCTTCCTCGTTGAATGAAGGTATGACTGGTTAACAAATAACAGAAAATGCAAGATCCTAACAGCATACGACTCCCTTACCACCGTGGGCGACCAGTCCTGGTATGAAGTTGAGCAGGGAGAGACAGTCCAGGGCGCAAAGCTAATTCAGCGACATAATTATGCCAACTGATCGCTTGGCCCGCTCGATTGTCCCCTTGTTTCCCATACACTATCCATGTTTCACTATTTATTCCTTGTCATTTCTGCTCGACGATTTTGATGATACATCGAAGTCACATAGTTTCACAAACATTAGTCCTGGGGCACACAGTATCGGACATGGAGTTTGGGATTGTTGCTTCTCTTCTTTCATCCTGTTTTCTTTTCGACAGTGTTCGAGCCATCGCAACATAACACCTCGATTGGCGGTCTAGAAAGCACCAGGTGCTGCTCAGGGGATCATGGACGGAGTAAGTGTGTAGTGCGTTTAGAGGAGGATGTTCGCTGCATCTGCTGTTGTGGCTGGGTTTGGGGCTGGCATCGCATCGGATTCGTCCGTCTCGGGCTGCTCACTTTCTTTGGGTTTGAGGGAGTCAGCGTTGCAATACAGGGACGGAAATCGCGCTAACAAGGCGAGAGTGAAGTTTTAATGTACTACTACTATATTATGTATTCACGGAAACACTGTGTATTGCAAGTGCACTCGAAACATCTGACATCAGTGAGTTTCATGTCAAATCCAGTTAGTTATGCAAATCATTTGAGGTGTCACTGTGAGGCTCATCATTTTCAGCCTTATTATCCGCATGACCGGAAACGCTTGCATGGTTAAGAGCATTGGCAAAGATATGGTTAATGGCGCCGCTTGCTTGCAAATCCAAGACTGAACCCCTGATTGCGATTTGAGACCTCGATCGGGGGAACGATGGTGGGGGATATGCGGTCCGGGTCGGTGGATAAATGGGTGATCGTGGGTGACGGGCGCGTGGTGCGGGTGAGTGAGATGAGCGTTGTGGTGACTTTGCGTAGGACCACAACCAGTTTGTGGGGGTGGATATGGTGGGCCGCAATAGACAGGCATGCAAGAATCCGAGATTGGCTTAGCGCAAGCCCACAAGGCCCCGGATGCGGCTGCTGCTCTAACTTCCGGGTCCGAGCTGCAAGGTGGGGCGGTTGAACCGCAAGTGCATCGCGCAACGCGTCCCGCAATCAACGACTTCATCTGAATCCAGGCTGCAAACACTGCTGCCATCACGGCATCCCTTCCTCAAGCTTTGTGGTAACAAATAATCCAGAACCGGGTTGCGCAACAAAAAGGATTATGGCATCCCGCGAAGTACGCGTCCAGTGACGAGCGGGAGTCGAGCAACGCGCAGGCGCATCGCGCAACAAGCACCGCAACCTCGAAGACGGCGCCGGCCATCCCAGTCCCGGCTATTGTCCCTTTCCCTGCCTCTTCATACGAAACAAAGATCGCGCAAGCATGGCGACCGCAGAGACCGTGGCCCCCGACCTGGATGAGCCCATCTCTCCGCGCCAACCGGCTCCCGCCCCGAATCTTGAGCAGTCGATCCAGTCGGTCGTCAGTCATCTTTCTACTCTCGACCGAGGCGCTGATCCCGACGCGCAAGCTACTGTGACCGACTTTCTCGATTTTACCGAGTATCTGCCTGCAGATATTACCCGCTCTCTCAACCTGATCACCGAACTCGACCAGCGTTACATCGAGGCATCGACCAAGGTCCATGAGCTCACCAAGCTTTGGGGCCGGCTGCCCAGTATCCCCCCGGCAGAACGTCCAGACCCCGTGCATCTGCGCAAGGAGATCTCGGAATATATGCGGTACGCAATGGATGCTCGCGCCTCTTCGCTAGCCGAAGCCCGTCGCATGGCCGAGAACGTCAAACGTCACCATGTCCGCGCGAAGATTATACTCAAGAAGCTCGAGAACATGTACGAGAATTACCATATCCTCGAAGAGCAGCAACAACAGATCAACAAGTCGCCCCAAGCGACGAGGACACAGAAACAGAAAGCCCGCCGACCCCGAGTCCCACGCATCACCGTCCCGGGCGAAGTCCTTGCACCCTACGAGCTGGACTACAACGGATATAGCACAGATTCGGAGAGTAGTTCGGAGGAGGAGAAGGAAGTTGGGCAGGCACAGCCATCGAATAAGCTAACCCCCGCACCACAAGCACGGATAAAGGTGGTGAAGGGATCTACGGCCAGGGCACCGAAGCCTGCGAGAGCCCCTCGCTCCAGGATCTCTGGTCCTCTTCCCAATGTGCCTAGTGGCAGCGGCACTCAGCTTTCCACGAGCGCTGCGATGGCGCAGTTAAAGCCTCCTCCTGAGAATGCTGAGATTGGCGGACCCGATGCCCCTTGGGGCCAGCTCACTCCGTACGAGCTTGCACGGCTTAGAAAGCGCATGAAGAAAAATGCCTCGTGGACCCCAAGCGATACCATGGTTGCGAGAGAATTGAGCTCACTGGGACGTGGCGTGGAGGCTTACAAGGCTGCCAAGCTTAAGGCAGAGCAGGAAGGAAGACCATTTGAGGGCAAGCTACCCCAACCTGTCATCGACCCAGAGACTGGCGAGAAACGGATGCCGCCTGGCGCTTTGACGTTAGAGGCTTTGACTAGGGAAGAAAACTCTCTGAGCAACCGTGGCATGAAGTTAAACGAGGCCAAGAAGTTGAAGCGCGAGATGTTGGCCAAGATGGCCGCTGAGGAGGCCGAGGAATCTGCAAGGCGCTTCGATGCCATTGCCAGAACTCTCATGTCCTCTGATGCTACGTCAGCCGCCGTCCCTGTTGTTCAGGAGCAGCCAAAGCCGGCCACTGGGCGTAAGACCCAGAGGAAGCGCAAGAGAGACGCTGCGGCGCTCGAAGCTGAAGCCGACAAAGGAGAGGCAACCGATGGGCAGGCCCAGAGGCCTCAGCTGAAGCGTACCAAGACCGAGACGCCGGTGCCTCCTCCAGTAATTACACCGAGCGGCGCTCAACTTCCCTCTGTCGAGACCTCCGTGTCCATTCCACGCCGGACATCAACAGCAGGCGTATTGCAATCAACATCCCCGATCCCCATCCCTATCCCTGCTCAAGCAGCAGAACAAACCATAACAGCTAAGCCAGCAGTGCCAGCCGTATCGTCGGTTTCTCCTGCTAGCACAGGTCCTGCAAGCGCTGCTCCATCTGTCCGCCTTCCCACTTCCGAGACTCCTATCCCCCCTCCCGTCATTTCGCCGAAGAAATCCACGACACCGATTCTGCCGCCGGTTCGTGAAACCCGTAAAACTCAAGCTGCTCGATTGCAGGAACAGCAACAACTGCAGGCTGGTGCAGCAGCAGCTGCTGCCTCGGCGCCTACGAGCGCCGCACAACGCATGACATCCCTTTCAGGAAGCCCTGAGGCTTCAGCAGTGCTTAAAACTGAGCCCGAGAGCGCTACTGCGGCAGTAACAACAACAACAACAACAACAACAACAACAACAACATTAACGACATCAAGCACAACTGCGATGACCACCAAGCGCCCCACGTCTCGAGGCAAGGGTGCAGCCGCTGAACCCCAGCCGACAGCAGCCTCGGAACGGCCCCGACGCTCTAGTACCGCGCGGAACACGCCTGCTCCGGAGGCTGCGGGCACAAGTGGAGGGACAGGCGCCACAAGCGCAATAGCAGCAACTGAAAGCGCTGGTGCGGCTACAAGGCAGGCGAGCAAACGCTCCAAGAGGCCTGCTCCGGGCGTCATCAGCCGGACGAACAGCGGGGGAAGCAGTGCTGTCGGAACGAGGAAGGCTGCGCCTAGGAAGAAGAGCACCTCGACCCGTGGAGGCAGCAGGAGAGGTGCCACGGCTGCGGCTGCTGTTGCCGCAGCTGAGAACGCGACGGGAGAGGCGTATGAGGTGGAAGTGGATGATGAAGGGAATGTCATTGATCCCGATGAGCCCAGGTATTGCGTATGTAATAGGGTCAGCTTTGGGACAATGATTCAATGTGACAACGTTGAGGTAAGCCGCTTTTCAACATTGCAAATTTCAGAGTACAATGTCATGGCTGACGTAGTGCAAACAGAACTGCAAACAGGAGTGGTTCCATCTCGAATGCGTTGGGCTGTCGGGTATCCCGGCTCGCACAACTAAGTGGTATTGCCCGGATTGTCGGAAAGCTCTGGGCATTGGAGAGAAGGGTGAAGTCAATGCTAGGGGGGTGAAGACCTAGCATGTATAAGAAGCTCTCCGTCTCTGTTCTCTGTTGGAGTCGGAGTTTGGGGGGCTACGCGACTGGGAGTTTAGGGAGGGTGTAAGGTATCCTGTAGTGTGTTATTCTTCCAAATTTTCTTCATTGTTCGTTTCATCCGTTACAGAGACACCGATGCTTAGAATTAGGCGGGTTTGCTTCCAGTCCTGTTTTCTGTCATTACCTCCGCTTGCTTCACTTCTCCAGCTAGTGCTCATATCCAGGAGGATAGCACTGAACCAAAGGATGGGATGATCTCTGGGTCATTTTCTGGTACCATATTGCTTATAGCATAATACTACGATTATTTGTCTACTGTATATCAGTAAGAGCCCATCTTTTAGGCTACAATGATATCTCGAAACATCCTACGATACGGCAATGCCATGGCTTTCCATAAACCCAGGAGGTCGGCTCGTCCTTTGTATGTATTTGGAAAGCCAGCCTGTGACGATTTCACATCCTCCTGACATAGGTTCGAAGGTTGTGGCCAGGTTGCAGAACCTGCGGGACTGGGGTTCTCACACAGGAGTATATATGGCTTACTGCAAGTCACCAGTTGCTGGTTGACAACTGGTTTTATCGCTGACTGAGGAAATCCTCATCGTGGTCCTGGAAGTGGGTAATTCTTTATATCTATATATATATATATATAGAGAGAGAGAGAGAGAGAGAGAGAGAGAGATCGTTGGAATGCCTGTCTAGCCGTTCAGATTGACATCAGTCAGGTTTTAGGAGCATCGTCGAGGGTTGAGGTCGACTATCAGCGGCTCTTGTTGACGATAATCTTCATTACACCTCTGATTGATCCGCCCTTTGACCCCACTCGGAGCCTCCTCATTGTTCAGTCTCCGCCACTGCGGGGCAGCTGCTAGCCCCCCACCTGAGCCGTAACATGGAATATTTGTTATCTACCACCTACATTCAGGGGGGTCTGGGGGTGTAGACTCCGGAAAGTCGACTGTAAGTCAAAGGCTGGCCGTAGGTTATAAAAGGGGGCCCAGGGGGTATAGCCCCTGGAAAGTTTTGACGATCCACCTAGCCTTCCTGAGATGGGTTCGGATTCGGATCAAGGCTTATGGATCTGAGAGACGAACAGTTCTCTCAGATCCGAGAGTACTGTGGTCACCAGTTGGGTATGCGCAACTGTTGCGTTGCCGACTAAGGAATTCTTCGCTCTTTCTACTTACGAGGAATCTCTCTGTCTTATATACTCGGACCCTTCTCTTTATTTTTTTTTCTTTTTCGTCCTACTAAGGCTCTTTTAGTCCTTTGTCGTGGTTCTTGGCCTGACAACGTTTTGTGGGCGATTTTTGACCTGACGATCTTGTATCAAAGCTTCTTGTTTTATATTGGCTGTTTCGAGGCCGCATGGGCATGTAGCCCCTGGAAATATGTAAATCCGACCGAGGTGATGAAAGCTTCACTTCTCACAATGGCGAAATCCAGTTCACGTGCCATAGTCAAGAGTTTTTGTTTAACCCTAATGCTCTGTATTTGGACCTTGGTTTCATTTCCGAGGCGTCCGTGGCGTTCGTTATGGAAGCCGGGGACGTGGCTACAAATGCAGATTGCACGCTCTAAACAAGTTGCTGCAAAACGAGCATGTTTCCAGTCTTATGTTCTATGAATTCATGCCGTTTGCAAGAGTTTTACCACTTGAAGTAAACAGACTACGATGAGAGAAAATTAAATTGTTAAGTTGTACAAACAATTGATGACGAAGACTTGATCTGCGGCGCTTGCTGAAATCGGTTTCAACCATTGATAAGTACTTTCCCTTGTTCATCAAATGCCGAATACTCCAAAATTCGAGGGAAACTCTAGAGCAAAAATAGCTGCAAAATCCAAGTCCAAAAATCCTGCAAGTTGCGAGACAAACCTATGACTTTCCAGCTGTCGCCTGTCTCCCGCCGTGCAGGGGGCATCTCAGGATATCAGCCATGGTATCCCATCGGCGCAGAGGTCGACCAGACTGTCAAGCAATTCATCACCAACTTTTATCAAACTTCCGACTCTGAGGACCTAAATAATGACTGGGTGAACTTTTTCCACGACGATGCGGTAGTGGTGATAGGAAAGCAGATGGCAAATGGGAACGACGGCTGGTCTGCCCTATTCTTTTGCGCATCGCTGGCTTTAGTCTCTGTTTATCTCCTTGCTGTCGTTCAAGTTCACTTCTTCTGACTTTGAGCCCTTTGAATTAAGAAATCGCGAGGCTCCGATTTGGCATGTGGGAAGCTGTGGCCGAGCGCAGACATCGAGTCGAGATGGTGTTCCCTGGAGTGTTTTCTGCAGAGCAAACATCATCTGGGGCAAGTGAGGCCGTACTCGTGATTATAGGTGAAGTGAAGTACAGGATGAGAGATGGGAGCAAAAAGGACTGGACTTGTTGGGCTGCTTACGCTGAACTTGCTCGCGAAGGTCTGACAGAACTATGGAAGTTTTGGTATTATGAGGTGTTCATAGGGCAGCTGTGACTTGGCCATTTCAGGAAGCGGCTGTTGTGCGTAATATGCTTAGCTAAAGCGGACATTAATTCATTGGCGTGAGAGGTGGCCAACATGAATCACAAAAAGCTTACAAACATGGGCTTCGTCATTCTATCTGTTTCCTGCCACATAAGAGGGTGAGACAGACAATACACTACCAAGCTAAACGACTCATGATCCTTCTGTCACTGACACATTATCATACTATCGAAATATAACTGGATTAGCAAATGCATCGACTCCGAATCAAATGAACCAACTCTCCCTCCAATTAGCATTATTATTACTGGTTCTGGCAAGGCAGACTACAACACCTTGGCTGAACTACCACTGAAGCCGAGACCTTTGAACATTTGCCTGCCAGTTATGTAACAGCAATTTAAGAAGACGAAAAAAAATTTTTTTTTGTTAATGAAAAGAATGGCCTATGTTAATATGGCAGGTTATTAGGGAACGGCTGGATCATGTTTGTGGAGGAAGGCTGGTCATCGGTTGATGGCATTCAAAGGATAGGACAGACATATGAAGTAGGCCTGCTGGTATTCATTTCCCGAGAACCAGGGGGGTCCTCACTGCAGTAGTTGGTTCATAACAATAACCAGCATATTGCTGTTTTCACTTGAACGTGAAATCAGCACTTTGCGAAAACAATCCGGTTACTTTACCGCACTTGGGCTTTTTAAAGCCTGGATGCTGGTGTTGGCAATCGGAATGCAGTCTTCAATGATATTTGAGAGTCTCGTGCATTTTTAAGGGTATCCCCTTTGGTGTGACTTCATACCAAATGAATTTGCCCAGTCGATAACCCGTAAGTCGATAGTTGATTGACTTTGCTTCATGATTGCTTGCATGCCGCTGTCGGGACCAGGGCATGTAACAGCCTGGGTTCGGGTTTCGACCGTAGATTGATGGCTCCACTCCGAACCCTGGTATCTAAAGACGCGCTACCCCGCGATGGGTAGGCCCCAAGAATGAGGCGGTCAGATGCACTCTTCAACAAAAGCCGTGTTTGCAGGTCTTCTGGAAGCGGTCAAAATCAACATTTAGAAATTTGTGAGTCTCCAGTACTCCCCATACTTCATGTATTGCTGTAAACAATGCTCAGTACAGTATGGGGTACCGGGATGTACGGTACGGAGCAGCGTGAGTTCATCATGAGTGCTGATCACGGGTCTCGAATGACGTAAGTCAAGGTACAGGGAGAATGCGGATGGAAAGTTCTATCTTCGCCGAAGGGGTCATGACCGGCATGACCCTGCCGGCTATAGAGTGCTGGTCAACAGAGAACACGCTACAAGAATCTCTCAATGTCTCATGGCAAGATGACTCCAGCAGAGACAGACATGCTGAATCAAGCACAGCGGGTGATAACGGGCGTGGATTTTCATGGATGGGGTAACGTGAAGAGGGGGTTGTACTGCGTTTATCTTATCCGTGTCTCCGGATCGCGGTGACGGCTACGGGGGACGGGATGACGGGCGATGGATATCTAGCCGCCAGCTCCAGGGCCTAACAGAGTGTCATAGGTTGCTCCACATGTCCCCAGGCGGCTAAGAGCGCTTGTGAGGGTGAACTTGAGTAGGGTGAGCGAATAATTTCTTTGTCTCTTTATGGGATTGGTATGCCACGTGCTGAGGCAGCGTAACAGATAAGGCCTTGCTCACTTTCATTGCCCGCCCATATTCTGATCAGAAATCTTCAATCCAGAATAGAAAAAAAAGCATATCTATTCCTACCAGTTTGTTTTCTTTTTTTCCACGAAGAGATTGTGCAGGTTGGATGTATGGGCTCAACACTGCCAGTGGCTGCCCGTCCTGCTGGCTGCTGGAGATTTACCTCAGTGCTGTATCGAACTCCGTAGGTGATAGTAGATGGCGTCATCTTGGCAACCAGAGTATCCACTGGCGTGACCCGCACAGCCTGCATTCATGGGACACATTGGGACAGCAAGGGCTGCCCCGCCTCAACGCGGGATCCAGCGGATCCAGGTGATCGATATGTTCAGGAGCAGATGGCGGTCGACGGCCAGCGATGACCCTGTGATGTCCCCGCGAGTCACAGGGTAACACACAGTGAGCTGCTCCATCTGCTGCCAAACCGACCAACTAGGCACCGCCATTCACCTCGTTATCCAAGTAATCTCCAATCCTCTCACACATCCAGCCAACACTCAGCACAACACACAACCTCAGCAACAGCACAACAGCCAACTTCAGTACCAGCATCGCTCCTTGCTCCTTGTCGCCCAGCACATACACACAACAAAACCTTCCTAGCATCTCTAGGAGTGCGAGCTCCGTACAGTAATCAGAGTACCTGTCTCTACAGTACCTAATCTCTTACCTTCTCCGTTAATCGATCATCGGTCATCCATCATACATCGTACACGCGCAGTCAGCCAGCAGCAGCTGTCTTCCTTCACCTGCCTTCTGCCTTCTTTTGTCTTCCCTGCGCATCCATCATTCTTCCATCACGGAGCCACACTCGCCATATTGTTCCTGTCTGATCGCGTCTGATCCTGCGACTCCAACTCTTGCACATCGGCCGGCGTTCTTTGTGAATCCCTTGTCTTCCTGGGCTTCCCAGTCCCCAATTGCATCGTCCCAACAGACGCGGCATTTGGATCTCATTCGGTTGCCTGTTTGGTGGCCTCCTCTGGCCCCCCCCCCCTTCTCGTGGTTCCCCTCGTCTATACAGTTCTGGACTCCTGATCCTTGAGGCTGGGACCCTTGCGCATCATATCGCATTGCGCCGCCGCAGTCACAGGCGCCAGTCGCAGTCATCAGTCATTCGGCCTTCTCCTTCTGGGTTTCTCTGTCATTCAGCATCCACTTGACACTCGCCGCTCCTTTGTCTCCGCTCTAGAACCCTCGCACGGCAACTTGCTCTGCGTGTGTGTGCGTGTCGAAGCGAAACGCCCTATCTCTACCTGCCTAATTTTTATTCTTTTCCTGTTTCTTCCTACCGATAACCCGGCCAACCCACGAAATATTCGCCGTCTCCTAGACCGTACGTACTTAAGCAGCTTTACCTAGTAAAATACTGTACCTACCTACCTACCTACCTACCATAATCTAGCTTTGCGCAACAAATAACCCTCCGCTTGGTCTTGGTCTCCGCCGACGAGCCATCGCAGTCAGTTTTGTTGCGCTGCTTTGACTCATTCCCCGCGTTCCCGGACCCCCTCTCTTCCTGGATACAGCCTTGCCGAGAGCCACGACAACAAGAACACGGACAGACGCGTTGATCGCGATCTTGGACCGCGCGTAGACCTGCTTCTCCTCCTCCCGCTGGAACCGATTCTTCCTGCTTTCCCCGCCCCGGGGCGTGCGCGCGACACCCAGATTCTGTGAGCAGGCCACTGCTCCCCCTCTCTGCCCAGTTGCCATTCATGCCAGGTTTGTTCCTTTCACTCGCCATCTCCACCAGAACCCGACAATCAAGATGATGGATGCAATGTGCGAGGCTAACTGGCGGTTTGCGACCGTGACAGGCCATAAGAAAGACCGGAAGAATGGCAAGGAAGGTGGCAGTGTGGTTGCAGCAGTGACCAAACATGGTGCCAAGTTTTCGTAGGTCTTGAGCGTGCGCTTTCAACGGCCTGGTTTAGAGACTGACTGTTGCGATGCCTAGGAATGGGACTGTCTCCAAGGCGACCTCGTCGGAGCCGTCCCCCATTGTCTCTCCTGAGATACAACCCGCCTCGAGTCTGTCCTCAACAGATCATCCGGTGACTTCGCCTTTGCTGGATGCTGCATCGGGGACAGGGACATCGTACACCACGAGCACCTCTCCGGGTGCACAGGACTGGCCTAGAGGCTTGTCCCCGGGGATGGCGGGCTCTCCGGGGAATCTGATCAACTTTGTCGGGGAGTCTCCGCCGACGGCACCCTCTTCATATGAAGATGCCCGTGGCGCGCCTGGCCGGGCTGGGCCGACCCTACCTCGACCTATTGCTGCTCATCATACGCCAGCCTCAGCCTCGCCTCCTATTGTGGGGCGCCGTCCTTTCAGTTTGCACATGGACAGCCACTACTCTCCTCCAGATACCCACCTGCCGCTCAGCGCTGCGGCAGTGGCCAGGCGAGGCTCGCTGAACTCTCCCTATGTTCATGGTCGTATTGTATCGAACCCCCCGCTCCCACATCATCCCCAGGCTCACTTTTACGGAGCGGCGCCTCTCGACCTTGATCCAACTCCTCGGTCCGGTATGAAGGCGGGCGAAAAGGGTTATTACTTTGGCTTCGATGTTCTCACGTTGCCGAGCGTGGATCGCGCTCCTGGTAAGGACACTGTGGTCCTCGCTGGCTACGAGGGAGGGCTCGAGGTCTTTTCTGTCAGCAGGCGCGGCGTGGAACATGTCGCCAATCTCAAGGGGCTACGCGGAGGCGTCTACCACGCCAAAGTCCTGCCATGGACTTCGGCCAGCTCCGATCTGTTTCCTCTTGTTGCAGTGGTCGTTCACGGCCCAATCTTGCCGCAGAGGACCTCCGAGGGTGGCGTGGAGGGCGGCGATTACGACCCCGTTTCCGCAGACAGATCCGATGCCATGATAAACAGCCCTGCTCCTTCGGTCAAGAATGCCGGCAGTAGCAAGACTGGTGCAGGGCTCATCGAAGCCTACCAAACCAGCGTTGAAGTCTGGTCCCTGAAGACGGGTCAGCAGTTTTGCGTACTTCTTGAGGCGCCTAAGATTCCTCTCAAGACGTCCATCACGAGCCCTAGCTTCCACGCTCCCCCTCCTACCGGTGCTTTCCACATTCATGCAGATGGCGGGAACATTATCGTATCGTCGGGAGTTACGGGAGAATGCTGGGTTTACCGTCAGATGCCGCCCGTGGGCGAGCTGCCACTCCATTTTGGCTGCATCGGCAAGCTCTGGACCACTCTTCAGCAGCCCCCGAAGGGCGACACCCCCCAGGAACCGGATTGGAGTCGTATCCCTGGCCCATCGTCTCCACGTCCTCGCCCGCAGACTGCTATCGTGAGCGTGAGCGGGAGATGGATTGCCTATTGTCCAGCCGCGCCGTCCTCTCAGATTTCGTTGCGCGCTTCTGTCCCGGTACCTGTGTACGGCCGGGCTCCTGGCCTGACATCTATGACGGCTCCCCAACTACCGCCTGTCAACGCCGAAGTCGACTTGTTTATGACCGAGAGCGTTGTGAACAAGGTCATGCGTGATGCGACCCAGGAGATCATCCAAGGTGCGAGGTGGATTGGCAAGCAAGGCATGCAGGCATGGAACAACTATTGGAACCCGCAGCCAAACCAGCAGCCACGTTCACCAACCACTGCTCCCCAGGGCTGGGGCGAGACATTGCAGTTCCCGCCGACACACGGTCCGGTGACTTCCCAGCCCGTGGTCAAGGACCCCGGTATGGTTTCGATTATCGATATCGAGACGCTCGGTTCATTTTCAAACCTCCATCCCATTGCTACGTTCAGCGTCCCGAACGGCTGCAGCTTTCTGTCGCTTTCGCCATCGGGCCTCTCGCTCTTCAGCGCGAGTAGCAAGGGCGACGTGCAAACCGTCTGGGACCTGATGCGAATCCATAACACGAGATCGTCGCCACTCCAGGCCGCCGCGTCGCCCCTGGGCGGTCCCCGGGTGCGCCAGGTCGCGCATTTCTCCCGGATGACCGTGGCACGCATTATAGATGTGGCCTGGACGCGACCTAATGGCGAGAGAATCGCCATGGTCACGGAGCGTGGTACTGTACATATCCTAGATTTACCCCCTAGTGCTTTCAGTTGGCCCCCTCCTCGCCGCAGGCGCGCACAGGAGACCAAGGCCGCTGCCGCCGCCTCCGAGGCTCCGACCTCGGTTGCGAGCTCTGCCGCCAGCTCGGCTGTCTCAATTGCTTCAAGTGCCTTGAGCTCAGTCCGTGACGTTGCTCTCCCGCTTATCAACCGACACCAGCGAAGCAGTTCCAGCACACAAGCCGCGACAGGTTCAGCTATCGGAGGGTACGCTGCCGCGGGCGGTAAAGTCCTTGCCGCCAGCATCACTCACTCATTGGGCAAGACTGGCAATGTGATCAGCCAGCTGCGGCATACCGGCGAGAACAGAGTCTCACTGCCGAGCTCTTCTCCGCCTGGCCCGTCATGTGTGATCTGGGTGCCGGGCAAGCGGAACCACTCCTTGTTTATTTTGGGTATGGGGCTCGTCCGGACGTTCCCCTGCAGAACTCGGAAGGCTGATGGCAAGGGAGGCAAAGGCCATAAGACGCTGCGCCTGTCCCGCTACAAAGACCACAGCCTTCCCATGCTTCCGGATGATGTCTTGCCGCCGGTCGTCAAGCGCATCTTAGATCCGGAGGAGTACCTGGACTTAGCGGCCGCCGCCGCTGATCGAGACTTTGAAGCAGGAGCCAATACTCTTGTGCTCAATCAACCACGGCCCCGAGTGCAGAAGCCCTACGACCTCAGCGCGGAGTCTGCTATCCCGCAGGCTGAGATCGAGTCGAGCGCCCCGTACCAGCCTTTCCACACTGATCGGCGCGTGGTGCTCTACGAACTGACTCCATCCCGACCCACCAACACCGGTAATGAACTCCAGGAGAGAGACCTTTCCTCTCTCATGTCGGGTGCTTCTCTTGGAGACAACACCCCTCTCTCCTCGTCGCCGGAGCCGAGCAGCACTCCCTCTCGTCGTGGGAAGAAGCGCCAGCCTCCGGCTCTTCCTTCTCCTCTTCCTCCTCCTCCCGCCGTCGTGCCAGCTGCTTCCTCTGTCATTATCACCAGTTCGCTCCCCTCAGGAGCATGGGTCTTCGGCCAGCCCCTTCCTGCCATTCGGTTGGATGTTGGAACAGGCCATCATCACCTGCTGGATGACGCAGATGATGACAGCGACAATCCAACGGTGTTCAGTATCCCTCTTGATTCCCATGCGTCAAGGGCATTGCCTGCAGAGGCGATGGAACGGGTTTTGATGCATACGGATGGCGGGGATACCAATGTGGGAATGGCGCAGATTGTTATCACTACGCGTAAGAGGCGTAATAGATACAGAGGGGGCGAGGGAGATGAAGATGGGTTCTTTGAGGATGATTGTGAGGTGTTGGATTTTGCAGATCAGAGGGTCTAGATGCAAGCCCAGCTTTGCCCCTTCACGCTTCCCAACAAGCCAAGATCCTCTCATACTAATCTATCCAGAGAATGTGGGTGGTTTCGGCACGGGCTTCTTTCAGGTTGTATGGGTGTGGGAGTTTGGGCAGAGGTTGGGAACTGGGTCCAGGGATCGATCTATTGCCCCCTCCCCCCCCCCTTTTTTTTTTTTTTTTTAAGAGAGAGAGAACGAGAGAGAGAGAGAGAGAAAATCTGTGTGTGAGGCTCACTTCCCCGCAGGTAAGGGGGGATTATTATAGCATACATGACCTAATATTGTAGCACTGTTATCATGTCTTGGTTTATTCTGTTCATGATAGAAAGGAAGATGGATACCGGGGCGACTACCATCAGCATCAATGTCATCTAGCGTCATAATCAGCAGCGAGAGGGTTGGGGCTAGGAGTTAAGGAGCATTTGTTTGATCATGCCATTTGAACCTACGTTAGCTAGGGACCTACATGGTACAGGCATACATCATTGTCCGCAGAGCTCAGCTGAAGGATTGGGGGGATGGGGGGGAGATGGGTGCATCAGCCTGCGCTGTTGGCCACCTTCGGGAGAGGAGTCGGAGAGGAAGAAGTGAGGAATGAAGTGAGGAATGGAGTGAGGAATGGGAGAGAGAGGTAGTTGTTGGGTTTACTTCCTTCCTACTTCCATTTCCCAGCTCAGCATAGCCAATATAGGTTGTTCTCCTCTCCTTGAAAGGTATCGTCTCTGTCATCCCCCTTACAAGGCGCTGGCTGATGCTTGCCATGCGCTTGGATTTTTTTTTTTTTTTGGTTGAGGGGAAAGTGTATAGTGCCATGAGAGGACAAGGCATGAGGTCAGCCCCCTCCGCATTCTCCTTCCCGCCACCCCCCTCCCCTTCCCCCCCCCCCCGGGCGCCCCAACACTAAACAACCCCTAAACACCCACCCACCTCGCTAGCATCTCAGGAGATGTTTTCGGGGATGATCAACACAATGCTCGTTGGCTGTTTAAAATGTATGCATGTGAGGAATTTGAATCGAATCGAGTGGCTGTGTCCTCGATTCCTCGACTCTTTTGCGATCACCAAAGTAGACAGCGGCAAACCCATCAACGTGTTGTGATTTTTGTTGGCTTATTATTATTAGTACACCACGTCGCCGACAATCCTCCAGCTTCAACCTTATCCCAACCGTAGCCCCTGACCCTACCGTTTCTATAATCCCTTCCCCTTCCTCTTTTCACTGCTTCTTCTTGCTCGCTGTAGACCCGGCCGCCGCAGCCGCTGCTGCGGCCTTGGCGGCCTTCTTTCTATTGCTGCGGATCATGACGACACTGAGGAAGGAGCCGACAACGGCGGAACCGAGCAGAATGAGGATGACAGGGATGCGAATAGCCCAGACGCGCGGAGGGAAGAAATTTTGGAGCGGGTGGTCCGAGTCAACGAAGGGCTGGCAACAAGCAGAAGGTTAGTTAGATCGAGTCTCGTGCCAACAATGTAGTGAAGGTGAGAGTAAAAGCGAAGGGGATGGGCGCACCATAAGCAAGGTCCAGATGGTGTAGTAGAGGAAGACGACAGTGGCCACCACGAGCATGGCGAGGCCGACGAGTTTATCGAGCTGGAAAAAAAGAGTGAAGGAGTGGTCAGCTACACTGAAACAATAAACAAGGTCAGAGATCATGGACTGAGGAGCACTCGATGACAAACCATTGTCGATGTGGAGGGTTGAGATGCGACAAAATGAACAGGACTGAGGTTTGTTTGTGCGCGTGGATTGTTGCGCTCTGTAAGTCTTAAGAAGCAAAGGACTGCAATATCGATTAATTAATGGCTGAACAAACTTTCACTTCCTTGAACAGTCGGCCGTGGGGTCGTGGGCAGCGGGCAAGCAGTGGACAGCAAAGCTTGAAGCGATGACGGTTGCGCCACGGTGACCTCTCAATGCGTCTTCAGTCGCATGCAAAAGGGACAGGCCCGGGGGCCGGGGGTTCGCGTCCTGTCGTGGATCGCCCGAGCTGAAGAAACCCCAGGGCCTGGCCCAGGCAAGGCGCAAGGCCCAAGTCGCCTTGTTCCACAGTTGTGGGGCAGTGGATGGTGGACACTTAACAGAAGCTGGTTGCTCGTTGCTGGTTGGTTAGGGCCCACTCACAGTGCCCATAGGCGTAGGCTGCAGTGCTTGAATCTTTGCCTCGCGGTCGCCGCAGTCGCTCAAGTTTTCAACTTAGAATACCCGTCACTCCTCATCGTCCTTACAAACCTTGAACGCTTTGCTTCGTCGATGCACATGCGCATCTGCATCACCACTGCACTGCCGTCGGCGGCCCCTGTCCTCATCTCCATCCCGCCGCGCATCGAGAGACACAGCATCGCCCATCGATTGCTGTTCTTCTGCCGTCGCCGTTGAGGAAACCAGCTCCGAATTAACGACAGAACTTGATCGGCTTCTCGCCGACGAAATCAAACCCTCAACCCCCCTTTCTTCCCCCCCCCCCTCCCAAAAAAAAAAAAGTTACCAAATTTTGAGTTTTCCAAGATGGCGTCGGCTGATTCCGCTGCTGCGGCGGCCAAGACGGAGGAGCAGAAGCTCGCCGAACAGCGCGCAGAGTATCAGAAGCTGCTCGAGCTACGCAGTCAGGGCGTGTATCTGCCGCCGCACAAGCTGCGCGCCCTGCAGGCGGCCATCACTGATCCCAAGACGAAGGAGTATCAACGCATCGCTTGGGACGCCCTCAAGAAGTCTATCAACGGTCTGGTTAACAAGGTCAACACCGCCAACATCAAGCATGTCGTGCCTGAACTGTTCAACGAGAACCTGATCCGCGGCCGCGGCCTGTTCTGCCAGAGTCTCCTCAAGGCCCAGCACGCCAGCTTGCCTTTCACGCCCATCTACGCCTGCATGGCCGCTATTGTCAACACCAAATTGCCCCAGGTCGGCGAGCTGCTCGTCAAGCGTCTCATCATGCGCTTCCGCAAGGCTTTCAAGCGCAACGACAAGCCTGTTTGCTTGTCGTCCACCATGTTCATCGCCCATCTCGTCAACCAGCAGGTCGTCCACGAGACCCTCGCCGGCCAGATCCTCGTCCTGCTGCTGCAGAAGCCAACCGATGACAGTGTCGAGATCGCTGTCGGCTTCATGCGCGAAGTCGGCCTCTTCCTCGAGGAGATGGCCCCGCGCATCGCCCATATTGTCTTCGACCAGTTCAAGAACATCCTGCACGAGGCCGATATCGACCGCCGCACCCAGTACATGATCGAAGTGCTGTTCCAGATTCGCAAGGACCGCTACAAGGACAACCCCGTTATCAAGGAGGAGCTCGACCTCATCGAGGAGGAGGACCAAATCACTCACCGCATCTCCCTTGACGAAGACATCAATACCGAGGATAGCCTGAACATATTTAAGTACGACCCCGAGTGGGAAGAGAATGAGAACGAGTACAAGAAACTCAAGGCCGAGATTTTGGGCGAGGTGAGCGGTGACGAGGATGAGGAGGACGAGGACGAGGAGGATGAGGAAAGCGAAGAGTCAGAGGACGAAGAGCAAAAGGCGATCGAGATCAGAGACCAGACGAACGCCGACCTTGTCAACCTGCGGCGCACTATCTACCTGACCATCCAATCGAGCGCCGATCCCGAGGAAGCCGCTCACAAACTGATGAAGCTTAAGCTCCCCCCCGGCCAGGAGCCCGAGCTGGTATCCATGATCATCGAGTCGTGTGCGCAGGAGAAGGTTTATTCCAAGTTCATGGGCTTGTTGGGCGAGAAGTTCGCGCGCCTGAACCGCATGTGGATGGAGCTGTATGAGGAGGCCTTCACCAAGTACTACAACACCATCCATCGCTACGAGACCAACAAGCTGCGCAATATCGCCCGCTTCTTCGGCCACCTGCTCTCCTACGATGCCATTGGCTGGCATGTCCTTTCCGTCATTCAGCTGACGGAGGAAGAGACCACGGCGGCCAGCCGTATCTTCATCCGCTTCCTCTTCGAGGATATCCAGGAAAACCTAGGCACCGCGAAGCTCAAGGCACGCCTGGGCGACGAGGCCCTGCAGCCCTATCTCGAGGGCATTTTCCGTCACGATACCCGTCGCAACGTCACCTTTGCCATTAACTACTTCACCGCCATCAAGATGGGCTACCTTACCGACGAAATGCGTACCTTCCTCGCCAATATGCCCTCACAGGCTTTGGCCGCTCCCCGCCAAGACGAATCCGACAGCGAATCTGCTTCGACTTACTCATCTTACTCGCGCTCGTACTCGTCTAGATCCCGGACGCCATCACGGTCGCGGTCTCGGTCCCGAGGTCGCTCTGCGTCGCGTACCCCTCTTCGTAGGGCCAGATCCTACAGCCGGAGCAGGAGCAGGAGCAGGAACAGGAGCAGCCGGAGCTACTCCCGCAGCCCCAGCCGGAGCAGAAGCAGCGCCAGAAATTATTCCCGCTCTGTTTCCCCAAGAAGTCGGAGCCGATCCATCTCTCGCTCGGTTTCTCGCTCACCACCCCCTCGTCGTGGTCATGCCCGCACCCGTAGCAGGTCGTATTCACGATCACCCTCTCGGTCGATCTCGAGATCTAGGTCATCACGATCAAGGTCGCTATCTCGCTCCCCATATTTGTCCCGATCCCGATCCAGAACGCGCTCACTGTCGCCTGACGCTGCCACGGCCCCAGCCAAGCGCCGCAGACCAGCCGAGTCATACTCCCGTAGCCATAGTAGAAGCAGGAGTCGCTCACCGGCGCGGTCTCCGGCTCCAAGGAAGCAGAGAAGGTACGATAGTCGAAGTCGGAGTCGGACTCGGTCGCCGTCGCCTGCAGCCAGGCGGACTTCGCGGTCTGTGTCGCGGTCCCCGTCTAGGTCGAGGTCGAGGTCGAGGTCGAGGTCAAGGTCGAGGACACCGCTGAAGCAAGGCGCGCGGTACAACAGGTTTCTGTCGCGGTCAAGGTCCCGATCGAGGTCTGTGTCCCGCCCTAGAACTGGAGGAGGACCCGTTGATGGCAGGGGTGCTCCTGGCACTGTTGCAGGAAGGAGACCATCTAATGGTTATGGTCCTGATGTTGCTGGTGGTGGCTACAGGGAAAGGAAATACCGTGGCCGGGAGAGAAGCCCCATTAGACCGGCCCGGTATAACGATAAGGATCGGGGAGCTAGGAGCCTGAGCAGAGACTCGCGAGATGGCCGCGACTGGCGCGGCAGGCCCCCTGCGAGGCGAGCTAGTCGCTCGCTCTCCAGGTCGAGTTCAAGGTCGAGGTCGAGATCTCCTCGTGCGGCGGCCCCGCCACCGGCGCGAAGTCCGGTTGGTGCCGCTGTTGGGGCCAAGCGTCGGAGGTATGACAGCTATTCGCGATCTCGGTCCAGGTCGCGGTCCCGTTCGGCGTCTAGGTCAAGGAGTCCTCCAAGACAGTCAGCCAAGAGAGGGAGAGTTGATTGATCAAGAGATAAACAAAGCAGCGACGAAGATAACAATGATATATATATATATATATATATATATCAACATGTTTTTAGAGAGAGAGCGTTTTCTCGTTACATTATGGTCCTGTATGCCTGTTTGATGGCTAAATATGATTACTGAGGATTATCACAAAGGGGAAGATGATTTTTTTTTTTTGGTTGGGCGTGGAGGGGGGGGGGGGCAGGAGGCTTGGGGGAAGGAGGCTTGGGGGAAGGAAGGGGCAACAAGAAAGTAATGAATGAACACTGGTTTCATCTTAATATCGATCAACAGGGCCAAATATGAGGAGTTACCCCTCTAGGGAGGGAGCTCTTTGCGAGTAGCTGTTGACGGTGATCCCGCTACCCCAATACAAGAAGCCATTGATACTAGTAAGCCCATCGTTGTTTACCTTTGCTCCGTACACAGCTTCCCGGACTCTCTGATATCGCTTCTTCCAAGAAGCCATTTAAAACAAAAAAAGACAGTGAAACCGGAAGGTAAAGAAGTGTACTCGATAACACTAAATGCATTTTTTTTTCATGTGTAACGGTATGTATAGCTATTTAGGTATGTGAACAATGCTTCATACAAACTCAAGCAAGCCATGTGCTACTCAATCAACATAACCACGTATCGTTGATAAGCCCATATACTCAGATCATGCGAACCCCACAACGAGAAAAAAAAAAGTTCAAAGCCCTCAGACAAACACCAGAGTGCCGTTGTCATTGCCTATCCTCTCATCCAGGATGACCGAGGCCGACACATACCGGCCATCGGCCCGGCACAGCTCGGCCTCGAGCCGACGACCGCCGTCGCTAAGCCGGACATTCCGCGCTGACGCACCGAAGTTGCCGCCGGCGTGGTGCTGCGGCGCTTGGCCGCCGGGGATTTGCAGGACTTGGCCGGGGTAGATCAGATCAGGGTTGGGGATGTTGTTGACGCGGGCAATGTCCTCGAAGGTACCGCAGCCGGGGAAGCGGGCAGCAATAGCGCGCAAGGTGTCTCCCGGCTGGACGGTGTAGGTCTGCGGGGCGGGAGCACAGTGGCCGCCGCCGGCGGAACGACCCGAGGACCAGCGGAAGCTGCCATTGTCGTTCTCGAGCAGCTTGTTCAGGCTGATGGTGCTGTCACGGTAGGAGCCGTCACGGCACCTGCACGAAGCGCGCAGGATCCAGTCGCCGCCAGAGTTCTCGAGACGGATGTCGCGGGCCGAGCCGGAGAAGCCGCCGGCGTAGTTGCGGTTGCGCGAGGGAGAAGGGGAGCTGTCGCGGCGCTGCTTCTGCTTGAGTTGCTCCTCGCGACGACGCTTCTCCTCCTCCTCACGACGCCTCTTCTCTTCCTCCTCACGCTTCTTCTTGGCTTCCTCCTCTTCCTTCTTCTTCTTCTTCTCGTCGATTTTCTCGGACACCTCGTCCTGGAGCTTGTGGCCCGCAACGGCACCAGCAACGGCACCGAGGACAGCTGGAGCACGGTCAGCACAGTTAAATTTAATCGTGATGTGGTACGAGGGGAACGTACTGCCCAGTTTGCTGTGGCCAGCCTTGCCGCCGAGCTTGTTGCCGCCAACAGCACCGGCTACACCGCCAGCAATGCCGCCCAGGATGCCGCGGTCGCCAGAGGGGCCGTCGCTGCCGTCGCTGTCACTACGCTTGCGTTGGCTCTGCTGATTGTAGGCCTGCTGGGCGCTCTGGTAGTAGGAGGCGGCTTCGCCCTGGCCGTACTGGTTGTAGGAGGTCATTTTGTTGAGGATATGTAATGTGTGGATAGGGACACTATGTAAATTGGCGCTTCAAAAGGGAGGTTGTTCGAAAGGAAGGATTCTAAGAAACAGCACTGGTTGTTGGGGAAAAGGGGAGACGGCACACGCTGCTCCTTCGCAGCCAGACTGTCTGCTTATATATACAAACAGGGAACACGTAGGATGTGGCAACAGGTTGCATTTGGCATATCACTTTTAGCATCTGGCACTCGGCCCCTGGCATCCCGCACAGCCGTCGTCGTCCCCGCCATCGTGGCAGGCTGAGAAGTCAGGATCAAGATCTCACAGCCCAGAGCGAGCTCATCGGACGAATCGAGGGAACCTTGACGGCCCCGCCTTTGCCGGGAGCTGAAAATCGGGCCTCCAGTTCCACTCTCGGCCCACTCCTGCATGCGAGGGCTCCGATTGTGGGACCAACCGCGCCTCTCGAGAGGTTTCAGACGCCGCTAGCTGTGGCTTGGCATGCCGTTATCCCCATTTTCCGTGGCGGTCGGGTGCCGTAGGGTTCGGCATCGCCTAGACCGCCATGGTGATTTGACAGGATCACCCGGGTTGGCGAGGGACATGTGATATGATGCTGTTTGAATTTTGGACATAAGTTTGTGGGGACTCAACACTTTTGCTCTTGGCCAGTTTACGTTTGTGTGTACGGGATTCGGATTACCTGGGTACTTAGGTGGCATGGCATGGTGGTGTATTGTATTCGTGTCCACTCAAAAAAAGAGTCTCTGACAACCTGGCAGATTGCGCAGCAGTGGCTGCCCTGTCTGGACCTGTCTTTGACTGTCATCGTCATCAGATTCGTCGGGGGTTCCACAGGATCGCGGAACCAGGACTGGCTGTGGCTTGTTGAGATCGCTGCCCAACATTCTTGCCTTTGTCTTTAACTGCCATGGCTCGCCAGGACCGCACCGCTGGTGATTGGCTATGGATGAGGTGTCTGACGAATCCAATAGCGCATGTCGACACGGCCCCACGCCATGGTGAGAGTGGGGTAGAAGCGTTGCTTGGTGCTGCTTGTCTCTTGCCGCCCCTCATCCTGTGTCGAGCCCCTCTTCGGTTCCTGAGGAAGCTTGGCTGGGTGGCCTCTCCACGCAAGCAGAAGCTCGCAGACTTCCGCACCGTCAGAGACTGCCATTTGGTGCAGGTTGATCACATCACACACTCATCCCAGGATTGGAGGCTGCAGGATGACTTCAGCTTGACTAGCAGACCTGAACGAAGACGCTCAGCCGCTTGCCACTGCGCTCGACTGGCCGTTCGTCTGCTCGTCCAGAGCTTCGGTCACAGCTGTCGTTGCAAGAGCTGGGGCTGCAACTCCGTTCTCCTCCTTGAGCTTCTTGATCGTCTTCTCCACATCTTCCTTCTCCCCATCCGCCATTTCAGCGGCCAATCTTTTCTTCTCCTTCTTGCTCAGTTGGATAGAGCCCTTGGCCAAAGCCTCTTTAGGCAGTGGCCGAACAATGGGCTGGACAACCCACCACGGCCTCCAGCACTCGCGAACTGTCTGTGCAGAGCTCTCATCGTCTTCACTCTCTCCTTCCGCGAGGGCAGCAGGCATATCCTGCTCGATGCTCTTACCATCCGTCCTCTCGTACTCGAGCAGGCCCTCGGCCACTTTCTTCTCGACCAGCCTGCAAATGGCTTCGTATGCGTCTAACTCGCCCAACCGCGTCTTCGCCAGTGCATCGCGCACGTCATGATGCCGCGAAACCATGTGCCGGAGCAAGTGGAAAAGGTGTGGTTGCATGCCGACGTAATTGGCCGTTAGGATCTCGGGGTTCTCTCTCCGAACATCGTTGCGCTTTTTGTTCGGCCTAACATCATTGGGTCCCTGGCCTGGAATGATGATCTCTTCCTTCAACCATTCCGTATCGTCGCCAGGGACAAAGAGGGGTCTTCTCTTCGGCGGCTCCACGCCGCGAACGTGTTCATATATGATGTCAAGATAGCGTCGGTACACCTCGTCGACGCGCCAGCCTTCAAGTCCGTTCTTTCCGCGCCAGTAGCCCCTGGGCTCCTGGCCAATTGGCGGCGGTGGAGCAAAGATACCTGGGTTGCTCAGGTTGCCTTCAGCGCTCATGACACCGTCTGCGCCAGTAACTTCCAGACACTTTTGTATATCCTCATGTTGCAGAATATTGCCATTGGCAAAAATTACGGTGTCTGGGGGGAGATTGTCGCGCAGATAGCGGATCATCTCCCAGTCCGCGAGGCCTGTCAGGTGTCCCTTCTGTTCGCGCCGCCTCCCATGAACGGTAAGAATGCTCGCGCCCGCCCGGAGCACATTTTGGGCATACTTTAGAGTTGCCTCTTTCGTATCGAGAATGCGAATCTTGGCCGTAACGGGAATGTCGAGGTTCTCATGGAGGGTGTTGATTAGCTTGAAGATCAACTCCTGATCCTCCTGCAAGAACGACCCGTAGCGCCCCTTTTTAGCAATGTTTTGAGGACATCCCAAGTTGAGGTCAACGGCATCACAATACGGCTGCACAATCTTCGCAGCAGCCAGCAGATGATCCGGGTCGTTGGCACAGAACTGCACAAAAAAGGGGCGGTCGAAAGCTGGGTTGCCGTCCAGCCATGGGACATCAGAGCCGGGTCTTGTGGGCTGGAAGTGCTCGTCCCGGTATACGTCGCTCTCCCGGAACATGCGCGCGTGGAACATTGGGGAGTATGCCAGGATCTTGGACCGTTCGGACTCGGGGAAGAAGGAACGCGAAAGCATGCGCCAGGCCTGATAGCAGCACTCATGTCAGTTTCGGTCTTCTCAGAGCTTTGAGCAAGCGCAAGCACTTACGAACTCAGACTGATCAACCATCGGCGCAACGATGTACTTCGGCGAGCCAATGCTCTCGTAGAACGCGCGGCCATGCAGTTTTGGTTTTTTGACTGCTGGCGCCGGGCCGACACCGACAGATGCCGCTGTATCTGGTGATATAGACGCCATTTGACGATGGATGTGCAACGCGATGGCTGGCCGCGACGAGACAACGACCGAGGCCGACACGGACCGCGCCCACGCAACCGAAGCGCGGACGGGAACTCGGGGAAATAAACTGCACGCCAGTGTTGCGGTGGGCTTGGTGTAGAACCCAACTGGATGTCAGTAGCTGAGTCGAGCCTCTGTGATCGGCTAGCTGCGCGTGTTGAGGACAAACTCTTCGTCCGTTTGACACGCAAGCTTACGAACTCGCCAGGGTCCAGCGAAAGAAAAAAGAAAAAAAAGTTTGCCGTTAGCCTTGCCCACAAGGCTGAGCCAGATTCGACAAGGCAGTCTGGGATGATTGGCCATCTCTTCACGCACCACTGAAGCGGGATGATGCAATGGGTCCACTGTGAAAGGCTGTCTGCTCCCGGCAGGCAAGTACAGTTAGTCATCTCCAGGCCCACACTGTGCCCGCTTATCAGCCCTCAGCTTAATCACCTCATTTGGGAGGATCTGAGGGGGAACAACTCTCGAAAAGCTTGCGCGGGATATCTTCCGACGGTCTGGGGAGCACAATCCCACACATGCCTGGACCGAGCATATTAAGTACAGAAAATCTTGGAATGCGTTCGGCCTCGTATCCGATGCTCACATGGCACCATTACCGGAATATCCCAGCAGTCTAAAACATTGAACCCCTCATCCCATCACCACTCCTTGTTGGTGATGTAAAGGATCTATTCATCCAATCCAGTATTCCGAGCGCTTTCCCCGATGAACCCCATATTTATATTACAAAACACCCCCAGAAACCTGGTATCAATTACACCATACGTAATCACGGACATCATCCAGTAATCATTCTACTCCACCACCTGACCAACCCTCCTCCCCCTCACTAATCTCAGGCACACCAACGATTGATGAAGAAAAGTCCCTAGAGAGGGGGCGGAAACGACAGGAGGGAGGGGTCGTTCATGCACGTCACTTCTGGTCCTATCCATTCGCTAGTGTAGCCGCTACTTCTGCAGGCTTTTTATCCAAGCTTCAAGTCCAAGCTGACATTTCCGTCCACCTGCAGACGGACTGTTTCACGTGGACCAGTCTATGTGTCAGTACGTATAGGTATGTGATAAAGTGAGACCGGGGAACAGCGAAATGGAACACTTTATTGAAAAGGTTGGTGAGTTGATTTTTTGCATTCCAATTATATCTGTCACCAGTGCCATTGGTACCAGCGAGGCAAGGCTTTGGATTGTCGTCATTCATCGTACCGGGATCAATCGAAGTCCTGAACAAACGAACTTCGACCTTAGTTGGCTTCGCTTTCCAGAGAGGAAGAACTGACCATTGAATAGAAGAACCATAGAGGATAAAACTACCAGCTACTTGACAACATTACACGAACGCTTCAATGGTGGAAAAGCAAGAAATATGACTGTTATTGACTGTGTAGAGTGTTACCTGTAGTAGACTGCACTCGTGCCATCCATAGCAAGGCAAGCAAGCGGACCGAACCTATGACAACCTCTGGAGAAAAACTGCCATAGAAAACCAACATATGAGACAACCAACAGAACAGACATGATTACTGCCTCCCACTAGCCTGACCATTCCTCATCCTGTCACATCCACAACCTACTTGTACTGTGTATTGGGCAAAATAAGCCCCTCACTTTTTGACCACCGGGTGTAACAACTCAAAGAGAACCCCATACCCTATGTACTATGAAACCACGCTGAAATGAGGATGAGTGACACAAACCCATTATTTCTTTCAACACCATCGCTCCACCCAAGCAGAATGATTATGCATTCCGGTGAAAGCAGGAAGCTGTCAGAAGATGCTGCTGTTGGCTTGTTCGTATCATAAGAGAATTCCTGTACCATCGACGTTCCATGTCCACCATGTTGAAAATCCCCTGCTGAATCGTTTGACTCGAGCGAGTCGGTGGGGTACCGGAGCATGGACGGCCCTGATGGGTAGGGGTGGTGCTGGGAATTAAGGATGAAATGCCGCTGTGCTGCGCTGCGCTGTGCCAGAGTCTCTAAGCCCCGAAAGAAACAAAAGAGCTGATATTACGCAAGGAACGAGATGCACAACTGGAAAACGCCGTGACACCGTACTATGCAGAGAGCCCGAAACGCCAGACAATAAAGTATGTAAAACCCTGGGTCAGAGATGAATAAAAAAACACAACGAGTCTCCACGCTCTCGCCTTTGAGAGGAAAGATGAGTTAGGTACGTTGTGTGATCATCGCTGCGCTCAGAAGAAGTGTGTGTAAATTTTGGAGCTTTCGTGAACCTCCATCTCTTGCTGCTCTAGGTTAGCACCATATCTCTCCGTCAGGTGGATTAAGGATACCAACCATCTTAAAGTTGTTAAGCTCTTCTTTGATTTGTTGAGCCAACATGGGAGTAAGACGATTGCACGTCGCGATATCACCGCGACGATCATACTCTTGACTCGGCCAAGTCTCGAAGAACACGATGCGAGGACTAAACGTCGTGCACCGCTTAGGCTGCTGCCCGGGCGTAGTGTTGCCCTTTTCCTGGCGGAGACGAAGGGCCGACACAAAGTAGTCCTCGTTTCCGACCGCAATGGTCTGAGCACGTTTTGCTCCCTGCTGGTCCTCGCTGGGCGTGCTCGGGGCGCTCGAGCTGGAAGAATCCGAATCAGACGGCTTGGTTTCAGATGGGCGAGGAGAGCTTGAAGAACCATTCCGGTCTGGAAATTCCATTAGTGTCAATCCACCTGGCTCTCGGCTCTTGTAGTAAGAAGACATCATGACTTACTCTTCAAGATGCCCTTACGGACGGGGGTAACAGAGGCCAGGACTTCCGCTCGATCCTTTGCATCCCCGACAATTGTCTTGCGAGCTGGTGGTTCGGGAGTAGCAAAAGAGTTATCAACCTCCGAGCTGGCAGGGCGGTAGGAGTCAGGAGCACCAGGTGATTTATTCGTATCACCAGAACTGCTCCCGGTACGGGAGAAGTCGAGCGCTCCACGGAGTTGTTGAGTTTCAGGATGCACAATGGCCCGTTCAACCTCGGCTTCTGCGGTGACCATGGACACAGCAGTCTGAGGAAGATCCTTCTGCTTCGCTTCACCTGCCTTGTCGCCAATAAGCGACTTTGGGCGGAAGAGACCAACGAGAGACCGAGTTCCCTTCTTCATGCCACGGCCCATCTTCCGAATCATAATCGAAGCCGACGACGCCGTGGACGAGATGGAGAGATTATCGGTCGACCCGGAAAAGAACCTCCCGCCATAGATATTGCTCCCGATGCCAGCCGCTTCTTGCTGCTGAGCAATGCGGTCCTGCTCCTCGTCCTCGGTGCCATCTTGCTTGCGAGCCTTGTGAGACTTGCTCTCTTCGTCGGCGCCCTGCACAGCCTTTCTGAACTCTGCAGCGCTGCCAAAAGAGAAAGCACGGCGAAGTCGTGACGTCTTGCTCCTAGGCTTGCCGCTTTTTTCGCTAATGTCCGTCAGCTTTCTCACTGCGAGACTCTCGATGCGACTCGGCGAGGGCGCAGTATGAGGTGTAGAGCTGGATGCGTCGGCGGCATTGGTGCCCGCCGTAGCCTCATCCATCGTCACCGGCTTGGAAAGGGGCGAAGGATTGCCTGTCTTCTTCGCGCTAGCGGCATCGGTCGATGAACTGCGCGGCGGGATGTTGACTGGACTGTGGGCGCCGTGGCTGGCAGTCTGCTGATGAGGAAGGGAGGAAGTGGGAGTGGGGTTATTGGTGGTGGGGACGGGGCTGGCATTGCGGCTGGCAGACTAACCAAAACGGCAGGGGGAAAGCCTTGTGTCAGTACCAGTGAGACATGTAACAGCGAACGCAGAACATGATTGGACAATGCGGCTGTAGGCAGCCGCGGATAAGAGGAAGAACAACAGAAAATAGGGAAAAGAACTTACAGATGGTTGAGTGCTCTCTCCACTTTGGCGAGAAGCGCGGACGTCAGAGTGTGCCAGCTCCATAGCATAGCCATTTAGGTCCGCTATCAAACGCGAGGCAGCATGGGAGGCGCGATTATCGTTGTTATCAGCAGTTTGTGGACGGCGCGATTCCCCTGACTGAGCGAAGTCGTACGGCATCAAATGCACGGAATCCAATGCAGGCAAACTGCGCCTGCGGATCTTCTTGATTTCCTCTTGGGTCTGGCCGCGAGGGACGCTAAAATCGTCCACAGGAGACCGAGCAGACGCAACGCAACTGTTTGGCCGGTTCTTGCCAGGGGGAGGAGAGGGCCGAAGCAGCGAGAGTGAGTTTGGGTCTGGAAGGGTCAGGCTGGGGGCGTCGTTGACGTTGCCGGAGGTCGTCGCGGCAACGGGCGAAGTAGCTGGGCTCAGCACAGATGGGTCTGGACGCAAGGCTGATCGCCTGTATCTCTCCGGTAGAGGGCGAGGGGGCGTTGCGGATGGAGTCGATGACTGTGTCGCGGTGTTTGGATTGGCAGGACGGGGAGAGGTGGCTGGCCGGGCCGGGATAGTAGAATCGTCTCTGGAACCAATGTTGGTATGCAAGGAAATGTTGACGGTGCTGGGCAGGTTGGTCATAGAGGAGCTAGCGGCATACCTGGAGCGCGAAAGGTCGAGAGCCTGGATATTGGGCACAGCAGGTGAAGATCCTGTGCGGTGTGCCCGAACTTGCTGCCACTGTGTTGGTGGATTAAGAGCGGTGGGCGTGGTCGTAAATGCATAAGGCTGGATAGGTCCGGGGCCGCGGTGGATGGCGGGGGTCGACGCCGAGGAAGGCAGCGCGTGGATGCCATTTTGCCTCTGGGAGCCTGCCGGCCTGTGTTGGCTGGCGGGCTGGGTAGGGATCGTCTGTAGCATGCCAGAGGCTGAAGATGGCCTGGTTTGAAGCATAGTTACGGTCCCCGATTGCTGGGGATAGCCTTGCACTAGAGCCGCCATGTTGTTCTGTGTGATGATATGCTTGTACTGGGACTGGTTTGAGCGACAAACGGCGCACAGATTGCTCAAATCTGGAGTCAAAAGGATGGATATCTGGTTCAAAGGACCTCGTGTCAGCACCCGGCCCTTGAGAGTCACCACACGCTAATTCCAAGGCGAAACGATCAGGACTTTGCAATATAAGGTGCAGACAAGCAAGTCAATTTAACTCACCTGTCCGAAATATTTAGAGATAATTTCAGAGGGAAAGATGGATCTGCTTGGTGGCACAAAAATTCCTCAAAGGGAACACTGTAGGATGTAAGTAGTAGAATCGAAGGTCGCCTGCGGCCAAGTGCAAGTGATTTTTTATGGCTCGAAGGGCCGTGGTCCGCGAAGTAGTCCACTGCTACCGTGGACGTTCGTCGGTTCGCGACTTCAACGGGCCTGAAAAACAGGATAGGTTTGCGCAGTGTCCACCGTTGACACTTGCAAATTTGCGACTATTGAACCCGGCACATCGAAGGTCTGCAGGACGCTGATAGTTTAGAATTTGATGAGATGAAAAGAAAGCGAGCGGATGGCAGTCGTGCTCCGTCGGTTTTGTGGCCGATTGTGGATGATGGGGGTATGGCGGCAGAATTGTCCAGGGGTGAGAGAAAATATAAGGGTTTAATCGCTGGCCCAGAGCGAAATGCGACGTTCCAAACAGACTTGGGAGCACAAGAGATGTACGGAAAAAAAGACTTGAAGGTAGATGTCAAAACAGTCCAGTCAATGGGTGTCCGACAAACAAGATGGAACACCCAAAGATGCCAGGAAGGCTTCAAAAAGGGCTGGGAATCGAAAAAATATCAGGCGAGGCGTGCCAACAACACCACGCACGCAGGACACGAGACTCCGCGACGCGTTCCGGAGAGAAAAAGCTTCAAGGGGGCTCAGGACGTGAGACAGCCTGACGGATGGTGGGACGGATTGCAGCCCGGTAAAAAGAGGACCCGGAAGTCGAAGTGATGTACTGCGAGGTGGGTGTCCACGCGGGCTGGATGTTGGCCACGACGGGGAGGACGAGAGAGAAAATTGGAAAGGACGGGAGGGGGGATCTAGGAATCTGGGGAACGAGGAGTTCAAAGTTGGGATTTGAGTGAGGGAAGGGCGGAGCCACGGGAAGGGAATCTGGGGAAAAAAACGAATGGAGGAGAGAGGCTGTGAGAGAAGGACAATCTTGGAAGTAAGCACAAGGCTATGGGATGGAAAGCAGGGTGAATGTGGATGGAGAGAACACACGACCTCATCCATGGGCAACGCTGCGGGAAAGTCAGGGCAAGCGGCCGACCTGCCCCGGACGGAAGCGCAACAACAAGCACAGAGAGCAGTAGAGCCCGCGCCAGAAACCCCTGGAACGAATTGGTCCTCCCATTCCTTTCTCTCCTGGCCCGACACCAAAATTCCAAGACACCCGACCCTTGCAACCAGTGCAACTCCTGGGCAACACGATCTGTCCAGCGCCCCACAGTCTGGGCCTGGAACCCCACAAATTCACAAATCGGGACAAGTGCCCACTACCAGCCAAGCAGGTACCACGCTAAAAGCGCGTTGAGCTAGACTGCCTTGAGCGTTGGCACAGTACACGCAAACAATATCCCCCGTCTTCCAACGGCCCTGCGTGGCGGGCGTTCTCCTTTTGCTGCATCCACCGCGATTGGACTCTTGAAGTGGGCGCTCCTCGCTTGTTCGACGCAGAAGCAGAAACATCCATTGTTCTGTGGAGCTTCTATGTTAGATCCATTTCCTTTCATCGCGCTGGTGTGGGCGACTTGGGGCTTTCGGTCTCTGCCACCAGAGGCTACAGTGGCTGTGAGCTGTGTGTGCTTCAGCTCTTCCAAGGCTTGCCGGCTTCACAGATCATAGAGTCCAGGACAGTCTTGGGATCTCCTGATCTGACTGCGAACCATGACACATGCGGTTTGTCATGCCGATGTTCGCTGGCTGTTCGTTGCGACTCGCATGAGGAGAGTTCGGACCAAGCCCTGCGGTGATAACAGGGTCCTCCCCTCCTTTTTTTCCTTGTTAATCCGGACAGAGGTCGGCTGGGGTCCTTGATCGTGGCTCAGGAGAAGCTCCCTGCCATTGGCCAGCTCAGCACGGGGGTGGGTCTTGACTTAAGGTATGCACGGGGCTCTGGCCAGCCCAGTGCTGGGGGCAGATGGCAGCAAGAACCAAGAGAGAAAGCCAGTAACATGTTTTTATATCTTGCTCGATCTTCCCAAAATCGGTAGATTCCAAAAGCAATTTAAACTTGAATCTTAGCAAGGAGGCTGAAGGGCACCTCATCTCGATTCCAAAATAAAAACACCCAAGGATTCGCGTCGGTCATTTAGAAAATCTGGGATCACTTGCGCCGTTCTCACATTTACAGGCTCCCTTTTTTGTTGTAATCGCTGTGGGACACGCTGATGGCGAACGGCCAGCGCATTTCCGGCTTCTAGGGCAGCTCTCTGCAATGCCACCTTCCAAGCTCATGCGGACCTGGTTGAGATCGCAAAACTCTATGCCAGCAGCTGTCACAGCCAATTTACTGGAGCACGCCAGTACATCTCTCCTGACACACATACACTTTGCCTGGGCAGACCAGCTGTTTATCACTCTTTGTGCTGATTCACTCTCGTAAATCTCATGGGACGCAGAGTGACTGTGGCGCCGCGCTGTGCCGCGCTGAACCAGTCTGAACTCAGTTTGACCTTTGCATTGGAGCCAGCGGCGCTGCATGGAAAAGGAGATTCCACAAATTCCCCAAAGGATCCCACACTACACGTAGCGTATCGAGATGCTGATACCCAATACACACACTACATACACTACGGATATTCAGCGCAATTTCTCCGCGACAACCATTCTTCGGACAGCGGCACTTTCTGCAGTTGCCTAAAAGTTTGGCCAAAGAGAGTTAATGGCTATCCTAACCTTGACTTCACGCGCTCTCCCGTGTCAAGTCTCGGGATATGGCTTACAACGTGCAAAGCGGTGTGGAGCCCGGATCTGGGTCACAGTTGATAAAGAGAGTTTCAACATTACAATTTAGCGACAGTGTGCTTCGGATAGTTATGGCAACATCGAGTTCCCTTGAAGGCCCATCGCCTTGGAGTTGGCGGGCTATGTTGCTGAATCACTGCCTATGCACACATAGACAGAGGGAAAGCCAGGAATCTCTGTATGCGGCGTAGGCTCACAGAAGGAACCACTCATCCGTCTCTGAGAATGCATTTAGGGGTCAAAAACCAGGCTACGAAAAATCCCTTAGTGTCAGCAGCTTGGTTGTGCTCATTGCCAGAAGAAGGTAGACTGGCTAGCCGCCACAAGTATTGAAACATGATAATGTTATGGACCTGAATTATCTGGTATCACCAGAACCTATCGTGCCAAATAAGCCACAGACAGGGCATTTTGGCATATTTCCGAGAAACCAGTATCCCTCCCAAGTGGAAGATTAAACTGGGGGGCTGAATACACTACATAGCAGCCCACAGATGTCCAAACTCAGCAGAGAATTTGTAGCATCATGTGAAGTTGATGCTTAAAAAAAACCTCACACCAAGAGGCCATTGCCCCAGCCTCAGTGGCAGGAAAAGCTTCCTGGAGATGGATAGATCTCTGCAGATCGCTTCCATAGCCAACGGATGGAGCGAGTCTCGGAGTAGACTTGGAGTTTGGACGCTTTATACTATGCAGGGCGAGAGATTCTGAGACCCAATGACACGGCAGGGATACCGCCAGCTATAATGAACTTGGCATGGCGGGGCATCAACGGGACGGCCTGCTCAGTTTCAAACGTCAGAACAGCACGCCACGCATCATCATCACCCATCAACTCATGCAAGTCGCCATGTCGGCATTGCCGAACATGTCTGAAGAACTGAAGGACAAAAAGCAGCGAACTTCCGACTTGACTGGCTGCTTTCGGTTTGTCTGTCACCGGACAAGGAGACAACCATCGGAGGAGAACACGGTTTTTGTTGTGTCGCGGTGACCGGTACCACGGCGTACGCAATCATCCTAACTTGGAAGACCGATTTGGCCAGTATCCGGACGACGCCGGTGGGCGAGATTCACGAAGAAGAGGGACTCGGGTGGCACCGAAAGCCTTCGGCGGTATGTGCTGAGAATTTAGGACTCAGGAGCAGTTGTGCAACATGCTCGATCGAAGTTCAGGGCTTTGCAAACGATGTGCTGTCTGGATCCAGAAGACCCCAATATTGGCATGCTGGCAGACACGAGCGCAAAATCGGGCTATGCCTTGTTGAGCGCGTCGTCAGTTCTGCTCGTTAAGCTTCGTAGTCACCCCGGGCGCGTTGGTTAGGTGAATTTGGCAGACATCCACAGACAACGGAAGCACGACGGCCTCTTCATCGCTCGCTAGGGTGACAAGCATGTCAGCAATTGTTCAGTTGCAGATGCCTTCAGCCCGGAAGGTTGACGGCTCCGCCGTACAGATACACAGCGTCATTTGCAATGCCTATGTGCACATGAGTAAAGCAACCTAGTTTTTTCGGGACTCTAATGGTATTGTTTTCCGGGGGTCTTCCGTTGGGAGTCTCATCTTCCTTGCCGTTCCTCAACAACGCCAAGCATCGAGATGCTCCGTACCGGTGTTTCAGATCAATGCCCATGTTCGGTTCCCCGCTCAAACTTCAAGAAACAAACCCATTAATAGGCGTTGGATCAAATTCCCATTCGTTTGTTTGCGTCATTGTCGCATGCCATCAAACGCTGCAGTTGTCACTGGGGCCACCAGCATGGGCATCATTCCGTTGAATGTTCCGTGCCGAGCAACGAACAGCCTCTCCGCACCATGGCGTAATGTGTGGTTCGCAGCAATGTCTCATCCACAAACAAAACCTTTCGTGCTCAACCCAATCCCTTACACCATGGTCAGGAGTTCTTAGTCTTGCGAGGTGTAACGCTATCATGGATATCTATTGAGGAGATAGGTCAACTGTGTTGCACCAACATATGCCTACAAAGACATCAAGAGACATATGTCTCTACTCCTCGCCTATTAAGCCAATCTTTTTTTTTTCGAAACACAAACGCCGATGCCTGCTGGTCATATACCCAACCATAGCCTTGATGGGTATCTGGATCTGTCCTGTTTGAACAAATTGGATCGAGATCGTCACAGTATGCCTGAATCCTGCACTCGAACACTGGTCATCGGAACCCTTCTGGACGGACAGCAAACTATATAGTTAGCACAAGCATCGAAACGGGGTAGCATTCATAAACAGGAGAATTGGTTCTGGAATGGGCAAGCTAAATCAGGCATCCAGAGGCAGCACTCACACCACCAGCAGTGGCATTTCATATATTGCCCACGAAGGCAGGGATATATGTCTTGGATCGCCCATGAAGATAACAGCTGCTACTTTGTCCTCAACGGCTTATGAGACCAACTGGTGAGTTGAATTTAGGCTTGACAGGTCGAGGCCTCCGCAAAAAGCGTCGTCTATGATATGGTCCCCTATCTTATGAGAATCTGTTCCCTTATGAAGACTTTCACGCGTTGCCCCTGGCACCTGGCAGCAACCGCACAGCCGCCGGCTTCATCTAGATACAAAAGAAGAGGAAAAATTGATAGGTTGAATGAGCTAGTCGTAAGGCCTTTCTTAAGGCCAGCAATATGTCAGTGTAAAAAGAGGCCGACGTATCTGACTATAGCTGTATGCCACAACCGCACTCCTAGGGTATCTTTCATCAACTTCCCTAATTTGTTCTACCTACCACCACCTGGATTCCTGCTGCCACGCTCGTGTAGCACTCGTCTCCCCAAGCTGCCGGGTAATCTATCGCTTCAGCGGCAATAGCTTCTGAACGAAGACTGAAAGTGCTGTTGTCCCTAGCGGCATTTCTATCAATAATGGCAATGTTCTTCTCGCTGTTATCCCCAGACATTTGCAGGAGGAGACGCGCAAGAGTCTCAGCCGAACCGAAACTGAGAGGTGCGGTAGTTTCACGGGCGGCAAAGATTTAAATGAGAGGGCAGGATTGCTGGGGCACCAGAGGAGGTGTAAGGGCTGAGGTAAGTTTGAGAGCAACCGCATTGATAAAGAGAAGCCGGAATAGAGGGAAGGAGATGAGTTGCTTTGCTTTACATGCTGTATTTTAGAGGCAATTTCCACTTCCGAACGAGAAAACTGTTACATCCATTTGTTCACAACCGAAAATTAGGAGAACAGCAAACCATGAAAATAAGTGAGCATGAACATAGTAAACGGTGTTCCAGAACTGGATCATGGCGAGGGAGGGCGAGAAGAAGTGGCACGATAGGGGGGGGGTGTAGACCATAGACGTCCACACCAATTTTGCATGCTCTCCGTCACGAAATGAAGTTTCATGGAGTGCTCACTTGCAGCTCTCGCAAATTTGAGAATTGCGGTGTGATGGCTATTCGTTATCCCTGATCACCTGGGTTCATTATGATACCAGGCGGGTGGGTTTAACCACAATGTCCAATTCTCTTCGCAGGGCATTGGTGAACACATAAGAACCTATCCTGTTATGATGAATCAAAAGGTTGGTACATGAGACTGCAGAGATTCCTTGACAAATAGTCTCTGCTTGTCCACTATGGTTTGAAAATAGTCCTGGAACGTTTCTCTGGGAGATCTGAGAAGGCTCTGAGCAGGCAAGAGGATAACTACATCGCCTTCCACCACTTTATGACCTCTCTTTTACCTGTCTGAAGTCTGTCATGAGACAGAACATCCATTTTTATGAAATATCGATATTATCCTAAACTATGGCCAAAGTTACCATTGTCCGCACCGATGAGAAGCCTTGTGACACCGGATCGACCTATCAGTCCTATATTCGATCAGCGTCGGCCGACACCAGGGATCTCTGTTTCAAGATCCTCGTCCCCAAGCCGACAGCACCTTTTGCTGAATAACTTTTGTATACCCAAATTCGGTATTCAGACATTAACCGAGATCTATGTTGAGCCACAGTCCCTTCAATCTCTACAGACTTGAATTATATCACTCTTCTTGTCGCGGACCGTCTTTTCGGCAGCAATATAACCAACAATTAAGTACGTAGTCTAGCACGTACGACCATACCCAGTGGAAAGCACGGCATCCCGTCCGCTCTGCCCTAGTTAAGCCACTGAGGGCCCGGTTAGTAGTTGGGTCGGTGACGACCAGCGAATCCCGGGTGTTGTACGTTTTTGTTGCTTTATTTCTCATCTCAACCGCCCTTTCCCCCTCACGAGTCTCTCTTTTTACCGCGGGTTTGGTTCCTTTCCCCCCCCTTCCCCCCGGAACTTCAGTTTTTCTTTTCACCTGGGACTACGTAATTGTCTAAACATCATAAATTAATTGGTACACTTATACAAAACTCTGAAAGGTATTTGCCCATTTATAACCGCCCGAGATTATAAAAATAAGTTGGAAGGCCTGGACACCTACAGTAAGCCTCCCGAAATTAACACCATTGTGAACCCAACAACAATTGGCAGCGCCCAAGGGAGATGCATTCCTTGCGTCCGCAACCCACCAGCAGCACTCTCCCAGAGAAGGACTGGCGTTCCTAGCTGTGGAGTCTCATCCACACTACACACCCGGCGACACGACTTGCCCTTGACACCGATTGTTTTCTTCCCGTGGTCTGTGTTATTGTAAACGACCTCGATCCACTGGACCTGCAACCATGCCGCGTCTCCCACCGTCATATTCCCTGACCACTCTCCTCCATCGCTCCATGCATTCAAGATGATGGCGCTCTCATCTTCTGGCACCTGGAATGTGCTCTGGAAGACCAGTACATCATCGACATACCATGTCGTCATGCCCGGCGTCCAGTCCAGTCGGTGCACTGCCCAGTCCGTCCACTTGAGCCCCCTTGGCAGCGTGACATTCTTCGTTGCATTAGGGACGCTGTCTCCATCTTCAGTGTACGATGGCTGGTTGGTGTATCTCACGAGGCCCAGTGGGTCGCCAGTCAAGACCTCAAGATCGCTCTCTTGGACCTCGGACAGAGTCGGCGCGACACGGTAGGTGAACAGGGCGGTGACGGCACCAGGGCCACCGCGGGTACGGGCCAGCATTCTCACTGAGACGTATTTGTAGTTGGGGGAAAGGGTTTCGATTTCTGCCGCGGTCTGGAAGTTCCTTAGGCGTTGGGTGCGCAAGGTAAGCCAAGTTGCTGGCTCGGACTCGGGGTCAGAGTTGGCCTCGATGTAGACATTGTTAGGAGAGTTGACCATCAGGTAAGAGACGTCCGAGCGCGAGGCGTTGGGCCAAGAATTGTTCCAGTTGTTGATCATCCAAAAGTCATCCCAAGATCGGCTGGAAAAGAACGAACTCGTCGGGTCGGCTTCGGCACTGGCCCTAGCATCCTGGATGACATCGGGTACACCGGCATATTGTGGGAGGTTGCGGAAGTCAAAGAATCGGTGGTAAGAGAAATAGTGACCCTCCTCACCATTGGTGAGGTAGCAGCCACAGAACGAGTCGTTTCCGAAAATAGGATCTGCCGTTGCGAAGGGAATAGCAGCAGATAGGAGAAGAGAAGAAACCCTCAATTGTCGTCTCATTGGTCTCGTGGTGCTTCCGAGTAGCGCCAGTAGTTGACAACCGGTCCAAAGGATAAATCAGAAAGAAACAGAGTGGTCTGGGAGAAGCCAGTGAGAGCTAATAGAGAGAGAATATAGACGGCGCGGTAACCAGACCAAACGAGAGGCCGGGGTAGAATTTTCTAAATTTAAGGGGCAAGAAAACAACGACTGCACCCAGATGGCGTCTTCGGAGGGGTGTCACCGGTATAACGCTGCTCAGGAACAGAGGGCTATGTTGATGTAGTGATTAACCATAAAGATGGGGTTGAACCGATTGGTCAATGTCGCTGGATAGCCGCAACAGCCGAGGGCAATCGATGGCAGAGATCGACTAACAAGCAAACGACGTTCTTGTAGTGCCTCACTCTCGGGTCGGGCCAAGAAAGTCAAGATGTAGCATTCCCCGGCAATTGGTGCCACCCCGCGCGGAAGATGGATCGGGAAGAGGCTCAACCGGTAACTGAGACGCGTAGCAAACGGGACCGGGAGCGGAAATCAATATATTGCCATATAAGGGCAGAGTTGGCGATGTATTCGGCTAAAAAGATGTTGGATGAGCACACCTAAAGATGTGGTCGAGATAAGTCGAGAGAGATATTAAGGGGAGCTTTTGCAAATATCACAAAATAAATACACTCGATCGCGGTATTTAGGAAAGCCTCGCGAACCAGTCACGTCGGAGTCACGGTGTGATATATGCCTCCAGGTGCTATTTGGGCTGCCATGATCAGCAGGAGGCTGAGCAAGGAGAGCAGAAAGCAGGCCACGTATAACAGGCGGAGCTCGTTCAGCTCTCAGCCGCGGAGGGCTTCGGTCACACTCTTCGGGCTAGGTGCCCGATTCTACCGTGACCACGGATGATCACTGATCACCACACCGCTGCGATTGCGTAAGGTCATAAATCTGCGGCAGTCCAATAGGCCGGAGGGAGGGCCAGCGTACAGTGGGCGCGATGGATCCATGCTGTTGGTATTGGCTTTTTCTGTCTTTCAGGCCCTGATTCCACTCCATCTCGAACGTTGAGTGGTCCGCAAGGCCCCCGACGAGCAAGGGACATTCAAGAAGGTCGGGAGATAAGTGGAGTGGCTGGGGCCAATGAGGGGGTTAGGGTTGAGATTGCGGCTGTCATGCAGGGGTGCAGAACCCGATCTAACAGGAGGCACAGGCCGCTTACAAACCCCGATTGAAAACTATCAGAATCTTTATCGCCGAAGTTTCCTCCAACTCTCCCCTCTTCCACTGGCAAACTCGGATACTTGCATCTACCTTCCAACACTGTTGGCATTGTCACTTCCACTCCTACTCTGTACTGTGCACCTCTTTGCCAGTTTGCACGTGTTCTGGGAGAACAGCGCCGTCTCGTCAGTTTTTCATTTGACCAGGTATAGACAGTTCCTTGTTTCGGTTGCCACATGCAAGGCTGTAAAAGAGTCACATAGGGACTGACAGAAAATGCAGGCTCCCCGCCTTGGCAGATCCGCGTTCAATGCTGGTTTTTGATCACCAACATTACTGCCGACAGCTCCTGCATCCATCGCAATGGCATCCGAAGTTGAGGTCCGGACTTCTGCGCCTGAGGCTGTAGCGCAGGATACTGTGGCTACGAAGCCGGATGATATTTCTAAGTCAGAGAAGGCAGCTGGAAAAGACATGATACAAACAACGGAGCTCCAGAACCCTGAAGCCAGACCACCAGACACAGAGAATGCCGGCGACGTGCCCTCGCCCTCTTCAGACTCGGTCGACGAGGGCGAGTACACTGGTTCCGACCGCGATTTATCCGCCGAGCCCTCTAGCAGCTCCGATGCAGCCAGCAGGAACAAAGATCAGAGAGATTCCATTCAACCTCCTCTTCCTAACGAGCCGCTCCCGGATCAACCTCCGTTGCCCAATGAGCCTGTCCCCGATACCGATCCATCTGCTCCTCCGCTCCCAGACGAACCGGTCCCTGAACAACCCGAAGACGACGGTTGGGAATACCATTGGAACCCGAACGACCAATCCTACTGGTTCTACAACCGCTTTACGGGCGTCTGGCAGCAAGAAAACCCGCGTGTTCCAGGCGCAAATGGACCAGCTGCTACATCTACAGTTACAACAACAGATTCTAAAGTCGCAGGCGACGGCGACACAAAGAAAGCCTTGAGCAATCCCGCTTCCATCGCTGGCGGCTACAATCCGGCGATCCACGGTTCCTACGACGAGAACGCATGGTACGCGCAAAACTTCCGTGCCGCGACCGACCCGTCTGCGACGACGTCTTCCGCAGAAGTCATTCTGCAGCAGTACTACCAGACCCAGCAAGCGGATCAGCAAGATTACGTGACGGCTGGCTTCTTCAACCGGCGCACGGGTCAGTGGCAGGCTGCAGACCAGGGGCCTGAGCGGCACTCGGACGAGGCGCGGGCGCGTCGACAGCTGCGCGCGTACTTTGACATCGATGCTGCTGCGAACATGCATGATGGAAGGAGTTTGAAGGCTGAGAGGGCAGGGAAGAAGCCAACGAGGGCGGAGTTGAAGATGTATAAGGAGAAGAGAAGGCAAAAGAAAGAGGAGAAAAGGCGGGCATGGCTTAGGGATTGACTTCCCTCCTTTCTTGAGCACGGCTTATTTTTAAACTGTTCCATTTCGTACATCGATGCATTGAAACTCCCGGTCGAAACGGTTTCGGGAACTGGCTGGCTGGGTTTGCGATTTTTTGTTTTAATTACCATGGTAAACAACACAGGCATTACAGGCAACGGCAAAGCGGCAGATCTGGTTTATGGCGTTCGAGCGACTTACTCTTGACGTGGGATGGATACCTGCTTAACTGGGGCAATGAAGAATTAAGACATTCTACAGGGAAACGGTGTGATTCAAGCAAGAGGCGGCTGGGTATATAAACCCAAGCGTTATGTACTTTGGTATTAATATGTCTACAGTGTAGCGAAGCCTTCTACGAAACTTTTATTTTCTCTATCCTAACACAAACTATCACTCATCTTCCTCTTCTTCATCCTCCTCATCGTCTTCGAGCGTCATGTCAATCTGTACACTGCCTTCGCTATCACTACTCTCATCGCTTTTGTCCTCTTCTGGCTTGGGAACAGAGCTGATGACAGCCATCTGAGGGTGCGAAACAGCCTTGCCTGTGTCGACTCTCTTGGGGCGGCTGCCTTCATCGAACTCCTCTGCATCACTCTTTCGTTTGAGCGGAGAGGACGGACAGGCTGGTTGTATCAAAGTGGAGGGCTGGCTGGTAGTGCCGACGACTGTGGCGAAGGGATTCGTTGTCTCGGGGATGGGGGCAACATTGACGTGCTCGACGTCGAGCTCCATCTCAACTCCCCATGCGTTGGCGCTGGTCGCTGGTTTCGCTGTGCTCTTTACTGGCTCAATTTCCTTAGCGAAGGTTTCGTCCTCCTTGACAACCCCCTTTTCCTCACTGATCATCTCTTGAGCGAACTCTCTGCCATAGCTTATATCTCTGGTCACACCATTACTCAAATCCCATCCTCTGCTTGCATCGCTTCCCCCTACTTTAACCAAGTTGCTCCTCAACACCTCGACGCTTTCATCCCTAGGGAATCGCCGGACCAAGAAGGGAAGAATGCTGGGGTAATACCGGCCGCGGCTGTCGCGGTACGGGTGCAGACAGCTGGCCAACATAGCAGACTGGTTGTGAGACAGGATAGCGGTGCGGTCCAGCAGGCCACGGATATCAGGAGGGAGGTGTTTCTGAGGAAGGTGGGTGAAGAAAGTTGGGAGCAGGGCGGATGCGGCTTGGGAGACCGGAGAGGCAGTTGAAGTTTTCGGGGTAGAGGAGGAGGATTGGCCGGGAAGGAAGGCATCTGCGTTGGTAAGGGCCGGGCTGGATGACTTTTGTTGCTTAGAGGCGGTGACAGGGACGGATGACTGCGACTGAGCAGGCTGGGCATGACCAGCAGCGGTCAGGATGTCGTGACAAGAGGACTGAATGAGAGGGATAAGAATGTCGACTGTGAGCTTGGGTAGCGTCGAGCCAGCGAGAAGCAGGATTTCCTTGGCCAGAATGTAGGCCGTTTCGCGAACCGAAGGAAGCTGCTTGCTCGCAGTCGAGACTCGCACCATCTGGTCAATGATGTCAGTTGCAAGGGGGATTGCATTGGCCTCAAGACGGCGAATGATAGCACAGTGAAGGCGGAGCACAGCGTGGTGGATGTCGGGAAGCGCACTCCAAAGCTCGGCCTTCTCATCCCTTCCAATGGCTGGATTCGTCTCGATGGAGTCTTCAGCACCAAGAGAGGGAGGAATAACAAGAGTAAGCCTAGTCGTCAAGTCGAGCAACTCTCCCAACGGCACATTAACAGGGGCTCTGGTTGGGTTGTTGAAGTAGGCAGTAAGGTACTCCAGCAGGCCAGTTAGCCTTTCAGCACCAGCCTGTAATCCACTCCACGGAGGAAGCTCGTCAACGGAATCGCCGCCACCCGAAGGCTCACCGGTAGCGTTGACGGGCTGGATGTGGTAGCCTGTAGTTGACTCCCATGACTCGCGTACGGCTCGGAAAACCTGGTCGGCGGTAGTGTGGCAGTCAAGTATTGTCGCCCTGATGGCCTTGACCCATTCATCACTGCTACCATTTTTCGGAGCCGTGTAGGTAAGCAGGATTAACAGATTCCGTGAGTTCTCCTTCAAGCTCTGGGGAACCACAACATTATCAGACGAAGTAGGAGCAATATAAGGCCTGAGTGCAGACTTGATTTGGCCGGAAAATGGGCGCATAGTGGTAGAGTAGAGGACCACAAGCTTGGAAAGTGACCATGCGACTGTGTCAACGAAGTTCAGGGGCACCTTAAGGGGCCGCCCTGAAGCTGGGGGCTTGATGAGCTGCAGACAGGCCGTTGCATATCCGGGAAGGGTTGGCGTGGCCATCTCACGAATGAGAGTCTGGTAGTCCTGGAGGAGGATGTAAAGCTTAGTTAGAGTGACGATGCTCAGCTCTTTTGAGGATAAAGGATCGGGTTTCTGGAAGAGCAGTTAGTGACAATGTCAAGAACTAGACCCACATAAGGCTGATCATACCTGAAGAACCCCGATCAACCCGCGGATCCAGGGCTCTGCTGACCGCAGACTTTCCCAACCTCCAACATCAATGACAGCCTTAATCAAACAGACTGCTGTGAAACGGCCGGCCGGGCTTTTGCCAGTGAGCAGGGAAGTGATATGAGTTCTGAATTTGTGGACAAGCATGGCCGTCTCAGAAGTCCTGTCTTTGCCCTTAGCATCTTGAGGTTCTGAAAGGGGGCCGCCGCAGCGAAGGACATGATTGATAAGCAATGGGCATAGACGAGGCAGGCTGTCGACAGGTGTTGAGGCTAGTCTGTGGCAGACCACCCGGAGGTCGGGCGGTGCGGTCATGATGGAGGGATTGAGCCGAAAAGAGTTCTAATACGTAGATGCTCAATGTGAAGATCAAACTGCCTGGATTTGTAGTTAAGATTCCACCTGAGACTTATAGATACCAGTAATCACTACGAATCAAAGTCGACTTTGTGTAGTGAGATATCCTAGGGTTTTTCTCAAGTGAGTGTTGATACTCTCTGTTTTACACAAACCACATCTTCACCTTAACTTTCATTGCTGGAGATTTTTTCCCCCAGCTGCCCCAAACGGTAGCTGGACCCTGCAAGAGCCCAAGCTGGCCAATCCCAGCGCGCCGTTGGTGCCTGCATGTGCCGCAGTGGGGCACAGTGGGGTGCTGCAGCGCAGATCCACCCAGCAATTGACGAGGCCCACTGGCCGCTGTATCGGTTTATGGAGCCGAACTGCCAACTTCGCATTTGGACTCCTGGAGCGCGTGTTAGCTTGCGGGCTTGTTGCCGCCATCTCCGATCCCAGCCCTGACTGGTGCCAACCTCGTCCCAATCCCTGTGGATTACGGATCAACTCAGCATCAGTCCAGCACGATCGGACCAGAGCTTTGTCCATCCATTCCATTGCCTCACCGAATAAAACCAGCCGTTTGTTGTACGCCGATCTTTCGCCCGCATGTCCTGTCTCCGTCCATCGTCTTAGTGCGAGTTGGCGTGTATATCAGGCAACATGGTGAGCTGCGCCCGCACCCTTCCTCCAGACCGGTTCTGAACGCCCCAGCTAACTCCCGACAGCCCGACGCAACCAAGGCCGCTCATTACATACAGCTACTGGACGAGGCTCGCTGCGATGATAACTGGGATGCCGTGCCTGAGCTAATCCGCAAGGTGCGGAAACACGCCCCAGACCGCACCTGTACATACCCCTTGCCGCATTTGCCCGCCTCTTCGTCAGTCACATCCACTAACTGACTCTCTCACCAGGCCTCACATTAACCGCCGAGATCGAGCATGCCGTCGCAAAGGCCAACCTCAAGGGCCCCTCCGACCCCGGCAGTTCCTCATCTCTCCCAGGCATCGACCCTGCCCAGCAACTTCCCTCGCTCCTCACCGCGATCGAGAACGAGAACAGATACCCAGAGGACCGGTTCCAGGCCCGAGTATGTGCTGGCTGGCTACTATGGGTTGCACGCGACTATGCTGGTGCTCTGAGCCGTCTGCCCCAGGGCATTGACGACAGTGATCAGAACAGTGTGGCAGGTGAGAGCGCGGCTCCGTCGTCTCCGGAATGGACTAAGGTCTGCGGTCTCAAGGCTGCATACCTCCGGGCCAATTGTATGGCTCGTGACGGTCAGCGTGATGGCGCCCTTCTCGCCTTTGAGGCTGCCCTCCCTGGCCTGAGCAGTGTTTGGCAGGCTGGCCCGGCTGAGAGCCGTCAGCAGATGCGCTACTGGGCCGAGCTGTTCTTGACCGAGTTCTGCATGCTCGCAAGCCAGGCCCTAAGGGAAGGCGCTCTCTCGTTGACGGATACAGACTGTTTGGCGTCTTTCCGAACCTGGGCGAGGTACTGGGCTGCTGGGAAGCAGAGTGTCGTTTCTCCAGGCGGCTATGGGTTCCGTGGGAGCGTACCTCGGAGGAAGGTTTGGGCAGAATATTATTTTGCTCTGTCCGAGATTCTTCAAAGGGATCTGCCCTTTCCGACTGGTTACTCGGCTGTGACCAATGAAGGCTCTGCGAGAAGCCACCTCAGAGCTGAGCTCAAGAAGGTCGAAACTATCTATCAGGGCTTGCTCTTCTCCGAGACCCGCTTCCCCAGGGCTGACGAACAGAGGGCCGAAGTCGAAGAGTTTGTCCGCGCGATGATGGAGAACTGGGCCGTCCTCAATGGACGCGGCTGGAAGGAGCACGACCTTGGGCCTGGTGGTAGGGATGCGCTCTGCCGCAGCACCTTGGATGCCCTCTATGGTGCTGCGGCCAAGACGTACCATTCAACTGCCATTTTGCGCCATATGTTCAGGGTACACCTCGCTGTGGCTGAATTTGACCTTGCCTTCATGGCCTTCGATTCCTGGTTCGAACTGGTCAAGAAGGGCAAAGCAAGAGTGCAGAAGACAGGTCATCCGGAACCAGCCCTGGACTGCGATGCAACTGTTCTCGAGACCATTTCGGCTTGCATCTCGGCACTTTGCAAGTATGGAGGTAGGGAGGCTGCCGAGAAGGCCCGGAAGCTCGCAGAAGAGATGGAGACACTGGTCCAGAAGTATGAGAACCAAACTGCTACAGACGGTAATCAGCATTCACAAGAGCTTTCTCCACGTATCCTCGCGTTGGCATGGCAGTCGATTGGTCTGGCGCAGGCCCAATGGGCACGCATGACGTATGAGTCAGAGCAGCGCGCTTCCATCCAAGAGAAGGCCATCCAGTGTCTTCGTCGATCTATCTCCCCACAATACGGATCTGCGGTCGATGTGAAGGCTGTGTTCACGTTAGGTGTCCTCTATGCAGAACAGCGCAAGCTGTCTGCAGCTGTTGAGTTGGTCAAGACCTCTCTCCTAGCCGAGACCACGACTGTTGGCGAAAACCCAGAGTTGCGACTTGGTCCTTACTGGAAAGAGCGGTCACTCATCCCTCTTTGGCACCTCCTGGCACTGCTGCTTAGCGCGAGACAAGAGTTCATCATGGCTGCCCGAGCCTGCGAAGGCGCAATCGAGCAATTCAAGGATCCATATGTGCTATTTGGAAGCAGAGGTATCAATGGCCCCTATCGGAGCGAGCATCTCAACGAAGCCGAAGCTTCGAAAGGGACCGATGGCATCGTGGATGAGATGGATGACTTCGAGAAGGAAGGCATTCTGCGGATCAAGATGACGCAGCTTGCCATCCTTGAGTTGCTTGAAGGGCCCGAAGTTGCTGTGAACGCGAGCACTGAGCTCCTTTCTTTGTACCCGAGGTTATTCGGGGAAGTAGAGCAGAAGCTGGAGCTCAGCACTAAACCCGAACCGCCCAAGACGGCTGCCACTGTCCGCACACACAGGAACAGCATCTTTGGCAGTAAAGGCGACAAGTCCAGCCGGACAAGGCAGAACAGTGTCGCAACCACTTTCAACCACAACGAGCCGGGTCCCTCTCGTCCTCAGACTTCCCATACCACGGCTACTACCACCTTGACAATTCAGACGGCCAACGGTCAGGTGGCCGATCCTTCCGCAAGCAACAGATCAATTTACGCTGAGAGCGGCAGGCGTCGCAGCCGCAACAGCCTGCGCAAGCGTGATAGGAGTGCCAGCCGGGCTCGGGCTGTCAGTACTGCCAGTAGCGAGCCACCCGTGCCGCGACTCGATTTCTCCGCCTTCGACGGCAATCTCCCACAGTATAATCCTTCGGAATCCCTTCGATCACCCCCACCTATGACTTCCCTGCCGCCCCCTCCGGTGCCGCAACAAGCCGACTCTAGCGCCATCCGGGCGAGGTCGAGGTCGCGTTCGCGTGCCGCAACCAATACCCACCAGGATGAGCTCGCTGGTCTGCGTGTTGGACTGGTTGGAGCGTTCCCTCAGTTGCTTCCTCATGTGCTTTTTTCACCTGACCATAGTCGTCGGCGCAGGAAGGTTATTCTTGTAAAGGTGTGGCTAACGATCGCTGGTTTTTATCGACGGGCTGAGCTGCTGGAGGATGCTCAGAAGGCTATTGCTGAGGCGCTGTTTGTTGCTGAGAGCCTGGAAAAAGAAGTGGTTAATGATGGGTCAGGGGAGTTGTCTGTCAAGCAGGCGGGATGGGGCATGGAGAAGAGTGTGGATGAGGTGTTAGCTGACGTTTGGGCCGAGGTGAGTTAACCTCTGATCATTTTACAATGTGTCCCCTATGCTGACTCCATGACAGATGGGCCATTTGTCAGTGGCTCGTGGCAAGCTATACCAAGCCCGTGCAGACTACGAAACGGCTTTGTCGCATTTTCAAGATCATCCCGGTGCCATCGTTGGGCTCTCCAATATCCTTTTGGATATTTATACGGAAAAGCTGCTTCCGCCGCCCCCGGTAGAGGGCCTCGATCTCAGCAGTTTGTCACTGACTGAGGAGGGCGCGGCTTCTTCTACACCGGCCAAGGCGACCGGCACTTTTGAAACGACGGCAATAAAGACTCCTGAGCTACCATCCATCCCTCTCGGATTGGCCCCGACAAAACCTAAGCCACGTCGCTCGACATCAGCGTCGGCAGCAGCAGGATCATCCACCTCTGATCACGCTAAACCGAATGGCCACCCCCCGGAGCAATATGCTTCTCCTTCACAAACACAATCCTCACTCCTGGGCCCACAACTGCCGCCACCACACCGAGCAACCTCTCTCCCACTCAACGACCGTCTCGCCGCGCGTGATCGTGCCTACGGCTTGCTCTCAACACTTACGCGTCTTGGTACCGGATGGAACAACTCCGAGGCATGGCTTGCGCTGGCTCGGGCGTATGAGGAGAGTGGACAGGTGGATAAAGCGAGGGACGCGCTGTGGTGGTGTGTCGAGCTGGAGGATGGTCGGGGAGTGAGGGAGTGGGGGGTTGTTGCTGGCGGGTCTGGGTATGTTTTGTGAAGGACTTCCGGTTTAAGTTTTGATATTCCGACTTTTTTTTAAAGAGATTAAGCTATAGTTCAGAGCTAGAATTGGGTAGACCATTGTTGTAATAGATGGTGTTAGCCTCTAAGAGCTACACTTGTTTGGACGGTTGACTGTGAAGAGGTGGCCACAACCCTAACCCTGAAACCTATATCCCCACAATTTCACCCTGTCGTGCTCCTTCGCTCTTCATTCTGGTCATTCATCGGTCGCCTACTGTCTTCCTGAGTTTTACAAAGCATGTTAGAAGCTCAGTAATTTTGGATGACGTCCTTTACTTCAAGTCACTTTTATCGATAATCGTCTCATAAAAGGCCATATAATGCCATCACTCGACCTCACACTCATCGTAGCCGCCGCAGCCCGCGATATGGGCATTGGCCGTAATGGCACGCTCCCCTGGAAGGGCCTCAAAAAGGAGATGGCTTACTTTGCGCGGGTCACAAAACGGCCACCCCCATCTGCTCTTTCTGCTTCATCTGAGGAAAAGCAACAGACACGGAAGCTTCAGAACGCCGTCATCATGGGCCGCAAGACGTGGGAGAGCATCCCCCCTAAGTTCCGGCCGCTGCCGGGCAGGCTGAACGTGGTCATCTCGCGGACTGTGGGGGATGAGGTTGTTAAGGGGGGCGTGGCTGATGAGGTGAAGAGGGCGGATGTGTTGACGGCTAGGTCGTTGGAAGAGGCGTTGGCGCTCTTGCAGAAGAGGCACCAAGATGAAAAAGGGGATGGGGATGTGGGGAGGGTGTTTGTCATTGGCGGTGCACAGATCTATGATGCGGCGCTGGCATTACCGGAGACGAGGAGGATTGTGTTGACGAGGGTTAGGAAAGAGGAAGGGGAGTTTGAGTGTGATGCTTTCTTTCCTGTTCGGCTGGATGCCCAGGAGAATGGAGGGAGTCGGGAATGGAGGAGAGTGTCGCAAGAGGAGATGGACGCTTGGGTTGGGGAGGAGGTGCCTAGGGGCGTGCAGCGAGAAGCTGGGGCAGAGTATGAGTTCGAGATGTGGGAGCGGATGTCCTCTTAATGTCCTTCCTTCCTTCATAGGTGTGGTATATATTCTGGTCTATTTGTACACGTCTGTTTTACACCTTTAAAAATTCGTACACATTTCACACCTTCTCCGAAATAGCAGCAGCAGCAACAGCAACCGACTTGATTCCGGCCTTGTCAAACGCTGGCTTCAGCGACGCCGTCGGAACATCCACCAGAATCAGCATATCCCCCAGTGACACCTTCTTGAACACCTGCTCCGCCGCGACCTCGACCGCCTCGTCCTCCAGATCCCCCAGATACTTCACGCATGCACGCATGTACCCCACAACGGCAGCTACTGCGCGCATGTCGACGTCCTCCCGCGCCTTGAACAAGTTGCGCCAGACAGCCGACGCCAGCACAGCGTCGCCTTTGGCCAAGCCCTCGTCGTAGGCAAGGATCAGGCCGCGCCATTGGACAAAGAGATCCTTCAGGTAGCGCTGGCGGATAGCGCGCGAGGTAATGTCGTGCGCGATCTCCATCTTGGCTTCTGCCTCGAAAAAGAAGTGGTTCACCAGCTGAGCCTGCCAGGCCTGGTAGGTCATGCGTTCCCAACAGCGGAACCGCACGACGAGAAGCCACATGTGTAGCATGGATACTTGGGCCCAGGTGCTGAATGTTGGGGGCAGGCCGATGACTAGGGAGATACGACACTTCGGTCAGCTCATGCTTTCCCTCATGACATTGTCTAGATGAAAGGGAAGAATAACTCACTCTCATGCCAAGCGCTGCCCAAACTCTCCCCGATCTCCTCGCCCTCCTCGCTCGTCTTCACCTCCCCCTTCTTCCTTAGTCTGGGGTCAATTACGTAGTCTGCCTGCGCTTTGCACGCCTTGGTCATGCGCTCGGTTGCGCCGTAGATGAAGTACGAGCCACGCTTCGGTCCCAGGGTCTGCGCAACGCGGGTGGCCAGCAGCTTGCGCAGGCCCGACAGGAACTTCTCGTGCTGTTGCGAGGTGTGGAAGGCTCGTCTTGGGGCGATTGCACAGCTGCTTCTGGGAGCGGGGAGTGTCGAGCAGGGGGTAGTCGTCTTGGTCGCGCCAGCGCGGAGGAGGGGAGAAGCTAGTTGGGTGTTTGGGAGAGAAGTCTGTTGTAGACTGGCCGCTAGGCGGCGGGAGAGACCCGCGCGGCAGGTTTGGCAGGCCATTGGGGGAAAATGGAGGCGACTGAGCTGGTGAGGGCTTCACAACGCGAAGCATGGGAGCTTGAGTCGTCGAGGTCATTGATGCGCCCAAAAATCTTATCGGGAAGAGCGATAAGGGTTAGGGTTGTTCAGCTTCTGTCCCTGTGATGTCACTGCTGGTCAGAGGACAACTTTAAAACGTAGCAACGAATTTCATGAAACGAGAGTTTTTGGAAGGAGTATCGTCATACAGAGTGACATGTCTCTACATCAACTGGTTTCAATTTGTGAGCCCTTAGGCCATGTGCTGTCGTCCGAAGGGCCTCTCTATGCCGACATCTTTATGTTCCCTGTCCCAAGGTAGAGACTACAATGATAAAAGACGTAGATACCTACATCTTACAAAAGATTACTCTACAGCGCTGAATACCAAAGAAGCATTCGTGCCTCCGAATCCAAAACTGTTTGACATGGCCACCTTGACCTTCTTCTGTTGCGCCTCCAAAGGTACGAAGTTGAATCGTGCTCCGACATCTGGCTTATGCAAATTCAAGGTAGGAGGAACAGCACCCTGCAATCGTGGATCAGCAGCATTCCAAACAGTTTGGATGCCAAAAAAAACTCACTTCGGTGATAGTAAGGACTGCGAATAACGCCTCAATGGCCCCCGCAGCCCCTAACAAATGCCCAATAGCACTCTTGGTGCTACTAACCGTGACCTTGCCCTCATCATCTACACCATCCTCGCCCAGCATCAAGGACTTGATGGCAATCGCTTCAGCAGCATCGCCAACCTGAGTCGCCGTCGCATGGGCATTGATGTAGTCAACGTTCGCTGGCTTAATCCCTGCGTTCTTCAGCGCGCGCTTCATCGCTGCCAGGGCTCCAGATCCGTCGTCCCGGGGAGCAGTCATGTGGTGCGCATCACCACTGCAGCCATACCCACGTAACTCAGCCAGAATGCGAGCACCGCGACTTTTGGCATGCTCCATCTCCTCCAGAACCATGACGGCAGCACCCTCAGCGATAACAAACCCTGCGCGATCGGCATCAAAAGGGCGACAGCTGGCAGGCGGGTCGTGGTTGTAAGCCGTGGACAAGGAGCGAGAACGACCGAAGCCGGCGAAAGCGAGCGGATGGATGCACGACTCTGCGCCACCAGCGACCATGACTTTGGCATCGCCAAAGGCGATGAACCGCGCGGCGTCCCCGATGCTGTGGGCGCCGGTTGTGCAGGCGGTGGTGGCGGCGTGGTTGGGGCCGCGGAAGCCGTAACGCATCGCGATGTGGCCGGCAGCGAGGTTGATGAGAATCTTGGGGACGAAGAGAGGAGAGACTTTTCGGTAGCCCTGGAATCACAACCGAGCCAACATGTGCATCTCAGTATTCTTAGTTCTGTACAAAACTATCCCAACGTCCAAGAAGGCCTGCATACGTCTCGTTCAAAAGCCACACTGGTGGCGTATACATCGTCCAAGTTTCCGATGCCGCTCCCCAAGCAGATGCCTGTCATTTCGCGGGCCTCATCGGTGTCTGGCTTCCATCCTGCGTCGCACAAAGCCATCTCGGCGGCAGCGACTGCATACTGGGCAAAGACCGACATACGGCGCTGGTCTGCCGGTTCAAGCCAGTCGGACGGGCGCCAGGCGTGGGGGACAGCCTGTTTGTGGGCATGCACGGAAGCAGCCGAGGTCTCGGTGGGCACGATGCCGGCAACGGTGCTCGTTATGTCGCGCCATCGGGGGTCGTGGGCGGCGCGGTCGGCGACGCTGATGATGCCGCTTTCTGACGCCAGCAGACGGCGCCAGGTCGGACGCACGCCCACGCCGAGCGGGGTGATGGCGCCGAGGCCCGTCACTACGACGCGCCGCATTGTTGGGCCATGGGTGTCGAGGGCTTGGTTGGAGAAGGTCGTCAATGAAGGAGTGTTGCTCCAGTTGGCGCTCGGGCGGAAAGGGAAAAAAAACAACCGAAGGGTTACTGCCTCAAAAAGGAAAAGTTCGGTTGATTTTAGCGGGGCTTAGTTGCTGCCCTGAATGGTGACGTCATATTACCCAGACCCTTCTTCCTCTCCACTCATTTGTTGATGGGAAATTCTTTCGAGAGGATGAATGAATGCAATTGAGAGACCTCAAGAAACCAAGCTTTCAGTTTGGGACGCCCTGCCTGGGGCTTGGAGTTTTTCCAGCTTCGGGTCTAAGAACTTAAAACCCAAGCTCAGAAGACCATCAATTTCAAACGCTCCCCAAGAGTTAGACCAGTAAGTTAACGAATAAAAAGGCGCAACCTTAAGAGTTAGGTATATCGTAGTCAGAAACAAGGAAAAAATTGAATTTCATAGGTCCAATTAACCAGTCAGCAGTAGTATTTCAGGAGGAAAACAACTTGTAAATCAAGCCCGCTAAAACTCGCTAAAAGCCAACTGTGCTTATTGGGAAATGCCTACTGGTATGTGGGAAAGAGAAAACGGGATGTAATGGCTAGTTTTCTCGAACTACGTTCTCCGAAAACCATTGAAGACGGTCGACGAGCGACTCGAAAGTATCACGCGCTCAGAAACTTTAAGTACCGATATATATGACTATGTCTTCTGTTCGATAGTGGATTTGGTGAGCCGAAACTTTGGACTGACTCCCAAGCTTCAAGCAGGAAGCCAGCTGACTAAGTAAAGGGAAGTTTAAAGACGAGAATAGAGTACGTAATAAGTTGACAGGCGTTCCCATTAAATAGTTCAAACTCACTATCTGCCGAGTGTCTCGTGCTTTCTAAAAGAGACAGCAAGAATATTGGAGAGCTGTCGTCCTCAAAACTCTCAGCCATGCATGTGGATCGTGCTCGGGCCGTCCCATAGTTAGCCTACTTCGGTGACAGCCGTCTCCTGGCGGTTTGGCCTTGTTTGAGAGAACGAAAACAGGATGCGTATAGAGAAACTTAGGCACAGATAAGGGTCAAAATGAGAACTTATGGTGAACTCAGCTACCATTATAAGCAATCATTTGGCAATCTATTATTCCTATCCCCCACAAAACCCTGCAGGAACCGTGTGGATGAAGTGCCCTCACGCAAGCGAAGTGGTCCTCATCTGCCATCGGACCAACTCTCTGATGTCCACCAATCCCAAAGAGGTTGCACCGCTCTATCGACATACATCAAAGTCTGGACCGAGCAGCGTAGGTTCTCCGAGAAGTAAGTCGACGGACTTATCCTGGATCTCTTCGGTCGGTACCCGGATGGTATCTAATACCAACAATGCTAAATATGCAATGATGTCGAGGTCTTGTGCCTCGCATCATTCATAGATAACCGGATGGGGACCTGGTAGCTGTGGGGATAGAAACAAGTGGGGGGTCTCTGGGTGTTGAATCAGTCATCAAAGAGTGACTGATCCCTCGGGGATGCTGACATGTGCAACGGTCACGACGTGGAGCTGCAGCTTAGAAATGCTGAATGTGCCTACGTGACCGAGAATCCCAGTTATCCTGGGGACTTGTAAGACCTGTTCCTGAGGGGTACTCGAAGTTTGTATTCGAGCCGGAGTGAGACGCAAGGCTCCCCTTCACCCCTTCATCCTTGAACATAAACAGAATATAGTCGTTGGGTATGTTCCAACACAAAACATAGGTAGCACAATATCTTCAATACTCCTAGTGGCCCTATCTAAATCAAGAAGAAAATGCAAAGATCATGCATAGCGGGAAGATTCGTTCCCGGATCCGTTCCCACGGAACTCCCTGTATATTCAATAACCTGTGACACGTGTATGCAAAGTACTATATACCAACCCGTAAAGTCGCCTGGGTATCTGACAGCATTCAAACCACACCCAACGCCCGGTGTTTTATCCCGCGTCCGACCTCAATGCCTTGTCTGTTTTACTCGAACTTGTGCCGCAATCCCCGATCCTTCAACCCCCCAAACCGTCGCTTCTTCCGGAAATGCTTCAAATAGGATGCAGAACTAACACATACACCAAAGCAAGGCGAAATCAAGCCATACTCCCCGTCGTATTCCCCCGTCTTCTCCCCGGAGAAGGGTGGTGATACCCCGCTGGCAAGCCGGGCGTCTCTTCCGTCGGGGTCGACACAACCGACACTTCGGTTGTAAGATGTACTCCCCTCCTTCCAGCCAACGGGTCCACGAACGAATCGCTCGCCTTGCCCACTGTTGTCACCAGCGGGATCGCATCGAAGCTCGGGCGCAGATGCAAGCTTTCGGCTGATGAGGATGGCTTCCCTGTGCCGTCGTCTCCAGTGGGAGACGAGTCATCGTTTCCGGAAAACGTGAATGACTTGAATGATTTGCTGCGGAAAAGGTTGCTGGTGGTTGCTGAGATAAAGGGCAGACCGTGGTGATGGTGCGCGTTGCGGTCGCGGTGATGATGTTGTAGGTTGTTGCTGCTTTCTGGGAGCTGATGACTTGCGTCGGCGAATGCAGGGAAGTTGTTTTCACCGTTAGGAGGCCGGCCGCGAGCCAGGCGGTATAGAGGACCGAGAGTTGGGATGGACGCGCAGACGATCAAGATAAAGCCCTCGGCGAAACCGAGAATGCCGAGGTAAGGCACGGGATCTGCGGTTCGTCAGTGTCTGTGAATACCATGACTAGGGGACAGAGGAAAGAAACAGTATGATACCTACATGTTGGGTCAGTTTCCATGATCTCAAAGACTTGCCGAAGTATGATAAGCTTGTACAAAGACACAAAGCAACCCAGCACGCTGAGCCCCATGGCTGATGCAAACGCTAGACGGGTCTTGAGCGGCATGTTGAGGCGCATGATGAAGGGGGCTGGGTAGATGGCGAAGAATAGGTCAAGGAATGATGAATATGCTGATGTGAAGTAGCCGAGGTTCTTGAGAATGCTAATATCGGCGCATTTTCCCTCGATCGATAGATCCCAATTCCTTTCGACAGGATCACACTGTTTGAACCACCAAACCGATGTCGCTAGAATGCAGGCCTGACACGAAAGTGCCAGAGTCCAGAAGAGAATAGTAGTCTTGATTCCGGGACAAAGGATGCGTTGCAGCGTCGAGATGATAGCAAACTTGGGCAGCGAGAATGTCCAGACAAGCACGGCGTTGGTGATGAGGCTCCATTTGAGCGACTGCTTGATCTGCTCCGTGGAAAGGCTGGCTATGTGCCTGCCGAGGCCGTGATGAGAGGAGATGGTGACAAATATGCATGTTACGAGGAAGACGACCATGCAGAAAAGAGTGATGTAGTCGTCCAGGCCGAGGCCATTGCCTGTTGCTCTCCTGCGATAGACGGCACGGCAGAAGACACGAAGGCCGACGATGACTGCTCGGGTCAGCTCTGGAACTTGGCCATTCAGTAACAGCATTCATTGATACTCACTAGCTGCCATGCCGAACATGGACCAGCAGGCCCATTCGGCCCGAACACCATAGTTTTCTCGTTCCCATAAGCCTGATCCCATTGCACTGATAGGGCGATGGTCAATTGGACGTTGTGGTTGATAGACAGTCTATGAAACTCTATCTCGACGACATGACGGGAACCGATGGGAATGATATCCGGCAAATGCGGGAAGAGTAGGCATCCAGCTCAGCTGTGCCACGAACTCGGACAACCTTCATTTGCGGTCTCAGCAGAAAAATGTGACCCACGGACACACGCCAAGCTGTTGAACCAAACGGTTGGCCGGCGGGGGCGTTAGTACAGGCACGTACGTCGCTTGGCATCGTGTGGGTGACATTTTTTCACCTGGTAGTTGTCTGTTTTAGGGAAGCTCGGTGCTAGTTCCGAGCTTGTCCAGAAGTTGCTGACAGCATCAAGCTGGACAGGCCCGCGGTTCGCTGCCGCCGCATGAACAAGCTAGGCTGGATCCAGCATGGTGGGAGGCCGGAGCATCGGCAAGTGGAAGGAACAAGTTCGGATAGGGTGCCATTGGAGGGAACGAAAGGATTATCACATCCGTCACATCGTGTGCCAGGACGGAGAGCAAAGCAGCCCTGCTCGCTTGGTGTAGCGCGTTGTCAAACGTGCTGTGCAGGAACCCCACAGTGCCAGGGGTCGGCCACGTGTTACACACTTCTGAGCGTGCCTGTTGGTGATAGTCAGTCGATGTCATTGCGATATCCTGACCTAGGTGAGAGTCAGAGAGAAAACTGAGGAAGATTCGAGCTGGTGTTCTTGGAGCATCACATACTGTGGTCCACATCACAGGGCTCAAGTCCCGAAGCTGTGCCTGACTTGCACGTGGATGACTACCGAATTTCGAGTCTCCGGCCGCGAAAACCCTCGCCGCTCTCACCATCCTCACCAACGAGGGTTTCATGGTAGCAGCGTGGCTCGATCCAAACCCCAGACAACCACACGACAACCCCACTCTGGTGTCTTAGCTCCATTGATGAGCGAGTTTTCAGTTTTTTTCTCCCATGAATCGTCGGCCAGTCCCCTCAGGCTGCAGCTTCTAATGAGCATGGAGTGAGAATGGCCTTTCGCGATGGTGGGAACGACATAAAAAAATGCCTTGATGAATGGTAAACGGTCTCTATCCGTTCCCTGTTTCATTGGTCCCTCTGCCTTCTCCGTTATTTTTTTTATTTTTCCGTGCTGTTGGGCCTGGATTTCGGACAACCGACAGAGACTGATCCTCGGGATCGGTTTCTGGATTCGTCTATGTCCGAGGGTTGTACGACTCGAGTGCCGAAAGGCCGACCGTTGGAGACATAATCAACCTTCAAGAAGGAATTGGTGATCAATGAGCTCTGATCCTGTGCTGTTGATAAGCTGATGGGGTCTGCCTCTACCACCTGAAGTTCTGGGACTCGGAACAGAGCACCTTGTGGTTATAGTCACGTGACCGGTACCGTCCAAACAGTGGGGTTGAAGGTGTATTGCGTATCAATCCCTGCGGATAAAGAACTGCAAAATACACTCTTACAATAGGAGCTTTGAAGTTTACTTTTATCTGGAATCATATCAACAGAGAGGTGATCTTGTCAGCCATTTCTTTGTCCCTCTCTGATCAACCTTCTGGAATCTTTCGATTTCCGAGCTAGGTTGTCCCGGATAACCCGGCGCCAAGTCGTCTGGGTTGAATGTGGGGAAGCGGATCGGTGGGGACAAGATGTCTGGGGGCCACTTGGCCGGAAGCTGACTTGATTATTGACAAACACCAACAAAGCCAGCAGCCAACAGCCATTGACGACAGCCATTGGGTGAAAAGGAAAGCTTTGCAAGGGATGAGTTTTAAGGAGACGGGAAATGATCAATAAGACACTTTGCCAAGTTTCACCTATATCTTGAGTGGCATTGAGCAGCTAAAAGCTTAAGCGTTCCTGAGCTCGGCCCAAACTGATTGCGCTTTTGAGTCTTCAATATAGACTCCATCACAACACCATTGTTGCAGGCGGAATCACTAGATGCCTGGTCGGAGCCAACAGTGTTTATGTGAGTGGGCTCGGGAAGCCTACTGAGACACTGGTGAGCACAGCGCGTCTACTGTCCGAGAAGCTGAACTTTATCAACATCCACCTTCTTCTTATCACTCTCGATCTTCCCTCCCATCAAATTCATGCTGGCTTTCCGATCGCCGATATCTTAACTGCCCTTTTTTCGGGGCATCCGCATCTGAATAATGGCTCATCCGTCGGGCGATGTGCCTACACCTGATCCTCATGATGGGGATCTCACCAGCTCTCGGCCGAACCCCTTAGCGGTTCTTCGAAGCCCCCTTTCTCAGCTCCGCGATCGCCTTTCTCATTTAGTCGTCCCTGATGGTGGAACAAACGAGTCGGATTCTGAAGTCGAACTTCTCCAAGATCCAAATTTGCCTGCTGAGCATTATCTTCGCCATCAGCCTCTCCCCCGCCTCCCCCTGTCCAACAACAAGCCAATCGCATCTCCAGACGATGAGGACGAGGATGAATACAAAGACGTCGGCGAAGACATCCCCCTGCATCATCTCGAGTCGCAGCAGTCACACCTCATGAACGGCCAAGAAGGGGAGGAGGATGAGGAGGAGGATGAAGAGCTCGAAGACTCTCCCTATCCTGAGGTCCGCGCGTCTGTGCCCCCGCGTGACGATCCGTCCCTCCCTTGCAACACCTTGCGCGCTTGGACCATTGGCATGTCGCTGATCTTTGTGGGCGCCAGCACAAACACGCTTTTCTCGTTACGTGCCCCAAGTATTAGCCTGGGCTCCCTGCTGGCTCAAGTCATTTCCTGGCCCTTGGGGCATGGCTGGGCTCGTTGGATGCCAGAAAAGGAGATATCTGTTCCAGTCCTACGCCTTGGGTGGTTTTTAGGCCGGACTGGGTCCCGGGGGGAGAGGAGCATGTTCAAGTGGGAGACCATTCAACTCAACCCCGGGCCGTTCAATATTAAGGAACATGCTATCATCGTCGTGATGGCCGGTGTGTCTTTCTCTGTGGCTTATGCCACTGATATTATTCTTGCCCAGAAGGTCTTTTACAAGCAAGACTTTGGGATCCTGTGGCAACTGTTACTTGTCATTTCGACGCAGAGTTTGGGATATGGCATTGCTGGGATGATGAGGAAGTTCTTGGTCTACCCCGCTTCTATGATTTGGCCAGGAAACCTCGTTGCTGTCACTCTTATGACGGCCATGCATGAACAGGCCGATGTGCGAGATCCGACCATCATCGGAGGAACCATTCCTCGATACCGTTGGTTTGCTCTCGTTACTCTTGCATCATTCCTTTACTACTTCATTCCGGGTTTCCTGGCCCAGTTCTTGAGCTCCTTTGCTTTCGTTACTTGGCTATTCCCTGACAGTCCTGTTGTGAATCAGCTGTTTGGTTACACAACCGGTCTGTCTCTGATTCCCATCACCTTTGATTGGACGCAAATCACAGGCTTTGTCGGATCACCGTTAATTCCACCATGGTAAGTGAGAATCCTGGGCTGGCATGGAGGCAAACACACGCTAACATTGTCAAGGCATGCTATCGCAAACACCATGATTGGTGTCATAATATTCTTCGTCTTTCTTGCTTCTATAATCCATTACAGTGGTGGCTGGTACTCTGTATACCTACCTATGAGTGACTCTAATACCTATGACAACACTGGAAAACTGTACAACGTTTCTCGCATCCTGAGCGCTGACTACACGCTGGACGTGGAGGCTTACAATAATTACTCGCCCTTGTTTCTGAGGTATGTGTGCTACTCGCACATAGCTTCCTCGTTCATCTTGCTAATAAGCAAAACAGCACCACTTTTGCCCTGTCATACGGCCTGTCATTTGCTGCTATCTCCTCATTGATAGTGTATACCTATCTCCATCATGGAAAAACCATCTGGCGCCAGTGGAAAAGCAGCACAACAGAGAAGCCGGACATTCATATGAAGCTGATGCGCAGGTACAAAGAAGCCCCAACGTGGTGGTATCTGTCGCTGTTTGTTGTAGTATGTGAGAATTTTCTCCCCCTCTGAGGATCATTACTGACACCTTAAGATGCTTGCCCTTGGCTTTCTTACTGTCCTTGCTTGGCCCACTAACATGACATGGTGGGCCTTTTTGCTGGCCGTGTTCATTTCCTTTGCCTTCTCCTTGCCTATTGGCATCATCCAAGCTGTGACGAACAACCAAATTGGCTTGAATGTGCTGACGGAGTTTGTCTATGGTTACATTCAACCAGGTCGTCCTTTGGCCCTGATGATGTAGGTCTTTACCCAGACTTTCTGCCCCCTGCATGCTAACGCCTATCCTAGCTTCAAAACCTTTGGCTATATTACTATGTCTCAGGCCTTGACCTTTGTATCGGACCTCAAGTTCGGCCACTACATGAAGATTCCCCCTCGCACTATGTTCATGGCCCAGGTGGTGGCCACAACTGTTTCCTGCTTCATCCAAGTCCTTGTCCTCAATTATGCCCTCAACAACATTCCCAACGTCTGCGAGCCCACTCAGCCAGAGCACTTCACCTGTCCAGGTGGGAGGGTTTTCTTCTCCGGTAAATCCCTTTTCCTTTTCCCTAAGCAACCCCCCTTTTTTTTCTCACCACAAACTAACGCCCCCTCCTCACAACAGCTTCCGTAATCTGGGGTCTAATCGGACCTGCCCGCATCTTCTCCCCAGGCCAAATCTACTCCTCCCTCTTCCTTTTCTTCGCCGTCGGCGCCATCACGCCCGTGATAATCTATCTCCTCGCCCGTAGACGCCCTACCTCCCCCATCCGCTACCTCATGGCCCCCCTCATCTTCGGCGGCGCGGGCGCCATTCCCCCAGCAACACCCCTCAATTACTTGTCTTGGGGCATGGTAGGCTTCATCTTCCAGTACCTCATCAAGAAGCGATACTTCGGCTGGTGGAGCAGGCTCAACTTCCTGACGAGCAGCGGTCTGGACTTGGGGCTGGCGCTAAGTACGCTGGTGATCTTTTTCGCATTTACCATACACGATATCGAACCGCCGAGGTGGTGGGGGAATGAGGTGGTCAAGGGAACACTGGATTATAAAGGCGAGGCGGTGCAGGTTGTGCTACCTGAGGGTAGGACGTTTGGGCCGAATAGTTGGAGGATTTGAAAAGAAACGTGGCTGGGGACATCTGAAGTTTGGTTGTGTTTCGGGCGTCTTGAGTACCATACCCTGCCCGTATTGTACAAATCCTAGAGGAGGAGATGAAACACCCTGTGGTATAATAACCCGGAAGGGTCGGTTCGGTACTTGAGCAACGTTTCACTTTCAACAATATCAGTCTCGAGACAACTGTTTGGTCGGAGTAGTGAAATATGTTTCATACAATAGAAGAATCCTCAATATCCATATTGTAGATTACATTCGTAGAAACCACAGTTTGCATCCTCCCTCAATCCCACAACATATCAACAGAGAAACCCTAAAGTTCGAAATTCGAAGTGAAGAACGTTTACTTTTTCGTCCAGTTCTGTATAAAACAGTAATTGATGCTGTTGTGACGTCCGACACAAAAGACTATTTGAACCAGCAGGCAGTGAGTCATCGTTCCTTCCATCCGTCACCAACCATTAATCATCCTGCTGTCCGAATCTGGGGGTAGGTGCGGCGGTGAATTCCGTTCATTATGAAAAATCAACACCCCCGTTGTTCAGCCGCATCGTCTTCCAGACCGCTGCCTTAACCGGGAACGTCCGGCCCGGCTGACGTAACAAATGCCGGACAATACATCCTTTCCGAGGAGTTTCGCCTTGGCCTTCATTTTGGAAAATGCTTCTCGAAGAGTCCCAGGCATGACCGGCTTTTGTAAGATACGATACAAGCGCGGTGAGGGTTTTTAGTGCGGCAGCCGAGATCCAATCACCGTCTTCCAAGGTTGGTCGACTTGGCGAAGTCCGTTCGGTCAGGTGTGATTGATCGGACTGGCTTGCATTCGGTTCGCAGATCGACCTGAGGTTCCTGCAGGACGTAGGAGTCGTAGGCTAGTGTACACCAGCATTGCACTCGCAAGGACTGGTTTTGGAAATAAAGTTCTGCGCCAATGGCAAATAACTTCAGATCGTCGAGAGTCCAGTCACCGGAGGAAAACTTTAGGACCCCTGCAAAGAAACCCGAGATCCACTAAAACCCGAAGGTTTCAGACACATCAAAGACGATCTTGGGTGTTTGCCTTGGCTGCAGAAGCAACCGGTAATCGCCTTCATCCAGCCATTTGGAACCAACCCGAAACGTGTGATTGACAGGTGCGGGGTCGCAGAAAAAAAAAGGTTGTGTCTTTACATTAGTTCGACAATTGTGTAGTCGCAGAGGATTGCCGCACTGGTTGGTCCTGTTGGGTGGTTTGCAGCGGTGGCTTGATGTAACCCTGGTCCAAGAGCCCGGGCTTGAAGCCGAGAGGTCGGATGTCGCCGGCCAAGCCTGATCAGTAAAGGTGTTGCCTTTCATATTGGAAGTTGACCATTAGATAGTCGTACAAGTGACTTGTTTTTGTTCCCATATGGGAGCAAACTTGGAGCAACAAATACCATTAGAAGACCATATCCACATGCTTTAGATCGTTAATCATGATATCTGTCGAAGAGAGTGTTTTGCAGACAATCCAGGGTTGCTGATGGAAAGCTGTACACTAGGCGGTCAGCAGCGTGCCAACTTTGCGCTAGCAGGATCCCTCACAGCCTCATCCATGTCTGCCGCTATACCGTTTGCTTTTTTTTTTTTCATTCGCCAGACGCTTGAGCGCGATCCCGTAGAAGAGCAGCACCTTGAGCAAATTGAACCATGGGTGGTACCAAGATAATAGGAAAAACCTAGATCTTCTCGGAGCTGCGCTCTATGCATATGGTCTGCATGTTTCCGTGAGAGTAAGCTTGTGGACGGGCTCGGAGCCGAGAGCTATCATCTGCCCCGAGCGCTTCTAGACAAGGCGTTGATCAGTTGTCGTTTGTTAGTGGTTTTGCGTACCGGTGGCTAACTATTGAATATTCTCCGTTGCCCCAGGGGGCCATGCCGCACGGCGGGGCGCCCACACGCATGTCGTCAATCCCTGTTGCTGCGATAAGTTTTTTCGATGAAAGTTGAGTCGGTGAGTTATCGAGTGATGCTGCTTGCTTCATTTCTTTCATCCTGGTTTGCGTACGGGATAAACACTCCGCCACCCGCAGGAGAACTCGTGTTTCGTATTTCCGCTGCGCAACAGCTGGTGAGATGAAGAAGCCGGGTGCTTGTCTCCGGTCGCCTGTTGTGAAAGTATTTGAAGCTGCTCGTGTCCTACCCTCGACGTTGTTTGGTCCACCTTTCACAACTGAGTTACAGTTGAACAACCTTAGTACAACCGTCGAAGCGTACGGCCAGCCTCCCAGTCCTAGATATCCAACTTCGGTCCTCCCGCCGCTTCCAAGATGGGCCAAATGATCCCCGAACCAGCTCCCAAGCTTTCCATGGAAGCTCGTTTGAATGGGCTCTCCAAGATGTCGCAGACAAGTTCGAATTTCACAGAGAGGGTTATTGCCGCAACAGGACCAAACGCCCATCCACGCTTGAAAGAGATCATCCCGAGTCTTGTCCGTCATCTTCATGACTTTGCAAGGGAGGTCAAACTGACAGTTGGGGAATGGGAAGCCGCTGTTGAATTTGTAAGCTTTCCTTTAGCTCGTATTTGGTATGCATCCAGAATAGTTGCAGTCTGACGGGAGACACAGCTCAACGAATGTGGCAAGATGTCCAACGACCGACGCAATGAGACCCAGCTCCTGTGCGATATCCTTGGGCTGGAAAGCCTTGTTGACGATATAACCTCAAAGTTGCTGGCTTCATCAGCCTCTGAAACCCCCTCTGCCATCCTTGGTCCCTTCTATCGGCACAACGCGCCACTTCTCCCCAACGGCAGCTCAATCATACAAGACCTCGACCCATCCGTTCCATGGTATACACAGGCAGTCGCGGACTCCGCTCATGTAACGGGACGGGTGCTCTCCAGCTCAGGGGAACCGATCAAGGGGGCGATTGTGGACGTGTGGCATGCAGCCCCGAACGGTCTCTACGAACAACAGGATGAAGCACAGCCGGACATGAACTTTCGAGGTCGGTTTATGACCGATGCCGAGGGACGGTATTCTTTTTATGCACTGAGGCCCGTTTCATATCCCATCCCAGATGATGGTCCGTCCGGTCGGTTATTGAAACTGCTAGACCGTCATCCTTATCGTCCGGGTCACATTCACTTCATCGTCTCTGCACCCGGCTTTCGTACGTTGACGACGCAATTGTATGACGATCGAGATCACTATGTCACCAACGATGCTGTGTTTGCGGTCAAGGACGAGCTGATCGTCAAGTTTGTGCCGAAAGAAGGGGATCCAAAGGCGTTGTGGTTGTTGGAGTATGATTTTGTTCTGGGAAGAAAGTGAACGACCTTGCAATGGGCTGAAGACTGGACCAGGCAAAAATAGGAAGGTTCCTGGGTTAGGCGAGAGAATTCTTTTCTGTCTTGATTTCTGGGCCTTTCAGGGTTGACTTGCGTTTGTTAAGGAGGATTCTGCCAGAATTAAATGCTATCTTTGCATGCTGCCCCGTTGCTGGAGATTCGGAGTGTGGGTCTCACATTCCAAAAAAGCGCATTCTGGACGGAACCTCGGCCTGATGGTAGCGCCAGATCTGCTAGAGTTATTCTGACGGATCTCTTGCGTCTCTTTTGCAGCACGTCTCCTTGAGAAGACCTACTCGATTCGAACGCGGAGAACCTAAAGCCTCTTACAAACTCAAGCCAGAGGAGTGGAATTGGTAATGGAAAGCTTGTCGATCTAAAAAGAAGGCTTATCTTAAGAGAGAAAACCATTGTTGTATCAGTGCAAGCTCAACCAAATGGGACTCTTTAATGCCGTCGGTCCGTAATATCGGGGACAGGAAAGGAACACCCACCGAATGGTTCAGTTGGCGTGCTCATCACAGGTGGGGGGAACTGAGAGGCAAGAGTGTTGATTCCCGGAGCTACCGTCGAAACAGGTGGTAAATGGTTGATGACGCTGGTCCATAAGTTGTCGAACTGGAACTCGATATTGATGCTCGGAGGTTCGGACCCCTCGACTGAGGAAGTAGCAGAGACACTCGGCCGAGAACCGTTGACGGTGATCGGGTACATGCTCGTCTGCGAAGGGGACGCGCCGTGTACCCCACTATCGGAAACCATAGCGGAAGATGGTTGCGTCGCCACGGTATCGAGAAGTGGCATCTTAGAAACCGCTGGCGGAGTGAGTAAACCCGGGTCAGACAGGGAGGGCGCTCTGGATAGCTCAATCTCCCGAAAGCTGGGTGCTGCAGGGACTTGCTGGACCTGATCTGCGTGAAGCAGGCCACCAGTGGCTGTCTTCTTTGTCCGTAGATAGCTAAGATCGTTGGAGAGCTCGGGGGCATCATGATAAGTATGATCCCTGGTCCAGTTAGTCACTACTCGGGAGAACCTCAAAATAATGTCCAAAACTCTTTCAGCCTGCGGGTCGATCTCGGAGCAATATTTCATTATTTCGATAGAATCGGCCATTGTGGACTCGTAGTCCCTTGTTTTGTAAAGTGAGGAGAATTGATTCAGGAGAATGACAAGGCTCGCGGCGAACATGAAATAGCTGCATGCGCGTTAGAGTGCAACGTTGGATATACTCACACACTTCTGCCCGTGCGGAATCTTACATGATGAAGGGATTTCGACGCGGGAGGTAGCCTCCGTCGTATGCAGCCTTGACCAACTTAATGGTACGGTATGAGGCGACGACACAAGCCTGGGAATACCGGGCCATTTGAGACGGGCCGATTGGAGGCGACTTTTTAATGCCCGACCTTTGCTCCACGAGCAGCCAGTTATGCATGACAAAGAGCTGGCGAGTGACGAGAATGAGTGAATGCAGGGACATGAGGTTGACATGTAACGATGCGATGCCGAAGGCAGAATGGTTCAGACCGCCGTCAATCGACTGTCGCCGGTAGAGATAAGTACGCTCGACTTCGTCCCAGTCCCTTGACATGTCAATGATTTCTTGGACTTTGGCTGTCGAAATCTTGCGTGTCGTGAACACCTTCAATGTTACTCCAATTATGCGGCTGGTTTCGACACAGGAGTCCAAGCTGCTGATATGGAAGTCATCGAACCCGTTTCCGTTGGCCGAGTTATGCTCCGCGTGTTCTCCTGGGAAGATTTTGCAGGAACAATCTTCCTCAGAGATAGCCGTCGGCCTGCCTAATATGGCAGCAAGAAAGCGATCGAGAATGAAGAGCGTTTTCCATAGATTTCTTCTGACTCTCATTTGATCTGGAGTGAATATAACGTCACGCATGGTCTCCTCTCGATGAAGACCCAACGCATAGGCAGAACGAACAGCCATCCCTGTTACAGAGTTAAATTGAATGGTCGGTTTCAGACATGATATCGGATCTAATTATTAAACTCACCTAAGTAGGCATAAGCGGTATTTCTCTTAGAAATAGTAAGCATGTAGAGTGTCATCATTGCGAGAGCTTGGATTGACCAGAAGTCAGCATCTTCAAAGCCAGATCCAGGATCACACATAGACTTGGCGCTCCGGAAGTAGAGTTCTCCTCTATCTGGCTTCTTAGACCGTTGTCCAATTATGATCTCTTCCTCTCTGCTGCCTGGGGCTGGTGCTGCTAGAAGCAGACCGAGTGCTAACACCAAGAACAGATGGCACAAGTCTCGGTTACTAGCAGACGGGGGATCTTGATAACAGGTCTCGACGGACTCGAGGAACAAGGCTTTATCCAAAACCTCAATCACACCGCATGTCTGGATACATGTTAGCAATTCACAATTGTCAAATCACCTAGGTTGGCGAAGACTAACGTTTGTAAAAAAAGATTCGATGAGAACGTTCGCAGTTTCTCTGTCCGGCAGTTGGGTGGGAATCTTAGCGTCAGGAGGGAATTCGATGATATTTTCCATGATTCGATGCCGCTTGGGGTCGTGGATGAAAGGAGAGCCTATTTCTGACCCTGCAGTGTTCTCGACTACAATGCGGATTAGTTGGAGAATCGACAGGGTCGACGAATCGCCGATATAGACTGCCGAACCTGTAAGTCAGATTGGATCACATGATGACAACTAACCACATGCAAAACGGAGGGAAGCTTACGCAAGCGGCCAGTCTGATCTTGTAGCATCCTTGTTTCCGTGTATATGGTCATCTCCTCAGAAAGCCCATTTGGATTGGCGCGACTCGGCAGCGCTTTAAGATGAAAAGGGGGTTCTCGAGATCGCTCAGTAACAGGCAGCGTGGGAAGAAGATTGGTTGTGGCAGCTGGTAGAGACGGAGGAACTGGAGGCCGTTGCTCGCTGCTTCGTCGTTGATCCCAGGTCTGCATTGGCTCGTATGCATGGGGAACAGAAGCAGGGGTCATCTCGAGGGAAGAAGTTACAGAAGGCGGAGAGGTTCCGAGGTGACGCCGTTTTGTCGGTGACGCAACAGAACTTTCTGCGACATGGCTGGAAGCGTGGTGATTTGGAGTATAGTTACAAATCAACTTCCGCTTCAAACATGTCTGACAAGGTTTTAAACCATTGCACTAGAACGCAAGGGCATCAGCGATCTGTACACCACCTGACCCCGGCAACAAATGCTTGCTTTGATGAAGTAGTTAAAGGAAAAGTTGATGAGGACTGCAACATGTGTTTATGAAGGCAGACGGACGAAAGAGACTGAGACAGAATGAGCCCAGCAGGGCAAGGATATCGGCGTGGGAAGTTGGAGAGCGACACAGATAGCAATTGATTCCCAAGGAGTCGGCAGGCTACACCTGTGTGACAAAAACTACAGGTCACCAATATCGCGCAGTTTTGTCCCTTTCAGCAAGGTTCATGACGTTGATGGAGAGCGTGATGCAGGAGCAATTGCTCGCTGAGCAATGGGCAACATTGGTCAAGGAAAGGGAGGTGGGGGGGGGGGAGAGAGAGAGAGAGGAAACTCTGGTCTACCATGAGAATGGGCATATGAAGATAGGAAAAGAAAGGGGCAGTGAGCCCGACGGAAAGGAACTGAGACAGCATTTCCGAGATGGTAATCTTGTATACATGTCTGCTCCCATGAAGTCCGCTGGCAGTAGGACAAGAACGACTGCTTGGGGGTTCTTGAATGGTGAATTTTGGCACGAACACAGTGCCAGGGAGGACTCGGGTACATGGACGAGGTAGGGGAATAACTGGTAACGAGATAAACATAAACATATAACCAGAAAGAACCAACCTTTTGCTTCCGGCGCTTGCAAGAGTCGCAGGCCTGCGCGGTGCGCTGGCGCTTATCGTCGGGGACCTTAGGGCGCGTCATGTTGAAGCGAGGGAATAGTTAGAATGAGATTAGACCGTATGTGAGAGGCATGGGCAACACGCTCAGGCGCCCCGCCCCATCGGGTAGCAGACTGCTTCCGGGCGGGCCAGACAGCAGCCGCAAGTGCAACGGTGAGGCAACTTGCGACAAGACAAAGTGATGAGGGGAGTTTCTGGTGCGATCGGAAGCGGCGTCGGGGGCAGGGTGCTAGCGGAGCGGATGATGCACACAAGATACGTCGGCAGCAGGTCCGGCAGTGGGGGGTTGACCGCGTGTCGAAAGACGACGTATGTATGTATGTATGTATGTATGTATGTATGTATGTATGTAAGTACGCAGAAGCAACGACAATAGCCCGGGTCGGCAACAGGGGCCTGCTAACTGGTTGATAGAGCGGGGATTGCCTGGATGAGATTTGTTTGAGAGCAGGCCTCCGTCAGCAAAAGCCTGGGGTGAATCTTGGGACCCGCAAACCCGTGAAGAAAGGCCGCAACGGGAGGACACTTGCTTTGGTGTCACGAAGCAGCGTCCAGGGTGCTGCAGGGCAAGCTGGTGCTCAAGGTCGCGCTCGGATTATTCTGGGTGAGCGCCGCTTGTCCAAGACTCTCCTCTCCTCTGAGTCGGTGGAGGACGCACTCCAATGTCGTCTCCGTATCCGTAAAAGTTGATTGTAAATCTGCAACCTGGACACCTCGTACGGACAGACAGGCACGCTTAGGGCTGACTGACCGCCGTGCGATATCCGTATTCGCTGGGTTCCGGGAGACGCACGCCTGGAGCTGTTGGAACTTGGCTGTGCCGTGAAGCTTTTTCTGGTGGTCACAACGGTGTCGTAAAGCGCACGCTAGAGCATCAGGCAACGCAGCAAAAGGAAAATGGCAAAAAGCCAGTGGGGTTGGAAATTCTCGGATGAACCAGACAATGGCGTCTGATTCCTGGTGGATGTGCCTCTAATAGCACCGGACCCTTGTTGGCTGTCTGCACTCTGCGCTCTTTTGGCTGACACCTTGGACACTGCTTGGGCCTGGAAGAGCAGATAGGCCGTGCGGGAAACGATGTTGTTGGCTGCCTTCTGCGCCTGAAAACGAAGCCCAAGCCCAACGTGGGCGACTTGCTCATGCAAGGTCGTTAACCAGAGGCAATCGCTTGTGGGAAGCGCTGAGATTCAGCTTTGGTGCGTCAGGCGCGTGGGACCAGGTACTTGGATAACGTTCGGGGCGTCTGGGCGGCCACATTCCCCAGCAGCAAGCAACGTAGCAAGCAGCAGCAGCAAAATCAGCGTTGATGGTCCGCCGAACCATCCCATTTCGCCGCTGCTGCATGGACGGGCATCAACTTTGAGCAGCAATGGAAATGCGGGGAAGATTGGCCGGCCCTGGCGAGCATTGTCCTACAAAGTTCCACACGCGGAATCACTGGCGCAGCGGGACAAGCCGCTCCCCTCCCCCGGCGCTGAGCCAAGCAAATGATGCTGTTCTGCTGACCACACACACTGAGGGACAGGGAAAAAAAATCACCGCCGGCGACAGTTAACGCCAGTTGAGCGGCATTGGGCCGTGAAGCAGGCGGGACGGCTTTTGGGCGTCGTTGGTGTTACGCGGTATGTGTTGAGCAGCCAACACCAGATGCAGACAGGCCGAGGGTGCGTCGTGCGATGGCGGGTCATGGGGTTGGAAGGGAATGCTTCCCATTCCGCGCTGCTGCATGTCGCCCCCATTGCGATGTATGAGGGCCTTGGCGGGCTGGATGATTGCGGGCTGAGATGCTGGGTGGCCAACCCCAACGCATGGTGGCTTGATTGTGCTTGTTTGTTCTTGGAGGGCAACGGCACGGCGCCGTACGAGAGATATTATGTTGGTGCTGCTGGTTGGCGGACGACGTGCCTGGCGAGTTAAGTTGCCCGCCTGCAAGCTTGGTCTTGGTCTATCGGCAATGCGCACTGGAGATAAGTCCAATAGAAATACGCGGATCCATAGAGGGCCTGAGAAATGACAAATGACTCCTCCTACCTGACCTTTCTGTTCGCCGGCGTCGGCCTAGGAGAGAGGTAGGTACGTACCCACGATGTAGGGATCGGATCGTGCACCTTTCCCAGCCAGAAAGCCGGTGGTTTGGGGGAAACCGCTTGATGAGGACGATCTGCATAGACGGCAAGCGCGGGCAAGCGCCGCTGAATGCTGATTGGGCGGCGGTTGCTGTTGCTCCACAGCGGGGCGATCCGGCTGCCCTAAGCCCTCCGCAGGTTTGACGATTCGACTCTCATGGTCCTCCTCCACAACATGTACGTACCGCACTCCATCTAAACCTCGAAGTTTGACGTTTCCACTTGCACTGCACTGGCCATGACCTCTTCCTCCTGCTTCACGCCAGTGCCAGTGCCACTGTAGTTCATCGCCGCAGTCTCTGATCTTGACCTGCACGCTGCGACACTGCACTTACACTAGGCTGCATGGATTGGACCTAGCAGCCCAGTCTTACTTCTCCCTGCTCCCATTCTGCTCCCCCACGTCCGAAGTATCGTCCAGTACGTAACGTCACGATTGAGTGTATGTGGTGCTCGTTTCTGCGACGCCATGTTCCTGGCCGGGTGCTCGGCATCTCGGATACACCGCAGAGTCATATGGACCCCTCTGCGCGGACGATTTGATGATCGACACTGCCGCTGGTCCACTGAATCATTAGCGATCGCAGTCCAAGGACCTCTGTCCCAAAGAATCAGAGGAAAAGGTCCCTGGCATCTCAGTGTGACCAGTGGTACAGTGAGACGGCTTGGGTGGAGATCTGCCGTCATCACTTGTGATGGCTTCAGGTTCAGCCAACTCCTTCGACCGCTGCTTTTCTGTCCAAGTGGGGGGTTAACTTTTGACCACCACTGATCGATTGGACCGGCTCAAGAGCCAAGACAGCAAACGGAGCGCAGTGCATCACCACACATCCCATGCGGGCCGAGCTGGTGTTGTGGCTGCTCGCTGTTCGCCCATCATCATCACGACGCCAGCTTTGTTGGTATCTCTCCCCCACGGCCAGCCTCGACACTCCATGTCCCCAAGTGGGTGGAATACGCCGGCGGCAAGGAGGGGGGGGGGGGGGGAGAAGGGAGGGGGGATCTTCCCAGCTGCCGGTTGCCTTCCAACGATCCATCAGCCGGCCGATTGAATTGAGATGCAATCGCCCGTCAACCCCGCAAAATCGGGAAGCCAGCAACAGTTTGGCGCTCGAATGGATCTGCTTCGCCCCCGGCCTGTCATCTACGTCCACACTGTTTGTGAAACCTGTCTAGCTATGGGTTACCAGAACAGGAAGCCAATATATTGGCGCTTCATCTAGCCTTCTGAATCTTGAGCCTCATCAGCTGAGGTGGTGTGTCAGAGTCCGATCTCACTCAACCTCGTGATCAAATCAAATCTGGGGTCTGCGACTTCCAGATTTATTTTCACAGAGCACAAAGTTGCCTTGCCATACCTCCCTTTCTAGACGGCTTCCTGTCAAGACAGAAACCGAAGAAAGCCTGCAGAGAGTCCCAAGCCCGGTCATCCCTGGCGTCACCCCCCCCTTATTCTGTGGAGCGCCCTGGAGGGCACGTGGTGCAAGCATGGGGGTCCCCCATCACTTTTTCCAGCCGCCTGGGACTTCCAGCCGAGGCTCTGGCGGGCTTTGTCGGAAAGGAGTTTGGAAGCATGAACGAACAGTTGCAACAGCGCCTCCCATTGTCGGTATTCCGTCGACTATGTCCCTTGACCATATCTCGCCGTCCTGCAGGATCAAGGTCCACGCTGTCGTCATGGGTGCGACGCTAATCCACGAACCGTCCGTTCGTTCCTTAGGGACCATAGATGCCGGATCTAACGGTTGCCTCGTCCTCCCGTGGCTGTGGGTCGGATGAGGGGACTGACAACTTGATACGGTGTACCCTTGCCCTTGTTCACAATACTAGTGTGTCTAGAAGTGATGGGCTTAGCTTAGGCTGTTGGCTTATATGTAGACCTCCTCGTCCGGATAGTAAGGTAGTGGTTGGCCGGTGCCATCAATCCCGTCTCTCCCTTCAACACAAAAGTGGACGGCCTTCCTCGGCAAGCTGGCAACAACACTATTTGGACCATAAGCGAAAGCAGCCTGGAGACAACATCAGCAAGCTTGATCCTTCTTTTGACGCGACGACGGGCTATAACACTGGATTAGCGTTCAAGCAGCAAGTTGGCAAAAGTTCGGGGCAGAGGACGACAAGCATGGCATCATCAACAACATTCATTCCCACCTGGGGCTGGGGAGAACCCGTCGTCGAAAGGTCCCCAACCAGAGATGATAGAGTACCTCTGTCAGATCACAAGACGTTGCTCTCAGCTCTTCGATACTGGCAAGATATCATGGTGGCCCAGCCAGTTGCTCAGCAACTTTCGAAACCCCCTTCTCGATATTCGGTCATACAGGGAGCAAAGAAGACCTTTGAAACCCTCTGGCGGGCGTGCCAAAGTGAACTCCCCAGGGATGTGGATCAATTCATGTCCACTATCGAGATCTCCTCGAGGTCTGAGCATGGGGATCAGGCCCATTTCCCTAGTCCGCTTAGAGAGCAGGAGGCTATCATCGCCATCAAAGCCCTAGAGGCTTGTACAGCCGCCGCTATTGGCAAACTTCGCCACCGGGAAAAGAGCCCTAAGATTGAGGTTGATGTTGACAAGGCTTCTGTCTTCTTAATGTCAGCTTACTTGACAACCCTTGATGGCTTGGACAAAGCGAACCCTAAAATTAGAAAGAGAATACCTGGTAGGACATATCACATCAATGCATAGGACAAACATACACTGACGCATCTAGACACGGATTTGAATCAGGCTCAATCTGTACTGTACCGAAGGTTCTCGGCGAACCTCTACAGGACCAAGAATCCTGGAGAGTACTACCATATCCATGGGTCTCTGGATGCCGATACAACACTGGAGATGTTGGGGCTGCCGAAGCACAACCCCGACTTGACGGATTATGACGACATCATTAGATACATCGAAGCGGCTGTCAAAAAGTACACGGCTGAGGAACTTGATAAGCTCAACCTTGAACACAGACAAGCTGGCATTCAGGCTTATACCTGGGAGCAGTTCCAAAATACTGAGCATGGAAAACTCCTGACGTCTCTTCCTCCCTTGACAGTTCGGCCCAACAAGTACGACACAACCACGCCACCTGCTCCCTTTCCCTCAATACCAGAAGCCCCTAAGCTAGCGGCACGACACGCTCTAGAAGGCATCAAAGTCCTTGAGCTCTGCCGCATCATCGCCGGCCCAACCATTGGCCGCTCTCTAGCCGCCCACGGAGCCCAAGTCATTAAAGTGACATGCCCCACTCTCCCCGATGTCCCCTTCTTCCCACTAGACGTCAACACCGGCAAGCACGCCATCCACCTCAACCTCAAAGACGCCTCGCCCAACGGCGACCGTGCCAAATTCGACACTCTCCTCCTGGAAGCCGACGTCTTGATCGACGGCTACCGCCCCGGCGCCCTCGCCAGGCTAGGCTACTCTCCCGAGCGACTGGCCGAGCTCGCTCGCCAGCGCGGTCGTGGCTATGTCTATGTGGCCGAGGACTGTTTCGGCGGGAGCGGCCTCACTGGCGCAGCGGAAGACTTCCCCACGGCCTGGTCCAAGCGTGCTGGGTGGCAGCAGATCGCGGACTGTGTGACGGGCGCGGCTTGGGCGCAGGGCCGATTCATGGGACTCGACGAGCCCGTCGTGCCGCCGTTCCCGATGAGCGATTATGGCACAGGTGCGCTGGGGTGCCTGGCTGCCATGGCAGGGTTGTACCGGCGGGCTACGGAGGGGGGATCGTGGGTGTGTCGGACGAGTTTGTGTCAGTATGATGTGTTTCTGCTAGGGTTGGGGTTGCTGCCCGAGGAGGAGCAGGAGAGGTTGAGGAAGGTCTATGGGTTTGACGAGCAGGACCCGGAGGGGTTCTTCTCACTTAGGTATTGTGATTCGGTGGATACGGTTGGGAAGAAAGCTCTGAAGGGGATGAGGAAGGCTGTGCCACATTTGTTCGATGAGAATGGGCAAGCGTCGGCGAGATTGATGCATCGTGCGCGGAGCAAGGGGTTCAAGGGGGATATCCGATGGCCTCGGGAGCCTATCAAGATTGATGGCCTGCGGGTCGGGCATGTGAGGACAGCCAGGCCAAATGGGTATGACACCTTGAAGGTAGGAAAGGATGGCCAGTTGGATGCCTGGAATGAATGGGAAGAGGATGAGATTGATCAGGAAGTTGAATGAGTGAGTGGATATGATCATTCACAGTTGTTTGTCTTTGCGATGATTTATCATGTCATTTTTGGGTTGGCGAGCAGGAGTGTTCGGGTCATGACTTGGAAGGAGGGATTTCGTCTGCTTTCTTCAACACCAACGAAAAGATATGTTCGATTCAACATAGCTCAATGTCTGTTCCGTCTGACGTAACACCATGCCATGAATCCGCTTGCTTGCTTAGAAACCGGCAACTCTATCGTAAAAAATGCAACTCCTAGACTTCGAAGATTACCTGTCTACATATTAACACCGACAAACCCAGCCTCATCGCCAAGTATCCATTCAGCTTGTCCGTGACCTCGACTCACTGCTCTTAAAGCACCAACCTCCCTGGTTCATTCTCTAGCACGTGCTTGACCCTCTCGAGGAAGACCTTTGCCCTCCTCTCCTCGGTCTTAGGCACTTGCAGGCTGAACACGTTCAGACCCTCCGTAACCGCACCAGGCACTAAACTAGGGCCAGCCGGCTTAACAGACTTGGCTTTGGGCGCAGCAGCAAGAATGTCGATAATATCGATCTTCTTCTGCTTCGGCTTAGGAGCCGCCTTCGGGGGGATAGGGGCCTTGATATCCGGCACGTAGTTCCCCCGAGTCGCCCGCTGCTTAGCAGCGCTGACATATCCAGGCACCTTGTCTAGGCCAAGCACCTGGTCGAACAGCTCGTCGGCTGTGGGCTGGTAGTTGGTCGGCAGGGGCAGCTCTTCGTTTGCGAGCTCTGTGGCGCGGGAGATGAAGGTAGACAACGGCAGGAAGATGCCCAGTTTTTTGTTGATTCTCTGTTGGGCCTCCAGGACTGCGGAGAGGGAGATGGGGAGTGAGACAACAGCCTTGGCGGGGGGCTCGGGAGCGCGTGGGGCAGGGGCCGGCGCTGAGGCCTTCTCTTCTTGGGGCTTTTCTGGCTCGACAGGCTTGGCGACCTTGACGTTGCTCAAATCGAGGTGAGAAGCCTTCTCGAAGCGGGCCGAGATCTGGGCTGGTGTGTTCGGGTTGATTTTGCCCAGGTAGGCGAGTACGTCGCCCTTCAGGATGCGACCGCCAGGGCCGGTAGGCGTGATGTTACTGACGGCAGACTCATCCAGGCCGTTCTCCTTGATGAGCTGGTGTACAGAAGGAAGAAGGGGGTATTTCCGCGCTGGAACTTTGGTGGAGGCCTTCGGAGGGGAAGGAGTGGGAGCTGCGAACTGAGGTTGGGGAGAGGCCGGTGCTGGTGCCGGGGTAGGGGCCGGGGCCGGGGCAGCGGCCTTCAATTGTTGCGGACCCTCGTCCGGGGGGATTTCAAGCTTGGTGATATCATCACCCTCCTCAGCAACAACGGCAATCCGAGTGCCTACCTGTACACCCTTGCTGCCGTCGGGCTGGATAATCTTCATCAGGATGCCATCTTCTTGAGCCTCGACGTCCATGGTAGCCTTGTCGGTCTCGATCTCGAGCAGCACATCGCCGGCAGAGAAGCGCTCGCCCTCCTTGACACGCCACGAGGCAATGTTGCCCTCGGTCATTGTGGGCGAGAGAGCGGGCATCATGAAATTTTGAGCGGCCAGGGCGGCGGCCGAAGACCGGAAACCTATGTGTGGGCAGTCAGTTTGGCTGTATCGATAGTTTTGGGCATTCACTGTAATTTTCCAACGGACCTCTAACGGCAGCATCGTGCTGCAGCTTGCGGGCGGCCAACCGCGCCGACACACGACATGCAGCAGCAAGTGAGGCCATGATGGAGAGCTGGAGTGTGAACCGCAATTGGCAACCCGTCAACGGCTGGGTTGGTGATACGGGATGCAGGACGGATTTTTGATACGGACAAGGAAATGCACAGCTGGGAGTCGAGGTCTTGGGGTCTTCGATGCGACACAAGAATGTTGGGAAGCCAAGAGGAGCTTTGGCCACCGCCTAAATCGGATTGACAGGCGAGGAGCAGGGGTCTTGGAGAAGAACTCCAGCGCTCCTGTCACTTACGTTGTGGTGCGTGGGGGTCCGGATGGAGAGCTGGAGGCGGGCTGGAGCGGCCCGAATGCCAAGACCAAGAGCTCTGTCGGTGCTAGATGAGCCGTGATCCGATCTTGGTGCACGGCGAGCGCCGACAAAATTTCCAGGCCCCAGCAACGGCCCCGCCACGGCTCAAGACGGAACCACAGTGGTGCGGCGTGTTTCCCGGTCAATTGGTGTTTGTTGTGAGAAGATATCACCTTGCTGAGGCCATACACGGGCAAGTATGCTCCCCGAGTTCAGCAGTCAATTGCAGAAAGAAAAAGAGAAACAAACGACTGACAAGTTGCCAGGTCTTAGGGATAGCTCATTCGGCATGGCCTCTCTCTCTCGGGGCCTCAGGCCTTGCATCCTTTTTTGCGACGGTCCCATGCTCCGCGCCCGCTTCTTCACAACATCATGCCGTTGGTTCAAGCAGAAGCCACCGACCCGTCTGCCCTGGCCACCTAAGCCAGTCAAGCCAGGGAACACTGCAATAAAAGCCGCAGAGGCTCCCTCGAATCCAACCTCAGGCCAAATAACAGTCTCGACTGCAACAGTGGCTCATACGGCAATTTCCAAGGCTGCCTCGACACCAGCGCCGACACCGAAACCCGTGGCCTCCTCTAAACCTTTGCCATTCCTCCCTCCAGATGGCATCCCAGCCACATACGCAGAGCGTTTGGCCAGCCGTGGTCGCACCCTGCTCTACGAAGCTCCTTCACATTTCTGGTTTCGTGCCGGTTGCTTCTCCTCGGGCGCTTTCTGTGCCAGCTACACCGTCTACCAGTACTGGACCGTGATCCTGCATCCGCCAGAGGGTCTCCTCTGGTGGGTTCCTCATGCATTTGGAGTCATTCTGGTCTTCATGTCCGGTATGGCCGCCTACTTCATCATGGGCACCGGCAGAATTGTGAGGACCATCGAGGCAGTGCCATGGCGCCAGGTGTTTGGCGAGGGCGTACCTAAGAAGAAGCCTTGGATGAGCAAGGCCGTCAAGAAGTCTTTGCAAACGACGTCTCCGCAGGAGGGAGCGAAGAAAGTGCTCGTAGAGGTTGCCACGCGTGGCATGATCCCGTTCTGGCCTGCTAAGAAGAGGCTGTACCTGCCGGAAGAGATCCAACTGCCCATGAGGATGAACAGTGTCTACGGTAGTGGTGCAATCGGTGGTGCTGGCCCTCAGAACAATGAGTATCTGAGCCTGGCTGAGCGTGTTCGGAGGGAGCGTGCTCTCAGGGAGGCTCGCGAAGCTGAGAGGAAGTACAACATGGATCACATTCTGACTGCTCCATTCAGAGACGCCCGCAAGGTGTTCCGGGGCATGTTCAAGGGTATCAGGCGGTCATTTGACCGTGAGGGCTTTGTCAAGATCAAGTTGGGCGATGAGAAATACAAGCTGGATGTTACTGGCGGGTGGGCGCTTGACGAGGGGCGCGCAATGGACCGGTTGCTTGCAGTGAGGCCGAATGCCTTGAGGTGAGAGGGGGGCGATGTCGCTTAGAAGCAGGCATACGGTGTGCTATACGGATACTGCGTGCCCACCAGAACTGTACATATTGTATTACCCGACGTGTATTAACGTAGCAATGTGTGACTTCATACCCCCAAGCACTCATCTAACAACTCTCTAGCGTGAAGCCATGGATGTCTAATTTCGTTGACCTCACGGTCCGGAGCACCGCTAACATTCTTCCATTCTTCGTTCCTCTCACTTTAAAATCTCATCCGGGATGCCTTTTCCTGGGTAATCCATCTTTGATTTACTCCTCCAAACGTTCATCACATCGACGTTCCTCGGAGAAGCCCCTTTTCACTTGGCTTTCGAGTCCCTTATCCGAGTGGAGAAGCGGAGCCGCTGTGATCTAGCGCGGAGTCTCCAGGACTACAGTCTCCTTGCTACGCCCCAGGCATGTCAAACTTCTATCGTTGATCCGGTCTGAGCAGATTGAGCTGATTGTAACCCAGAGAGTACGCCGTTTCTCCGCATATCTCTGTGGTTTTCCTCCTACTCAAATCCTGGACCTGTATTGCGTTATCACTCCTGTCGGGACCGAGTTCGTACCGCTGCTCCATTCCGGCTGGTTTGTTTTGAAATTCCGGACTCAGCGGAGTTCGGATTCTTTCTCCATTTATGTTGTGCAGTTTTGAGTTCGATTTCAAGATAATGTGTGCAGTCTGACGGGAGAACTGAGCGGCGAATCGGAATCTTGTCCGGTGCTCGCGCTGGCTTCGAATCAAGTAAGCAAGAAATTTGCGAGTTCCTAAGTATATCTGTCACGAATGAATCTTGAAATTAGATATCAGGCTTTCCATCTGGACAATGACGGAGATTCGAGTTGCTGTCCAAACTTTGTGAATAGGAATCCCGAAATCCCGAAATTTAGCGCTGTCCTCACGAACCTTGTCCAGCCACTATGTACCCCCATCGTCTCGTAATCGCAAAACTCAGTAGCTATTTGCGTTATTTAGAGACAGACCGTGGATGGAGAGTGTCCGAGTTTCCCAAATAGAGACTCAGGTGCGAACTGAAACAAAGCTGCAGGTTCAACCAGCATGCGGATTGTCTGAAAGACATGATGACTGCGAGGATGGAAACAGGAACAAATGCTGCACCAAGCACATTATCCCCTTTCTACGTTTGCCTAGATAGCCATGTGACTGCTTTGGGATGCATAACATGTTTATGATCGGCCTTATGCTTACCTACCTATGTTTCGGGTTACCCCTGATCATTCAACCCAGAATATAGGAAAGTGCATGAGCGATCAACAACCCAGCTGTGTGCTCTATGCATCCAATCAAGGGTCTTGAGGCGGTATAATATGCAACAGCAATTTAGCCCAGCCAAAGTTCAAGAAGTTGAACATTTCAGTTATAACTTATGAAACTGGCCTTATGTGAAAGTCGATCTCTGTACCGATCAGCAAAATCATGGACCTCTGCTCATTACGACCTCAAGTATCAACATCTTACCTCGGTACTAGTCGTTCAGAAGGAGTATTCACACTCACTTTTCATTCACAATCATCAACTAAGATCCAGAAGAGTGAGATTGGAGGATTCTGCCCACATAAGTCTCCTGACGGATGATGACTTTGCTTGTGAATTCATAGCAGTATCTCCGATGTTAGGCCCCAAACGTCAGGTTAAGGCAACCAGCTGCCCCAGCTGTAAGCTAATATCGGCGAACTCCCCAGAGTCAAAATCAACCAAAGGTCAGGCGGTGGCGTTGGTGACGTTGTATTGGATTTCGTTCCCGACTTCCCGGGACTAGTGGAGGCCGGCAGTTTAGCTGGGAGTCTCCTGACCCATGGGGTAGGCAAGCTCGATGGCCAGGCGCCAAGGTTAGGTCGTAGATAGATGCCCAAGCAGGCTAAAAGACTTCGGGAAGCGAATCGCGTGCGCAAACGTCAAGTCGGCTGCTTCCCCGTAAGCCTTTCCCCACGTACGAAAATTCTGGGGAACCTGGAGAGGCTCTTCGGGACGCCACTCCAGAGTCCAGGCTGATGCCCGGGGTCGGCGAAGCAGGCGATGACCGCAACGAAGCCCAAGTTAGGTACTAGTGTACAGTACCTACACTAGAGGCTGGGCGGATGATGCCGAAGGCGCAGAAGATGGTTGACTGGTTTTGGCGTCACGATGCCCAACTATCGCTGACATTGACGGCCTTGATTTCCTCTTTGAGATGCTAGCGTCGATGGAGAAACGCTTGGCAACGTCCACAGACACCAACATACAGACAGCGCACATGAAGGTCCCTGGACGCGGGCACACCGGACAAGCCTAGTGTGGTGTAGCAGCAATGTAGCTCTTCTGACGGCTTGACCCGTCTCGCCATCGATGTCGACTCCATCATCTCCATACCTACTACGTGCCTACACTAGCCGCCATCCTCGGGCCGTCCATGGTGATGGTGCTTTCGCATGGCGCAATACCGAGCGGATGAGGCTCAACGACTCGCTTCATGATGAGAATGCCGATGCGGCTGCAAGTCGGTAGTGCATCATGGGCTAGATGAATCATCAAAAATTGCAGGAACCTTGGCCCTGGGACACTGTTAATGAGAATGGTGGAGAAGGAGGTCGATGGATGCCGAGACGAAGTCGTCAACAATGCGCGGCCATGCGCGGGCACACCACCAGCCTTTCCCTCCGTGATTTTTGCCTGAATTGGATCGTTGCATCGGCGAAGGACCCCCCGGTTCACAGCCTCGATCAAATCGAAACCGACCGTTGTATTACCCCACAATGCCATGCGCATGCTCGGAAGCAGATGCCGCGTGCCCCGAATTGGGATGGTTCGGCCAACGTTTTCCCGGGAGTCGTCAACGTCGCTGTCCTGAGCGCTCCAATCACGTCGAAGCATAGCCCTCCTGAGGCTCTCCACACCGGCACAGCGAGATTGCCTCCCGGCCGCCAGGACGTATCCAGGGTCACGCCCAGCGAGTCCAGCGTAGATCTAAGGCGTCCAAGACGGCGCGTAATCCGATCTTTCCATGTTCCCCTGTTTCGATCATAGCCGCTGATCCTTGTTTCCCTCCCACCGTGCACTGCCGAAGCCTCTGGAATGCATGGCTTTGGGCCGTTTCTTCGCAGAATTGCAGGAGCCGCACGCTGGGCGCTATGCAGAAAAGTCGCCTTGACTGCTATGTACTGCCCCGTTCATCTCGCCGGCGTGCCGAGACGGAATGAAGATTCCTGGTGAATCCAAATGGAGCATCACAAGGAGCAAACATCTCCACTCCTCCAAGGCATCGAGCTGGACATGCGCGCTTGGCTCAATGCCACCATGCCCCGGGGGCATGGCGCAAGAAAACCATGGTTCTGGAGGGTATCGTCGAGCCCTACTCTCGAGTCGTCTATAAAGAGACTCTTTCCCGTCCGTCAAGTCTTCGTATCTTCACTCGTTTCATCAGCCCTCTGAGACCGATCAAAAAGACATCCGTCGATCTCTTCATCGCCGCTCCTTTCGAGTCGTTGTTCTTATATCTTCAGCCGGTTCTTTTTCTTCCTCCCTTTTCGGTCCAAACCGCCAAAATGGTCAAGGCTAAGAAGTCTGCTTTTCTCGCCACCGTCGCTGGTGCCAGCCTCGTTGCTGCCCACGGCTATGTCAACGGAATCGTCGTCAACGGCGTCTACTACAGGAACTACAACCCCTCGGTCGACTGGTACCGTGGCAACAACCAGGAGACTCTGATCGGCTGGAGGGCTGAGAACACGGACAACGGCTTCGTCGAGCCCAACAAGTTCAACACTGCTGACATCATCTGCCACCGCCAGGCCGTCAATGCCAAGGGCTATGCCACCGTCAAGGCCGGCGACAAGATTAATATCAAGTGGGACCCAATCTGGCCTGAGAGCCACGTCGGTCCCGTCATCGACTACCTTGCCGACTGCAACGGCGACTGCTCTACAGTCTCCAAGAACTCCCTTCGGTTCTTCAAGATCGACGGTGCCGGCTACGACAAGGCCAAGGGCAAGTGGGCTGCCGATGTCCTCCGTGAAAATGGCAACAGCTGGATGGTCCAGATCCCGGCTGACCTGAAGCCCGGTCACTACGTCCTTCGCCATGAGATCATCGCCCTCCACGGTGCTGCCAACCCCAATGGCGCTCAGGCCTATCCTCAGTGCATCAACATCAAGGTTGAGGGCAGCGGCAGCAACTCGCCTTCCGGCGTTGCCGGCACCTCTCTCTATACCGCCAACGACCCGGGCATCCTCTTCAACCCTTGGGTCAGCAACATCGACTACCCGGTTCCGGGCCCTGCTCTGATCCCCGGTGCTGTCAGCTCCATCCAGCAGAGCACCTCGGCCGCTACCAGAACCGCCTCAGCCACCCCTTACGCGGGCGGCGCTGTTCCAACCACCACTCAGGGCGGCAGCCAGCCCACTACCACGGCTCTCCCGACCACTACCCTCGTCACCACCACTGCTGTCCCGATCACCACTGCTCCTCCGGCTGGCCCTACTCAGAGCAAGTGGGGACAGTGCGGTGGCAGCGGCTACACCGGCCCGACTCTCTGCGCTCCTGGCTCGAACTGCCAGGTCATCAACCCCTGGTACCACCAGTGCGTCTAAAGGACGGATGGAGATGAAGATGAGGATGTGAGGGAGAGCAAGGAGGCGAAAAAGGTGAACATTAGAAGGACGGCGCGAACGGCGATGGATTCGCAGCATTTGCATAGGAGGATGTGGGATGTTTTTGGTCTTCACTGTACATAGTTTGGGGTTGTCTTCCCACTGTTTATATTAAATATTCTGCATGTCAATATTTGGCGTTCAATTCTACAACGGTCTGTCCAATCCTTGATTAGAAATGCCAGTGGACGAGTGTGAGCTCTGAGTTATCATTAATTGCTGCTTCTGCCCTCATGCCCAACGGGTCCGAGCAACGCCCAACATGCCCAACATTTGGTCGAACGCTGACACAGTGCTGTAGGCACCCTGTGTTTTGTCGTTTGATTGTAATCGCTAGCTGAGCCAGCCGATTTGGGAACTTTGAGTGAGACTGCGATCGAAAGGGGTCAATGTGAATGAGAGCTTTGGCTCTCATCTTAAGGACCCGAGGGTGTGGTCACACTAAAGATAGAGAAACGGCACGAGCGAAAGTGTGGACTACGCAGAGGTAATTGTTAAGTAATAGAAAAGTAAGCAGAACTATTGCGAGGTGGGATAGAGGTGACGTTTTTTCTGAGATTGGAAGTTGGAGTAACAGACCCTCATGAGGGAGAAGGGTTGTTCGGCTGCAACATTCAGGTGCCACTTGGCAAACATTCTTGGCAACTGGAAGCTATGGTAAGGGTTAGGGTTGTCCAAACGCCCGGAGGCCCTTACTTGGCGGGGCTTATTCTGCCCCTTCTCACCGCCAAAAATTTCAGGGAACCGAGACGTCTTCTCTTGATTAGGCCAGGGCTAGTCAAGCTCCAGTGCACCTCCATCACCAATGTCCTTTTCATTCCCAATCCCAAATTAATTAGACATCGGAGTGCACCCACACACATCATGGCAGGCTCAGTAAAGAAACGCTCACTCAGCGACGGGCTCAAGGGCCGAGTTGCCCCGCCGCCGAAGAAGCAGAAGAAGATGGAGTACCGCAGCAGCTCAGAAAAGTCCGACAGCAGTAGCGATGACGGTGGCGTACCTCTCCCTCCTAATCTTCTCGACTCGGACGACGAAGATTTTGATAACATTGAAGTTGACGATGGCGCTACGACGGCATCATCCTCGGATGACGATTCCGACTCGGATTCATTCTCCGAAAGCGAACCTAAACCCAAGAAGAGCGCAAAGTCATCAAAGCAAGCACCAAAACCGCCAAAGAAGGACGACAAGAACTTCGTCGCCAAAGATGCCCCCTCCTCAGAAGAATCTGACTTTTCGGAATACGGTTCCGACCATGACGATGACTCCGACGAGGAAGGCGAGAATGACGAGTACTCTGACCTCTCAGACGCCGACACCCACGCCAGCTCCGTCGCAGGCTCGGCCACCTCCTCAAAATCTGGCCAACACAAGAAATCTAAGCGCAATGACCCCGACGCCTTTGCGGAATCCATGAAGAAGATGCTCTCGAGCAAACTCCCCGCCTCCAAACGCGCCGACCCCATTGTGGCGCGCAGCGCTGCCGCCGCCGAGCACGCCCGTCAAGCAGCTGATGCAGCGCTCGAGGCTAAGGCGCGCAAGCGGTTGCGCGAGCAGAAGAGGCTTGCACTGGAGAAGGGTCGCGTGCGCGATGTGCTGGTTGCCAGTACGACGCGGACGTTCAACGTCGAAACGGGCAAGGTTGAGGAGGTGGTAGATGAGGAAGGGGTTACGACGGAGCAAATCATTGAGAGAGAGAGGAAGCTGAGGAAGATTGCGCAGAGGGGTGTGGTTAAGCTATTCAATGCCGTGCGCGCGGCGCAGCTAAAGGCTTTAGAAGCCGAGAAGGCTGCTAGGAGAGAGGGTGTTATTGGTTCGAAGCAGAAAGAGGAGAAGGTGACAGAAATGAGCAGGAAGGGGTTCTTGGATTTGATTGCCAGCGGTGGTGGAGGGCTGAAGAAGGGGGCTCTGGAGGAGGCACGGTAAAATAAGTGTGGGATAAAGCATCGAAGCGGTCATTTTTTTTGTCTTTATTTGGGTTATATGTACAACCCCTGGTCTATTTTAGGGGAGCATGGTACAGTATTTGTACAGGTACATGGTATATCTGCCAAAATAACAAAACCCGGCAGCTGTCATGGTAATGAGCACAACCAGATTATCTCGAGCTAAAGTCTCATCCTTATGCCTTTGCGAGATCTCTGCCCATTTCGTTCCCTGTCCCTGATGCATCATGCTAGATTCAAGCGCTGTTCGCCAAAAACGTTAAGACAGTATAGTCTCAAAAGAGCGAACCTTGTGATGATGGAAGATAAAAGGCCAAGCAGTGAGTCCTCATTTGAAGTCGCTCGCCTGTAGGTTCCGTGTCATAGCAGGCAGCTTGACGCGCAAACCGTCAAGATCCTTCGTCATGTGGACCTGGCAACCCAGACGGCTTGTCTCCTGGAGGCCGAAGGCCAAATCCAACATGTCGTTCTCGTCATCATCCGGCTCCGGCATGCGGTCGTAGTACTCTTGGTCTAGCACGATAACGTGGCAGGTTGAGCAGGCACAGGAGCCACCGCAAGCGCCCTCCATCTCCAAGTCGTGAGCCTGCGCAATATCGAGGAGATTGTCGCCCTCCTTGACGGCCAGCTTGTGCTCGTTGCCCTCCTTATCGATGAAGGTGACCCAGAGCCTGAAAGTGGGTTAGGCAATTTGAAGTCGGTTGCTTGTTACGTGGGCAATACATACTCCTCGCCAGGTTTCGGGGGCTCTATATGACCATGGGACGTAGCGGCCGAGGCAGAAAAAGCCCGCGTTTGTTGCAGGGACCTTGTCATCTGGATCTGACGGCGCATCATGGGCAGTTGCGAACCCCGGGTTATGGAAGACAGCCGCAAAGCAGCGCTCGCAGTGGTATAAGTCCAGAGATACTGTGCAATCGGGCGAACGGGTGTGCGCGTGGCTGCAAGCCCTAAGCTCGGGAGAGCTTGGGCAAATGTTCTGGAGGTCGCCATTTGGATATCGCTGGGTCTGCGCGGGACGTGCGTGGTGGGAAGCCGTCGGTGGTGGCGATCGTCGGGGAGGTCTCGAGGTTTAAGAGCTGGGGCAGAGGAGATCGGAGATGTGTGAGATTCGGAGGAGCAGCGCCACCAGGAGAAAAAGAAACCACGAGCGAAAAACCCAAGACAAACACCGTCAAGCGCCGGGGAAAATCAGACTCGAAAACACCCCGCAGTGAGCGCAGTCAACGTATGTGACAGGGGCCCACGGAAACAATCAATGCATGAGATACAATGCTTTGATGGGAGCAAAGAGCCATCATCCATCGAAGATCTAGCCGCCGTCTCGAGTTCCGCCGGCGGCCCGGGCGATACGATAAGGTGGGAAATTTGTTGCCATCCCTGCTCGCCGATAGCCGCTTTGGTGCTTATCGCAGCCCCGATTGCCGCATAGTTAGCCCCGCGCTATGCAAGATGTTAGGCATTGCCAAGAGCGGAACAGCCGCTGAGGCAGGGCCTTATCGGCCAAATGATTTCATCTGGCTACCCGGGGCATCATGCACATGCAAAGCTTGGGTTCAAGCCCTTCCCAAATCCATATCCCAACCTGCATCCCAAGAGCTCAATTGCAAACGTGTCGCACATCAGACATCCACACCCACGCCGAGGCCGATCCAGTGCCAGAACAAGGACCATCTGGGGTGTCCACTGCTAGACCATGCGCATGTGATCCTCCCGACCGGGCAACACCATGGCGCATCACAACGAAGGGGTCAACCCCCTCAGACCATACTACATCCCGCCCTCTATCGGCGAGCCTCCGGATGTTCTTCCAACCCCGGCACCGCGCACCTTCTCGCAGGTTAATACGACAGGCCGCTACGCCACGAAGGCCCGTGATATCTTCTCCGACATCGACTACAAGGACTACATCGCGGAGCCGTCACCTGGCGTGATTGAGAGCGTACAGCAAATGCTGGACGAACTGCTCTGGAAGTATGTTTCCGTGCTGATGGCCCAACCCTTCGAGGTGGCCAAAACCATTATGCAGATCAGGCAGCAAGATGATCTGGGTGGTCTCGAAGCTGCTGCCGCCGAGGCTGCCGAAGCCGCCGCAGAGGAGGCCCGGCAACGGCAGGCGAATCAGCGGATCCACCTGTTTGACAACGAGGTATGTTAATGTGCCGTAGATATTTGGATTGCGTGCCCGGGTATGCCTGGGTATGATAAGTTGGGCTTGCGGCTAATGGACAGTCTCTAGACCCCTGCAGCTCTGGACGATGACTCGGATGACGAGTCAACCCTGTTTACAGTACAACAGCCGCGCGCCCCGTCGCCGACTCTTACTCGACAGAAGCCGCAAAGACCCCCGAGCCCGCCGCCGCGGTCTCCAAAGCCCCCAAAGCCTAAGCAGCTTCCACCACATATGTTGTCCATCAGGACGCCGGATTCGGTGCTGGAAGTAATTGCGCAGTTGTGGCAGAAGGAGGGCACCTGGGGTGTATGGAAGGGCACTAATGCTACCTTCATCTACTCAGTGCTCTCGTCGTTGCTGGAAAACTGGTCTCGGAGCCTTCTTAGTGCTCTGTTCAACGTCCCTGATTTGGGCGTCAAGAATGACATGGACCGTCTGGTTGACATTGCTTCGCCCTACCCCTGGGCGTCGCTTTTTGTCGCGGCTGGCGCTGCCGTCGCCACGGGCTTGATTCTGGCTCCTTTAGACCTCGTTCGTATGAGGCACGTACTAACCCCGTGTCATCTTACAACCCGTAATTCCTGGATGCTAACAGCTCCGTAGGCTAGTAATCACGTCAACAGCCTCGCGGGCAACCCGTCGCACGCTTGCCAACCTGCGCAGCCTGCCTTCCTACCTCTGCCCCTCTAGTCTCGTTCTCCCTACCATCCTGCATTCACTCATCCATCCCCTTCTGACCCTATCCACACCCCTTGTCCTCCGCACCCACTTCCTAATCGACAAGGAGCTGGCCCCAACCACTTTCTCCATCGCCAAGTTCTGCTCGTCGACCGTCGCCCTCTTCATCAAGTTGCCTATCGAGACAGTCCTGCGCCGTGCCCAGGTTGCCGTGCTCTGCCAGCCTGAGTACTCTCAGGCGCTAGAGCCCCCGCCGACGCCCAAGACGCAAGGCAAGCGTGGCGCTACTGCTTCGGCAGAGAACGCTGAGGACAGCCAATCCAAGGAGCCGCTGCCGGAGGCGATCGTCCCGCTGGGCAAGTACAACGGCCTGTTCGGGACGATGTGGCACATCGTTTATGAAGAGGGCTCGCACCCTGTGCAGCAGCCACAGCCTGTGGCCGTCAACAGCAGGGCTTCTAAGAAGGGTGGTCTACAAGGCAAGAGCAGCGCGCAGCAAGGCATTGCTGAGACTGTGTACAGGCGCGGTCAGGGACTAGATGGTCTCTGGAGAGGTTGGAAGGTCAGTTGGTGGGGATTGGTTGGTTTATGGGCGGCTGGTGTGTTGGGTGGTGGAGGAGATGGCGAGTTTTGAAAAGTAACTGGAATATATTACGGAGGTGTTGATGACGTAAAGAGGGACGAACTGGTTCTGTGATAAAGATGGAGGAATTGGGATTTAAAAACGGGCTGGAGCCTGTGTTTGTTTGGTAACGGGTTTCTCTCGGCGGATTGCGTGCTGTTGGTAAGGTTGGCTGATTTTGGTGTGGGACTTGCTTGGTTTGGCACTCTCCTTTCTTAGAACTTGGTGTGGGCGTTTCCCTTCTCTCATTCATTTTTTTCGGTATTCTACTTCGACTAAAATCTGATGATTCCCCGCTCATGAGTAACCCTCTATGAGAAAATAACCTGACTACAAGCTTTTCCCCAGGCGGGAGAACTGTGTGGTCAGGATTTTGAGTCTGGTGACGGGACTGGTCGCTCACCCATGGGCTTTCCGGCAAAGTACTCCAGTTGCATTGCAAATTCTGACTGGGATTGATGTAGATCGTTTAAATCTTTTACGTGACAAACACATAGAACAATATAGGATGTTGGTATTAAAATGCACGGCTGCTAGCTTTGTTTCGATCCGTTGCCTCGGTTGCCTGTCGCTACCGATAGTGGGGACTTACCCCTGAATTAAGTAAGCAAACACCAACACAGGGGGACCGACGACGCCAGGGATAACCAGCTATTGCCGGTACAAAGATTCTGGAGGCAAAAAAAAAAATAAAAAATTGAGACCAATTCGTTGCGTCCATTAGAACAGAGCCGTACGTATGAGTGGCAAAGCTGTAGCTTACTTGCAAACCACATGCAGCGACCAGAGCCGCAGAGCTGTTTGCAGACCGGTCAGCAAGCGCAAAGTACCATACATTGTACATGGAATAAATGGATATCAAACTTCAACTGTGAACATACACTCAACGATGGTTTGACATGCTTTGAATAGATTGGGTAATTGGTTTGTTTGGTGTATGTCAACAACTCAAAATTTTTGTGCATTGAGTAGATATTATGAACCCTTAGAATTGTCAGCATGTGATCCAGTCAAAACACCAATAGCATCCAACGCTCTTCTCTATTGGTTATCCACTATATATCGTGCCATAGCAATTCTCATCCGCTTGCCTAAATGGATGATCGGGAGAATGAGAAGTGAGAACAGCCCCATAGCTGCGGTGAACCCGCCGAAGGGAATCAAGAATCCCTGGCGCTCCACCCACTGTGTGACAAAGAACGTCCAGGCAAATGGGATAAGACCACGAAGAACGCAAATGATGGTGAAGCAGTCGCTTGCCAGTTGGTCATAAGCGTCGATAAGCTGTGTCATAGTTAAACTAAGATAATCTCATGTGCAATTATGATAGAAGGGACTCACATAGTTGAACCAAATCGACGGCACCTGTGACAGGGCAAATGCCACCATGCCATTGCCAAACTCCAAACCCAACCAGCCCAGCTTAGTTGGGTACTGTGCGCAAAACCCAAAGACCAATAGCCCGGAGGTACCAATGACCAGCGCCGGCGCCATCACCGCAAGTCTCGTCTCTGGCTCGGCATAGCCACGGTCCTGGTTCCAAGCTAGCCTCTTCAACCGCCAGTCAACCAGCAGAGCGGCACAGCCTGCACCAAGCAGGATACCAACCAACGAGCCGACAAACAACAAACCCGTGTTCTCACCCCATGAGTATGGAGGAAGAGACAGGATCTGCGGCCCAACAGTAGAAATGACTGCCACACTACCGACCAGCCCTCCGTACTGGAGCATGACGACCCATGTGGCAGGCAGCCGGAGTGTCCTCCACGGCTTGAGGAGGTAGTGCACCCAGTTGCCGCGGTAGGTGCCTAGCCAGTTGAGGGACTTGATGAATGCCAGCACGGTCTGTTTGTGGCGAACCGGCAACGAACGCAACGGCCAGCCCTCCCCTTGTTGCTCCGGAGGCGCAGCAAGGGGTTGTGCCCTCTTGTCTCGCACCGCGGGTGTCATGATCGGCGCAAAACTGTTCCGCGTGCTGGGCCAGTTGCTGGTCGGGGCCTCCTCGGTCGAAGTAGTACATGAGAAGCGGTTGTCATACTTCGCCGTGCGGAAAGAGGAAGCTGTTAGACCGTCAGTCTGACGTGCTGGGGGCTCGGCCGCGGTGGGCAGCTCCTCGCTGGACGACGAGGGGTCGTACCACGTCATGGGCGGGTCGAGAGGACCGTGGTACTGGAAGTCCGGCGGGATGGTGAGCCGGGCCGATGGTAGAGTACCCAGGCTGATCGCTGGGGCCGGGCTTGACAGAGGGCGGCTGTCAGCCAGAAGCGACTGGCAGGTGGAAGCCCTGTTTTTAAGCTGGTTGATTCTGGACGAGAACTGAGCCGACGGGCGGTACCGGGGGCGGTACTCATCTGGGTCTGGGAGGTTGCGCTGGATCGGTAGCATGAACCCTCCGCGCTCGAAAAGAGTCTCAGGGACCGAAAAGAGCATGGAGAAGAGTGCATAGCCAGCGAGGCCGGCACCGATCCAGAAGAGCTTGGCCCAGCCCATCCGCGCGGCGATATAACCGCCAGTGATACCGCCGAGAACAGAACCGCTGGCAAGGAAGGCCGTGTAGAATGCCTAGATAAAATATATGTCAACAACTTGTCGTTAGACGCAAGTGCCGCGAGGGTTAACGCACCATCCACTTGCCTCGTTCGTGGACGAAGAACAGATCGCCCACTACCGCGGGGACGACTGTCTCGGAAGCCGAACTTCCAAGTCCCTGAAGGATGCGAAGGATCAAGGTCGTCTTGAATCCCTTCAAGTGCATCCCAAGTCCTGTCGACACAGCCAAGAGGAGCGTCGACAGGACCAAGACGGGGCGTCTGCCAAAGATGTTTGACAGGGGGACCCAGAAGATGTTACCTAGGCCGAGCACGAGCACGTTGAACTAAAAGACTGTCAGCAAAGGCCCGGCAACAAAAATTAGAGTCGAGTACGTACGGAGATAAACCCCATGAGATCCTTCATCGCCCGCGGCTCCTCAGGGAACTGGAGGTTCCAGATTGGGAGGGCGGGCGCGACCGCGGTCGAGATGTAGTTGGCGGCGAAGGCGTAGAACGCCACCGTCGTCATACAAGCCACCTTAAACCAACCAGGCCAGTTCAAGGGGTCGGTTGGGTCTTCGGTCGGCCTGGGGCATTTGACGACTTCGTTCACGTACCTTCCTCGGCGATACGTGACACCGTGCTCTTCCGAGGGCGTTAGCAACTGCGTCGGTAAAAGCCGTGAGGGGAAAAGGAGGGTAGCTTGCTTACCAATGAGAACGACAGTCCCAGGCGGCGTGGCAGCCTTGACGGCCGCCCATGGAAGAGAGAACGCATGTTTCCAACCTGGCATTTTTTTCTTTGAGATAAAAAAACACTGGTTAAAGAAGAAAGTAAGGTATTCTTGCCCAAATCATATCTTTACTGTTCAGTATAGGCTGATTTGACATGAAAATATTTACATCTGATCATGACAAATCGCGACTTCGCGAAATTCTGTTTTCGACAAAGTTTTCAATATAAATTATTTTCAAGTATTTTTATCCTACTTCTGCTTATGATTCGATTTCAAGGACACACGGACATCAGAGCGGCCACAGTGACCCATCGCTTCCATTCTGCTGAGGATCAGTAGCACATTCATTGAAGGATAACGACTAAAGCATGTGATATAAGCATTCTCTGAACTTTGATGCAGGTTCTGAGAAACTGATGGTCTAAATGCTCGTGACTGAGCTTTAGACACTAGCATCTGGTCGCCTGGGACACTTCAGGGGGACAAGGGCGAGATAGGGCGAGGCGGATTGTTTATCAAAGAGGGAATATTTCACTGTTTAATAATAGATGTCTCCTTGTTTTCCAGATGGATGTTTCCTTCAAGCTTCTTTTCGATGATCAACCCGAAACTTATAAATCGATTTCTGAGTAATTCACGTGCAAATCTGAGAAGGAGCGCGAGCAGAGCAATCTGGAAGACACTTACTGCTAAGGTAGGCTTTACCAGCATGTGTCCATGGGGTTCGATGACCCCATCATCCGAACTTTCCCCTCTGTCCCTTGTGTAGATTAACCAATTCATCAGCACATGTCGACTGCTGTGTGAGGAGGCTAGAAGCCGGAGAAATCAAGATCCTGGATGCGCGTGTTTGCTGACCGTGTACTGCAGCAGCATCTGGACCTGACCAAGACCCCGTGTTTCCAGCACATACAGACCTCACACTAATCGTACTATGAGTCGCAGTTGGTACTTGGATGGACCTCAAAGGTTTGCTTCCCGGATGGATGATACGCGTTAGCCTCGCCACTTAGGAAACGAAACGCGTGTCAGCCGCTATCATAGATAGATTCAAGGAAGGAGAGCAAAACGTGAAATTCAGCATGCTAGTCTCATTGTTGAGATATGCGTTTCCTGCGACCAAGAACCAGTAAAGAGACCGGGGAACCACGAAGAGTGCACAGCAAATGTAACATTAATAGTATATCGACACTTTCTTGTAATCAAACAGCTACATTTTCCAAGTCCTGTGCTATGTGCATGTAGATACAATCTGGTCATGTCCTTCATCAGCTCCCTTGTCTCCTCACGCTTGGTTTTCATCGCCTCGGACCATCCCGACCGTTTTTGTTTGATCGGTCTCAAGCCGTTTGTAATTGCAAAACAGGCCGATAGCAAAGGATAAGCCAACAGCGCCGATGGCTATGGCGAAGGCTGTCTTGATACCCGCCATGTAGGAAGCCAGGATACCTGGCACCTGCTCGGCGGGGAAAGTATGGCGGATCTGGGTTGCTCCCGTGCTGAGAACAACGAGTGGGTCAACATCGGGGGCATAGACAGCCAGACGGGCCACAAGTGCGTTGACGAAGGCAGATTGGGCTGCCGAAAGCCAAAACGCGCCGCCGACGGTCTGGAAGACTATTAACGTTGTTAGCAAACAATGCAACTAATCGCTCGGAAACACTTACAGAGAATTATTGAGGTTACCGAGGAAATGTCTTCTGGCCCGGCGCGCCCCTGGGCCATGATCAACGGCAACTGGAAGCCAGTGCCCCAAGCCGTGCCACCGAGGATCTGGTAGCCTGCCCACTTGATCGTGCTCGTGCCGATGCTCAGCGTGTAGAGCATGCCGGCCGAGGCTGTCGCAAACGCCGCGCTGGCAAGCATGATGGGCGCTGCAATTCCTGTCTTGGACACGAGCCACCCAGAAGTAATGGTAGACACCGTGACAGACAGGATCAGTGGTAGGTTGCGGACTCCGGACTCTGTCGGGCTCGAGCCGTCTACACTCTGGAAATAGATAGGCAGATAGTAGACCACAATGAAGTACGAGCCGGCAAACAGCGCGCTGAACACCGAGCCGTTCCAGACATCTCGGAGGCGCATCAGGCGGGCGTCAATCATGGATCGGGAGCCGTTAAAATACTCCCAGACGCCAAACACAGCGCAGATTGCGGTGAAGCCGACGAGAAGCCCGATGACGGTCTTGGAGGTCCAAGACATGGCCTGCCCTCCGTACTGGAGGGCAAGGACGCAGGCAATAATACCGCCCATGACCAGGCTTGTTCCTACCAGGTCCATCTGAAGGATCTTCTCCTTCAGAGAGGACTTCATCGGCTCTGCGTAGGCTGGAGTCTTGTACAGAGCCATGATGATGAGTGTCGCCAGCAGGCCAATGGGCAGGTTAAGGTAAAAACACCATCGCCAGCTGACGCGATCCGCCAACGCGCCGCCGATCAGGGGCCCAACGACCGCAGCCAGCCCGTAGGCCGTACCCAGCAGGCCAGTGAAGACTGGCCGCTTCTGGGGCTCGACGCTGTGAGCAATCATGACGTAGGCGCCGGAGCCAATGCCCGCGGCACCGATGCCAGCGATCGCCCGGCCCGTGATGAGAGCCGTCGAATGAGGCGCCAGTCCGCAGATCAAGCTGCCCAGCTCGAACAGCGTGATCGCTACCAGAAAGCTGAGCTTCAGGGAGAAGTACTTGTAGATCTTCCCCCAAGTAGACTGGAAAGCTCCGACAGTCGCGAAGAAGGCAGAGCCATACCACACGATGTCCTGAAGTTTCAGTGTTAGCAAATGCCCAAATATTTCACTCCTTATCTTGTGTGAAATGAAATTGGACATACAGAGATTCCCCCAAAATCATCAGAGATCTTGGGGATCGCAGTGGCTACGATGGTCTGCGTCGCGTCAGCAATGATATCCTTTCAGTTATTTATCCCGAATACTGTAAGAGAAGACACGTACCATGTCGAGCGAGACCAAAAACACACTCAACGCCAGGGCCATCACAACAGACCCAAAAGCCCACCCTTTCGGGTATACGACATCAGCAGCGAAAGCCAACTTCTTCGGCTGCTGGCTCGGAGGGTCGCTGCTGATGTCAGCGGCTATCCCGTTATCCCAGGCCCCCGAAGAAGAAATCACACTGGGAACTTCGGAGGGAACAGTCCGGACCGTCGAGCCGCTGAGGTAGGCCTCATAGTTGCGGTTCGGGTGGCTAGCGCAGCGGCCAGGGCGGATGTTGATGGAAGTAGGCACCCTCTGGCGCCCCTTCCGCATGTGCTGGGCAGCTGTTATGGTTTGTGGCATTTTCAATCAAGATTTTGATCCTGGAGAACAAAAAAACAGGAAGCCGCTATCTCCCAACGTCGTTATGGGAATAAGAACAGCTGATGAAAGGAATTGCTCACAGGAGGCAAAAACATTAGAGGATCAATTAACTGGGTGAGTATAAACCTCCGTCGACCTGGCTAGTGGCTAGCGAAGAGATCTTATACTCACAAAGTCAGCAAAATCAGCACGATCCAAAAGCGATTGTGAATCAATGGGGGGAGAAAAACTAGATTAATGAGGGCAGCATGTCCTCGCGGGTTTGTTTTTTCGCTGAAGATATGTTCAACACGTGAGATGGCAAGATGAAAAAAGATTCTGATTGAACGTCAGAAAGAAACGAGAGGCTGGGGAAAAAGTCGACGTGTTGCAGGAGGTGCCAAAGACAATCACATGGACTTGTTTGCAGTTGTAGAGGGTATTCGGTATCTTTGAAACTCCGAACTGAATCGAATCAAGACCACGGTCAACGGAAAATGGTCCCTATGCCACAGTCAATGCACAGAAAAAAATGACAAGCCTTGAATTTGATCGACGGTTTATTTTCATTTCTTTTGGTCTATCATTTCGGTCAGACCTTAGAGATTTCGTCTAGACTTCTATGACAGGTGAGATCACTCATAGGAACACCTCCAAATTTATCTCCAACGTGCTAACAGGGTATCTGGAAGCTAGGTGTTAGCCGAATACACGAGCATTTTCACGTGGATTGCCACTTACCTCAGATCAAACTTCTCCAGCACAGTAGGATGCAAGACACCAAGCTCGCCAATTCGCTGCAGTTGGCCATTGAGGCGTACATAGATGGCCGCCGCACGGCCCTTGAAAAAGGTAGGCTCATCAGTCTCCTTGATGAAGTAGCCATCCCTCTGCGGGTTTGCGTGGACTTCGAAGTCGATGCTTTTACCCGTGAGACCCTCCTCATGGGTGATGAAGGCCACGCGAAGCATAGTCATGACGCGATCAAGCAAGCCATGAACGACTTCAAAACCGCTGGTCTTGCCATAGTAGGCAGCAGCCCAATGGCGCTCGTTCCTGGCCTTGCGCTCAAAAGAGTCGTCCTTGAAGACGACGTCAGCGACCTCGAAGATCTGGAGCGGCAGGCGCATGGCCTTGTTTTCGCTTAGAGTCTTCAAGAGGCCCGGGAGGAGAGATGTCCGCACAACCTGGTACTCAATAGACTTGGGGTTGGCGAGCTTGACGGCAGTCTTCCCATCATCCACGCGATTCAACCACTCGAAATTCTCTTCATGCGAGCAGAGAATAAGTGGCATGACTTCCGCCCAGCCAGCCATAGCGGACTCATGGCGAACAATGTCGCTGAGTTTGTTGATCATGAGTGGCTTGCCAATTGTGACCGACTTGTTTGGTGTCGAGCGAGGAAGGCTGTTAAAGCCATAGGCGATAGCAAGATCCTCCATCTATTCGAACATCAGCCAATATCCACATGGTCTAGAAAGATTGTACATTAAACATACCACATCGCAAGGGTGCAGGACATCAGCCCGAGTCGGCGGCACCGTGACCGTGACGTACTTCGGGTCCGCTGAGGGCTCAGCCTTGTACGCCATCTTGCTCAGAAGTTTGCAAATGCTCTCAGGTGACTCCTTCAGGCCAGTCAAGCCGTTGAGGTAGTCAACCTCGACATCCATCTTCCTGTAGGTCAGGCTAGGGGTGATGCGCGAGGTGCCATTGTGCTCCGAGATGATTTTAACCGGCTCGATAGTAAAGGGTTCGGCGCAATACTTAGAGAACATTGTAACCATAATGTTGCAAACGATATCGAGCTTTGTCTGATCCGTAGCCGTCATGTCGATGAAGACATTTTTGGTGTTGAGGGTGATCTTGGAGCGTTCGCTGTTGATAATGGGAGGGAGGGAGCAGACATTCCTATCCGCGTCGAGAATGACAGGGTAAACTGGCTTGTCCCTGATGATGTGGAGGTATCTGCCGAGATGCCTATCATTTTCGTAGAAGCTCATGAGCTCCGTGCCGTTGATCTCTTTGGTTTGATTCAGCGGCACAAAGTTAATGTCCTTGGGAGGAAGGGCTTCGTATGTGAATGGACCACGAATAGTATCAAGGTCGTGGGTACCAATACTTGAGGAGGCCACCGTTAGTATTGCAACCTGTAGATCTGCGCTAGCACAACTCACGCAACCAGAGTACGTTGCCTTGCCAGGTTCTGGTGAAGCTTATCCTGGAGGCTGATAAAGGAGTCATAGGAAGCCTGGGTGAAGGTGACATTGCGCAAGATGGCGGCGGCAGCATAAGGGCGAACCAGTTCCGTCTCCTTGCTGATAGTGAGGGTCTGCATTTGATCCTCGGGGATGTCCAGCAGCCTCCATTTAGGGGTCTCAATCTTTCCACGGAAGATGTTCAGGTGCATTGCAATGCCTGAATATCGACTCAGCATACAGTCCTCCGTCCCACTCGGCTGGCCAGTTCAAGAATACCAAAGGAAGAATCATACCCTCGAAGCAAAGCATATCGTAACGGTTGGCCGGGATCTCGATGGCGAGCTCCGGGGGCTCATCCTTAGGCCGAGCGGGATCATTTTCAGTGTCCTTATCGAGCTCAATGCCGAAGTCGAAGCATAATTGCTGGAAGCTCTCCTCGGTGAACCTAGGGATAGGTGGTCAGGCGCAGGCGCGACTCGGGTGGGTTGATAGGGGGGTAGACGATGGCGGGGTAACTGTCTTACTGTTCGCCGAGCTCCTCAAAGAGAGCATACTTGTCGACATTGATGGTAGGCATTTTGACTGTAAACTGAAAGATGGAGGCCCTCGAGGCGAATTGGTGTGCTGGTGGCCCTGGAATAGCTTGCAGGCGCTGTCGCAGTCCGGTATCTGGCCGTAAACTCCTTGCAAGTCTCAACTTTTGACAGGGGCCTAACGCGCAGGCAAGTCAATCTGCCGCTGCCAGGATGAGTCAAATGGCGGGGTGTGTTTTCTGCCTCAATTGACCGCCTAAATGCCAAGCAATACAAGGCACGGTCAACAGCACCAGAGCGCTGGATGCAGTTGAAGCCCTGCTGGTTTTCGGAAGAGGAACAACCGCCTTCCGAAATTTCGAGCCTGCCCTAACGCTTACTTCGGGAGATGGTGGCTCGTGCACAAGCGCCAACTGCAGATGTGCACGGATCATACTCCCTGTCTATATATTCTTGTCGACCTCGCCCGCTTCTTCCTCTGCTTCTTTTTCTTTTTTTCCTCATACTTACCTTGATTGGGCACACCTGGATCAAGAAGCAGGGGTGCCAGGGCGATAGGCCTGCATTGCACATCGTGGAGCCGGTCGTCTTGGATTGTCCTTCGGGGCCGTCCCGGTCATAATTTTTGATGTCCGCTTCCTCCCTGAGGATCTCTTTTTCGCTGTGAGCCCGACCACTGGCCGAGCCATGGAGAAGAAGAGGCTTTGATTCTCGGCGAGTTTTTACATGATTTTCTAGGAATATATGAAATATGAACGGTGAACATGTTGAATGGTCAAGTAGAATTTGATATTTAAAAATTGTCGGAATTGCAGATTGTGTGACTAGTGATAATCGGCACAACAGATGTCAAAATGACACTCAATGCCTATTTAATGCCTACTGTAGCATCTTGCATGTCAACCCGCTCAGTTCAGAATAATCTTTCGCTTTTCCCATGGCGTTTTTGCAATCTCTTTCCCATCCGAGAACCTCTTCACGCATGGATTGCCTCCTGCACCTCCGGATATACCTGTACCATCCGGTGATAGATATCGGCATGGTCGCGCATCAGCACTTCCGGATCCCAGGCCATTGCCACAAAGATTGTGTCAACACCACTGCTCAGAGGAGTGGTGAAGACGTTGCAGATCTGAAGGCCAATAAGGAAAGAAAATGCCACAACAACTGGTGTGAAGCCACCATCGTCATTGTACGCAGGCTTCGTGAACACCATGTACAAGTAGGACAACAGCGCGCAAGCAAAACCGACGAAGGTGGCGCCCATGCCGAGAACAGGGCCGATCAAGCACCCATTGATGAGTGCGTCGATGCCGCGGTCTTTGATCATCCTGATGATGAGGTTAGCTAAGCACAGTGCCTAGAGCAAAGCATGGGGAGAACTTGCTTCCAGGTATCCTTTGCAGCGGGAATGAATGCCTTTCCATACAACGCAATGTGGGCGAAGGCATAACGATTCAAGAACTGTACAGCCCAGTCAAGGATGGCGATGAAGCACCCAACAAGGCACCATAAAACCATGCCCAGAATGTCGCCATCCGAAGCAGCTTGCCGCCGAGCGATTGAGGCGAGCTGCCGCAAGAAGTTGATGATGGCCACCAACAAGCTTCCGAAGCTGATGCTGCCAAAGCTGTAGGTCAACGCTCTTTTCAACGCTCCGCGAGTAACCTTAGTCGGGTATCTTCTCGAGTTGAAGTACCACGAACCATACACACCGGCAATCGTGGTATGGATTGTGTTCTTGAGCCATTCCGAGATCCAGTACGCGGCAAACGTGATGAAGGCGATCAGCCCAACCACCTTGCCTGCGCTACACCCTCCAGCACCTTGCTGGCAAGCAGGATTATTGGGGCTTGGCTCGTACTTGACATACACCGCCACAAGGGTGACAGCATACCAGGCGGCAAAGGCTGCACCAACAATCCCGCCGATAGCACTGACAAGATAAACGTGACCAAACCCCTTTGCAACATCCATGGCTGTCTGCAGCATCAACACGCTGAACGGGATTTGTGAGCGCCAGCTGAGGAAGCAGATGATCATGAAGATTGAAAAGACCAGGAACACAATGCCGCCCGAGAGGTAATTCCGTGAAAGCATGTATATGGCTGTCACAAATCCAAAGACAATGTTGAGGATGCCCGTCGCCCAGATAAACTGCTTAGTAAAGCGGCGTGCCAGCCACATGTAGCCATAGCTCAACACGATAGCTGTTATGAGCACCCACAAAAATAGCCATATCGTGTGAGTTGTCAACCCAAAATCGTTACGTTGACCATTCAGATCACCAGAATTTGTGTGTCGAGTCGCCGCTACTTAGTGGTTAGCATACTATGCCGAGTGCATTAAGGCTGAACAAGGTGTCTTCCTCACCATAGCCTTGGATGGACATTCCCGAGACAGCAACGAAGCCAGCGCAAGTGAGCAGGAAGAGGATGCCAGCCCATAGGTCGTTCCACTTCGGCTTCTGGACGCGAAATACTTCGTCGTAGCTCGGTGGCGGAGTGTCTGGATATTTGGGATCCGAAGCCGGAGGAGGGTATGGCGGAGGAGCATCATCAACATTGTTATTGGGAGTTCCGGAGTTATAGGAGGCTTGCTGTTGAGGTGCCTTGCCTTCCCATCGAGAAGGGGAGCAACTGGCCTGGGGAGGAGGAGCTTGGTTGTAATAGCTGGCTGCCGCGCCGCCTGAAGTGGCCATGATGACAATTCGGTGGGACAATTGAGGGTTGCTCCGGCTCTGGTCTGTAATGCGGTGAGAATTCTTCAGGAGTTAGCCTTGGTTCTTGGACGCCAAGCGTTGATCATCATCCAAACGGCAGGGATATGAGCTCACCCAGAGACGCTCAGAAGCCCAGAAGTGTCTAGGTTGAAGAGAAATTGACGGTTGTGGGAGGGTAGTCACAGATACACTACTAAATGGATTGAGACACAAAGATTGATGGTGGTTGTAGTACAATAAAGCTGGTGCAATGCTACAACGACACCCATTAAGGTAGACTCATCCTGTCCAGCCTCGAATTTCAGGGGGAGCCACGACGGGGCTAATTTCCAGCAGATATCAGTGACGTCATGGTCAAGTCCCTGACAGAGCCGTCTGCATGCTGCCACACGTCGATTCAAGGGATTTGAGAACCACTTGTTTGTTGCCCATAACTTTTTGTCATACAGAATATTCCTCTTAATCTACGAGCCCCTTCATCACTGCACTCCTGTACTCGAACCATGCCTATGCTAGATCTAGTGTATAGACCCCGTCTTCACTCATCTTTTTGAAGTTTGTAGTTTGTAGTCCATCCTCCCTCTGCCTTGAATTACGGCATCCTCAGCATTCCAAAAAAGGCAATATTCGCAATTTGGCTCCCTTTATGGTCAATAGCTTCACCGCATCCTTTAGCGTGATCCAGCATTTGAGGGTCCAAGCGCTTCGCGCTTGTACGCGATGTGGCGCGACAGCCGACCACCTTCTAACATCCGTCTGAATGGCAGAAAGATATTTACTTTCTGAGCGCAGTGAAAAGTGGAGGTTGCGAAGCTTGAGCCTCGGGCAACACATCTTGTATCTACTCGTGAAATTTTTCAACCAACCATACCTTTGCCGGCTAACAATTAGGTAATGTTCTAGAGGTTCTGCGCGCCAACGATCTAACCCGGGTCATACGTAAACGGTTTTTTTCGTGAGTAAATAATGCTCATTTAAATATTAGAGCTGGAGTTCCCTTCCTATCTACCCACTTTTGCTCTCCCTGCATCGCTAATGTAGGGCTTTTTCTGGGCTGGTTTATCCATTGACCTCCCTGAACGTGATCAGGTTGTCGAAATCTTCCTCGCGATGTCACACAAGTCATCACCTGGTAATTCGCGCGAAACACGGCTGTGCTGCCTATGAGATAGGAATCCAGGCTCATATGCAATGCCAACAAATCTAGAGCTGGGGTGTATTTGGACTGATATCAGGACCACCAATTCGCTTGGATAATCAACATTGATTCCAATGATTCGATACCACAAATATTGTCTAAACGGTTTTTATATCCCACATCTACTCTGTCCATACTAACCCACACATATCACTCCATTTATTTCGGGCCAGTCTTGCCCGTAGGGATGCAGAAGAGAACCAGACGCTTACCCTTGGGACCCTCCTCGCCATCCTTCCAGTCGTCCAGACCCTTGTCGACCCGGTAGTAGCCACGCCTCTCGAGCTGAATGATATCATCCTTCTTCAGGACAGCAGCGGCCTCGTCGCACCAGGCATCATCCATTGTCGCGGTGTTGGGGTTCAAGAAGTCCTCCATGTTGTCATCCTCCTGCAGGACGTCCTTGGTGATGAGGTAGTCGAAGTCCCACAGCTCAGCGGGAACCAGCTTCTGATTCGACGCCAGCCATGTGATCTTTTTCTCGGTAGTCTTGACATCACCCTGCAGGTTGAGCTCGCAGGTGAGCGTGGGGATGGGATCAGCACTCGGGATGTTGCGGACGAAGGCATTTCCCCACGACATGAGCGTGATCTCCTCACCGTCCTTGAAGCTCTTCGCATCGGCCTGGTCAATCAGGATTTCGGAAGCGTAGACGACCTGTTTGGTGCCCACGTTCTTGTTCTTGGGGTGCAGAGGCTTCTCAGACTTGTAGGGCTCCGCCGGCGCCTCAGCACCCGTAACAGTTACCTTAACGACATCCTTCTGTAGGACAGCGGTGTAGCGGGGGGCGATGGGGTCAATCTCCTTCTTGTTGTTTGCCCAGAATGTGGTCCAGTCCATAGTGACGATGTTACGGCTAGGACCCTGCTTGAGAATGAAGTCGCGGAGGGAGTTGATCGTCATACCGCGCCTGCGAATGCCACGAATGGTGGGCATACGTGGATCATCCCAGCCCCAGACACGACCGGTGTCGACCAGCTTCGCGAGCTTGCGCTTGGAGAGAAAGGTCTTGATGAAGTTCATACGGGCGAAATCCCAGATGTAAACCTTGCGGAGCTTAAGGGTATCTTGGAACCACTGGTATTGAGGGTTGCGGTCGGTGTACTCGGTCGAGCGCATGGCGTGGGTGACACCCTCATAGCTGTCGACAATGGGGCAAGCAAAGTCGTATGTGGGATACATCTTCCACTTGGTGCCAGTGCGGTGATGAGGGGTCTCAACATTGCAGCGGTAGATGACAGGATCTCTCATGGCCTTGTTCGGGTTGTCGACAGAGATCTTGGCACGAATGCAGTGGCGAAGACCCTCCTCGCTGCCCTTCTTCATCTCTTCGAAGATGCGCAGGTTTTCCTCAACCGACCTGTCACGACGCTTGGACGCAATGCCCTTGAAACGCTCATCGCGCATAGTCTCCTGGTCGGTATCGTCGGCATAGGCATGTCCTTCCTTGATCAGCCTGATGCACATCTCATACAGGTAGTCAAAGTAATCCGAGGTGTAGGTCACGGAGTCGGGGCGGATGCCCATCATGGCGAGATCCTCGATAATGGCATCTTGGTACTCCTGTTTCTCCTTGGACGGGTTGGTGTCATCGAGGCGTAGCCGCAGCTGGCCATTATAGGCGATATGCGCGAAGTAATCGCTGAGCAGAGCGGCCTTGGCGTGGCCGATATGAAGGTAGCCCCTGAAGTGTGTTAATTGGGCAAATCTCGCTGAGCGGCTGGTGACATTGAGATCAAACTTACGAAGGCTCGGGCAAAAATCTGGTCACAACGCCCTTATCCGTGTCCTGGAGCGCTAGGTTATAGCTACCACCAGCCTTACTGGCCGCAGCGACCTTGGCCTTTGCTGCAGCATCCCGAGCCTTGATCTCCTCCTGGATCTCAGGGTAGTTGTCTTCGATGAAGTTGAACCATCGCGTGAGATTGACAAGGTTGCCGCGCTTGATGAAGGAGAAGGCAGCGCGATTACTGCGGAGAACCTGCCAGATCTTGGTGTCAACCTCAGAGAGAGTGTAGCCGTCAAGATAGGTGCGGAGGATGAGGTGCTTGTCGAGGGCCTGGAGGTGGGGCTCAATCGAGCGGAAGTCGCCCGCCAGAACCTTCTCCAAGGCCTTGATATCGTCAATCTTCATGATGTTTGTGAAGTTCTACGCTGGACTCGACACAGAAAACAAGCAACAATGAATGGGAAGCTTTGGATGGCTGGGTCTTGATGTCCGCCCTCGCTTGCTCGCCTGTCAGTTCTTGAATTTTTGGAGGGGCATTCGATGACTCCAATCCGTGGCGGGGTAGCCCCACCAACAACCGTTGCTGAGGCGCGCTGGCGGCCAGACGACCAGGGGTGAGATATGATAAGATAGCACACACTCAAGTCTTGGCATTTCCGCCTGATCAATCAGGCCATCAAGGCTCTTTCAGCTCGGACCCAACTTTTTTCTGGATGTCAATTGAGAGCATCAAAGACGGGACCCGTACCCCAAGTTCGCGACACTGCATAACTGCCACGGGTTTGGCAGCGGCGTCGGCACGATGGCTTCCCTCAACCAATGTCTTGCCTCGCTGGCAAGACTCAGCTTATCGGCGCCAGCCCGCCCAATATTAGCCTCAACGATCCCCAAATTCCTCGCCCCCGCCACGGCGACACCTATCGCTCACTATGCGACGGTCATTAAGCGGGCGCAAAAGAAAAAGAAGAACTACAAGACATATAAGTGCTGGGACTTGAGCGAAATGGAGCAGTTCTCCCTCTGCGACGCCATGAGGCAAGCTTTGGAACACCGAACCCCACAGCAGCAAACTCAGTTTGCCAACTGACACTGTCTTCAGGTATCTACGTGCTTTCGAGGTCGGCAACCCTCCACATGTGTCCAAGTATGAACTGCACGTCAAGCTGAGGACAGGAAAGGGCGGTCCCGTCTTGCGCAACCGTATCCGCTTCCCTCACCCAGTCAAGAGCGACGCCCGTATTGGTGTCATCTGCCCCGAGAACAGCCCCTTGGCGGCCGAAGCGTTGGCGGCTGGTGCTGTGGCCGTTGGCCAGGAGACACTGTTCGAGAGGATTCGGCAAGGAGATATCCCGTTCAACAAGTTGATTTGCCATGTGAACAGCGAGGCGGCCTTGAAGAAGGCCAATCTTGGGCGCATCCTTGGTCCCAAGGGCATGATGCCCAATCATAAGACCAAGACGATCACGCGTAATATCAGGGAGACGGTTGAGGAGCTCATTGGCGCCGATGAGTACAGGGAGCGTACGGGTGTGGTGAGGATTGCGGTCGGCCAGTTGGGCTTCACACCGCAGATGCTTTCGGACAATATCAAGGCCTTCATGTCGCTTCTCAAGCAGGACCTTGCAAATTGCGACGATAACCACCCCAAGTCGCTTGATGAGGTCGTTTTAAGCTCAACCCATGGGCCCGGGTTCAGCTTGGACGGCACCTTCTTCTCAAAAGATGAGAACTTGAAGCCGGAACACTTAACATCAGCTATGTAACTTTGCTGTATCATAGATTCATGTCATGTTGTATGTACCATAATTTCATGGAAAGCAGGGCGTCTCCAGAGGGATGGGTATCTAAACGGGTTTTTGTCTATGGACGCTTGCTCGTCACCTTCACTTTTCTTTGAGGGCCCTAACGGCATCTGCTTGCGCATCCAGAAGCCTGTATATCGCCAGGTACTTCAAAAGCCGGCCTTGACCCCTGGGCCCAGCTTTGCGGGCTTCCTTCAGCGCTGTGCTCAGATCAAGCAGGATTGTGTTGCGACAGCGCATCATTCTTTCCTCCATCTTCCTCACGTAAGGAAGATCTCGGCCGAGTGAGTTTGCAATCCGTTCAGTCGTTCGGCACTCCTTCGCCAGATTGGCCAGCTTCGCAGGACTGCTGCACACAAACTCCACTTCACCTTCCTCTTCTTCTCCCTCATCGCTGCTCACAATATTATCCCCCCAATCGTCTCCTTCATCGTCATCATCTCCCTCTCGTTCGTCGACCCGGCTCTTCCCCTTACCAACGCTCCCAACTGAAAGCCTCGACTCTAGTGCGGAGATTCGCTCATCTAACTCAAGCATCTTTCTCCCCATCTCTACAGCACTCCTAACTCCTTGCAGCTGAGTTGTTAGCTGACCAACCTCCGCCCTCTTCTCCCGCACCTTTGCTCGCAACTCATCCAGCTGACGCCGAAATCCCATTAGTGCCACACGCACATCGCCGACTCTATCCCCGCCGCCTTGTAGCTCATCGCCCAGCCCAAGGAAGGATGCATAGTGTGCGTTGACTAGTTCGATCAATTCTGCGTTGATGGCGGCGCCTCGATCTCGTAGTTCTGCACGCAGGTCTTCCAGCGTTTGATGCCGTGACGCTGGACCACCTGTATGGAGGGCTGATAGATACTCTGCGGCGTCGAAGTCTGGGGCTAGGAAGTCAGACCTGGAGAGGGCGGCGGGGAAGGGAAGTGGGGAATCTTCATCGAGTTCGGAATCTGAGGGGATCGGACTCGTAGACATGAAGTCGTCATGGTTCTGTCGATGCGGGGGAACGCTGGGGCGCGAATGGGAGGATGCTGGACGGGAGGGGAGCGATATGCCTAGTTGGGCCATGGTGGCGGTGATGGTTGTAACGTACAGCGATCGAGAGCTGGTTGGTTGTTGTTTTGGGTTGGGCAAGCTTGAGGACCTGAGTTTCTTGGATTATTATTTCGTGCGGAGAGCATATGTTATCCGGGAAATCGAGAAGTCAGTTCGCCTATAACAATGGTCTTGTTGATTTGGGCTGGAGTGGACAGTTCGCATCGTCAGGTCCACAACCTTCAGGTTCCTTGAAGATGGAACTGAGCTTGCTGTCGTTGTTCGCATCCAAGGCCGCGCTTCGGTGGTCTTGGCGGAATGTGGCCCGTGCGCAAGGGGGGACCCTGAGTCCATAATGCTCACATCAAGGAGTCAGAAAGGACTTTGAGAAGGAGCTTCCACAACATCCATTTTATATGACATAGAGTCCAAAAACAAAGTTTGTCGAATGTGTATTGGAAGTATGGTATCTAGGATATATAGGCAAATGAACTGAGGTTGTCCTCGAAGCACTGTCTGCTGAAGCGAGAGAGACCTCGGGGGCTAGGAATGTCATTGCATCATCGGCAGACAATAAGGATCCGTATGCTCAAGATGATTGTTCAACTAAAGCTCCAAACCTCTTGCCACTCTTCTCGGCTCATGGAATACAATGTCGGACATGTCGTTACCAGGCCCGCGGGCTCTGAGTGATGCCACTCATTGCGTGAGGGACGGTGCCAATGGCCACTCCGACATCGCACTAACACCCTTCAAGTCTCAAACCAACAAAGGCTCGCAACAACTGAAATGTGTTTTGTCGGCCAATTGGAATAATACAGTTCCAAGTCAGTTTTATGCCTTTTACTAATGCGTTTGCACTTCTTCAAAGCGGATCTCAGTTTCTCGACACTTCGGCTTCTTCACTGATCTTGCTAGTGAATCCGACGCATGGAAAACGGGGATGTCGGCGGATGGGGAAGTTGGGAAGCTCCACTGTTCCACACTTAACCATATTTAGAATAGTGCCATAAGTTAATCTTATCAATCAATCAGTGGTCCGATCCATCAGTCACCATCTCCATCTCACCTCTGCCGAATCATAGCGCTCAGCGACCCTTGCCGTGGAAGACATTTCCGGCCTCGCTGTTGCAGGTTTTTTTTTCGTGGGCTTGGCTCTCTTTCGGAGTTCACAAAACTGAAAAGGACTCCATCCGACAACTCCCACGACTCAACCTCGAGACCGGCCTTTTAATCAAACTCTTCAACCCGTCGTTAGCCGCAATTGCATCAGTTGAGAGTTCGGTTGACGGTTAATCGATCGTTGCGAGAGTGCGCCATCTCTAAAAGAGCGGACTGAGCAGCTTTCAAATCGACTCGGCGTATTCAAGCGTTTTCTACAATCACTCAAAATCAGGGTTGCGGGGTCGATTTTACCGTTCTGATCACTTGGGGCCATCGGACTCACAACGTTGCCATCAACCGCGGTCAAAAAACCATCAAGTCCAGGGTCGCTTGACGGTTGCTCAGTCATACGCGCTGTCAAACTCCACGTGTAACTCTATAGTAACTCTATAAGCTGGATACGCTTCGCCAACACGACCGGGCAGGCGTGCCATTGCGACATTAAACTTCGCTGAAGACCGCAGCAATATCGCACCGCCGTTCGGTCTGTTTTGGCAGTCCACACGGCTGCCCTCGGCATGGCGGTATCCGTCTCCGCCGGCCCCAGTACCGGGTCAAATGCGGACAATGCTGCCGCATCCCCGATCAACGCGTCGTCGATCACAGCGGCCGTCAGTCATAATTCTCCGGCTTCCGTGTCGAGCCCCGCTTCGGTTGCTTCTCCTTCCAGTGTCTCCACTTCGACGACCTCATGTTCGACAGCTCCTCCCCCTATTGCTATCCGGCCAAATCCAACCCCTAAGCCGCTGTCAATCAAGACTCCCAATCCTGCAACGCACATGTCTTCCAACGGTTCAGTACCGCAAGGGGGTTTGAGTATGACCACCAAAGAATGGGTGGTCCCTCCTCGGCCGAAGCCTGGTCGGAAGCCTGCCACTGATACCCCTCCTACGAAGCGCAAGGCACAGAATCGTGCCGCGCAGAGGGCATTCCGGGAGCGTCGGGCAGCTCGGGTTGGCGAGCTTGAAGAACAGCTTGAGTCGGAGAAGGCCGCCCATGAGAAAGCGGTTAGAGAACTGCAGGAGAGGATCAGCATGCTGGAGCTTGAAACGCAAACCTTGCAGTCACGATGCCGGTGGTTGGAGTCTGCTCTGGAAAGAGAACGTCAAAGTCGGAACGGTCAGGCCACCACGAGCTGGGACAGTCCCTCGATGGAGCCCCCAAGGCACACTTCTTTTTTCTCTCCCCAAACTCAGCCACAGCCGCAACCATCACAATTAGCTCCTGCTGCTGTGGCAGCCCCGGGCATGCGACCTTTGAAGCCAGCACCCCTGAAGAGCTCCATCATTTCTCCTGTTACTATTGAGCAACCGAAGCCTTTGCCGCAACCGTTTTCTATTACACAAATAGTGTCTCCTCTGGAAGAGGTGATTAGTCCCGTTGATCTGACCTGCGGAAAATGCGGGACAAACGGCTCTTGTGCATGCGCAGAAGCTGTTATGGCAACTACTGATATCGCAATCGGTTGCGGTAAATGCACACTTGGCAGTCGATGCCAATGCCTCGAGGAGACTCTCGGGGTTTCTGTCCCAGCAACATCCTCTGATCTCAAGAGGCCGGGGTCCCCTCCGCCAACATCTCCAGAGGAGAAGCGGCAGCGATCCGATGCCGGGATTGTCATGGAAACTGATTTTACTGCTATATTCTCCTCCCAGAGCAACAAAGACCCCGCTCCGTCAACATTTTCCTCTTCTACACAACCCCTAATGACATCCGAGCCTCCCAGAGACCCGTGTGGGTTCTGCAAAGAAGGGACATATTGCGTCTGCGCCGATTCAATGATTACTTCAGAACCACAACCGCTCATAGCACCAACACAGACTCGCACCCCTCCTCCATCCGAAAACGACGTTGCCCCGACCCCAATGGAGGTGACAGCAACGGGAGCCATCAAGCTCCCTAATCTGCGAAACGGCCAGCGACAGCATCGCACCGCTGCCAAGCCGCAGCAGCCTGCGGCTTCCGCAACCTTAAGCGGCTGCGGCCCCAATGGCCCCGGCACCTGTGCTCAGTGCCTCGCTGATCCCAAGTCCGGCCTCTTCTGCCGTTCCCTGGCTGCCAACTTCGAGAAGAACAACCCGGGCGCCAGCCTAGCTGGCGGAGGCGGCGGTTGCTGCGGCGGGGGCGGGCCAGGCGGATGCTGCAAATCTGGCAACAGCAACAGCGACAGCCAGACCTCGACCTCCGGCTTCGGCCTGAGTCTCTCGTGCGCCGAGGCCTACAAAACTCTGGCTAGCCATAGGCACTTCGACGAGGCGGCCGACGACATTGGGTCGTGGCTGCCGAAGCTGAAGGCGCTGCCTATCCCGCGACCCTCTGAGCCCGGCGCTGGTTCGGGGCAGGGGCTGACTCGGCGGGCGCCGATCGAGGTCGAGGCTGCTAGTATCATGAGTGTTTTGAAGGACTTTGATGTGAGATTTGGAAGGGGTGAGTAGAGCAGCGCTGGGAATCTTCTTGCGTGTTTTAATGTTGTTTGTATAATTTAGAGTTCTAGCTCTCGCATACGGGGAAAGGATCCGGTGCAGGACGGGAAGGTCATGTGCTTCTTTGCTACAATGGAAATGGATTTGCCTGATTCTTATATTTCTCTATTGGTTCCCCTGCCTTATCACATATCTCTTGTCATGCTTCCTCGACGTCGTTCACGGGGGGTTGATCACCCGGAGAGAGCGGTTGAAATGGAGGGGTGTAGTAGCATCTCAGATCAGATCACCATTTTCCTTAGGTCAGGGTGGGCGCTAGGGTTCATGCGGCCCGATATGCGGCCTGGCGGGCCACTAAAAAAAAAAAAAAGAAAAGAAAAGAAAAAGAAAACAAAAAGTATCATCAGGTATCTCCATCACATAACGCAGCTTCCCGTGTAGAATGGAACTAGTCGGATATCACTTGCATATGCCAGAGGCCGGGATGGCCGTTTAGGGGACTCGGATTGGATGGCAAGGGTTGGCACCTCTGGGGTGTGGTGTGGAAGGTTTGCAACAGGACAGAAGGGTCTGGTTGGCTAAATAAGGAGTTGGTAGAGTTTGTTTTTAGTGTTGTAAGCGTTACCATGTAGTAGCTAGGCACATCGACAGAGACGAAAAAAAGCACCCCCTCCCCCCTTCCCTTCTTCACCCAAGGACCGTTCAGCGGGATGATGGCCTACCCTGTTGTTTGTTTGGCTGGTCGCTCAAAGGGAAGGCCGCAAGTGGCAAAAATAATCAAGTTAGCCCTCAAGCACCATGCGTGTTGATGCAGGCAGAGTCGGCTGTATTGTCGCTCGGGAAGAATATCTAACAAGCCCGAGAGATTCTATGGTGTGCTCTGCTCTTCTGCTGCAGTTTTACGACACTGGAGCTAGCAGCTTTGCATATCATACATGCGGTTCTCGCGTCACGTACTGCATTCGATCCGGGCCCCCATACGGCTGCGGATCACACATCAGGCCGCGGTGCGGGAAAGAACCCTTTAGCATAGGGTAGGGTTGCGAGAGCGCTGGAAAGGGTGTAGGAGGGGCTATGTTGCAAGAGTCATCCCGGATCCGAGACAGAGATATGTTGTAACCACCAATTCGGCTACGGAGCATGAGTCCAAGAGCGTAAGACGGATGACCTACACGGTATGCCAGTAAGGGCCCGCAATGCCTGAGCTTGAGGACAGAGAGGATTGGCCAGCCTCAAGCAGCCGCATTTGGTAAATGGGAAATTTGATCGGGCATCATGTTGTGGAAGGGGGAAAGCAGCCCACTTGCAATCGGCAACTCGGGTTTGAGTAGGGTTGTAAAGGTACATTGCGAGTGCAGATCTCGGCCGGGCCGTGCATTATACGAGAGAGGACAGACCCGTTACACTACACAGAATCCTGCCATGGCTTCTTCAACAAAAAGGATGTCAGAACAGTGGTGAGAAGCGATGAGAGGCACGAACGATAGAGATTGAGGAGGGAATGTGCCAGCGCGCGCGCTGGCACTAGGTACATTCGGTACCTTGGTAGTAAAGGGACGCATGGGTCTCATGAGACAACATGGCAGGTCGGGAGAGGCGAGTCGGGTGGCGGCACTTGATTGGTGATAGACGGCTGAGTTGTCAACCCAACGATGCTGGGCGCGATGTCAAAGGTCGTGGACGCCAGAGATTGGACGAAACTCACATGCCGCCTGTTCCCCCCTGGGGCATGGGACAGGTGGGGCTGCATGCAAGGCCAACTCAGAGGGAGGGGCAAGCTTTGGAAAAGGCGATGTTCGGAGTGACTCGCTCGAGCAGTCTCAGGGCCACGACCTAGTCGCCCTGCTACAGTACCTCTAACGTGCTGGGGCCGGCAGTGGGAGACAAGGAGCACACACTGATGCGTTGATGGGACCCGAGGACGATATGTGTGGTATGGAGGAACTGCTGGGCGATGCATGGGTGTTTCGGAAAGCCGGGTCTCTGCTTCGTTGAGCTGCCGCGAACGGCCGGTCTGGAGTGGTGAGCTGGCAGCCGTTGCGGCTCTCTCGACCACTGGAACCACTGGAATGCCGTGCTTTGCGTCTACTGTGAGGGCGAGCGCGGCGTGGTTGTCAGGGCAAACCACGGGAGAAGCGAAGAGGATGGCCAGTAACCCTTCCGCTCTACCGAGGAAAGAATAGGGCAAAATGCTGCCACTGGGGAGAGGGGAGAGAGCAGACGGAAGAGCAGGCAATGACGGAGTGCCGTCGATGGCAAACTGCAAAATTCAGGGCTGATCAGGAACGAGATTGAGGAGCACGGCAGGAGGGACAGTGTAGACATCGTGAGAGACCCAATGGAGGGGCAAAAAAGAAAAAAAAAAGACCTAGGACCTGGGCTTAGGTTGGTTGTGAGGTCGTCGTTAGGTGTCGGGCGCTGACGGTCAGGCCAGGCATAGGTTGAAAATAGCGGAGTAACAGCTAGAGCTCTGCTTCGATTCCGAGAAGCGAATCGGACAGCGTGAGAGGCGGGAACTGCTGTGGCTCACCAGCCAACGCACATCTTGCAGCTCACGGCTCGGCCACTGCGCTCGAGCAGACATGGCAGACATAACAGCGTGGATTTGGCAGGGCAGGGCAGAAGACAGGAGATCTCATGAGTGGAATGGAAACCTGGAAGACGAATGATGTGCAAGCAGGCAAGGTAGGGGTTGTCGATTGGAGAAACCCGCCGCGGACTGTGGGCCCGCTGGGCCTTCAGAACCCTGAAGTCGGGGGGAGGGAGAGGGGAAGGGGGGGGGGGAGGGCGCGCGCTGGGCTGGAGCTTGATCAGCGCCCAGCCCAGTGGCCTGGACCCACCAGAGCGCTGTTGCTGCCTGTCTCCGTTGGGAATGGCGGCCCCTCCTCGTTGTCTGTTAGTGGCTGGATAGCCCTACCCCACGTTTCTACATCAACGCTGGGCAGGGACAAGTCGTAGACAAGCTGCGAGGAAACGACGCTCCCTCTTCCTCTTTCTTGCGCTTTCCGCACCCAAGTCTCTGCCCCATCCCGCCTCTCTCTTCCTCCCAATCGTGGCATTCCAGCTTCCATCAGAGCCAGCCTTAGTCCAGGGGTTAGCGGTTAGCGTAGCCCTGCAACGTCAGTGATCGTCTAAGCGCCCCGGCTTCCAAGCTTTCGACGAAGCACTCAAGAACCTCAGCCGCTCCTTAATTTTTCGACTGACGACAGGTATTTTCGGACGGAACAATGCCCACGCGGGACACTTGACCCCGAGATCCCCTTGGTCGCAAGCCGGCCAGAGCCGAAGCTATCCATTGTTTTGGTGCCGCACGCGCGCCGTGTTCGACGTCAACGCCCTCATCAAACATAACCATCAGCACTAACATCAGCACCAGCGCCAGCATTCTTGAGCTCCCCGCCTTCCCTACTTTTGCCTGAACTTGGTTTTTTTCTGTCTGCCTCCCCACCAGCCCACCTCGCCTGCTACCCCGCCTCGTTCTTAGGGAGACGGCGCCCGGCCCTCGCAGACCCCTGAGCCCCTCGGTAGACAGTCACGCTGCTGTACACAGAAAAATACACCCAGATCGGCTGGTTTCCGCACCCGTAGCAGCATATGGGCGATCGCAGTCGCCCATTCGACACCCCCCATGGGTCTATTATGAAGTCCATGCAGCGCGGTCTCTCATCGCCAGTCGACGTTCACCCATCGCCGCGTATGTTAGGAGGGCTACGAGCCGGGATCTCGCCCGTCCTGCCTTGGAGAGCGTGAGAATTGCTGACTTGTTTTCCTGCTTCCACAGCTCGGTCGGCCCCTGCGAGCGCTGCTTCGCGATCAGCAACCCCATCCCCGTCCGACGGCCATGTCGAAGTTGCGCACTCCCGCCCGAGGCGTTTCGGGTCGCGAAGCCCGTCCCGGGTGAGAAGGGACACCATGACGCCCCCGGGCCGCAGGATCGACGACCTCGCGAGGCGCTCGTCGATGCATCGCCCATCCTCTTCGCTTCAGCTGCGCAACAAGCCCATCATCATTGACCAGCCAAGCACCCGGACCTCTACCCCTGTGCCCGCTCACCATGACTCTCCCGACGGTTTGGACATGCCCGGAGCTTCTCTGCCCTCGCCGGATGCCGGTAGCACCAAGAGGAATTTTTTGCGGCCACTGCTTGCCGACGTGTCACTGTACACAAACCCTTCCCTCGGCCTGGACCCTGAGGAGAGCACAACCTTGGAGGAGCTCGCACACCTTGTGCGCCTCTCTAAGTTCCAAGAGCGCAAGCGCGCAAACACTCGAATTCGCCTGCAGAGGAGCTTAGTAGCGACGGCTCTTTCTGCACGCTTGGTGAGATGCGGCGACATGGCTCATCTCAGCTTGGTTGACAGCTTCCGCGGCGACGACAAGAAGACCTTCGCCGCTCTGTACAACGCTGTCATTGACGTTCGGCGGAGCTGTGACGAGACCCGCAGATATGCCCTTTTGGAGCCGGATATGGAGTTGTTGCAGCCGCCGGCCTTGGTTTCCTCGGAGAGTTTGGAGACCCCGGCCGGCTCGGTCAACGGCGCTAGTCCCTCCCTGAGCGCCGGGACTCCGTTTCTGAATGAAATCCCCCCTTCTGCCCGGGAGACCTTCCTCAAGTTTCTTTCCCAGATCCGGACCAACCCTGATTATCTGGCCTCTCGGCTTGTGTCGCTGAACAGCGCCGAACTGGCGGCGCTTACTAACTTTCACCAGGTGCTCGAGCCCGTCGAGTCTGTTCTTCCCTACCACAGTGGCCGAATTGCCGGTCGCTCGGTCTCCAGCTCTGCCTCCCATGCCCATGCCGGTTCCTCTTACGGCGGAGCCGGGGGCCCAGGGCGCAAGGAGCGGACCGCGCTCGAACGATTGTTGTCCTTCCAGCGCCATGACGCCCTCTCGGCTCTCATCTACACCTGCTTTGCTAACTCTGCAGGCCCCGACAGCGCCGAAGACAAGCGCAGAACAGCGACCTGGGCCAATGCCTGTGCCCGCTTGATTTCGGCGGCCACGACAGGTGGTGAGCAAACGGTTATCACAGTCCTGAATGTTTGGGTATCCATGCGGGAGTGGGCCGGCAGGTCCAACATGGAATGGTATCTCATGAAGATCCTGGAGGACGGAGCCTTCCTCCTTGACCGTGCTGAGGACCAGTACGGGACCCGGTTCAACGTCTCGGATTGGACGCCCAAGGATCAAATCGCTGCTGAGGAGTTTTACACCCGTGCCGTGGACGAGCTTTTTGAGATCATCGATGACGAGGATGCCACCGGTATTCCAGAAGGCCTTCTGGAGCTTGGCAACGAGATCCTGAAGTATTTGGACAAGAAGCTTGTTGACGTGACACGTCGCTGGCTTGTCGCCAAGTATCTTTTCACCGTCTGGCTGCTCGGGGTTGTCATCCATCCGGAAGCCTACGGCATGATGGCCGAGTATCACATCACGGAGTACGGTCGGCAGAAGATTCTCAAAGCCGTGGCTATGCAGGCGCAAAAGTACGTCGTGGACAAGCTGCAGAGCCCGGGTCCTGTGTCGGTTCCGCCAAAAATCAAAGACCACATCGAAAACATCTGCAGCCGTTTCAAAGATGGTGGTAAATCCGCCAAGAAGCCTCGACTTTTGCCGGCGAGGTCCATCACATCTCTGAAGGAGACAGCAGAAGTTCATCCTTATCTTGTGATCAGCCCAGCTGACCTGGTAACTATGGTCAACGCACTATTTCCCGAACGGAGGCCGCAGTCGTCGCATTCCAGCGGCTTCCGGTCTGCGGCTCCCTCCGTTTCTGGCTTTTCTGCGATTTCCCAACCTATGTCAGTCAGAACGGTGCCCAGCAGCTTTGACAACATGTCCGTTCTCAGCACAAGCGCTGAGTCGTACGGCAGTGACGCGAGCACGTCGAAGGAGCAAACGCTTGTAGACGAGGGTAGCCCTCGCCGTTCCTCTCCTCCTCCCATCCCTGAGAATAGACCGAGTAACTATGAAGAGGACGGCTTTCAGCTGCGTATTGCAGTCCAGGAGATGGCGCAAGCCCTGGGCCAGGATGTCGTGAACGGCTCCTGCCACCCGTGCGCCGAGCGTTGGGCTGTCTTGTTCATCTCGGCCGACGGGAATCAGCTCTCCACCAACATGACGTATGATCCAGATGATTTAGAGGATGAGGAAACCTCGTCAAACGCCAGCGACACGGAGGACGAAGAGTCGGGACCCGAGAGGCCTGAGCTCGATAGGGACTATCACCAGTTGCGTGACTCCATCCTCAAGCTGGTCCAGGAATATGAGATTCCTCAGAGCGTGGATAGCGATGGATCTAAGCAGACATTTAGCAACCGAGCCTCGAGTCTGAAGAAATACCGTTCAAAAAACCGGATCATCACTATGGGCAGCCGGAACCCTTACCGACAGCGCGCTACCAGCTTTGGCAGCGCTGCAGGTAGCCCTCCACGCAGCGACAAGGGCAAAGGCTTGGACGACGACATTGACTCGCGGCCCCAGCTCATCACCATGCTGGAAGCTGCGGTCAGGCAGTCCCGGGCTCAGTCCGATTTCGTTTCGGCGCACCTATACTGGCGGACACTTCAACAGCTAAACGCCATCACTTCCGAATCACTGCGTCGTGATGGATTTGCTGCGCTGTTGAACATCTTTTCACGCGGTCCGCGTGATTCCATTCGTCGGTCTGCCGTTGCAATCGAGGAGTATGATGCCTGGTTGGTATGGTTGAAACAGAGTCAGGAGCGCGTTGACGGCCTCATTGACAACATGATGCGCCGCCTGAGGGCGTTGAGAGACAAGATGTGGTATGTGACTGATGTCCGGAACTCGGCCCCCTACGAAGACTCCCGCAACGTCGCTGCTGCGCTCAAAACCATGGGTACCCCTCGGCGCTGGGCTTCATTTCAACGCATCAAGAGCCACATGCAGAGAGGGCCGGCTTCGAATTACATCTACAAGACAGAGTCTCAGGTCCTGGAACTTCTGCACGCTGAAGAGGAGCAGGGCGGGCCGAATAAGCTGCGCGATGAGCAGGCAGAGAAGACGGCGCGCTGGTTGGATCAATACCAGATCGTCAACTTCTGCCAGGGAGAGGAACGCATCCATCGGTTCTGCCTGGAAGTGGACAGCTGCGTGAACAAGCTTATCGGCGAGAGCATCGTCGACGGGCCTGTTCTCTGGTCCAGCGAACTCTATGCTCGAGACCGTCGCTCTTTTGAGATGAGCAAAAACACACGCAGCCGCGACCAGGACAACCAATCGGTTTGGGACGATTCAATCAGCATTGTCAGCGATCCGTCGGATCAGAGGTTCGTCTCGGTCAGCCGGCCGGCATCCCTCAGCAGCCGAGGTTTCCGTCAGAACTGGAGCGACTCGAGCAGTCGCTTCAGCAGCTTTTCGCGTGCCCCTACCGTCGTCTCTGAGCCCCTCGACAGCCAGGAGTATTTCGGCGCGTCGTCTCCTATCCACCAAATTGATCCTAGCGCGACGTTCTGGTCGCCGTTCCAGCAACACCATCGAGCTACTTCCCCCAGCGCTGCTTCCAGGGCGCATTCGCCGACGACCAGCGTCACCAACCTCTCGGGCTCCTTCCACTTTGCCAGCCATCCGTCGCACTCTCAACAATCCATCGGCCGGTCTGGTGCCTCGACAACTTCGTCTACCGAGACGGTACACCAGCAGCGGATTTCCGACGAGAAAGCTCGCTTCCTTGCTGAGCTAAGGCAAACTCTGACCAGCCTTCTCCTCTCTGACCTTGGCAACCTCGTTTTTGCTCGCGGCTCGGAAACGGACGCGTGGTTTGAGGGCCTAGGCCAGGAGTGCATCGATCGCCGAGAGGCGATCCAACGCCGTGCGCGCAAAGCCATGGCGAAGGAAAAGCGCAAGTCTGTCAAGTCTGGGCTGAAGCAGAGGTTCCTCGAAAAGAACGGCAGCTTCGGTGACCTTCGGCTCAACGACGCCCACAGCGAGAAGGCGCTTTCGGATACGCAAAGCCTCGGAGCCCCGGAGGGTGCGGCAGGCAGTCATCATGGCAGTGTCCACGGAGGCAGCGTCTACGGCAACGAGAGCACGGCGACTACCGAGACGATCTCGGCCCGCAAGAAGGATGAGTCCAGGAAAGATTCTTTGCCAGACTTCCCATTTGCCAAGGCGTACCAGCGTTTGCTCAAGATGTTTTGCGTACATCCTAACCCTTATGCGAAGCTCAATGCCCTTTATGAGCTACAGCACTTGATCATCGCCTCGCTCAACACAGGGTCGCGGAGAGCCCGTCTGGCGTGGGCACGGTCGCGGTCTGAGCTGGGCTCTACCTCCTCTCACACCGAGGAGCATGGATCCGGATCGGGTGCACGCCTTCAATCTCTGGAGGAGCGCATCGATAATGTCAAGGAGCGGCGCTCGCACACTCTCCTTCAATCTCCTGCCGTTGGCTCCGGTCAGGCTGGACGACTGCCTGCGGGCGCTGGCAACGCCGAGACTCGCTCCATCGCCGGTTTCGCGGCGAACACTGAGGTCGTTCCAAACGTCCTTCAAGCCTTGTTCCGCGACCCGAACCTCCGACCCAAGACTCTGTTCCGTGACCTGCAATGGATATCTGCCTTTGTCCCATCGTCATACCTTGACACGGAGAAGGGCAAGGCCTTCTGGGATGCCGGCTTGGCAGCGCTGGTTCTCAAGCAAGAAGTCTGTCGCACCATGGTCGAAGTCGCGGACGAGATAGTCAAGAATTACACGCAGTCTCGCAGCGCCAGCAGCAACCGTCCTGGTACATCCCACTCTACCAGCACCATCTCGGCCCCTGACCCCCAACCAACAACCCTAACCCTGCCGACTCGCCTACCCCTCCTTCCCCTCCACCTTCCCCGCTGCCGCTGTCCAGCCGCTCCCTGGCCGACGCAGCCAAAATGTGGACCATCACCGCCAAAGAAGGCGACCCGACCGCGCAGCGCGAGCTCGCTATCTTCTACCTGTCCAACCCGGAGCTGGTCCCGCGCACGACGCTACCGCTCAGCAAGCCGCGCGACATCTTCAAGCGTCAACTCATGGAGAAGTACGGCGGCGGCAACAGCGGCGGGTCCGGGTCGAGACATCACCGCAGTAGCGACTATCACCATTTTGGCGCGGATGTAATGGGGCTGGGCGGTGCTGGCGGCGCTAGTGGTGAGGATAGCGGCTCGGGAGATATCAAGCGCGATCCGGCGCTGATGTGTATTGCGTTCCATTGGATGGAAGCGGCGGAGAAGGGAGGGGATGAGGTGGCGAGGAATTTTATGGCGCAGCAGTTAGGGGGTTTGCTGGGCTGAGCGTGGATGAGTTGTGAGAATGAGGAAGGGGTTCCGATGTTTTGGGTACTTTGTTTCTTTTTTTTTTTGGTTTTTTTTGGTTTGATTTTTTTGGCCTGATTTCTTGATTGATACCTTGTCTTCTTCTGAGCATTATCGTTTTATACCTCTCCTGTTGTTGATTCAGGTCATCCCATCATATCATCCTTGGCATACATACAACAACATTACACTGTATTTGGTCCTTGCTACGCGGACTCAGTTGCTGGACAGCTCTGCGGTTGGTCACTTTCCCTTTGCTCTGGTAAATTGTCCTTCGTTCTCTCTCGTCGGGCTCCGGTTGAGTCGGTAGGCATTGCATCATTTGCATCATGTCAGCTCTCTCCACCTAAGCTTAATTGCTCCCCTCTATTGTCATGGTTTGGCTTTCCCACATGATCATCTTGTTCAACACCGTAGGTGTGGGATTTTGGATAGATAGGATCTTGGCTTGGGTTTCACACCCTCCAACTGGTAGCATCTGGGTTCTTGATTTTTAGGATAGATACCTCCTTGCCAAGGGCATTCAATGGAGTTGCAATGATACCAGTTCTGTTGTCCGGAGCTGCCCTAATAATATTGCCTTAATGTCTGATGTTGCTGTTGCTCACAAGCCACAAACAACTTGTTTAACTCGGCTACCAGTAATCCGTACATTCTGAAACGGGTTATGATATACACAGGGAAATAGAGGGAAGCAGTGTTGGTGCAGTTCGAGAGGTCTGCCTGCATACTCAGCTCAATGCCATGGTGTCTGCTGGAGTTCCTCACTTGTGATCAAAAAGCTCTGATTGTGCATATATGTGCCACTGGCAAAAAGAATGCCCCAATATTGTGTTCGTTGAAATTTTTCAGAATATGGTAAGAAAAGAAAAGAAAAGAAAAGGAACAACTACATAGAAGATGATACATGTATGGAGGGGGGGTGTGTGTGATAGAGCTGGTGTTAACAGCTGAGCCGAATCACCATCACAAAATCTGAGAGCTTCTCCAAGTAATACCATTTATAGTGATGCATTCGCTGTCTGTAAAGTGCTACTGCACACAAAAGGCCCTCCTTGAGCCCCAGAGACACAATCATCATCATCATCATCATCATCATCATCATCATCATCCTCATCCTCAGCTCATTCTTCAATTCCTATCCTCTATCGTCACCTTTAACATACATTAATTACCTAAGAAATCTATCAGTCAGGTCCGGTCAGGTCAGGTCAGTAAAGTTCCTTCTCGCTATGCGGTCCACACGAGTATCCCATGCCATCACCCCTCTTCAAAACATCTTTCCAAGCAGCATCACTTGACATTACGTCTTTACAATAACCCATCACATATATGCAAGCACCCAAACAATAAAAACACCTCCCCACGTGCGCAAGTAGGCAGGGTAGGTCATACCACACTCACACCTCACCTCGCCCTCCCCTTTCCGGCACTACTCCTTCCATCCCACGCGCTGACATCTGTCTCAACCATCTCGATGGCCTCCAGATTTGGAAATCTCTTCTGGAAGTCCCGAATATAGTCATCCTTCTCCGCCTCCGTCATCTCCAGCAGCGCAGGGCCCTTCATACCGGGCAGATCCACAGCAAGCAACGCCTCAGTGGTGCTACCACTTGTGCCGGTGCTGATACCCAGTCCCTGGTTTGACCCAGTGCTCCTCAGCTTCCCGGGCATAGCTGGCAGGGAGAGGTGTTTGCCGGGAGAAGGGGGTCTGATGCCCGCACCAGCACCACCTGCCCCGCCGGTAGCAGAGGTGATGAGATGCGTCGGCTTCGGAGGGGCGACGGGGCGCACGGTACTACGGCCTGTGGACGAGGGCTCTATGGAAGATGAGGTAGGCGGGCGAGGGACCGTGCTGCTGGAGCCAGTGATCTGGGCGGCGGCGATGGACGCAGAGACAGGCTTGCGTGGGACAGTCGGACGGCCGTCACTTGCGGCCGACGTCTGGGGACGAGTAGGAGAGCCGGAGGTTGACTGAGCAGTAGCCGCAGACGCTGCATGGGCGGCATCGCTGTAGTGACCATAGCCCTGCGCGGTCCGCGGGACGGTCGTCGAAGAACGCGTGCTCTCTTCCAGCAGGCTCTGGACTTTGTTTTGGATCGAAACAGCGCGAGAAACACCGCCGATGCTCTTGGGCAGCGGGGTCGGGTTGCTCGTCCCGTCAGTCCTTTGGGCCACACGGGCGCGATATTCGGCCTGAGCAGCGGCAACGCGGGCTTCTTCCTGTGCCAGCAGACGGGCCTCGTGCTCGCGACGCTGTTCGGGGGTCATATCTTCCCAGTCGGGACTACGACGGCCATCGCTGCCATCATCGATCGACGGCTCTGATCCGGGAATCGGGGTGAGCTCGCGGCGCTCCAGCTCTTTTAGAGGAGACGGCGCGCGGGCAGGCTGTGACGAGGAACTGCTCTCAAAGCGCTTGAACGCCTCGCTGAACTTGCCAGAGAGGATAGCCTTGGTCCCCCCAGCAAGGGACGACAGGCTGCTGCGCTTAAGGTGCTTGGAGGTACGATCCTTTTTCTTATCCGGTTCCTCCAGTTTGCGCAAGAATTCGACGTTCGACTCGATGGTCGTCTCCTGCTCCGCTGGCGACGGCGGCGAGCTCCTTTCCAGGGAGCGCCTCTCGAGCGAATGGCGAGGGGATGGCAGAGCAGGAGACCTAGATCTCGCTTCCTGCTCTCGCAAGAAGTCGAGATTAGACTCCAGGTGCGTGCTGACGGGCCTTGGCTTGGCAGCAAGTCGAGACATCGGTCTCCCAACGTCCACATTTTCCAGGTTCGGGCGACCGCCTTCCAATGATGGCCGCGACGAAGACGGATGGCGATCATGAGACGGTTGCCGCGCGAGACTCGAGTAAGAGGGAGCTCTACTCGCCGTGCGGGACATTGGCGAATCGACGCCAAGAAGCGAGGAGTTATGGCCCGTCGGGGACTTCGGTAAGCTTGCTGCACGATGACGTTCAGTTGACGGGACACGAGTAGTAGTAGATGGGAATGGCGGAGCTTGCTCCAGGGTCGGAGATGTCATCGTACCGGTGGACACCATGATCGGCTTAGGCTTCGGGGCTTCTGCCTGTGCCATGGCTGCCTGCGCCTGGTTTGAAATAGCCTGGAGCTCGGGAGTGCTCTGAATGATGGCCGAGGCGCGGCTGATCTCTGGCTGCCTAGGCGGCGATGAGACGAGCGACGTGTCGAGCGGCGGCGGCTTGTACATGCTTGTTCGCTTCATCTCGACTGACTGTCTGTTGCTCACCGGAGCCGGCGCAAGCGCAGGGGGGAGGACGACAGGTTTGATTTGGAAAGCCTCATCAGCCAGTCTCTCCACAACTCTCTGCTGGAGATGCGGCTGAGGTTGCGGTGGCAGCGGCTGCTGTGGGAGCGAAGGAGATGGGAAATTGCTGCTATCAAAATTGAACTTCTGCCCTCTGTCATGAAGCAAAGTGAACTCATCAAGTGTGGGAAACCTGGACGAGAGCTCGTCTGCGCCTGGTAATGGCAAAGTTTTCCCATCGAGCGCAGCAAAGGGATCGCCGTTTGTGACTTTCGGAGGGGATGCGGTTGGCCGACTCGCTGGCTGAGGGGCGGGCACGCGGCCGCGCCTCATGCGCTCGACCTCGGGAATGACTTGTTGGGGTGTGGGCTGAGGAGAGAAGACAGCGCCAACAACTGGTGGGGATCGGGGTCGGGAAGAGGCTTCTGGGTTTGCGGTGCGACATCTACCTGTGTCCTGCCAGAGTATATCTAGAAAAGGAGTTAGCCCGAGGTTTCGCATCATGGCTAGAGTTTCGCACTCACATCTTTGATAGGCGGCTCTCGACCCTGCATGGCACAAGCCTCGCGGAGCACCTGATAAATGTTAGGCCTTGCCTGGGGGTTCTCCTGGAGCATCCAAGCTGGAGACGGTCAGCATCCAAAGCCCCGAAACGAGCAAAATTTACTCGAGAGCATACCAATCAGCCCGCGTAATCTATCGGAAAAGACAGGATAGGAGGGGAACTTGTAGCTAGCATTGAGGATAGCCAGCGTACCCTGTTCCTCGAACGGAGTGGTGTAGTAGCACAGCTTGTAAAGCAGGACGCCAAGAGCCCAGATGTCAGACTTCTCGTCAATCGGAAGCTTGCGGTAAACATCGACCATCTCGGGACTGCGGTATTGCATGGTAGTATGCTTCTGGACATCCTCGTCGATGGCACGGCACTCGGCGGCGGTGGTCGGCGCGGGACGAGGGGGGGCGGCAGAGCCAAAGTCGCACAGCTTGAAGCGGCGGGTGTTCCCAACAAGCGTGATCAGGACGTTCTCAACCTTGAGATCACGATGTAAGAGCGGTGGGCGCAGGTAGTGCATGCAAGCAACGCCCTCGGCAACGTCAGCGAAGATGGTCAGGATCTCGGGCTCAGTTAGGCGGTGTTGCAGACGGGTGTTCATGAAGTCGATCAAGCCGCCGCCGTTGCAATACTCCATCAGCAGGAAGACCTCGTATCCGCCGCCACGCAGCTCAGAGGCATGCGAGTCGATGTACGTCACAATGGCGCGGTGACCCTTCAGGCGCTTCATGGTTTCGACCTCGGTCCGCATGCCTCGCAGCGACTCCTTGTCAGGCACAGCGACGCGCTTGAGCACCGCCAGATCGGTGCCGTTGATCGGGGCTGGCAGCTTGACCAGGTAGACGTGTGCGAAGCCGCCCTCGGAAAGGTACTTCTGGACGACGACGCGGTGATTGCCGACCTGGATCTTCGTGCCGGGCGCAAAGGTGCCGGGCGGGGGCACGGGGCCGCCGTGGCCGGGCATTGCTGCGTGCGGGACTGCTGCCGGCGCCGCTGCTGCCATGGGATGTGCTGCGTATGCCGCTGCTGCAGCGGCATGATGGTGGCTGGCAGGTCGAGGAGCCGCCTGGCCGTACGAAGCCATGGAGCCTTATGTGTTGGAGGGCTGTTGGAGGGCTGTTGGAGGATAGGAGGGCGGGATGGCGTTCGTCGAGGCGAGCGAGGTCTTGGATGCTCAGGAAGGCGGTCGGGCAAGGGAGCCGCAAGGCTGCGGATAGTGCCGTCTCGAGTCTCGCGTTGTCGTGGTGTCTCGAGGAATGGCAGAGAGGACGGCGGGCGTTGCGCCAGCAATGGCAGCAATCCAGATGGCGGTCGGGGGCTTCGCGAGCGGCCGAAGAATGGATAGAGCACCTCAGACCTCACTCAGGGCATCGAAAGAAAGGGGAGGTCGGTGTGAGCAATGCGTGTTCTAGGCGGCGGGAGCGCAAGGCATGGCCGGTGGTGTCGTCCAGCGATGGGAGCGGTGGTAGATGTGGGATAAAAGCAAAAGGGATGCTGGAAGGGACCAAGCAAGACAGCAACCGAACCTGCAAATACCAAATCCAGGGGCCAAGGAGAGAGGACGGAGGTTGAAGCGGACTTTCTGAGTGGAAGTCGCATGCCAACCTCGACTTTCCGTGTCACAGGCACTGGCTCTCTGCCACCGGGCGCAAGTGGCCGCTGGCTGCTTGGGGGCCCAGGGGCCCTGGGTCCCCTGGGATACTCTCTCACCACCCAAACACCTGAATGGACAACCTGCCTGGGCGAGTCAGGTGGGACCAGCTGGCACCGTCGAGGCGGGGTGTCAATGACAGCAAAAGCCAAGATGCCAAGACGCCAAGATCCAGGCCCAGGCTTCGAGGGCCCAGGATGCTGGTGGGTCCAGGACGGGCCCATAACGTCAACCTCCAGGCGCCGACAATTTGCAATTTGCAACGATCAAAAGCGCATCATTTGCCAGGTCCTAAGTCCGAGATTGAAGGATATTGTGTTCTGGTTGGCAATTATGCTGGCCCAGGACTCTACTTATCCATGTTCATTGCGTTACGTGGCTCAATCAGATTGATCCGGTGCCTGACTAGGGCACTCAACATCGTGGGGTTTGTATTTTTTTTTTATTGGCGACTACGCTCGAAATCGAAATCAAGGTAAAGAGAGTTCGATGGGTAAAGGCCATTATCTCAGTTTGTTTAGTCCGGATAAACCTGTATATTGGATTATAGTTCCAAATACAAGGAGAAAATATCACCAAATTGACGTAGGTTTTATTACGTGGAACAGAGAAAGATTCAGCTTCCCCACCCATATACATGGGAAAATCTCCCAAACCACCATAAGCAATGTCTTGAAGGACGAGGCACCGCCACAATGAAGTTAACTCTTCATTACACAAACTCCAACCATGTCTCACTGTCTACTCAAACTACCAATCTTCACTTCCCCTTTCCTCTGGGCCCCCGTCAGGGGCAACGGCGCAAACGCAAACCCCTCTAACTCTTCGGGGACCGTAGGTACCTCTAGCACAGGGGTCAATCCCTTTTCATACATCACCAACCACACTGCGTCTGCGTTAACAGCCTCCAGCGCCTCACGGAGCTCCGGTCTCTGCGGCAGCACATCGACAACCAGAACAAGGATATCATCGAACATGTTGTCGTCCAGCCGCACATGTCCGACCAAGGCAGTCAGGAAGTTCAGCACGGCATCCCACTGGACTGAAGCCAGAGAGTACTTCCCTAGGCTGCCACTAGGCGTCGACTTGACGAGCTTTCCTTCGCTATCACCGTTCCCATTACCAGTAGGGATCATGATATCCCATGTCACCCCAGACAGCACATTTCCCTTCTTGACCCCAGGGTTCTTTTCCTTCATCCTTGTTCCCATAGCTGCGGTCTTCACGTCCTCAATCCATGCCTTCAGACCCTGCTTGCCAGACCACTCACTCTTGAACCTGGTCGACATGAAATCTCCTGCTGCTCTGCACAGTCCAGCTAGAGCATCACAAGCCGCGACGACGACATACGGCTCGGAATCCCGGAGTCGCGGAATCACTACAGGCCAAACAGCATGCACAAGTGGCAGGAAGGAATCTTCATCTGGTGCAAGGGCTGAACTGGCTGTTTTGATGAGGGACAAAAGTGAGCGACGGAGGGTAGGTGTCGGCGCGGTAAGGTAGTGTTGTGTAAGGGACAGGATTCGCGAAAGGATAGAGTATGTGGGAGTTGGCTGCTTTTCTTCCTCGCGGGTGGCGACCGTCTTGTCCTGGCTTTCCTCTTCGTCTTCCTTATCCTCATCCATTGCATCGTCATCCTTGGGCTGGGACGCTTTAGCAAGCTTGTCGAGTAGTTCTCCAGCCGTATTGGCCTCCTTCTCCTTGCCCTTGTCTTTTTCCTTGCCCCATGGTTCTTGTGGGTGAGGAACTCTCTCTCTGTGGAGCTCTTCCTCTTCTTTCTTCGCTCTCTCAGCTCGTTCGATACGCTTCTGCAATGTTTCCAAGATGCCAGGAACACCCAACGACAATGGCGGTTTCTTCCGATGGTCGACAGTCTTTGTGTTTTCCAGCAGCAAAGCGTTGGACTTAGCACCTTGCATGACCACCTCGACCAGTACCGAGAAGAGGCTCTCCACAAAGGCCGGGTAGCCGTGGTAGTTGTCGAGGGCAGCGAAGATAGACTGTACAACATCGTCCAGATAAGGTATCAGCCGTGGACCTGTCAACCGGATCACCATGGTAAGCACCTTGGTCGACGCCGGTGTGATGTCGAAGCTGTTCAGACGCAGGGAGATCGAATTAACCATGTAGTCGGCATTATCTACAATTAAGTCGGATACGCTGCTGTACCCGCATGAAGCGGCCACTGAGTTTAATGTCACGATAGCGTGTCGGCGAAGTTGCGGGACAGGCGAGCCGAGGAATGTGGTAATAGGGTAAAGGACATCGATAAGCTCTGGCCGAAAGTCAGTTTTTAGCCGGGAAGCAGCAAATGCTGCCACCTCGAGGGAGATTGCCTCGAGCCTCCAGTCTGCTTCAACCGAGTCCGAATGGGCCGCAAGTACGGATACCGAGAAGTCGTAGAGCTCACGGAACGCTTCTTCCCGGTAGCCAGTCTCCCCAAACGAAGAGAAGTCGAACATCTCATCGAGCTCTGAAGTTTGGGAGTATGCCGCCTTGAGCAATTGAAAAGCCAGCCAGTATGACGCAACCCGATCAACGCCCTCGCCATCCCTGACATAGCCCAACATAGATATAGCGAGCTTCACCTGCTGAGTCGGTGAGCCGATCTTAGAGATGAGGGAAGCAATCTCTTCTCTTGTCTGCTTCTCAGCCTCTGACTCGAGGAGGATGGGAGAGTAAGCAGAGAGCTCCATCCCAGATTTCGCCAGAACCAAGCCGTCGGAGACATCACCAATGTCGTCCACGATTTTCGGCTGTTTGGAACCCTTCATCAGGGTGACGATACTGTCCCTAAGGGAATCACTAAGGGCGTCCTCCAGTGTAGAAGAATCCATCTGCAGAGCTGCTGCCATTTTGCTGCCCCGTAATATGCTCCTGGCAGCTAGTTGCTTGACCCGTTCATCACTGGACTGCATGACCCGCGGTAGACCGGTGATCCAATTGTAAAGCGCTGACTTGATACTATCACCCAACTCCGGATAGACGCAAGCCAGGTCCTTGAGCCCAGTCTCGAGTGGTGATTTTGTTGTCTCCTCATCCTCCAGCATCAGGGCTGTTTCCACAAGGATGGATTGGCAGTCCACAAGTGACGCATGACACTCATCAAGGAGGGCAATACACAGCTTGTGAAGGCCAGACTGAACATCTTCAGACTCGTGGCCGCGAAGTTTGAGCACGGCTGACAGTGCGATTTTGACTTGTCCCACCGTGGCCTTGAGCCATGCGGGAGTTAGTTCTTTCTGATTGGATTTGGACTCGGCTGGCTTACTCTCGTTTGCCCGCTCATTCTCCAGCTGTTTGAGGAGTGTTCTCACATGGAGGTCTCCTAGCACACGGATAAGAACCAGCTTAAGCACCTCCAAACACTTCAGAAGCACTCGCTTCTGATACTGGTTTGCTCGTGGAGGTGCCAGAACCTTAGTCAAGGCAGAGACAGTGCCGGGAAAGAACTGAGCAAGTAGGCTGATTTCCTTGATAGTGCTGTAAACCTCATAGATGCATTGCACTGCCTCCATTTGGATGGCTGAAATTGTTAACTCAGTTAGAGCATCCATCATGACGGTGACACTGTGTCCAAGTTCTCGGGCTGCTTGTCCTTTTTCTCCATCTTTCAAATGTGCGGGTGTCGTGATACGGATCAATGCTGCCAAGGTACGAAAACCCTCGACATACGTTTCCTCGGGTATCTCCTGCTGCCGTGGCTGGCCAGGAACACCGCCGATAGTAAACGACAGAAAGACCAGGAGCTGATGGTACAGCTGGGGAGAGGCCTTAGCTTTCCATCCATGCTGGATGAGCTCCCTCAGCAGGCGAATAACCGATTCTGTGACACGCATGGGATAACGATCCCTGTCGCGCAATATGTGCGACACTGGGAAGAAGACATAGTCGGCCAGCCTGTCGTCTAAGATGGTGGCATCCCGGTTGGCTTGGACGGTCCAAAGGTTGATGAGGACACCCAATAGCCGAAGGGCCTCGGGGGCGTCGACCGCCTTGTCCTTTGGCCGTAGTGCCAATTGGCTAAGAGGAACGCATACCTTCTTCAGCTATAGAGAAAGCACGTCAGGTTAGCCAAAATGGATGACGAATTCAAAGGTTCGGGCAAGGCTGTGGCTCAAAGAATTACCAACCAACCTGCTGAAAGAATTCAGTCCGTGAACTAAGGGGTGAGTCTGTCGCCATGATGCTGGAATGTGCGCATCATCAGCGCATCTTAGCAGATAATAAATCCCTAATCTTCTTTTGAAAACTCCGAGAGCTGGGGAGAAGTCAGATGAGGATTACTGGGTGGTTGCCATGTGAAAGTACGAGTCTCCAAGTTGTGGTGGGATGAGATGGAAGGTTCGCGTAAGGCTTGTATTGAAGCCGTAACTTACGCGCCCCCCCCCCCCCGCCTTGTTGCTGAGCAAAGGGTTAGGGTTGGCACAACATGTTAGCTTATCGATGCCAGTTCTGGCTAGTGCGTTACCGGGGTTTCCAACTGTATGCTTGTGTTTCGACCAAAGCTCAGGCAACTTCTCACCTTTCAACCCGTGAACTATCGATCGTACAAGCATCTGCTTCCATATATTGTTCTATCGCCGTCCTTGTTGAACAATGCCACCAGCGAAAAAGAGAAAAACTGAGGCATCTCAGGAGCCTCGGCCAGCTTCTGAACAGCAAGAGCAAAACGGAGCGCAGGAAGAACAGCCAACTGTCCAGGATTCGACACCCGAGGTCGAGAGCAGAAGCGACGACAAAAAAGTCAGTCAATCACCAACCCTAGCAACCGATCCATCAGACGACACATCAGAACAACCTAGCGAGTCTTCTACGAAAAATGCGGCTCTGACGGCTGCGCAGGAGCGGCTGGCCCGCTTCCGGGCGCTGCAGGCGCGCGCCAAAGAGTCGTCACAACAGAATCTCAAGGAGGCCACGAAGGAGTCGCAACGACTCGCGACTGACCCGAGCCAGCTAACTGCGCTCAGTCGAAAGCATGCAATTGCAGCACATAAGCTGTTGAAGGCAGAGATTGAGGACGCTGGCGGCGACTTCGAGCGCAAGCGGGCATGGGACTGGACGGTAGAGGAGGCTGAGCGTTGGGACAAGCGGATGAAGAAGAAGGAGGCGCACCGCGACGACACGGCCTTCCGGGATTATGCGCGCGAGGCGGAGAAGACGTACAAACGCCAGATTCGGAATATGGGCGCGCCAGACCTGGAAAAGTATATGCGTGAAAAGCTGTCGGCTATCGAGAAAGCTGCTGCTGCCGGCACCCTTGACATAATCGAGACTGAGGATGGTGAAATGATTGCTGTTGACAAAGATGGGACCTTCTTCAGCACTGCCAACGCGACTGACTTTGCTCAACATAAGCCTGACAAGGCCGCCGTCGATCGGTTGGTCGCTGACTTGCGCAAGGCCGAGGAAGCGTCGCTCAAGCGCCGTCGTGAGAAGTTGGCCAAGAGTGGAGAGGAGCACGGTGATGTCACGTACATCAACGAGAAGAACAAGCAGTTCAACGCGAAGCTTGCTCGGTTCTACAACAAGTACACGGCCGAGATCCGGGACAGCTTCGAGCGGGGTACCATGGTCTAGACTGTCTAGCTTGGGTTTTGGGGTTGCGTTTCGGGAGATCATATCCTGTTTTTTTTTCTTCGTCATCTTAATAATGGGTCTGCGAACTGGAGTTTTGGGCTAAGTATTTTAGTATTGTACATTCGTCGGGCCCATACATACCTCATTCTATGTGAACGCTGGGTACACCTAAAGTCATCACCATATTCACACATAATGATACATCCCACATCAAAGCATGCTCTTCCTCCATGCCCTCTCCGCCAACACTTCCAGCTTCGGCACCTCCACCAACCCACTCACACTCTCATCTTCCAACGCCTCAACAACTGCATCGGCCACAGTATCTACCTTCAGAGGCTTCGTGCCTGCTGCCCCAAGGAACCCGCTCAGGACCCCTCCTGTCAATCCATTGAATGCCGACCCAGCTGCCATCATCATAGCTAGCGGGATAGTCACTGTCCGCGAGCTGTCATACATAAACGGCGGCCGGAAGAAGACACCTCTCATCTCAGGAAACTCGCGAGCTACAACGGCCTCTGCCTCGCGCTTGGTGGTGATATACCGGCTCGGCAGCACCGGCGCCCCTCCTGCCGCTGAAACAAACCCAAACACGCTCACACCATGCCTGGCAGCCTCCTTGGCTAGCAAGATGGCGCTGTCACGGTTCATCAACTCATACGTAAGCTGGCTAGCATTCTTTGGCGGATCAACAACTGGTTCAGAGGTGTGCTCAGCGCGCATGCGGTCCAGCGGGTTGGGGCAGTTGGCGCCCTTGGCGCTGCTGAAGGCCTTCATCAAGCCAGTGATGGGCGACTCTCGTCCAGAGATGACACCCTTGTAGTCGGCTTCGAGGAGTATGCCTAGGCTGTGTACGACATAGTCTGCACCGGAGAGCAGGGAGGTCCATTGGGCAGGCTGGAAGATGTCGGCGTGTTCCCAAGCTACTTTATGAGACCAGTCAGGGGGTGTGTTGGTCCCGAGGACCGAAGACCAGTGGGGGGCGCCGGAGCGGCTGTTTTTTTTTGGGGGGGGAGGGGGTGTTAGTGATGTTTATGTGCCAATGAATATGACATGAACTGTGAGACTGAAGCGTACCTGACTGAGGTCACGTCCCAATTGCGAGCGACGGCAGCGCGGCATATCCTCGACCCGAGGAAGCCATTGCCGCCGAAGACAACAATGCGCTTCGTGGCAGACATTGTGTACTTCCCGTTGAGCCCACTTGATGGCCTCACTTGGGTGTATGAGCTGTTAGTAAGCCCAACACTTGGTTGAAAGCTGCGATGTGAAAGCCAGACACTCTCGACAATGTTTGATCCTGATCCCAACAAGGACCAATTTTTGCATCAAGAAACGTATCTATGTCCCCGTGCCTATGAGATCTCGGCCTCTGCGAGAGGTGTCGAGCTTGTCGGTTGCTTCCGGAGCTTTAGAGCTCACCCCTCCATCACTGGATCCTCCAACCTTGAAATCAGTCGACCCGTGAAAGTTCCGACAGGGATACGGTAACAGGGCCTGCACAGACTTGGCTCTCTGCCAACAGCCCCACTGCGGACCCTCTTAGCATCAAAATTGGTCCTGCGATTGGCAGGCTTCTGACCTACACTGCGAAGCTGAGCGCCGTTGCTTTGAATGTTTCTTCGCCGCGACTGGACGCGACAACTTCAGCGACTGTCAACCCCAATTCCATCCCACAGCGATCTTCTACCTCTCGTCCGCCATCCCAATCATGGCGCCGCCGACGGGCAAGCGCGTCAAGGGCGTGCAGATCTTCCGACCCTTCGTCTACGGCACCACCGCGCAGCCCTTTGACGAAAAGACCAACCCCAAGCCGCCAGGCATCCCCGACGACCACACCCATTCCTGGACTGTCTTCGTCAAAGGCATCGATGATGTCGACATCACCTACTGGCTACGCCGCGTGCAGTTCAAGCTTCACGAGTCTATCCCCAACCACGTGCGGAGTATGTCCCCTTTCCACCCAATCCCAACCCCGAACCAGCCGCTAACACGCCCCAGTGATCGAAGGCGAAAAAGGCAAGCCCTTCCAAATCCACGAGACAGGCTGGGGTGAGTTCGAAATCGCCATCAAGCTATACTATGTCCCCGAATCTGCCGAAAAACCCCAGACCCTCTATCACCACCTACGCCTGCATCCATACGGCCGTACGGAAGCCGAGAAGGAAGCCATGCGGTTAAACGGCAATCAAGTCATCTCGTGGGCGTACGAAGAGCAGATCTTCAACGAGCCCTACGAACCATTCTACGAGATACTCACTTCAGGCGCGATCCCGCCGTCTATTCCCGCCAGCGCGCTGAAAGCAGCTAGTAGTCCTAGTGCCAGCAGCGGGTTCAGTTTCCAAGGGAAGTCGCAAAAGGAGATTCGGGATCGTGAGCGCGAACTCGGGTTTGCGCCGCGCACTGAGGGCGGGGTGTTGGAGCGTAGTGCAATGATTCCGTTAACAAATCGGCCCGGGCAACCCTTTAGTCGGGAAACCGAGCAGCTGGAGATTAAAAAGCTGAAGGAGGCTGCGGTCAAGGTGGAGGAGATGATGCGAAAGTTGAAGGAGGAAGTACAGAAGAAGGAGAAGTTGTTGAAGGAGCTTAAGGAGGAGAATGCTAAGGGGTAATTGGTCGGGATCTGGGAAAGGGCGTTAGATGGGAGGTTCATGTTCTGTTTTCCCGAGGGTCCCATTTTTGGCGTTGATTTGGGTGTAAAAGATACAGAATTATGTGCATACCGAAAGATACCAGCCTGGTCGGCGGCAGGTGTATGGGCGTTATGGTACGGTTTTTAATTCTTGTTTGAAAAGGGGACATGGCAGGCCCGAGAAATGGCAAGTCATCATGTCTCATATGACCAAGAAAAATTAGATGAAGATGAGTATCACAAAAATAATAAATTAGGCCGGATCCAGTTTTGGCTTTTGGCGTCTGTACCCATCATCAGACACGCTCTGAAACGACGAAAAAGTGATACCAATATTGTCAATTGATATAAATCTCATAAGAGACGGAACTATGCCCAGAGTCCCCGTCCATAGGCAAGACCCGTTGCCACCGGAAAAATTTCATAGGTTGTTGATTTGTCGCCTTCCAGGCGATCAATCTACCAATCTCTATTCTGACTTTTTTTTGTCTCGCTCTCACACTTATCCCACACTTGGTATAGGAACCGCTCAGAATAACAAAAGGCCTCCCGAAAGAAAAGAAGATACATTATCGGGATGGACAGACAAAGGAAATCGATAGGTAATACAGCTGTAAGGAGCGGGCAGGTAGGGTGGACAGGCAAATCATAAAGCCTGTTCCTGCAGGTCAGAAAAGCAGTTTCGCAGAGGCTCGGTCTGCTTGGTTCTCAAAAAAAAAAATAACCAACGCTTTCTTCTTTCCTTCCTTTCCTTTCCTCTCTAAAACCCGAAATGAAGAAATAGACCGAAAATAAAAGACGAGACCTGGATACCCCCAACCCAACAACCCCCTTTTTATTTGAAGTCCTCTAACTCCCAACCAAAAAGCCAACCCAAGAATTCCATTTTTAAAGGACACAGAGATAAAAGGAAATAATCCAGGCCGCGCCATCAAGCCGAAGGGATGAATGATTAAAATCACCACTCACCCGCCCAAACCTAACAGACGAATCGGACCGACATAGGAAAATTTCAAGGACAGACGACACGACGCGATGAGATTGGATAAGCAGAGACTTGTGCCGTAGCGCAGCTACGCACCAATCAAGCAGTCAACCAGCTGCCAAACCCCTCCGAAGAACCGTCAGCCCTCAGCGCGACTCATCATACGCCGGCGGGGGGACATCATCGTCCCAGAACGACGGCCCATGCAACCCGCCGCGCGCTTTCTCATCGTACACGCGCCGTGCAATCTCGCCCGCCATCTTCATGATCCAGGCTTGCTCGAGGATCACAGAAGAGGTATCGGACATAGACAGCGGCCTGCCACTGGAGTTGACGCCGTTGACAGGGCTGTTGAACGGCGTGAAGGGGCTTGCCCTGCGCCAATCCGGGAGGGGCGAAATGTTGGCGCTGTTCTTGGAGGCAGCTTCCGCGGCTTTGGCGGCAGCAGCCTCGGCAGCGGCTTCGGCTTCTTTAGATTGCACAGGGGTCGAAACTTGCTGTTGCGTGGTTTGAGGTTTGGTCGGTGATTGCGGGTGCTGTTGCCGGGTCGGGAGAGTGGTCTCGTTGATGGCAGTGGCGTCTTGTCTCCGAGCGTCGGACGGCCGCCTGAAGCGGACATTGCGGGATGCCACAGCAGCGGCGGGCTCCTCCTCGGGAGGTTCAAGGGTAGGATGGGGTATGACTGGCTCTGACAAGGGCGCAGTTAATGAGGCTGTTTCTGAGGCCTCGGAGCCTGCTTCACTCTTTGTCTCCGGCTTGCGGCGCAGGTTGACGACGCGGGTCTTCTTTTTCCGGCCAGGCTTGTTGTGCCGGCCCGAGCCGAGGGAAAGACCAGCGGTAGCGGATGCCAGACTGGCTATAGATGGCCGTGTTGAGGCAACGTCTTGGTCCTGGCTGCCACTGTCCGAGAAAGTGTAGGTATGGGTTTTTCCACTGTAAGAGGAGGTCCTGACAAGATGTGGTGATGAGACTGGCGGTGTTATAGAAGCATCGACCTTGTCAGATGACCCAGCCCATGCCCGGAACATAACATCAGACACAGATGGAGTAGACAATGCAGAGGTGACTTGAGCATTCATCAAGTCAGACAGTCGCTGCAGGTTCTTTTGTGAGAATAATGACTGAGCCTCAGGCCCCCCATCTAGTGAGAGCTCCGAGATGGCAGAGGGATCAACCAGACGGCCATTAGCGTCTACAGGATCCAAAGGAGGCGTTGCTAATGGGTTAACGCCAACCTCACCGCCTTCCCGGGGCTCAGTCTCAGCATTGGCAACCTGATCGGGGCACCATAACTGAAGTGAGAGGCGATGAATAATCGCAGGTAACTCGTCCATCATCAGGGTGCGCAGCTTGGCCTCGATGGTCCGTTGCAGGTAGTCGCGGACGAACTGGATAGAGTCGAAGGTCGAAGAAACTTTGAGTGATTCGAGAGGGTCATTTCGGAATACTAGAGTGAGGCCCTTCTGCTTGGAGAAAACGAGGATGATGAAAGCCGAGAGCTTGATTTCGGAGAGCGTGATTTGAAGGGGTATGGTGAGGCTTGATGCGGCGGCCAACGGCTGAGGCGACGTGAAGGTAGGCTTGGCAGAAAGGTATGTGTTCAACGGATTTGCCTGAACGCCGATATTAGTTGCGTGCTATAAACCTCTGGAGTATAGCGCGACTTTGATGCATTGGCGCGGATGCGAACCCTGGTCCGGCATCTGAGATAAATTTGAAAATCAATGCGCCAAGTCCTATTGGTCGCAGAAGCTACTTGCTTCCAGAACTGTCGGCGTGTCGGTGAAGCCCAAGAAGCGAGGTGAAGGGAATGCAGAATGCAGAGCTTGAATCCCCATTGGAGCTTCTGAGTGTGTGAAGTGGGCATTGTCGAGAGGGGTTGAGTCGAAAAAAAAAAAAGGCTCGACTGTAGATAGCCGAGGGAGTTGGCAAACCCCTTTGATAAGCGCAGAAATAGTGAGTGGGAAGGGGCTAGAGATGCAGAAAGTGCAGGGCTGACAAGAGAAATGCTTGAAATTGAGAAAATAAAAGCGAAAAGCGTGCAGAGAAACAAGCTGGAAGGATTGATAGTGCAAAACCAGTATTTTTGCTGTAAATAACATCCAATATAAAAACCAACGTACCTGCACCCTCGTTTTTAGCGTCAAAAAGGCATCGCCCGAGTAGCACATCTTGAAAATCCCCCGAAAACGGTCCTCAGCCAAGTCGCCAATCTCGAGAATTTCTAAATCCGGCGGTACCGAACCGAGGTTGAACTCGGTGACGATGATATCGTCGACGATGATGGGCGGCTTGGGCGTCTTGTTCAGGGCCGTCGTCAAGAGGTCGCGGGTGCGCTCATAGAAACGAGCGTCGGCCGTTAGCGGCGACCAGTTGAAGTTGAAGGCCATGTTGAAACGGCGCCCAGAGGTCCAACTGCTGCTACCACATCTGATGCATCGCAGCCAGAGAAGAGGATAGCCCTGGGATATGGGGCGTCACGAGTCACGGAGGGGCGAACGGGATCGGACCTGGCGTTGAAGACCGGGTTCGGGGAGGGCAGGATCGTGCCGATCAACGAGTTGAGATGTATGGATGTCGCGTGAGCGTTCAGCACGAAGAGTTGCGGCCGTCAGGGCAGGCGCTGGGTCGCGCAGCGTCGTCGGCAGCAGCAAAGATGAAATCGTGGACTCGGGGAATTATTCGTCGACAATTGTCGCGCGTGCCCCCGTGGTCAAGAGCTGGAGAGGCTAGAGGGCGGAGGGATGACGCTATCTGACGATGGATGGATGGCGGGCGGACAGTTGATTTTCAGGTTTCGGATGGGATGGGAGCACTCGCAAATTTTTGGCCCTAGCTCCCCCCCAGATGGGCCGTGGGCCAGCCCTGAAGCGCTGCGAGTGGACGGGATTGGGTCTCCCCGGCTGTGGCTTGCCGGGCTCCTGAACTCCCCGCTAGCGTTTCCGGCGCTGCATTGCGGGCATCGCGTGGATGGACCTCAATGGACTGCCCACGGCCTGGACCTCATCCCACCCAACCTGTCTTTCCTGCCAACGCGATCACACATTTGGACGCATTCGCTCGCCCGCATATTCTCCCACCGTTCGCTCACATATCACTGGCCAGCAGACCGTGGCAGTGGGCTGACCAAGTGCTTGCAGCGCGTGTCGCTTTTCCCCCCGGTCCCAAGCGGATCCCTGGGCAGGACTGCATCTCGGATCTCAGCACGGGGCCTTGTTTCCAGGCATTTCATGCATTCCACTCTGTAACAATGTAACGTTAATAGCCCGATGGCCAGTGAGGGGGAGCTCGACGTTGCTTTGTATCCTGAGTCATCATCGCCAATCTTGCTGTCTGATCCTTCAACGAGATCTTATCTCCTGCAGCTATATGTATAGCACCCAGAGTTATGTCTCTATTGTTTCTATGCTAAAACATCGGTATCTCCGCAGTGAAACGCCAGACGCGCCGAACCAGTAAGAAGCAAGAAGCAGACAGAAGCCTAAGAATCCATTTCGTCTTGTTACTTTTTTGTTCGAAATGCCGATCTTCCCGACTGGGTAGTGGCGAAATGCGGGGCCGAGTTATTCGTGGCATGAGCTCCCGAAGAGGGACAGGTACGTACCGGACCTTTTCTGGAGCCAAGACTGGGGCCCACCAAAGCTTGGACGGTTCTGGGCACCCGCGACAGGCCACAGCAGCCCACACACACTCCCAGCTTGGAAGCTCCCAAGAACTATCCAAAGTGCGGTTTGCGATCCCACAGCGCTGGGTCGGGTCAGCTGTCCTGCACCCTTGGCTGCTTGCTTGGAAGCGCGTGGGGCCCCTGCCGTGCCAGTGACAAGACTGAGCGACAGTAGCAGCCCAATCCATTTTGGTGCCTTAGGTGATCATGATGACGATGTGTTGCAGTGGAAGGTGGAGAGGTCAAGGTGGATGGACAGAAGCAAGAATCAATATGTGTGTGTGTGTGTGCGTGTGTACGGAGCAGGAGCTAAAGTTTGCAAGACCCAAGTATTGTCAACGGCCACGTTCCCACAACCAAAACTTAGAAAAAATTTTAGACATTGCCGCTGCACGATTCTCTCCCGTTCATCGCGGTGGCGCATCTTCAATCTTGGCAGGGGATACAAAGACGGGTTGAGGGCTGATTGGACTGGCCTCTGCCAGCTCAACCCAGGTCACATATCATCATCACCGTTGATCAACATTGTGCTGCTCAGCCCGCTCTTGATTCCTTACACAGCAGATCTTCCTGGCCACGCGCGCAAATCCCCGACGTCCAGGTTGCTCGCCAACACCATCGTCGCCTACGGATACGTCCCTCGCCAGACTCCAGTCCACCTCTCTGTCATGAAGGAGCACAAGCTGCTGTCCCCCGAAGCGCTCCCGACATGACAGCCATCATCCCCGGCCATTGCGCGCACAAACCGGCCAACCAGAGACACCGGCAACAGGCCTTCCCATATTTGCACATTCGGGCCCGGACCTGTGTCGGGTGAGCCGTCATCTTAAAAGAGGTGCGAATGACCAGGACACGCGTGGCATCACAATCCGAGAGTCAGCTTTTTTTGTCAAGTTTCTTGTCTGTTCTCCAGCAGTGTTATCATCGTTTGTTTCGGCTGCCTGCAAACGAAGAATTCAAACTTACTACCTTCTCTTGCGGAGAGCAGCCGCAAAGTTCGGTGCGCATGACCCTCATTGCCACACCGACTTTACCTACCCGTGCGTTGACATTAGCAAGAATTATCATTTTGCACTTCTTTAGAGTTTTCGACGCCAGCGCTGTTGTCCTGAATGTCGTCTCCTTGCATTTCTCGACATTTTCATTCCTACGGGCAACATGCAGCCATGTCGCCTACGGTGCCTTTTGTCAGCCCCCCAAAGCTGCTAGGACCATTTAGCGCGCTCGAGGATTGCGATTTCTCCTTTGTGGGAGAGGGCGCTTCAAACGTCGTCTTTGAAGTCCGCGTACCACCCAGCAAGCGGGGCAGTATCAGTAGCAAACTTTTCGAAGGTACGGGTCAGTGTTGATGTTTACCTAGAATATCCCGGTTTTTTTTCCCCCTTTATGGCTGGCACAATATTAGCTAACCAACATACAGGAAACCTCCTTCGGGTGCCCAAGGCCGGCACAAAAGCTTACAGTTATGAGGACCTTCATGCGTATTGGGAGACAGTCGTGAAGCCGCTGTTCGAGCCCCAGAACTTGGTCCAGCATCAGCTCATTCTGCTCGGCGGTGAGGCTGTCATCAGACGGCTCAACTCCATCCTTGAAAAAGAGGATGCCACGCGCAGAGCCGATTTTCGGGGAAGCAGAGTGGCCATGGCGAAGTATGGGATGTTGATCGAGGACATGCGACAGAGTATGTGGTGATTTATCCCAAGTCCATGCAGAGAGTCCCACGCAGCATTTTTCTGACACTGATCTTAGGACACCCGGACGACCTGACGTTCGAGTTCAAGCCCAAGTGGCTCGCCCAATCCCCCAGCGCGCCACCAACAGCAACTCGTTGCCGCAACTGCGCTCGCGAGGCGCTCAAACGTCATGCCAACCCAGACAGACAACCAAAGTCCTCAGCCATCCTCTGCCCTCTCGACTTCCGTACTTGTGCAACCTCACCCATCTCCCTAGCCAATGTCTTAAACCATCTAACCCCACGAGTACACAAGCCAACGGCCAACGCCCATCCCCCAAGTGTGTCCCTAAATGGACACTCCCCGGCGTCTCCCCGCCCCACCCCCTCCCAATCAGCACGGCTGCGGCACTGGCTCCAAACCAACACGCTTCTTCCACGTCTGCGGCAGGCACAGCTCGCTAACGACGGGCTCGGCCCGCTGGGCGCGGATGCGAGCGACCCGCACTTTCAGCTGGCCATGACACTCCGCGACTGCACCTGTTTCGTGCGGGTCCCTGCCAATCCGGAGCTTCCGATTGAAGCGAAGCTGGCCGATCTGGACAAGAAGAATTGGATGGCCAAGATGGAGTATTGGCGGGCTATGGAGCAGAAATTGATTGAAGGGGGGTATTATGAGGGCAAAGAGGTGCCGAGAATGGAGACAGGGTGTGTGCTTGAACGGGAGAGAGGTTGGATGAAGGGGATAGGGGAGCAGGTAAAAGAAGTGAAGGATGACGATGGGGTTTGAAGGAAGCGACTACTATGTCAAATGAAATGGAGGGCATCATAGCGTTGATTAAACGAAACAGACTATATAATCGACAAGCTGACCGATCAAAACAACCGGTAGCATGCCTTGGTATCATGCTCCTTTCCCAAAAACACAAGATCCATGAGAAAATGGGTGAGTATATCTCCTCGCACTTTGATCGACCCACATTGATCTCTAACGCCAACCCATAGATGCCCAAAATCAGATCTAACCTGTCATAACCCAAAACAAAAGAAGAAAGAATGCCCTCTGATGATACCTCTATGCAGCTCTAGCTTATCCCGATGCATACACTTGCATAACTCTACTCCTCATCCTAGATCCCCGCAGCAGTAAAACTCAACACACTCCCTACAGCCAGCCCCGAAACAATGCACAGCCCCATAAACGCCCCTGTCGCCTCTCTCTCCTCCTCATCGACCCACTCAGCCGCGGCCATCATCGCACTGGCGCCCAACCACCCGTTGGTCAGCCCAAAGGGGAACTGCACGACCGCCAGATAGAACAGATCGCTCTCCACGACTGCGCCCTTTCCGTGAAGGTTACACAAGAGATAAAACGGCAAGAAGACCGTGCGGGCAACGCTCACGGCAAAGAGGGCAGCCGGATGGCGACAGCGCAGCAGGCGGTGCCACGTGGCAAAGGGCAAGGCCGCGACGACACGGCCCGAGAGGTCGCCTAGGTTCCAGGCGAAAAAGCCTAGGGGAATGAAGGCGCCTGGGGAGAAGAGGGAAATGGAGTTGTCGTGCACGGAGAGGATCTTGCCCGTGAAGACAGGGAAGAACATGGAAGTGGCGAAGCTTAGGAAGATGGCGCCTGCCAGCCAGTGGAGTTTGGCAAGGAGGGTCAGGATGCCGATGTGCTTCCGGCGGGTTGGGCCCTGCTTTGGGGAGAGGGGGGTTGTGACGGTGATAGGTTCGGGGGATAAAGAGGCCGCGAAGGCACGTTGTTGGAGGATTTGGGCTTGGCGCCGCATGAGCGGGATGAATGCTGCCAGGGTGATGGCTGAGATGAGGACCGCCGTGAGGAAGTAGATAAAGGCTGCGGTGCTGCCGGTCGAGGGGTCGGCAGGCTCGTCGTCAGCCGTTGGTTGGTCGTCGGCCGATGAGGGCGCGGTGAAGGCCAAGTAGGACAGCATCTGAGTCAGGGGGGGCAGAATGCCGGCAATGCCCTGACCGGCCATGATGCCCTGAGTGTACTCGGTCCGGCCGAAGCTAGCGGCGAAGGCGAAAGCGCCGTTCTGCATTAGGCCGGCTGCCCAGGCGGCAAGGGCGACCATGAGCAAGACGAAGGCGAGATACATGGGAGCTGGGACACCCAGGAATGTGGTCGTCGAAATGGCCAGGAGCGCGAAAATGACCGCATTGGCGAGCAAGGAGAGGATGATACGGAAGGGGTAGCTCGCGCCAGACTGCATGTTGGTCAAGACCAGAACGCTGATGAGGTTGACGATGGTTGATGTCGTCAGGATGGATGATTGCGAGTTCGCCAGGATCCATGGATTAGACTGGAAGCGCGTGTAGAAGTAGGGTGCAGCAGCGAGAAACATGTTCCTATTATGATAAGAAATTGGTTAGACCGGACGAGACGGAGGAAAAGAGGAGGCGATGGAATTAAGATGAAGGTATAGCATACCATGACCAAAGCATAGCCACGCCGATCAGGACGAAGATAAAGTACTCGGCCCATGAGAATGGCACCTCCTCCTCGCACTCTCCCTCCTGAATGTCAGCCTCCTCTTCGTCTAGCCGCTGATATTCACCAGGGCTGGGCTTAGAGGGAGTGAACAGAGTTCGTAGCCTTTCCATTGTTGCCTGCGTTGATGACGGGAGAGACGGCGCGTCTCTCTCCGGAGAGTAAGGAGAAAAGAACGCCTTTCTCTGGAACAAGCGGAAATTTACTAGCGTACTCTGGGGGCTCGAGCCTTGCAGCCCCTATAAGCACAGAACAATACCGGATCAATGCGAAATGGATGGATGCGCTTTAATTTGCACAAGCGTACAGGTTATTGCCGTAATGAGCGACTGATGAGGATGAGCAACAGGCAGCCGAGAGGTTATGGTGTTTGTCCGTTGGCCGCGTTGTGCTCAAAGGAACGAAGAAAGTGGGAAAATGGCACCAAACTAACAGTCTAGCAAAACTCTCAGCATTGCAGACGAGACTGGGCCGAAAATATGAAATATCCTTCGGAATGAGCGAGATGGAATCGCCGCCGGCGCGTCACAGGGAGTGAGGCTGTCTCAGGGTGATACCTGCGATAAGAGTGGCCAGACATGATAAGGCGGCGAGCTAGGAAACACGTATGACCGCGATCGGATGACTTAAGATAAGGGTTAGGGTTTCCCTTGGGACTAGAAAGAATATCGCTGTTACCAGGGCAGCTGACCCCCCTTGCATCGGTGACATCATTGGCCTCCTTCCAGGATCACACTTCAAACGGCTGCAGTAGCTTCATGCCTTGGACCCTTCCCCGCGACAACGCTCGCGGCAGGCAGATTAGCGATTACGTACGTCACGGGAAACTGCCTAATCTCTGAGCAACGATAAGCGACGCATTGATGGTACTTCTTCTATTCTCCAGGTTTTTGAGCCCTTAGCTGCCGTCGCTGGTGAGATCCTTTGGTCCTTCATCCTCGTCTCCCGACAGATACCCCGCACTATCTCTATAACACCCCACCAACCACGACGCCGTCTCCCACGTGATGAAGGATGCCGGCGATGCAGCATGTCATGCAGCTCACTAAGCTGCATACCAGCGGGATGGGACGAGATATGGAGCAGTCATACAATTGCTCTATGAGATATGTGATCCGGACTGACTATCAGACCACAAGAACTTGAAACCTTTTATGCTCCCAGAGCTTTTGTCTTCATCTTAACCATTACAACATTAACCTTCATAGGAAGAGAATACAGTTAGATACAGTGTTCAGCATCCATACTCAACCACTAGGATATACTTTCTCACCACACCCTCACCCTCAGTCCTTCACTGATCCAGCGGGAAGCGATCCACAAACCGGAACGTGGCTAGCCCCTCCTTGAACTTGCTCACCAGCGAATCCACTCCCTCAGAGTTCTTTTCAACGTACACTCCCTTCCTGGACGTCGGCACCCCCACGCTCTTGAACGCCTTCTCAACTTTGTTGCCCAATCCACCCACGGGTTTGCCCCACCGATACGCATCCAGCAGCACCTGTCCTGGTCTGCCGGCTGGGAACAGCGGCGACGAGACCGTTGCCGAGTCGAACAGCCCGTCACCCTCCACAACAATGACTCCATCAAAAACGGTCGCATCAGCCGCAGAATACGTAACGTCTACGCCATCAGCAAAACTCTCGGCAATGATGCTGACAACCAATCCGTCCTTTTCAAGCCGCTTCTTCAGGTCCTTAGCCTGCTTCAGCGCATCCTGCGTCTTAATGCTCGTCAAGATACCAACCCGCAGTGTCTTGATGGTCGGCAGGGTGTTGTTGAAGATGGAGATACCCATCGTGACATTGTTATGATAGTAGGTCGGGTCGGCGGTGGGCACCTCCAGACCCAGGAAGCTGGCCACGCGCTCGGCGATCTCGTGGCTCACCATGTTGAGCTGCGCCAGGACGTTCTTCTTGACCTCAGTCGACTTGAGCAGGCTTGTCTCGAAGCGGATGGCGTTGATGAGCTGCTGCTTTTCGACGGGGATGAGGGAGTTGTAGAAGAGACGCGGCTGCGACCAGTGGTCGTCGAAGGTCGAAGAGAGCGCACGAACCAGGTTGCCAGAGATGGTACGGCTCTTGGCCGTGAAGAAGCCGCGGCCTTCGGACTGCGTAGCCTGCTTGGGGTAACCCTTGTTTAGGGTGTTGGGCGTATCTGTGTCTTGGTTAGCTCGAAGATAGTTTCCTCAACCATATGCAGGGTAATGCAGGGTAAGGGTAACCCACAAGGATACTTGTTCTTGTGGATGAAGCCCTGGCCCGCGCCATCACGGTTGTTGTTGTGGATAGGCACACGCGGCATGTTGATGGGCAACTGCTCAAAGTTTGGGCCGCCATGACGGTTGAGCTGCGTATCTAGGTACGAGAACAACCGGCCTTGCAGCAGAGGGTCCTCCGAGAAGTCAATGCCACGGACCACATGGCCAGGCTGGAACATGACTTGCTCTGTCTCAGCAAAGTAGTTGGTTGGGTTGCGGTTCAAAGTGAAGACCCCCAGCTTGGTCAGGGGCACGAGCTCCTCGGGAATGATCTTGGTTGGGTCGAGCACGTCGAAGCCGAAGGAAAGTGCCTTGTCCTCGTCGAATATTTGCACGGCGAGCTCCCAAGATGGAGGGTTGCCGGACTCGATCGCATCCCAAAGGTCTTGACGATGGAAATCTGCGTTCTTACCCGACAGCACCTGAGCCTCTTCCCACACCAGGCTGGCCTTGCCCTGCAGAGTCTTGAAGTGGAACTTGACGAACTTGGAGGAGCCATCGTCCTTGACGAATCGGAAGGTGTGTACCCCGTGGCCGTCCTGGGTACTGTGAGTACATGCATAAGACTACATGTTGTTAAAAGGCTTACCATATGCCTGTAGCTACGTGGGATGCCATAGCCAGCCATGGCCCAGAACAAGGTGTGAAGAGTGCTGGGCTGAGAGCTGAAGAAGTCCCACGCGGAGTCATGGGCCGTAGCTGCCTGGGGGATCTCACTGTCTGGGCTAGGCTTGACAGCATGGATTAAGTCAGGGAATCGGATAGCATCCTGGATGAAGAAGACCGGGATATTGTTGCCGACGATATCTGATAGGGTCAGTTGAAACACGAGTACTATTTCAAGCTCCGAGCAAGCTTACCAAAGTTGCCCTCATCGGTGTAGCTGGTTCAGTCAGTGGCATACTCAAGTTTGCTCTTCAAGGCCTAATCACTTACAATCGAATAGCGAAACCATGGACATCTCTTACGGTATCGGCGCTACCCCTGGAGCCAGCGACGGTAGAAAACCGAACAAACACTGGCGTCTGCTTCCCAGCAGCGTTCAAGAATGATGCTGCAGTAATGTTGCTCCAGTCGGCATAGCTGGTAAACGTGCCATGCGCACCGGCACCTCTCGCGTGGACGGCTCTCTCGGGAACCTAGATTTATTCCGAGTCACACGGCCTCAATATCGTTATGTCAAAGGTCACATAACTGGCTTGGCTCAAACATCCCATCCCTTCGCCATGTCTGAATCCCCTAGACAGGCAGTCCCAGCAGTAACACAAACAATAAGAGAAAACATGCACCTACCCGCTCATGGTCAAAGTGCTGGATCTTCTGCCGGAAAATAAAGTCCTCCAGCAGCGTCGACCCTCTCACCCCGGCTTTCAGGCTGAACTGCTCCTCGATCGGTCCGCCCACATCCGATGTCATGTACCCGCTGCTGTCGTCGATCACATACTGCTCCAGGAACTTGTCGGTCGTGGCATCGGTGTCGCGCGTCTGCAGTAAGGCAGCCGGGTCAGCGAACGGGCAGGCAGCTTGTGCCGCTGTCATCAGGCCCGTCGTCGCCGCCCAGGCGAGGAAAGCGGCGCGGTTGTGCATGGTGTCTTTGTTAGTTATTAGAGATTAGGTATTTGCTGTGTTTCAGACTGGGATGGGCGATTCCCTGGATTGGACACTTGTGGGTTACTGGGACTGGCGTGGGAGGTAGTACAGGGCAGATGGTGATATATGTGCCCTCAAGAGAGTGCTAATTGGATTGCCCTTGCTTTAGTTTCCCGGTAACCAACAATGTCGAGAAGGGGAACAGGCACCATTGCCTTGGGGAGAGATGGCGTTCTTATAGACGGCGGACGGCAGACACAGTGGGAGAGGCGTGGTTTGTGTAAGCTGTGTGATGATGACTATGACTAAGTTGCTAAATCTGCTCACTTGAGAGCAGATTCCTCGATTGGCTGGCGAGCACATTTCATTGCTTGTCTATCCTCTGTCAGCTGGCTGAAGGCTCCTTCCCCCAGTCGACTCCACGTCTACTCCCCTGTCCAGTGTGAATGTGATTCCGGTAAACGACGTGCATGTGCAGGGTTCCTGGTTACGGAACCCGGCAGTCCGTATCGTGGAAACGGTCGTTAACGCAGAAAGGACACCACCGCCGACTGACGTGTGAATGGGTGATGGAGATTGGGTGTCATTGTGGATGCGATATACCGACTAGGCTGTACCCGGTGTGAGAGGGAAGGAAGGTTACGGTATCATTCCATCGTGGACCAGCTCAGCAGCTTCCTGGTTCTGTTGACTCGCTCAGGTGTGATACCACTGTGCCATTCAAAATGCTGTCTATCATCTCCGATCTTCGTCATCTGGAACACATACACATGATCGATGACGAAGATCAATAGCGCAGGAAGCTTGATTGCCGGTACCGGGTAGACCATGGCGCTGACGTGCCATCACCACGACTACAGACCTCCGTAGGGACAAGCATCCATAGCGAGTAATCTTGTCCTGCATCATTCGGCACGGTGTGAATGCGTAACCGAAGGTTGTACAAAAGCCCAAAATTGATCTGCTGTTGCAGATGGACCCTGGTGATCACTTCACCCACAGATGGTACCTGGCTTCCCTGAGCCGCCCTACCGCATAGGGGACGTGCAGGATGGATGGGTGATATTGATGTACACGAGTTGGGTTGACATGCTGGAATGAAGCCCCAAGTAGGATTGGACAACATATTTTTCTTCCGGTTAAAACCAGGGATGAGCGGGAGGAAGCTGACTGTGAAGAAATCATTAAATTAGACGCGATATGCGTTATATGACGCTTGTTTCGGGGACAGACCGGCCTGCCTTTGTGTTCTGTACGTCAACACTGTTGGGGCCAATGAGCGGTGAGGTGTTTGCAAGCCTAGAGTCGTGTGTACAATCAGATGATCATACTGGTACTCGGATTCTTGTTGTGATGCGAAACCAAGCCATCTGTTTGCCAGGCACCTAGGTAAACAGCATCACTTTGCCCCAGGGAATGCTTCGAGGGACATCGAGTCATTGCTTCCGGGCCCCCGGCATTTCCGAAAGAATATCAATCCTGGCTGACCTTACAGGGGCCCTACGTAAAAGAAAACCATTACCAGCTTCCAGATCTTTCAGGAGCGCCGAAATCCATCCATTCTCATGCGAGATCGGAGCGGACTGACGGACCTCGGGGCTACATCAGAGCTAGCTCAAGAGTCGCCAACGTGACATGAGGACAAACCTTGTGCTCAAGCTAAAGAAAGTTCTTGAGTCAACAAAAGGTGGAGGCATTGAGCTGGCAGAACTGCTTGCGTCAAAAAATCCAAGTGATGTCGAGGCTGGCTGAGTTGGAGAGCCTTGAGAGTTTGTAAGTCCATCAAGGTGTGTGGTAATCCACATTTACAATCGGGTTATGATTTTTTTTACGTATCCATACCGATGTACCTAAGCAGACCTACCACTCAGCTCTCCATAGTAGGCCGTATTTGATAGACTTTCAAGCCAAGGACGAAGATCCAACCCGTCAAGGAGTCCTGAATATTAAAAATAGACCGTATTCGGTCCTGATCCCCATGAACCTCTCCCAAAAAGACCGTTGAACTATGCTAACTCGTAACGGCCCCTGCCCAGCTGGGCGGACAACTCGAACCACATCACGCGTATGTTCACATTTGAGGCATGTTCACGCGGTGGCCGCCGCGGCAAAGCTGAGGTCAGGTCAGTTCATCCAATGGCGTCTTGTACAATGGCGTCTTGTATGTATGCAACTCCTGGTAGTTCAACTGCCGCCGGTGGATGCTGGCGAAGAGTTGCATTGCGTCAGACGAGTCAAAGCCGGTGTGTGGAACCAGGCCTTGGAAGGCAGAGGTTGCAATCGGGGATCTTGGCGATGGTCGAATGACGCGGGATGGAGCCCTCGGATCGCCGGCCGCGCGGACATCGCGGGTGGGTTGCAATGGGGTAGATGGGTGGCTGAGGTGAGGTTGGGCTGCGGAAGCCGTGATGGATATCAGGTTGCTGGTAGATCGCCGGACATCGGCGCTAAACTTACAAAGGCTCATAGGTAGTCATTGCAGGGTGTGGAGGGTAAAGATACGGGCACAATCATAATTGACAGATGCTTGAAGCAGGGTGACTTTTATGGACTAGATGTCTAAGAAGACAGCAGCAATGTTATCCTCCCGTCCAGTCCGGACCAAAAACTGTTGCTGTACGCGCCTTACTGTGATGTGAACCAAAAAAAAAAGGATGTGGAATATTTCCCACTAAGAGGTCTCAACAGCTGTAAAGCATCACCCTTTCTCTGTGCAAACACTTTGCTGGGTCGCGATGTAAGGTGATCGCATCAATGGAGAACCACTTACAGCCATCACAAACCCCAGATCCGGAAGGTCCGAATGCGAATTGCATGCATCGACGGGACTGCAGAAAATAGAAAAAAACACACTCGAACCAAAATGGTGGTTTGTTGCGAGGGCATGTTGATGAGCTGACGAATACATCGGCAGCCATGGGAATGCTAAGTAGGCCTGAACCATGACAGCGACCGAATATGAGCGGATTTGGCATGTAGACGGCAGGAGACACTGTCACACAGACGGAAATGCGACTGATGACAGCAGGAGCTTCAATGGTGAGAAAAAGGCCAAGGTGTTGCTGTATGGCCGGTAGGGGGGGGGGACCGGGGGGAGGAGAGAAGACAAGGACATGGATGGCCGATTTTGCTAATGCTGTTTCGGCATTTGGTGCCGGCAGTCGCCAGAGGACTTTCGGAGGGTGAAACTCCCAGCCAACTGGAGTTGAGATGATGACGATGCCAGGACCCGTTCATCATGCGAAACGAAACGAAACAGAAGGTTGAATGCTTCGAAGCTTGCTCGAAAAGTGGAGGCTCAAAGTTCTTTGGGCCCTGGGCAGTGGTTGGCGTCCCATCGGGCGGCTAAAGCCACTGGCGCTAAGCCGCATCTCGGCAAGTCGCCGGCTTGGCATTCCCCGCATAGATGGCTGCCCCACAAACGTTTTTGCCCAGCCCAGGAAGTTGGCAAAGGACCTTGCTTCGGCATCTCATCGACTTATGTTTCCATGCTCGATGATGAACGATGATGGGTTTTGCGTATGCACGTCGAGTCAACTTGATGGAGCAGACAGATAACTCGACCTTGACGAACGGCTCTTGACTCGGCCGTCGGTCGTGTTTCCGACTGTCTCCGAACCAGTTAGCTCGAAGACTTGTTGGAGAGACTCAAGCTACCTCAATCGAAGCCAAGACTGGACTGGGCTCATGTGACTCCTTGTTGAGTCGTTGTTTGCCAGTCCTCGAAGCTTTGTCTCTCCCATCTGGGCTGAGCGTTGGTCTTGGATGGGACAAAACTCTACCTTGCTAGACGTATCTGTTTGTTGTTGCGCCTTCAATGCATACTGAACCGTTTGTGCAAGCCCGCGCAGCTCCAGCTCCCTTGGCCCAGATGAGGTACTCACACACAATCACCGATATTATGTCAGGTTCAGACAGATATTTTTAACATCATTGATCACAACCAGCGATCCTGCTGCAGCTACATATGGACCCTAATCAGATACACGCGCCTGCAACAGTGCCCGTAGGATGCACGGCACACCGTGATACCCGTGCTATGTGATGATCTCCGGTGCCACGCACAAACACTTCCACAGAAATGCCAAGAAGAAAAAAATTTGGAGAGTCGTTGAAATGTTGATCGCAGCAGAGTGCCCTTGCACCTGTGGGAATAATCCCTGACCAACCACATACGCGCCACTGACCGGACAACGCAGCTAGGAGCTTCGATAGGCTGGCAGGCCAAGCGGCCTACGATGTGCGCCTGCGTAAGCCCCTTCTAAGTTTACCAGACTAAGCGATGCCCAGTATCGATGAAAAAAAATAGTGTTCAAGAGTATCTATAGTTTATGCTACGGCCTAAAACGCTCCTCGACTTCCGTATCAATAACGGACCACCAAAACAGGGTATCAAATGCCACCTCTTGCCCAATCCATACACCGAATAGCCAAAATGAAGATCAAAATATACATGACTCTTCAGTCACAGTCCCTCCCCAACAAGTGTCCAAATCTATCCCTCCCCCCCTTCCCCACCTCGGCGCCCTCAATCATTCTACCTACCCATCCAAAATGATTGACTGCTCTTCCACCCCCGACATCCCCGCATCCACAACCTGCTCTTCCCCAATCCACCCCGCCTCGACCGCAAATCTTACTACATCCCCAGCGCTCGGGAAACTTAACACCCCCCTCGGTGCATCCGGATCCAAATGCATCCACATCTCCGCCGTCTCCTTTTTAAACCTCCTCAGCTGCTTTGCATCGCCCTTGAAATGCTGCACGAGATACTCGTACAGGTATGCGAGCCAGAGCACATTGGTATACGGCTCGTGCACTTGCCATGAGATAGGGTCGAAGGGCGGGAAAAGGCATCGCACATAGGGCTTGCTGTGTTTTTCAGGCGCGAGAACCTTTGTGCGGTCTTTGAGGAGGAGGTAGGAGCGCATCTGGCGGTAGACAGCACATTGAGGGGCATGGGTGGAAGTGAAGATGGAGAGGTCGCGTTCGAGGTCGTAGGCGACGATGGCACCTGTTGGTTGGGATGGGGAAGAGGTTTTCGGGGGGGCTGGAGGTAGCGTGTTCGGGGCGTTGTTGGTGCTTGACTGCTGTTGTGGGGGAGGGGTGTTCTCTACCGGGGAAGGAGGGATATACGGGCAAGTTGCGCGAGAGAGTCCGTAGTCGAGGATGGTGATGTCCAAGCCTGAGAAGCCAAACTGGCGGGGATTGCCCTCGAGATCGAGACTCTTTGGCCGTGGCATCGGGTCGCGTACCCGACGGATGCAGAGGTTGCCCTCGTGCAAGTCGCGATGTTCGAACTCGATGAGGTCCTCGGCACGCGCCAGCGCGAGGGCGGTCAACAGGAAGATATCCCAGACTTGACTGATGTCGGTTAGCTGGAAGTCTTCCAAGGCGATGCCCGCATCGCCCAACTCGATGACCAGGAACTTCGTGTCATCCAGGTATCGCGATGGCGAAGGGTAAAACTGCAACCGGTTAGGGTCCTTTCGTTTCATACGTCGATGGAACGCCTGGTGAGTTTCCAACAGCGACTTGGGCGCTTTCCCCTTAACGATGTAGTGCGACTTGTAGACCACGAAGCCAGGGATGTCAGAGAGCCACTCTGAGATCTGCATCTCGCCGTACATGTCCTCCTCGGAACGGGCATCTTCGTCCACGAGACCAGACCGTTGCTGGGCTTTGGTCTGCGGCTTGATAGGAGACTCGAGTCGGATGACCTTGAGGATGGATGTTCCGTGGTCGTTGCTGACGCGGTACACCTCGGCGTAGGATGCTTCGGCAATCTTCTCGATACGGTTCGTCGCACAAATATCCTCCCATGTTAGGACGGGCAGACTGTCGTTGCAGAAAGTCTCTTCAAACCCAAGGTCTCGTCCCTCCTCTGACTGTACTGCACGTTCCCTCTGACATCCAGGAAAGGCGACGTCGGGCTTGTGGTCAACAGTTGGTTGTTCCGACTGACTGCTGCTACCCCGAAGATTGAGCTGACGGTTCTCCAAAGTTGCTGATGGGCGCTGTGATTTATGGTCGATTCGCTCCTTTTGTGGATGATGGGTGCGGTTGAGATCAACAGCAGCAAGACCACCTGTGATTTGGGCGACCCCGTCGGACGACGGCTTCTTGTCCGTCTGCGATGGAGCCACATTCTCCTTATTATCATCTGCATCTTCATGGATTACCACCACCTCTTCTTTGTTCAACCGTTTCTTGTCCTTCTTAACTCCCTCTTCGGTCTTTTCCGTCTCTTCCGGGCTTTTGGGCAGTTGGGCGAAGAGCTCATCTGCCCTGGTCTTCCGTGCTGTCTTTCCATATCTCCTGACTGTCGATGTTCGCGCCATTTTTTGGTTATCAGCATGAACGTGCATGCGGGCTCAAGATCAAAGTAGTTCAGGTTGGTGAGATCAACTCATGGGCTCGATGTTAAGCGACGAACACAGAATCGCGATACGTGATTGGCCAATGGGGGCTAGCTTTGGTTGTCAGGGCAACTTATAACGTGGCAGGCCGCGCTAAGCTGTTCTGGGACGAAAGTCTGATGGCGCATTATGCAGGGGAGCTCGGGCCAGCTGTGTAATGGAATTTCATCTGTTGAGCTCCTGGGTCGTGCACTCGTTGATGTCGTGCTCGCCGCAGCCCACACAGCCCGCAGCAGCCCGTGTCTCAACTCGGCCACCTTCGCAAACACTATGGCCAACGTGCTCAACAACCTCTTTGGAGGCGGCAAGCCGTCGGTGAGCCCTGATCCCCTGGTGGCCGGTGATGGTGAGTTTTCCTGTTTTTGGTTCTGGCGGTCTTCTCGCTTGCCCCTGGCGCGCGATAGGGGACCTGAGCCTGGTCGCCCTTGTCGCCAGCTGTCCCCAGCGATCGACATTGCCATCAATGTGGCTTCAAGCCCCTCGATGTCAACTTTGGTGGCCATCAAACGTCTTTCATTCGTGACCAGTTGAGCAACAAATTTTATGTTTTGAGCAATAAGTACTGACGGCATGCAGACTTCGCCGACTTCTCTCAGGCTGCCGAACCCTCTCCGGTCACTGTCCAGCCCCTGGCGACCACCCCGAGCGCTGTTCCCCTCCAACCGGCGCGCCCGTATACCAAATGGTACCGGCTTCATGAGCGATATACCTGGTCTGACTTCAAGTCGGAGGGCATTATTCTTTGTATCATCTCCGTCTTCATCATCCTCCACGTCATCGGTGCCAGCCTGAACCGGCGCAAGGCCAAGAAGTGGATCCGCGCCCACGCTGCCCCTCTGGCCGCCGAGTTCGCAGTTGTTGGCTACTCTGGCATTCCCAAGAACGTCTCGGACAAGAAAGGCGAGGAGCTCGTCAAGGCTCTGCAGGATTCCAACATTGCGCAGGGCGACAACCTGATCAAAGAGAGGAGCTTGTTTGAGTTCGCCACTTATGCCACCGGCCGTGCCAACGTTGCCTTCCTCGAGGTCAAGATCGCCCTGACCAAGCGCTTCAACCCCCTGACTGCCTTCTTCGAGTCCGTTCTGGGCTTCTTCTTCGAGAGCGGCCCTGAGGTCGGCGATAGGGTCGAGGCTACTCTGTATCCCTTTGACGGCAAGGAAGCCGATGTGGTCCCTGACTTCCCTGGTGCGGCCGAGCTGCGCTCGAAGGATCCCAAGAGCACCTACGACAACTTTGTTTGGGCCATTGTCCACAAGGAGTGCATGAAGAAGGCACGCAATGACCGCTACGACCTCTCTTTGACCTACACCAAGGACCACGCCAAGCTGCCCAACTGGCTGGCTGTCATGAGCGAGAGCGCTGAGATTACTGATGCCCTTCTGACTCCCGAGCTGATCAAAGCTGCCGAGGCCGCTGGTGATCTCTTTGAGTACCTGGTTGTCACGGACCAGCCGGAGGACAAGCCCAAGACGTGAGTTTCTTTCTTCACACTGGCCCAAGCATCTCGACTGATACTAACCCAACCCAGCCTTAACGAGACCCGTCCCCGTAAGCGCGTCATCCTCAAGTATCGCGTCCCATCCAACGACGACTACACCTCTCTGCTTCCTATCTTCGAGTACTTCCTGCGGATGCCCGACCACCTGGTTCAGGTGGCTCACTTCCGCCCTGAGGTGCTGCGCAAGGTGAAGGTTGTGCGCGACGAGGAGATTCGCAAGATCCAGAAGGCCGAGGAGGAGTCCAAGGCCGAGGAGCGTGCCCAAGAGCGCGAGAAGGCCAAGAAGGCCAAGCGCGACCAGGAGCTGAGCCAGCTTGACGCCAAGGCGCAGAAGAAGTACCTGGAGCGCGAGCGCGAGAAGGAGCTCAAGAGGAGTATGAAGAAGGCTACGATCCGTGCTTAAGAAGCTCTTTTCCCAACTATTTAAGGGTCTGTAACTTGGACGGTTGGTAGAGAGGATTGGTAGAGTTTGCGGCTCAAGGTTTGTGATGGAAGTTTGTTTTGGTTAGGGGTCAGCGGTATTGTAACGCTGTGTGTTTACTACCAACGCCATGTGGATGGTATATTTACAACAAGACAAAGATAATATGATAATGAAACGGCCTCATGTCTTTACGAAACAGTGGATATCCTCGTGATTCCCCCCCCCCCACAAAAGAAATTAGTTATTCGCAATCCTCCAGGCTGGCTCTCCTTTGCATATGAGCATCCTCCGCCAACAGCTCTCTCACTTTCTGCACCTTCTGCTCGGCTGTTTGCACCTTATCGGTTCTATAATTGTCGTCAATACCATACCCGACATACTTAAGACAATTGACCACTTACCTTGTGCCTGCCCTCATGGAGGTCTGTACTCTCACTGCTCCAAGCCGATGCACAAGAGAATGAGCCTGGCCAATCACTTTCATGACTTCATCCCAGCTCCCTTCTGTTAAGAGTGAAAGTTTGATGATCAGCTACGGGTTTACTATGTCCTAGTTGAAGCCGTGTCTTAACATTAGCCATCAATTGAGCTAACATACCAACTGTTGTGCCTGCAGAGTGCATCGTATGGTGCAGGCCGCTAGCTTTCAGGAGCTTCTGCACTTCCGCAACCTCACGCGAAACGGATGCGCTGCCTGTTCCAACCTGTTTGTTACAGATCAATTAGGAGCTCTTTAACTGGCGAACCAGATACTAAGTAACCTAAGGTTCAGGGCATTAGCAACATACCGGAATAAGACAAAAGTCCACATAGCACCTCTCCGGGGTGGGGATGTTTTTGTAATCTTGCGGCATGGTCATAGCTTTGGCATCAACGTTATCTTTCTTGCTATCGTCTCCAATCCCCTGCTTTTGAGCAACTGTTGGCGTCGATGATAAACAACGAAAACGCTGTGAGCAGTGCAGAAGAAGAGGAAGAGTGAGAAGTTGAAAAAAGGAAAGGGGCCAGCAGAGAAGATGACGGTGTAGTCTCACCGTTGATCTCGTGGCTTGCGTCACCGCAGCTGGGATGGACGTGGACCCTGAAGAGGAGTTGTGCAGGCCCAGACGGCGGCCGAATGCGATACTCATGAGTGTTGCTTGTGTAGATGCAAAGGAAATGCAGATATGTGCTATATTATGGGTATTGGTGGACTTTGCGGATCACCTGAGCAAAGAGGAGAGGGGTAATGGAAAGAGCAGAGTTCAAGGCGGGGGGAGTGATGTAATGGTTTTGAGAGGTTATACAGGTGGCTAAGGTTACAACCAAAGAATGGCTCCACACCTCTACTACAACCGGGTTTTGTTGTGTTAGTATTGTCTGTCAGGTACCCAAGATGGTCTGAGATTTAACAATTTCAACTTTACGAAATCATTGGGGTCCTTCACTGCGTCTGGTCAATATCGTTGATTGAAAGTTTCATCGGTGTTAGGAAGGTATCACTGCTAGCAAGCTAAATTTATCAGCGATTACCTCCCGAGTGTTTACAACCGAAATCCGCATCAGAAAAGTCCTAAAAGTTTGCAGCCGCCGTGATCCGCCAACATCCGACCTACAACCACTAAACCACCTATTCCTGGAGCACACACATAAGCGTGGTCGTTAAGAGAAGCTCCATTCCACGAAAAGATCGCGTCTGGCAAATAAATCCGGTGCTCTTTGGGGGAAACTATATACGCCTTCCCCTGCCGTTGCACTGACTGCATGCCATGACATTGTCCAGTCCTTTTGGGCAGAAGTGCTGCCTGCTTTCTTGAACCTGGTTATGGTACCAATGACGATAAGTTGAACCATTGTGCCCAAAATCAACCCACTTAACCCAAGCGTTCCTTCATCCGAGATTGCAGTGGAGGCCCGCTCCATTTGATGGATTATGTTATTTTGGTCCAGATTCAACCAAATAAGCTCCGTGAAGCTAATGCGAAGTTGGCGCTTCTTCTCTCATCACCTAGTTACATGATGGCAGGAACGCTATCCTCCATTTTTCGAGTTCGTCAGATGCCATAGATAAGTGAATGATAGCTGAGCCAGGCTAGTACACTTCGATCTGTGTGGGTAAGTCTGACTCGGTAGTGCCATTATCCGATCGTCTCGAGCTTATAGCTTATCATATGTGAATCGCGGTGATGGATTGACACCACTCGCCAGTCGCTTTCAGCTTCATCTCCGTTTGTTTTTTGCCGAACTAAACGTCCAACCACCCCATCGAAGTAACACCCTTCTCGACGTTTAGCCTCGTCCATTTCCTCCGACCGAACAAGGCAGCAAGCAGGGTAGGACCCAATTTCTATATCTTCATCGCGGGTTATTCATAGCTCTTATCGGCTTCCAGGGGGATATACGTTTGTGCCTGTCCCACATGATGCCATTGTTGTCAATGAGTCTCCAACCTCTGCTTCAGTGCATGCCTGCTGGATATACATTATATAGAGCGCGTGGTGGACAATATCTCGCTATGGATATGCTGCGTTTGGACTTACAGTTATTCCGTACCTCGTCGGGTCACTGCTCAATTCTATCGCCGATGTGCTCACCCCGTCATAGTCGTCCTGATTGACCACTGGACTAATGGTAAACTGTCTTTCTCCCCCACGGCCCAAGGTAGAGGGAATGGTAAATAGACCAGAGAGGGCTCATCGTCAACCCTGTTAGCATTGTCCTCTTTAAACCTCCTGTACATGTTTGGATAAACGCAGTTATCTTTTAAGAGTTTTGGTTGATACCAGTAAACCAGAGCCAGAAAAGAAGACGAAAATAATTACAATCTTACAATGTTTTCACTTCTTTCACAGTCCAAACATATCCATCGTAATATCTCCTATAGCCGGCTTCATCGAGCCTATCGTACCACCATAACAAGCGCTCCTGCACGTGCTGCTCTTCGCAGGTCAAGCGAATTCTGATCTCCAGAACGCAAAAGTCGTGCATGTCAGAAGCTCCCATCGAGTGCCTTAGCTAGTCCAACAACGGGGAAAATGTGGGTTAGAACAGCCCTGAGATGATATGATGCCGTCTTCGCCCCTGGAAACGACCGGACGGTAAAGTAATATGCTACGTAGTTGACAAGATAAAAATATATTGAGGTCCAATTTGTCGCCGGCTTACAGATCAGCTCGAGGTCGTTGCTAGCAGTAACTTGTGCTGTGGTGTTAACGTCCGTGAATTTCGTTTTGCAAAATTTAGGATAGACATATCTCAGCAGCTGACAGAGGATGGTGCTTGTGCGCATGTATGTGACGTTGGTGACATTGTGCGAGGATTAAGGCGCCCATGTCCATGCCCTTTAGCCTGACCTTTGAAGAGAGCGGGCCAGTGAGCCCCCAATACACCAACGAGCTATCTACCTTGACATCATCTCTAGATGTGAGTTGAGGTGTATCTTGTAAGTTGAATATGCTGAACAACAGAACTACATCGTTATAGCTGCAAAGTGTGCTGATTATCGATGTGCAGTGGTGTGAAGTCTGCAGGGCTTTGGGCAACTCTGCAAGGTGCTTCAGCCCATCCACCCAATGGTCGTGATGTGCCTTATGCCCAAGGCAGGCTGGTTCAGTTTTAAATGGTTGACTGAGGATATGATACCTCAAACCCAACTGGAATTGACACATGAAGCCAGGGAGCCTTGTATATCATCATCATCATTGGCTTACGGACGACAGACAGTACTTGTCTGTCATTCAGTCTCCTCCTTCACCTCAAATAATTAAGCACTTTCTTGTGCTTTACATGCTCAGCCTATCAAAGACTTCATCTGCCCATACATAATATTCCCATGGGGTATGTATAATGCTCTAAGCATTATCAGCATCCATTCATAATTTTTTAAAGCCTCTGAATATCATTTTCAACTGTTTATCGTTCGGTTTACTACTGATATGCCTTTGGTGCAGTAACGATGTAATTTAAGTTCACTAGCAACTTCCTCCATATGATTCCCAAGACCTTTTTACCCAACAAGTATACAATCACCAAACTCTAGCAACATTTTCCCGACGGCTATCATGCCACCTTTCGGCTGTTACCTTGAATCTATTTGTCCATTTATCTGCAAGTGTAACGCAGGAAATATGGACGAATGGGTGGTTGGGGTCTTCAAGCACGCAAGTGAACCTCTTCGTTGATACAATGCTGTGCCACCATTTTGTCTTGCTAGGTATATCAAAGTTAACAAGTCTGCTTGGGGAGGCTCGTAGAAATACAATGTCCAAAACAGTACCTACTTACTACCTGGTAATCCAAACCTCAAGTCCAGTCCAGCAAAACCAAAACTTTCCCGTTTCCTCTCATCTTTTTTCTAGAACATCTCTCAACCAGGATGCTCAATGTTTGGTCTCTCAGTAAACCTGCTAAAACTTCAAGTAGGTCTCGTTCGCGGACACTTCTTAGTCCTTTTTTCAACTACCGAGACCGGTCCAGTACAACACCATTCCACATGCTCAACGTCTTACCTGAAGTTTTTACTCTCGCAACATACCGTACCCTCTCCCTAAACCTTTACCCCCTCTCCTCCAAACACCCCCGCACTCCCAACGCCCAATCCCCCCAACACCGTCATCCCCCACGCAAGCGCGGCACTCTCCCAATCCGGCTGCCCTTCCTCCTCTCCAGCCAACTTCGCCGCACTTCCGATCCGATTCTTCGGCAACTGTGTCGTCGGATGCTCATGCCACTCCCTCAGTTCCGACTCCAGCTGCTGCTTCTCTTCCTCACCCTCCATCAAGCTCAAGCTTGGTTTCGTGGGCGACGGCTCTGAGGGCTCGGTGTCCGGTGGGGACGGGGGTTTAGAGTCAGGGTTGGGGTTGATCTTGCGTGGGCGGCCGGGGCCGCGCTTCTTGGTTGGGGAGACGGGTTTGTGGGTGTGGCCGATGAAAGTTTCGGAGGAGAGGGAGGATTGCCGGCGCTGCCGGAGGTTCATGGTCAGAGGGGGAACTTCGTGGTGAGCGTGTCCGTAGCCCTGGGTTGAGGACTTGCGGAGCTCGGCATGGATTGTGCGGTCGGTGGCGGCTTTCTTTGCTGCTGCTGATGCCGCGGCTGCGACTTGAGCGTAGGATGGGGCTTCCGGGCCCGACTTGGTCTCTTCCGTATGTAGGTGGTACTTTGACCAGGGTAATACTGACCGCAACATGCAGCCTACGTCGAGGGCTCGAACGGCAGCCCATAGGCCTAGGCTCAGACCTGACAGCAGGACGTCCTTGCCTGCTGCCGCAACAACTGGGTGATCGGCCATGGATCCGAGAACCTTCTCAATGGCTGTTGCAGTACGTTCCCAGCGGGACCGGCGCTCCGTGTCGTAGGGGATGTACATGCTGTGTCGATGTCTGTAGGCGTCAGGGAGGTTATACAGAAAGCTGCAAAGGCTGGTCTTAGCGTGAAGAATGCTGCTTGCTAGAGCTATCATGTTGAAGACCTTGGTTGTTTCGCGGTGGATATCTCGTGAAGAGGGGTGAGTTGTGCCCCAAGATGAAGGGGCCACTGTCGTCAAAATCAGAGGAGAGAGTGTCATGAGCTTGGAAAGTACAGCAGCCATCGCAAACCATGAAGTGTTTGCTGCATAAGATAGCCATCCTATGGCGCCGTAGCTTAGTGCTAGGGAACCCAAGACTGGGGCGAGCTTGGGGAACCAGTTGTCGTGTTTCCGAGGAAAGAACTGGTGGAAGGTCTTGGAAAGTCTTTCGAATTATAAGTTTATGGCCCAATTTGTGCTGAACAAGAGCACTTTACCTTGTCTCAAGTGGCGAGAAGGGCCATGGTGCGAGAAGCATAGCCATGTAGAACAAATTTTGGGCATACGACAAGCCGACCAAATGCGCCAACAGAGCATATGCCCATAGATGGGGGATGTAGCGTCGATGACCCTCAATAGCCAGCAGTGTTATCCAGGCGACAATAGCGGAGTCCAACTGCTGCCCCCACCACAATCGTCGTGTCTTCTCAGCGAGGATCTCGAGCGCGTCGAAGGCGACAGAAGTGTCCCTCAGCCAAGGGCCGAGATGTACAAAGGTGGAGTTTGCATCCTCAACACCTCTGAATCGAGCTGAGTAGAAGCTAATATGAGATCAGAGCACGTCCAAAACTTAAAGATAGCATTTCGTATTAAGAAAAAGGGGTCAATACATACGATCCAGGGACATCAACCCCCCTTTCGGCCGCCCAAGCCTTGTATGACAGTGTGAAATAATCCCACATGGATGACATAGATGAGAACAAGCTCAGCAGCGCTAGACTGCCGAACAACATCATAAGTTTGCTTCGTTGCGAGGGTTGGCGATGTCCTTCTTTGCCAGCTTCTGGGACCAAAACCCGATGGGCTCGGTACATACTCTTGCCGACGATGTAGGACAGGTAAGCGGCGATAGCAGGCCGAGATGCTGTCAGCATTATAGACAGCGAGCCTCCTCCGTGGTCTGTCTCAACTGGCGCCATCGTAGTGAACAGTTATGTTGGTGTGGTGTTTAGTTGAAGTTTCAGGGTTGGGCCGCGAGAGTTTCAACTTTCAAGTGCAGTTAAGTTTTGGTAGAACAATCAAAAGGAAGGCAAAACTTGTGAGTTCTAAGAGCACTGGCATGCTATCTCACTGCCAGGTGGGCAAGTCTTGTGCTTCCGTAAAGTTGTAACTCAGTTATGACGACACCATTCTGGAACACATCCACAACAGTGAATACCGAGCATGGAGACCCTGGTGCCAATAGTCTACAGGCATGTACTGGGTTTATGCATGAAAGAGAACAGTGCTTTCAGGGCATCACTGGAAGGACAAAGAGCCGAAAACAAATTTGTAATACTTCCCAAGAGTTGCCTGAAATCTCAATCACTAGTTACGGTTTGATTTTGATGATGCACTTAAATATGTGTTTCTATATACAGGGTCTCTCATCCGTATTGAGGTTACCTCGGCCCTCTCTGCCCTTGAAAGCATGGAATATCTTAGAGCCCTTCATTAAGTATAACCGTAACCCTTAAATCTTCCCTATCGGCAGCCTCAAGACAGCGTGGACAAAGTCGTTCACATTACTTAATGAACTTCTTGGACTCCTTTTCTCTACAGAAGTAGCATAGAAATGAGAAAGTCGTAGTTTCAGTAGTTTATGGCCTACAAGCATAGCCAGAGTCCTTCGTTTTGCCCATAACCATACACCAACGTCGGCGTAGCCACATAAGAAACGGTGATGTACTTGGAACACATCTTTGATGGCTGTTTAGTACTGAGCTATCTTAGTTATGTCATTGATGGGCTGAAATTGTAGTGTTTATGGTAAAGGGTAGTGAAAATTTACCAAGAATGAGGGCTGACCGCATTTGCTTGGTAGACTAGGTGCTTTTCTTGACAGCAAATAAGCCAGGAATGTGCTACTCCAAGTTAACATCTTCAAATACTTTATGACAGGGCTCACTGCTTCCATTTTTCTGCATTAAAGCATGCCTATGTGAGTACCAGCTCGAATCGAGCTTGCTGTTGATTGATGCAGGATCAACACAAGTCACTGAGACAGAGTGATGAGAAAACAGGAATAGTAATGCTACATTTTGGAAACAATCTAGTCACTGAACTGGGCTGAAAATGAGCACATGTCATAAGAACAATCTCGATGAAAGACTAAATGAAACCAGCCCCCTGCTATCAATAGTAAGAACTGCCTTAATAGACCTAATGATTTACTCTCCAACTTTTTTTTATCTTGCTTTCATGTTCAAGTTCTTTCGTACCCTCAGAATAAACCCCCTATTTTTACCCTTTATGATCGACTTCCCTCCGCACATCAAAGGCGCTGCCTCAGAAGCATCCCATGAGATCTAAGCCCTAATTTGCTCAAGAGCTAACTTTTGAGCTATCTCTTGCAATCAACGCAATCGAAATATAAATGAATTATGTCATATTTGAAATTACAAGGCCTTCTATTCTTCTTGTCATCACACTCAAGCTTCATGCCCTGCCGCCAGTGCTTGCATTTGAAGATCATATTAGTTTGGCTGCACATTGTGTGTGCCTGAAGGGGTTATGGGCAAGAGTATTTGAACAGATTAGCGGTGGATGAACAATGCAACTAATGATGAGTGATTGTTGCTGATGGTCTCGATTGGGACTATCATTCCTGGGAAACAGAACTTACCTACCTATTTATGATTTTTTTTGGAGCCAGGGACTGTCACCATGCTGTTAAAACAAATGAACCGGGAATGCAAAAACTGTTCTGTTGAAATTGAGAAAAGCTCTGACAGATTCGATCTTGAAAGGTTTGCTGCCTTTGAGCTAGACATACTGATACGTTAGTACTTATCTAAACAAAGAGGTGAAAGAAGTCCCGCTATAGAGATTGTCATATAGCGTCACCGACTCCCAACTAGGCACTTGCTTTCCATACGCATAATCCAACAGGTCGTTATTTTATACTACCACGAGATCAACCGCGCCATTATTCAAACTCGATGACAAAGATGGATAAGCACATTGAGCTCACAGGAAGCTAGTGCCGCCTGCACCATTGTATGAACAGCTAATGTGTTACTTGCATTCGGTGTGCAATTCTCTCCGTCACAGAACGCAGCTATGTGTTGGGGACTGAAGTTGTGCACACGACCATGGTAAGCGAGATATACTCTATTATGAAGGGTATGAGCATAAGTCAAACAGTGGCACACGGAACTCCTTGCTGATCTGGTGACATACTAGTTAAGATTTTCATTTCACACAGTTTGGAAGAGACAAGATGCACGATTGCGTGCTGCGGCTTGCGTCGTTTCAGATTGTGGTGTGGTGATTGATGAGGCAGTCAGAAAGCAGGCAAAGATCATGTGTAGACGCAGGGGAAACTGGTAACATGAGCATAAACCAGCTCAACAAGCGGCATAACTTATCCCATGTCTAAGTATCCTGTGTTATTAGCAACACCAAGCAGACAATGATAGTTGCAGCTCAATAATGTTCTTTGTCTCCTAGCATTCTGAGAGGTCAGCAACCATCTGTTCTGCAGCCCAGAAGACTTAAAGATCACTACTGCACAAACGCATAAAGCACAGGGGAGAATTTCATAGATAATATTCAACAACCATGTGCTCTTATATCGCCATTTTCTATGCTGTACGCTACCTGTCTTACACCCCTCCCGCCCGAACCAACTCCAACTACCCAGTCTACTCAAGCAAGCTCGCAGCTCCCCAATGGATCACATGAAACTTAACGTAGTCAAAGCAACCAAACCAGCCAAACTATTCCCCAAGATGTATATCGTGCCATATGGCCAGCGATCAGTGATAAATCTTCTCGTAGTAAATCCCCCCTCTCCATAAAAAAAAGCCAAGGCCAAAGATGAAGCGACTCCCAACACGCCCAAACAAACAATCTGATCAGAGCAGGCATGCAAAAAAACCCTACGCCTTTTCAATGATGACGACAATGATGATGATGATGATGATAAACAACCGAACCGACCCACCCGTCCATTCATCCATCCATCCCAACCCATCTTTCCACATAATGCTACGGACATCCCTTTTTCATTCCCAACGATTACATCGCCCTCACCTCTTCCCCCTCTTACTCCTACCCTGGACAGCCTCGACCTCCGCCTCTTGCTGCTCCCTCTTCTTATTGCTCGGCTTCCGATTCCGCCCACCAGTCCTCGGTACGGGCTCGGCGCTATGCAAATGTCCAATTTCCTCGATCGCCATCGTGTTCACCCACTTCATGCAGCGGTACGGCGGCGGCTGTTCCTGCTGTTGTTCCTTCTGCTGCTCCTTTTGTTGTTGCTGGGTCCGGCCGCGAGTAGTCATCCTCTTGCCCGTTGCTCCGTTCGTTTGGGCAGCAGCTTTCTCCTTCTCCTTCTCCTCCTCCTCTTTCTTCCTCCGCTCTTCCTCCTCCCGCTTCTTCTCCTCCTCTTCCTTCTTGTTAGCCAGCTCCAAATACGCCTTACGGTTCTCCATGTTCTTGACAATCTTATCCCGATAGTTGACAAGCTCCTTGCGCAGCTTCAGCTCATTCACACCTCGTGGATCTAACCACGCCAGCAGGGCATCCACGTCCTCCGGCGTATCGTAGTATCCCCACTGGCAGGCATTGAAAACACTGGTCTTCCCTTCCTCTTGGCGCTTACGTTCAGGAACCGTCATGCCCATCTTCGCCCGGTACTCTTCCTGCCACTCGGGCTGCATGTCGATGTAGCCGATGCGTTCGAGCTCGTCGGGGCCCTGCACCCAAATACATCCGTTTGCGTAGCCAGCCGAGGCCGTCGAGCTGTTGGGGAGACCGCCATAGGGCATACCGTTGCGTTCGAACCAGTAGTACCGGTTCCAGAACCGATCCTTGCCCAAAACCCTCGTGCGCGGGCAATCGGCCTCACGGAGATCATTGTCGATGACGGCAATCTCGCGCTCGCACTCGGCGATCTCGGCCTCCTTCTTCTCAATGTCGCGGAGCACTTTTTGGAACTGCTTTGACTGCTTAGGCTGCTTGGCCGCAGCTTCGGCTTTCTCCCTCCTTTCTTTTTGCTGCTCCTCGGCCTTGCGTTTGCGTTCGGCCGCGCGGTCCTGGCCGCGGCGCAGCTTGCGAGCAAGATCATCTTCTGAGTCTGGGACCTCGTCGGCAGACGTGTTGGCCGGCAGGTCCTCGACATCGGACATCTTGACGTCCCCATTAGTCTTATTAGCATTAGCAGGTTCCAGCGGCGGGCTGGGGGGCAGGTTGTCGGGCAAGAGGATCTTGCGCTGGTCGTTGAGAGCCTTGAGCTCCTCGATCCTTCTTTAGTCAGCATCCCCGTATTACATAAGCTAATTAGAAAGGGGGAGACCCACAGTTGCTTCCGCTTCCTCTGCCACTCGATCTTTTCCTTGCGATACGCCGTCATCTGCTCGCTGCAATCCTCCATGTACCCACGAATAGCCTTCGTCTCAGCGGTGAGCATGCAGATGATCTGCAGCGCCTGCACACGGTAGTTGACATCCATGGTCATATACCGATGGTTCACGGTGTCGCGGCTAGGCTCCTTCTCCTCGGCCGGCACCAACTGCTGAAGAAGCTCCTCACAGCGCTCCTTGAGGCGCTCGTTCTTCGACAGCTGATGCAGCAATCCGACCATGATTAAATGCCAGCCGCCATCGCGGAAGTCACGCTTGCGCAGATGCTCAATCCAGTCATATCCCTTGAGCACTTCCTCGGCACGATGCTTCGGCGCATTCGCGGCCTCCTGGGCTTGCCTTTCTGCCGCAGCCTTCTCCGCCGCCAATCGCTCGGCCTCGCGCCTAGCCAGACTACTCCTGGTAGCGCGGCCGGTCGGCTGGGGCTCCGGCTCCGGCGTGGGTGCCGCGCTCTCCTCCTCTTCCTCGTCATCTTCCTCGTCCTCGTCCTCCAGCTCCGGCAGCTGGATCTGCACTTTCCCGCCCTCAGCCTCGGAGCTGACAAGAATCTTCAACACCGCACAATGGATCTCATCAAACAACTGAATTGGCGTCTCCTTCGATGCGACACACATTGCCTCGACATAGTCGTCAAAGGTAAATGAGTCGAGCTTGAAGATCTCGCAATACACGTTGAGCGTATCCCACGTTTCCAATAACGGACCGACCGACTTCATCAGCAGCTTGTCGCTGTACGGAATCGGGGCGGCCTCGGGACCCACATCTTCGACAGGGATGTCGCGACATAGGTACTTGAGTTGCGGCCGGACCAGACCGCGAGACTCGACCTGAAGGTCTTCGATCGGGTACTTCGGCGGCGGTGGAGGAGGAGGCGGGGGTGTCGGTTCGCGCGGTCGATTCGTGAGGCTCGGCAATGTGGGCACTTGGCCGCGGAAGTCGAGCGGGAACTGGAAGGGGTTGCCGGGTAAAGGGGTATGGTAGAAGCCACCGGGCTCGTGACCGCCGAAGGTACTATGTTTGCCCTTAATCGTGATCTGCGTCTGCAGCGCCTGCTGAGCCTTGGACTTGTGGCTCTTAGGCGCCGGCTTGAGCTCGGGCAAGCGCACGGGGCCAGTGGGGCTCGAGGGGTCCAGAGAGTGGATTGAATTATCGGCAGCATGCTGGGCGAGCTGTTGCTTCTTCTGGGCCTGGAGCTGCTTGCGCTCCTGCAGCTTTGTGTCGTAGCGCAGATGGGCCGGGATACGGGTGTCGATGTGGTACTTCTCGGCGACATCGTGCTTGACCAGCCAAGGAGCGCCGTTCCAAGCTTCGCGCGTGACCGTTTTCTTGATGAACGACCGTAATACCGACTTCGTGAAGACCTTGCGGTCGCGGAAGATATGCTGGTCGTCCACAACGGCTTCCTCGTCGGGGCGGTCGTCCAGGCTAACAAAGTAACGCGAAAAGGGCTGCGTGAGAGAGCCGTCCGGCAGAACCTTACTACCGAAGCGGGTCTTGTCGCGCACTACTCCTTTTAGGCGCTCTCCGCCCAGAATGTGCACCGTCACCTGTTCGCCAGGATAGTAGTCATTCTTGAACTCTTCGTATATTTGGTCCACCAATGTGTCGATGCGCGACACGGTCTGAAACTGGACACGGCGGAGGATGGGGCCTTTGAGGGCCTCAGGGAATGCCTGGTCGACCTCGGCGCCCTCAGAGGTCTGCGCGTGTCAGTAAGCGCCATATATGACTATTCGGAAGGAAGACATACCTCGCTCTCGAGGGCATCGAAGAAAGTGAGGCCCGAATGGCCCGTAATGGTACAGATAAAGCGTTTCTAAATTTTGATGTAAGTCAAACTGCCGGCGACGGTATAACAAGGGGCCAGCATAACATACCTGCTTATAAAAGTCCATTCTGCCAGATGTTAGCGTCTTTGGGTAGAGGTGACGACTTATCACGCGCTACTGACCTATTCAGATAGTCCTCATATGAGGTAAAGATTTCACCCGTCTGGGGAATGTGCCAGACCTAGGCGCGGTAAGGTCAGCCACAGCCAATTGGCCCCAAAATGCAAGCAGCCGGGAAGGGAGGGGGAGGAGCAAGGAGGGGCGCACCTCTTGCGATTCATCTTCTATATCTGGCGGCGGCACAAACTGTACCGGCTTGCGCTTAAAGAGCACCTTTCCGAGAAAGAGATTCGGTTAGTCTAGACAGAACGAACACAAAGGTGATCCACCAGACGCGAGGGAGGGGCTGTCGGGACCAGATGCCAAACAATAGCTGGGTCCTGAAGCCAAGATGGTGCCTTACCATGGTAAAAAAAAAAAAGTAGATGCAAGGCTGAGATTGGGGGATCTCAGCCTCGTGGATTGGTCAAATTAGACGGGTCAAACGCGGGGGTCGCGAGTAGGCGTATGAGTTGCGACGCGTTCTCCGGTAAGCTTGTGGGTAGTGCTGTCGTGGCCGCTAGGCAGCGGATGGGGATGGGTGGAGAGAGGAGAAGCTGGGTGCGAAGGCGGCCAGGGAGAGAAGCAGGAGAAGACTGAGAGGTGGCCGCGGAGAGTCAATCAAGCATGCAAGGCTGCGTAAGAGGGCCGATGCGGGCTCGAGGCTGATACTCTGTAGGAAGACTCGGTCTGCTAGGTAAAGTAAGGAAACGGCAGTGTAAGTAGTGGTGAGTAAATGCTGGATAAGTGCGCGGGGCTGTGTAAGTGGCAGCCGTGTGAGCTGGGAGCGTGACGTGGTGATAGACGGATGGTGATGTTGTTGCAGTGGTGCGCGCCGCGAGAGGGCGAGAAAAAAATGAAGGGGGAGGAAAACGAGAGTGGTGTGCAGGTGTGCGAGCAGGAGGAGGAAAAGTTCAACAAGAGCAAGGGGCCGGGGCCCCCATGGGATGGGCCGCAGCGTGCACTGCTGTGTGGATGGACCGTGGGCCGTGGGCCGTCCACCGCGGGCCATCCATGAGAAGGGAAACGGCAAATGGAGAGCACGGGCGAAGCAATAGACGCAGCCTGTGAGTGGTCCATGACTGGCTGGAGATGGCCCAGAGTGCTGGGCGGGTGCTGGGCGGACAGCCTTCAGCGGCCTGCTGCCATCCGATGTGGGTCCTTACCTGCTTCGATCCTCGCTCATCCCAGCTCCTCCACCCGACGCTTCTCTCACTCTCCCACACCCCCGACCACCCGGGGCCCGGGCCGCGTGCTTTGCCGCCGCCAGCACGCCGCAGCACGCACGCCTTGCCCACGTTCTTGTACTCGTTCTGCTCGCCGCGACGAGCTCTACACCATGAACCCAATATTACCTATATTTGACCTGATTTGATTGTTTTAGGGCCTAAAAAAGCTTGTTGCACTTTTCTTCTTCCAAGGGTAGGGGTCCGCAGCCCCAAGCCTGACAGGCACACGGGCGACCCGGGGACACCGCGTCGGTCCCACGACACAGACTTGGCTTTCTTGACGCGTTCCTTGACCGCCCGATCATCATTTGCATCATCTCTTTCCAGGCAGTGCAGGATTTGGTCATATGCAGTACCCGCTTGAGCTCAACTTGTACGGAATTGACAACGTGAAGTTGATGTTGATATTCATTAAGCACGCGGCTCCCGTGCCAAGCCTTTGCCCCAGGTACCGCGCTAGCAGACAGGTGATCCCCAGGACTTGCCTCTGCTCCATTGCCAGCGAGCTTGCTCGCTGCAAACACGGCCAGAACAGTCGGTATTTCATCCCTACTTAAGCGTTGGAAAAGTCCCAAAACTTCTTTTCCAGGAGAAAACAAAACTAGGCCGATATCTTTCATCTGATGCAAGCTACATTTTTCGCTCTTGTAAGTGCATGTGGCGGAAGTTGCCGTGTAAGGCAAGCCTTGTTTCCAAACCATATGACACATGGATTTTTTGATGTTCTACCCAGAATTTTCTATTGCCAACGGTCGGATGAAGCCCAATTCCTCGTCTTGAAGCTTCTGCCAAAAGCCAGCTGTTCGAAAGCCCGACATACGGTGGAGAGCCCAAAGGTTGGGTTTTTGTTTGCTGAAACGTCACTTGTGAAAATGTGGGTCCACAACGTCCCGCGCATGAGGCTGACAGCCCGGGGGTGAGAGCTGCAGCCTTACAAAGATTTCGACGCTTTGGCATTCACAAATGGACAAACAAGCAATCGCTCGGTCAAAGGAATAATGATACCCTAGGGTTATCAACTTGTCGACGTTTTCATCTCGAATTGCCCTTTCATGCAATGCTCCAAGCTTCAGCCGCAGCATGCGGCTGCTCGACTCGATCTTGATCAAATGCTCGCTTTCCCCACACCAAAGCCGCAGCCAATTAACTTCTCGAAAAAAGCCAAAATCAGAACCAGGGTTGTTTGCTGACTAAGCGAACAAACTTCTGGTTGGGTTCGAGAGCTGCAAAACAGAGGCTTGTGTGACCCCAGGGTAAGACGAGACTGGAGGACTAGGCTTGGGACTTGAGACATTGTATACTTTTGAGGGGAGAGTATTAGAGGTCTCAAAATCATGAAGTCTAAATAGGTATCTAGAAATCTATCAAAGTTTAGGACGTAAAATACACCACCATAAACCCAACCCAACTGCCAACCACTCCAATAGCCGAGTACGAGCTGGTAAACATGAGAGGCAAGAACTCGTACTTGTTGCCAAAGAGTATGCCATGCACCAACGAGCAGTACACAATCAGTGGAATGCTGACTGTGATGTACAGAGTGCTGAATCGGTCGAACAAGAACAGCCGTGCCCTGCTTGCTGCTGGCGCAAGCCGGTCAAACACCATTAGGAACAAAATCAACCAAAAGACTGTGTAAACTGTCTTAATCGGGAACTCAGCAGGCGTAAACAGCAGCGGGAACAGCGACACATGACCCGCCACAGCAAGCGGCCGAAAGGCGCCCAGGAACCGCCGATCGCGTAGCGCAATGAGACTGAATGGGATGATAACCAGCAAAATGGCTTTCTCATGCACGTGCCAGCCAAACAGAAACGACGCAAACCCGCAGAGGGTGACACCTGCCACAAAGTTCTCCCAAGTCGGCTGCATGAACAATCTGGCCAGCGGGATCGCCTGGAACAGCAGGGTCAGAACGAAGCACACGCGGGGCGAGACGTCGGGTAGCACGGCAAAAGCCGTATCGCCGACTAAACCACGCGTGGTGCTCGTCAGCGCGCCTTCCTTCAGCGGCAAACCCAGGCGGGGAGCGATGAGGATCAGCACGCGGTCGACAAAGGAGTACATCGCCCAGACATTCGGAGCCCAGTAAGCGTGGCAGAGGCCGCGCGAGAAAGGGAACAGCCGGCTGAAGATCTGGGAAATCTGGCCGCGGAGGGCGAAGGGGCCAAAAGCAATGCCGAAGACGGAAGTCAGGCCGAAGCCCAGTTTGACGCAGTTGAGCCACTGGATGCGGAAGATAGACCGCGGGGAGAGGCAATAGGCGCGCAGGAGAAAGACGAAGTAGGCCGGCGCCAGGTAGAGGTAGATGTGCTTCATGCAGAGGAGGGCAGCAAAAGCCAGCCCGCTCCACAGCAGAGTCGACTTGTCGCGGCCCAGGACAAGTGACAGGATCAACAGGCCGTACATGCAACCGTTGTACTGGAAGTGGATGTGGTCGATGATGAGCAGGCCGGGGGACAGTAAGATAGAGATGGCAGCGGCTTGTGCGGCACGCTTGGAGACGACGCTGCCGCCGCCGCCGCCGCTCCGTGGGGACGAATCGACGAAGATCTGGAGGGCATAGACTAGCAACAACTCCGTGATGATGACGGTGAAGCGCTGGAAGTAGACTGTCTGCCAGCTAGCGTACTCTAGGTTGTAGACCTTCAGCATGGCCGGGTCGACCAGCTTGGCCACCTGCGACATCATCCACTCGAAGTAGGCGAAGAATGGCGGGTAGTCGAGTGTCCATTCTGACGTCTTGTCGTAGTACCACTCCCATAAGGGCAAGCTGTGGGTGATGGCGAGCCAGTTGCGGTGGACCTCGAAATCTGTAGACTTGCTGCGAGGTTGTCAGCTTGGCGAGCCATAGCAGGAAGGGGAAAGACAGGCAGAAGACATACTAGGCCGGGAACAGCAAAATCTTCAGCGCAGCCGCCACAATGGCGCACTGCGTCAGGGACGGATAGATGTCACCCATGGCGGCATGAACGTGCTGCCATAGACCAAGGGGCGCGCCGTCACATGGAACTCCCAGGCTCGCTGGCAGCAGTAAGGTGCATGCTGCCGAATACAAGCCCAGCACGAAATGCGGTGGGTCCCAAATTTTGGGGTCGAGTTGCTGTCCTACCAGCCCCTTGCCGCCGCTTGGCGCCACAGTTCTCCAAAGGCACCAGCCACATCCACACAACGGACGCCCAGACCCGCGTGGGTCAGATGGGGACTAGTTTGGCCTACCCCTGGTTTCACCTCGCCGCCGCACAACCCGTTGGAGGAATTGGAGCAACAGCTTCCGCAACGTTGGAAGCTCAGGCTGCGCCGTTGCCGTTGCCCGTTGTCGGTTGCCCATTGGAGCACGCTGTCCTTTTGGGCTTGGCGGAGAGTGTCCTCTGAGCTTCCATCTGGGCTGCGGTAACTGGGTATCATCTGTTACAGGGTTCATCTTAACACCAGGTTATCACCCTCCCCCGCCATTATCGTTGACATCGTAGAGGTACCACAAGCCCCTTCAAGATCGTCGAGAAACAGTAATATAAAAGAAAACACTCAGAATCTGCCAGCTTGCGCATTACCCCAGCAGCCATCCGAAACATCGACGCCCGTGCATTATATTCCTGGTCCTTGAGCCCCTCATCTTCCCCTTTGGCCACGGAGGTACATCGACCTGCTCCACATCAGCCAACCCGACCTGGAGTTACTTACCCAACCCCAACCTACCGCCGGGCCGGCCCTCGCATCGAGAACGTGCAAAGTGTCCTCATCACTACCCATTGCTTCTCTCATCCGCTCGCTGCCCTCCGACCGAAGCGGCAGCTGCAGCAGCTCCGTTACCCATTCGCCGGAAGCTAGACCCGGGAAGCCGACGCTGTTCTGCTCCTCGCCAAAGTAATAAATAATTTTGTTGTCTTCCTCGAATTTCTTCTCTCGGCTTCAACCTTTCCTGCCATCGTCGCCAATCTCAAGAATAATACCCTGCGCAGCAACATGCGCTTCTCGTGGGGCCTGTCAACGCTCGCTGCTGGCCTAGCCACTGTGCAGGCCCAGTATCTTATCAATGAACTCAGCTTTGGCTTCAACAACAGGTATGCCATCCTGCTGGCCACAAGTGCCACCATAAATACGTCGCTAACCGTTCGTGCACAGGATATCCCCCGAAGGGAGCCGCTCAGTCCCCAATTTCTCTCTCCAGGGTCGCCCCACGCTCCCTGAACTCCTCTCCGACCGTATCATCTTGACCCCAGTGCACCCGGGCAATCAACGGGGAGCCATTTGGGCCGACAAGACGCTGCAGCAGAGCACATGGATCGCAGACGTCGAGTTCCGCGCAAACGGCCCGGAACGTGGCGGCGGCAACTTCAACATCTGGCTGGTGAAGGACGGTTCCCACGCGGTAGGCACCAACAGTGTGTACTCGGTCGGCCGCTTCGAAGGTCTGGTGCTGGTGATTGACCAGCATGGAGGGTCCGGTGGCATGCTGCGTGGCTTCCTGAACGATGGCAGCATCGATTATTCATCGACTCGGGATGTGGACAACTTGGCTTTCGGTCACTGCCGCTTCGCGTATCGTAACCTGGGTCGCCCGACGCAGATCAAGTTGCGTCAGACGGAGACCAAGTTCAGCGTGGAAGTCGCCGGGCGCATGTGTTTTGAAAGCGACAAAATCCGTCTGCCTAGCGGGTACAACTTTGGTGTGACCGCCAGCTCGGCCGACAACCCCGACTCGTTTGAGGTGTTTAAGCTCGTTGTCCTCACAGGGGAGAACAGCCACGAGTACGCGGGCATGTACCAGACCCAGCAACAAGCCCAGCAACAGCAACAGCAGCAACAGACCCAGCAACAGCAACAGCAGCAACAGACCCAGCAACAGCAACCGCCCGTCCAGCGCCGACAAATCATCCCCGACGATCCCTACGACAATATCATCCCCGACGAAGATCCCGACAAAATCGTCTCCTCCAAAGCCCAATTCGCCGACCTACACAACCGCATCCAGTCCGTCAACCACCACCTCTCAACCATCTTCCGCTCTATGGCCCAGAACGCCGCTATCCTCGAGCAGCGCCACTCTGAGACCTCTCAGCTCATCTCCGACATTAAGGGCCTGCTCAGCAGCAACAACCACGTTGTGTCCGAGCGCCTGCGCAGTCTGGAGAACAAGATCCAGGAGCTCGACAGGCAGATTACCCAGCTGCAGAGCGAGTTTCATGCTCGCATTGGCGCGTCAGAGAACGCAATTATGATGCATGTCAGTGATAGGCATGCGGCTCTCGCGGGCGATGTCAGGGAGCATACTTCGAGTGGGTACATGAGATTGTTGATTATCCTGCTTGGTGGGCAGGCGGCAATGGCTGGCGGGTACTTTTATTACAAGAAGAAGAAGATGGCTGTGCCGAAGAAGTATCTGTGAAAGGGCTTTCCCACGGCAGATTTATGTTTCCATTTATTTTATTGTTAAACGTACAAACAAAAAGCATGAACGCATAAGCAACCAGGGAGGAATAATATCCTGAAAGGGTTGGACAGGAAAGTGGCATATCTCTCATCGACTGGCTCATGGCGATGATGGATGATGGATGACTGGAACTTGAAATGCTGAACATTGATTGTAACGGTGGGATCTATAAGGCGTTTTCTTGATTTGGTTTGGCACTTTTGGAATTGAGCTGAGCGCTGGCTGGCAGGCGTACATACCCCTCCTGAACCTAGAGCGATGGTTGTCTCTCTGTACCTACATGTACCAAGTAAACATGTGCCTCGGATTGGTGTTGTAGAAGTTCGGATGGAGTAGGTAAATGATATCCATATAGCATTATACCTCTGATATCGGCTCAGTTGGTGATTGCATCTCCAAAATCCTCTCACTAGATCCCTAAGCAACCCAACAATGCATGCCCAAACATGGGAATCCCAGACCACGTCAAACCTAATAAACTTCAAAGTCGAATCCCACATCAGACAAACAACACAAATTGATAGATACTCCCAATGGCCCTTGTCTCACAACCCATTAACAGCAGCAAGCAGCTCCCCAACCTCCTTCGGCACATTCGTCAAGTTCTCCCACCCGTCCTCCGTCACCAGGATATCATCCTCAATCCTGACCCCTCCAACATCCCAATACCTCGCCAACACCTCTTTATTGATATACCCCCCATGCAGCGCATCATTTAAAAAGTACGCCGTGATATACTCCCGGCAGAAATAAATTCCCGGCTCGATCGTGACAATCATGTTCCCTTGCAGGATCTGTCCTTTGCGTTTCGTCGGGTCGGAGGAGGGGCCTTGCTGGATCTTTTCTGATCCGGCCCCGTACTTGGTTCGGAGGGTAGTCGAAGGGGCGTCATATGTCCTGACCAGAGTAGCTAACATCTCTGCCGTCACGCACTGCCTCTTCCTTCCAACGCCCGACCTGCGCCTGTTTAGCACCCCGGCGCCGATTAAGACCCCGCACGACTCCCAGATCGCTGCGCGGGATGGGCCTGCTGCCGGGAAGGGAACAGACGAGACATACTCCGGCAACATGAGCAACCTCTGATCGCCGCTCACGTCGTGTACCTCCAGCCCGACGTGGTGCCCAAGGCCGTGTGGGAAGAATGCGGCGACAGTGCCTCGGTGCCAGATCTCGTCGAAGGAAACTCCGGGACGTCCGAGAATGTTGAGGTCCATCAGACCCTTAAGCGCAACTCGACAAGCGTGGAGGTGAATAGCTGCGAAATCGACTCCCGGAGCCACGAGGTCAATACACTCCCTTTGCATCTTCAGCACGAGGGTATAAATTTCTTCGGCCTCCTTGGTGAATCCCAACCCGTTACCCGATACCGTCAGCGGCAGAGTACGTGTGATATCACTGGCATAGCACTTCCACTCTGCTCCCGCGTCCAGCACAACGAGCTGCTTGCCGGGGAGGGGCTGGTCGTTCTCTTCGTAGTGAAGAGTGCTGGCTGCTGGGCCGGCGGCCGCGATGACCGGGTAGGCTTGGGTCGGCGCGCCGTGGGCGATGCAGTAGCCTCGGAAGATGGCATCGATTTCGCGCTCGTTTTGTAGGCAAGAGAGACGGGACTGGACAAGCTTATGGGCGGCGCTCTGTCATGGGTTGTCAGCAATTGTCGAATGAGGATTGATGTGCGTGAGGAACATACCGAAACTGCATTCGCTCTCCGAATCATCTCAATCTCATACTGCGTCTTGATCACCCGTGCGCGATCCATCGCCGCTTGCAACTTAACCGAATCAATCACCACGGTCCCCTTGGTTCGATCGAACTGCGGCGCCTGCTCCGGATGCAGGACGTACAGCGTCGCGCCGGGGTCGAGCGAGTTGTTCAAGTACCGCGGCAGCCCGGCGATATACCGCACATCGTCGACATCCGACGCATCTTTGCACGCCTCGATGCTCGGCCCACGGCCGTACCAGAGCACCTTGCGCGGATCCGTGTACGGGATCCAAAGGATCAGCCGGTCTCTTGTAATGTCGTAGGTTACGGCGCAGCCGGCGTGGTCGGCGCCGGTGAGGTAGTAGAAGCTTGGGGAAGGAGGGGAGGGGTTAGCTGTCAATACCTAGAGGGTAAAGGGGTTGGAAGACGTACTACCGCCGCTGGCGAAACTTAGGCCCTTGGTCAGAATCCTCATAGAGTGTGTCCTCCTGGCCGAGGAGATAAATCATGCCAGACGGCACACCCAGCTCGGTTGCGACCTTGCGCGCGTGGGTTTTAGCTGCTTTCATGTCAGCCTAGTCTCATAGACGAGGATGAACGCGGCTTGCCTACCCGGAAACTTCCCAAGGTCCGCATGAAGCCATTGCAAGAAGCGCCTCTCCTCAGCCGGGTCATTGCTCGAAAAGAGAGGGAATGATGGCTTCTGCCGAGCCTCCTTGGCCTTCCCCAACTCACGCAAAGGCGATGAAGACTTTGAAGTGCGGGTTCTGAAGCGAAGAATGAAGGTTACCACAGGGACCAGACCCCAGCGCCGACTGGCGATAGCATAATGGAGCGCTTACGTTGGGGTGTCAACAAGCAGCGCGTCAAATTCGTCAATGGGGACCAGCTCGTAATCGGAGCCCATATTGATCAAAGAATCACGCGCGATTCAAGTTTGCTGAGTATTGAGGGTTTTGAGGTCAAGAACCGCAACATCACATCCACCGCGCTCGGCAATGCCCGCGGTGACGTATGCTATCTCCGAGCGGAATCTCGGACTGAGAACCTCAACGGCAGCGGTGCCAAGCGATGAACCCGGTTGTTCAATTCGGATATACGACAATATCAATTTCAATCACTTGAAGATTACTCGTGCCAATTGTAATAAAGAAAAAAGAACAGCGTCAGGATCAAGGCGAGAGCTCCGAGGTCTTGTATGACCAAAGGTTACAGGACAAGTCTGTGGACACTCGGAGAACCTGCCCGTTCTCCTCGCTCTCTCTCTTATTAAGAAGCGCCTGGCGTCTGGGGCGTCTGTGATCCTCCGCGGAACCAGCCTTTGTCCAGGGTCCAGGGTTACTGTACGTTACATACGTTACACTTATCCCGGGCTTCAGCGATGTTAATGACGGAATTTGTCCCGAAAGGTTTTGCGAACAAAAACAAAGGTCAGTCTCGTGAGCCCTAGCATGCATATCGTTTCACTGATCTGATTGAAATGATTGAGTATTTGGCAGATTTCTCTGCTGGTTGATAGGATGTTGACCATCTTTCCCGTGATGCCGCGCCTTTCAGTTGGTTACGCTCGTGGGTCACGTGTTTGGCCGGCAGCCTTCAACATGTGATCCTGTATTTACCGTATGGTAGAAAACACGAAAAACATGGAGCGAACGACCATCCATTTTGATGATCAACCCTGTGATTCTTTGCTAGGTAAGCACGGGATAGCACGGGATATTGACCCCTTTTGGTAGGACCTAAGCATAATGCCACGCCAGACATCATCAGTTACCTTACTTTTCCACTCCAGAGCCTGATGGGCATTCTTAAGTCTTTAACTGCTCTTCCTACATGGACCCCCTTGGTTTCCCCAACACTCCTTTAGGGCCTGACTCGAGGCAAGGAAACAATGAGCATCAACCAATTCAGTCACAGACAATCAAGAAGAGTCATCAACTTCATGTGGGAGTTAAGATTATCAATTAAACCTAGCCCAGAGTACAAGTGCCAAAAATCCTTGGTTCACCGGTGTCCAACTCCGTCTATCTACTTATCTATAGGTCGCCTCTATATAATCGACTGTACCAAATATGCACCATCCAACCAATGGTATCCCAACTCCATGAATGCATATCCAAAAAAAGGAACAACCCAAAAAGACAATAACCCAAATCGACTAACTTTTCCTCCTCTCAAACCTCTTAAACCTTCTTCAGCTCCTCCTCCGACACAACCACCGTCCCCTCATCCTCTGAGGAGCTAGTCAAATTCCTCGCCGACCCGGACGACGTCCCTGGCGCACGCACCTGGCTCATCTCCTCATTTTTTTGACCACCATCATCCTCACCCTGCTTCTTCTGCCACTGCTCCAACACCCTGGCCGCTTCCGCTGCATACTTGCACTTCTGCCGAATTTTCTCACCATAGATATAGAACAACAGCGGGAACGGCGTGCACGCAAGCGCCAGGAACGCAGGGATCGTACTCGCCCAGTGGATGCCCAGGTCCTGGTACATGTATGTGGTGAATAGCGGGAACGCGGCACCGAACAGTGAGCGCAGGACCGAGTTGGCCGCGAGCACGGAAGCTGCGTAGACGGTATAGCTGTCGATCATGTAGGTGAGGAGAGACAAGAACACGGAGACCAGGCCGGCGGCGAAGAAGGCCGAGGCGATGATCGGCACGATCCAGTGGATGGAGGGGGAATTGGTCCAGGCGAACCAGAAGAGGCCAACGGGGAGGAGGATCGAGCCGGTGATGGCGGGAGGGAGACGAGCTTCGGGGGGCGCCAGACCACCGGGATACTTGGCTGCCAGGGGCATGTACCGGCGCTTGTTGTCAATACCGGAGTACATGACCGCAAAAATCATACCGACAGCAACACCGACGAAGGCAAGACCACCGATCCCAGGCGACCAGCCACGCTTTTGCTGGAAGACGATGGGGAAGGCGGCGAAAAGGAGGTAGAGTGTACCGTAGACGATAGCGAGGTAGATACTGGTGAGAAAGACGATCGGCTCGCGGAAGAGAAGGATCCAGGGGCGCAAGAGTATCGTCTTGACCTGCTCAGAGCGGGGACGTGGGTCCGCCAGGTCCATCTTGGAGATGTAGACCTTGCCGGTGAGCTTGGAGAGCTTTTCGGCGCGGCGGCGGAGGAGGACCGGGGCGTAGGTCTCGGGCACGTAAATGGCGCAGGCAATCCAAAGAGCACCGCTGAAGATGGCCATGAGGCCTTCGACCCAGCGCCAGCCTTCAGCTTCACCCTGTTCAGGAGTCAGGGACAGTTGTCTAAGGGAGAGGGGGAAAGGTGACATACGAGGAAACCACCGACAATGGGACCAATAGAAGGACCCAAGAAGGGAGCCATGGCGAAGAGACCAGCGGCGAGACCACGTTCTGGGAACTGTCAGCAAAGCCCAGACGGCAGCATTAGCAAGTCATATTAACGAACCTTGAGCGTTGAACATATCAGCAATGACACCACCCGAGTTGGTCAGGGGCGAAGCGCCAAAGGCACCGGCAAAGAAGCGCAGAATAACGAGCGTTTCAATATTCTGTGCGCCTGCAGCACCAGCGCTGAACGCAGCCAGAGCAAAGTAGGTGAAGAAAAAGATAATTTGTCGCCCATAGAACTCTACAACCAAGTTAGCTTTTCTCATCCCCTGATCCCAAAAACCTTCGTGGAGAATATCATACCGCTCAACGGAGCCCACAACAAAGGCCCAATGGCGAAACCCAACACAAACAGCGAAATACCCAAAATGCCGATCTCTGTATCCACCTTGAAATACACCAAAATTTCGTGGATGCCGCCCGAGTACGCTGTACTGACAAATGCCACAGCAAGAGTCGCCCATGCCTGCAGGGCAGTAATCACCCACTTCTTCCAGTTCGGGTAGGTCATGGGGTTGGAAGCATCCTGAGGCAAGAAGTCGACAACATAGGGGTTCTCAGCCGTGCCCTCGCCAGGGTAGCGGTAGTTGAGGACGGCGTCGGTCACGCCGTCTGGGTGTAGGACGAGCCAGAAGTGAGGCACCTTGGAGTTGTCGCCGTACTTGGTGGACTGGGCCTCAACGTCCGGTGATGTGACCGGGAAGGTCGAGGAATGTGGTTCGGCGGTCATCGTGGTGATAGGCGTGGTGATGTGATGTGACAGATAAGTCGGTAGTAAGATAAGGCACGTCAGGGGTAACGGAGTTACCTCTCAGGAACGGGCTTCGAAGGTCCATACACAGGACGACGTCACTGGTAAGTAAGGGAATGAGACGCAACTGATGTGCATCTAGATGTCCGTCTCACAGACACCCAGGTCGCCTAGCAAAGACAGCAAGCCACAAGGATAGCGGGTGATTGAGAGGTCGGGGGAGAATATTCGTATTAAATAGCAACCAGCTTGCTGTCCCTCATCCATGCCCAGCCCCCCATCACAGCCCCCATCAGGTCGGCGATAAAAAATCGTGCTTTGTACCGTACGCAGACACTGCGCAAAAGGCACGAATTCCGTTCCCGAACTGCATCCATGGCAGGCAACCCAGGGATGACCGAATGCGCGACTTCAGGAACCACAAGGAGTTAAGCACCAAGGCAATGAATGGGTCCACCCGGGCGCCTTGTAATCCGCATGGCCATGGGACAAACCCCAACGCAATCTCCAGCCAAGCCGGACCCGGGCCTGGGCAGCCAGGCAATGGCGGATTCCTTCCCCTGTCGATTCTCTCACTTGCAAGACCTGTCCTGCCCGCCGAGTCGGGGGACCTGCGGCTCTCATATGGCGATCTTCTCGGCGTCCCGTCGGTCCTGCTTGGCAGACGTTTAGATGACCGTTTGCATTGCTAGCGCGGAGGAGAATAACGTAAAGTTTATACTGGACAAGTCAGTGCTCGTGCATCTCTCTCCCTTTTTTTTTGCCTCTTCCTGTTCTTTCACTCGTTCCTCGTCGAATCCAGTCTCTCATGCTCAGGCTTATTACTCGCCATATAACCAGACTTTCACATAGGGGAGTCCACAGGACAGGGGAAGAGAGATGAGAGGCACAGCACGCAGGCCACCGCAATGCAAGCGCATCCTTGTCTGTCCAAGCAAATTCCGATGGTGACAGTGGATCTTGAATTCGCGCGGGAGAGATCCGCCTGCTGGGTCAGCTGGGCCCAGTTGTCTGGGCATGTGTTCAACTCTGCCGAGGTCGAGCGGGCGGTGACGTGATGGGAGTCGATGTTTGTTGGTTTGTTGATTTCGTCATGGCTCCTCTCCCATCATCATCGTCACCGGTGATGCCCAACCCTTCCGTCGCTTAAGCTCACTGCCAAGGTGATGGGAAACTTTGCATCTCGAGATGCGGCTCAATCAGCGTTACAATGGCAGCTACATATGCACGCGTACACCATCACCAATTTGTCTCGAGAGGACACGAAAAGGAAAACGTCTCATCGCATGTGTGCGGTGGGGTCGACGACAACAGAGGCCTCGAGACACGGAATTCCGGGCCAGGATACGGACGGATTTTGCCCGAAGAGGGGTCAGCCACGGCGGGGTTCGTGTGAGCCTTGTCCGAATCCCGCTTTCTGGAAGATTTGGAGATGCCCCACTTTTTCTCTGTGCCCAGGCTTGTCCACTGCGCCGGCGCACGATGAACAGAAGGGACCAGAGCGAAAAGAGGCAAGTGTTTGCAGATGACGATGCTTGGGCAACACCATAGGTGAGGGGAATGAGGGGTTATGATGTGCTAACGGCTAACATTTGACGAGAGACGGGCAGAGGGAAGAAGAAGAAGAAGGATGTATTTGGGTTTGTCAGCATGAGTGAAGCATGTGGAATCGACAGACCAGACAGCCTCGCTCACTGCTGCCCAAGAGCTCACATCTTGATAGCTGTAGCCAAACTGGACCTGACTGATAAGATCTAGATAAGATTCAGTGTCGCATCCGGCGGTGTCGGTGACAGCAGGTCAAGCTTTGAGCATGAGATCAACCAAAGACAGCTACTGCACCAACGGGCATCGGCCATCTTTCAACCCGCTGCGATCTGCCCGTCAAGAACGGAGACAATAGCGGCCGGTTACAGGACCGTCGCGCGGCGGCTGCTACTCGACTGACGTCCGAGGCTGTGGATCCACCAGACAAGCTCCGCTCTAAGCCCTGGGAGTGGAGCCTGCGGTGGAGACAATCAAGATCGAATGCCAAGAGCTGGAAATCCTGCTCCTTCCAGTCTAAAGGTCGACAAACATCATCGAGGAAGGAACGCCAGTGGGATTAAGGATGTGTGCCATCACAGAGGGAAAAACAGATGGCAGCTACATGGAAGGCGCCACTGGAGGGACGGCTGACAAAATGGCTGGATGAATGCGGGGAAGGAAGGGATGGAACATGGCTGGTCGCACAACAGCTACCTTCTGAGTCCTTGGCTCTCTCCCTTCGTCCCGCTTAAGATCTGAGAAGGTGGCTGTTGCAATTCTTTCCTCAAATTTCCATCGAGGAAGCATCAGGCTTTGAGGGGTAGACAAGTCGGGATTGAAACTTTCTTGGAAAGATGCTCTCAAGGAGAGTCCTCGCGATCCAGCAACTCCCTATTCGTCCCCCTTCGACATCGACACGACGCCCATTCTTCCAACAAGCCGGCTACTCTACACGACCCGACGCTAAGTCCTCATCCCAATCCTCCGGCACGCATTCCCAACCACCCAAAACCTCTCATCTCCAAAATGTCCCCTCCAAACCCGACAAGGAGGCCAATCCAAGCCCCCTCTTCCGCCGCATCCACAAGCTCATCGGCCAGGTGCTCCCCTACTGGGTGCCCCGCGCCCCACGCAAACTTCAATACGCTGGCAAACCCATGGGTCCAGCGGCCTGGCGCCGCCTGAACAACCGCACGCGTCGACGCTGGGCGAAGAAAACCAACCGTGCGCGTCGCCGATTGAGGGCCAAAATCGAGGAGATGAGGGCGAACCCTCCTTTTCAGGTGTCTAAATTGTTGCTGGATCTGGATAGCATCAACTGTCCTGGAGTGAGGCCTTATACGGAGGAGGACGAGAGGATGCTGACGGAGCAGTGGAGGTCTACACCGAGCATGGATGCCCTTTATCAGAGGATGTGTGCCCTGAAAAAGGAGATCGAGCAGGCCAAGTTCAGGTGGAATGCCCCGTTGTTCCCGCACGATACGAGGAGGGTGACGGAAAGGGATGTCCTCGCCGTTGCGTTGCTCGGTGTACCCGCCCCGGTGAAGACTGCTGGGGATGAGACTGCTGCGCTGCAGGAACCCCCACTGGGGTATTTCGACTCGCAGGCTGCATGGTCGATTGGCTTGCCCCCACGGATCACGGAGGACATTCACCATACTACGCACATGCTGCTTCACCGGCTACGAATTCAACCTAAGCTGGAAGCAGAAAAGATGGACACGCCTAACGGGCTGCGTCGCTCACTCGACCGTGTGTTCAGAGTGGAAGACAAGCTGGAAACAATCCAACGCCTGGTCGCCCCGCTGTTGCAGCAACCCTGGGGAAGACAGCTCGTGCACGGGTATAAGGATGTCATAGTTGGGCTCTGTGCGGGAGGATTGGAGAAGGAAAGCCGGCAGCAGGCGTGGCGTGCGTATTGGTTCTTGCAGAATATCTCGGCAGCGTTGGAAGCCGATGGGTTGGGGCTGGAGTTGGAGGGGTATGCCCAGATTAGGAGAGTGAGGGAGAGGTTGACTAGGGAAGAGCTGGCTCTGGAGATGGGGGATAAGAGGTGATGGTTGAGATGATGGATACATATGTGGGAGTCGTAGAGCTTGGGTGAGAGGCAATGATACGGGTACAATCTGGCATGCAACCACGTCTTAAGCCATACGTCTTGCTATAGATTCCGGTCTTACTTCCTTCATGTTAGGAAGTATCTTTAGAGGCTTCATCCTGAACTACCTACAACTGATGGTTTTCACTTTGATTCGAAGCCTACCATGGTACAGGGTTCGCGACTTCGGTAGCCTCTCGTGGGTTTATGGATTGCTTCCATGATATTTATGCAGATGCAGCCTTGTTCCATGGGTCTCGAGATTGCGTCAGTAGAATCGAGTCTGGTCAACACTGATCCAGTTTTTTCTGTGTTTTTCTGGACCTGTTTTACTCCTTATCTCCCCCCCTGCTCAGCCTAACAAAGCCCGGTCTCCCCGGCCCCCGATCATGTCTCAGTCTCAGCCTTAAAACGAGATCCCCCACATATGGCGTCCGTTAACGAACGAACCGCAGCCCGACCGTCCCCTCCACCCGTCGTCGGAGAAAGAGGGATCGACAGCTATTCGGACCTGCTCCCTGATCTCTGCGGACCGTCTCATTGGACCGTTGTCCGGATTACGGGTGCACAACAGCGGCTCTTGATTAACAACAGCTTCCCCTTTAGGGGTGTATCTTTCTCGGTCTGGTTCTTCGACCTGACGGGCTACTGCCGCAGAGTGCCGTTGGTTGGGTGAGGGAGGGAGGTGGAGGTAGATGTAGTGGTTAAAGTTTCAAAACGAGGTGTCTGCAGGGTGCAGATGCGATGCGCAGGCTCAACAGGGCAGGGTCCTGAATACAGTGAGTTAGTACATACCTGAAAGAAAGATGAGGATCTATGGAGACTTACGGTGATCATCTCCAGTCCTACGTGGTGTGATATTCCTCCGCCCTAGAAGGTCTCACAATAAACAACCAAGCTGTCATCACCATTTACTTATTCCCTCCGAGCCAATGATCGATCTTCAATTCACCTGTCCGGAAGATACAAACTGTGATGCGTAAACGCCGGCTGTTCCATACAGCGTGTTGGTGCGTGTGCGGCGCATATGTGTGACGCCCACTAAAGGACGGTTGCAGCCTTGCACAGATGGGGAAGATCGAGTGAATGGACTGAATTTGGCCTGCGCAGTGGCACCGGTTAGGTATCCTGTCGGTCTGCTGGCGATGCTGCCTCGCTGAGCCATCCATCTACCGCTTAGCTCGCGTGGTGGTTTGTGACTGTTGCTTGAGCGGTTGTGTCAGCTAGGGCTCTTCTGTGACTGTGTCGTGTTCCCTCCTCTGTCGCGCCTCAGTCCGTTGCATTGTACATCCGCAACTCGTCTCCCTTTCTCCCTTTCAGTCTCCTTCATATTTCACGAAGGAGTCATTGTGGTAAAGTGTGGTAATATTTACCCCATACTAGTGCGACTGTTTTCTTGTCGAACTTGTCCTGACGAGGTTCCAACGCCCTCTACACAGCCTGCGTTCTCACCCGATCACGTAGCCAACTAGTTCCTCGAATCGGCATCTTCACCTGCAATCGTTTTTCTACCGTTCCTTAATCGAAGCGCTACTGGAACGAGATCGCCTATCTACAACGGCAATATATCGAGTGAAGATTGGATCAAGCATGGCTGAAGCGTCTTGCTCCGATCTACGCCCGCCATGACAACCGTGCAAAGAAACATGCGCGACATCGCCGTTGTGTTATCGGCTCTTCCTAATTCCGAAGAAAAGTTTGACGTTATTTCACACATATCGTGTAGTCTTGTGGTCATGAGGGAGGGACACGACCCCAGAAACAATAAGAATGGGCAAGAGTATGAGACTTTAGCAGCAATGGGTTCCCGTCAACGTGAAGTGATCTTACAGAATCTCGAGTCGCATCCGCGAAGACTACCAACCATACTGATATCGAAGTCAGAGTCGGAACCATCCCGGAGAGATCCGATCGAAGGTCGATCTACCGGTTGTCCATCGAGTCGGACAATATCCGCGGAGAAGGGGCCATCAAGTTCCACAACTTCATTATCACTGACGTCGTCATGGTGGTGGTCACTGATTGTTGTGACAGTCAAGAAATTGACGACATGGCTACGCTTTCTGGTGTTCTTGATCTTGTCATCTTCACAACCGTCACGTCGTAGCCGTCCTCGCTGGCATCATGCGCTGTTTATCTTCATCCTCTCTTTCACCAACAGTGTCTGGGCACGAGTCCATGAAAACAACAAACGCGACATCGATATCAAACTCGACCCTGTCAGAAACTTTTGCAGACGTTGGGGCCATCAGGCTGCTATTGTTGACCGGAGGTTGTATATCGATGGGGGCTTTATCAACTACAACCCTTTGGCGCAATATCCAAAGAACTATACCAGTAAGTACCCAGTTCCGACCTATCATATAGATCTACCAGTTGTTTATGCATATAAGCACGACTGCTGACCCCTTCCAGACACCGGTCTCCACTACCATGAGCTCGACATTCCCGGCCCAGGCCGGATGCCCCAGCTCTATTCCAACCTCTCCAAGCCTGCCGATAAGGTCCCCAGTGTCCATGGCGGCGCCCTCTGGGCCGACGAAGTTAACAAACGGCTTTTCCTCTTCGGCGGGGAATACCCTTCGCCCGACGTCAACACCGACTTCAACCTGGATAAGAACTTCAGGACTGGCGACGACGAACCAATCTTCGTCGAACACCCCGGAATCAGCGTGCTCCTCAAGCGTCAGGAAACAGGACAGCCTCCTGACGAGAGGGAGATGCCTTTGCTCGGGCCTCCGAGAAAGAATAAAACGATTCTTTACAGCTACGATATCCTTACTGATGAGTGGGTTGAAATGGACTTGTCATCTAACCCGTCAGGGAACAGCGGCATTCTGGGCTCAGTTGCCTACGGAGGCTGGACATCTGTCTCGGAGACAGGAGAAGGGTACTTCTATGGAGGGTGGCAGTCATCGCGGACTGTAGCCGACTGGGATGGTCCCCCCAGGCTGGTAAGCGGACTGATTAAGTACCGGATGGATGCGAACCATTTAAGTAATCACACGGGGCCTGATGGGGTAGGGAGGGCGGAAGGTGCGTTGGTTTTTTTGCCGGTCGGGGATGGAGGGATGTTGGTTTATTTCGGGGGCGTGAGGGCAACGGAAAAGGAGGGGGAGACCGAGGCACAGCCGATGGAAGAGGTGTTTTTGTACGATGTGTTGAGCTCGAAGTGGTATGTGCAGAATGCCACAGGTGAGGTGCCGCCGATAAGGAGGAGGTTTTGTGCTGGAGCGGCCTGGCCCGGGGATCAGTCGAGTTATAACATGCAAGTCAACCAATTTCGCTTATCCGATGAGGACTGCGAGCTGACAAACCAGAAGATACCTCTACGGCGGTGCAGGCTTTCCCCCCGAGACCTCAGGCTATGACGACGTCTACGTCCTGTCCATTCCGAGCTTCCAATGGATCAAGCTTCACCCTACAGAAGGCGGCAACGTCACCGGCCAGTGGAAGCATCACTCACTCAGCTGCAACGTTGTAGCCAATGCCCAGATGATTATCATCGGTGGCTGGTTCCCTACCACCAACGACTGTGATGTGCCTGACCAGCACGGCGTCCACAACGCCGATCTGGGCGAACAGAACGAGAAACGTGCGTTATGGAACATTTTTGACCCCAAATTGACAGGATATGCTGTGCCCTCGAAGATCGTGAGCGCAATCGGGGGCGATGCCTCCGGAGGAGCCACCAAGATTGCACCAGACGGAGGATTCTCGAACACGGATTTGAGTGTCCTCATGACGAGGAAAGCAAACATACCCAGCCGAACGCCAACTCGATCAATTCCAACTCCGACATCAACTCAGCCTCCAGAGGAGAAAGGCCCTTCTTTATCGCGAGGCGCCATAGCCGGCATGGCCATCGCCGGCTCCATCGTCCTCATAGCTCTTCTAGTCGGCATATTCTACTTCATCCGCCGAGGCCGAAAACGCAAGACCAACCCGGATGATATTTTCAACAACAACAACGACAGCGACAAGCCCGCCCACGACGGAGCTGAAGTTCCCGAATGGAGCCCCCGCCTCGGCACCTCAACGCCCTACACGACACATACACCATACTCCCAAAGCGCACATACTCATGGCCCGTACCTCCTCGACAGCACATCCATCGAGCCAGTCGAGCTCCCCGTCAAGACGCCTCCTCCAATCGTTTCACGGCCCTCCCCGGTCCTGCAGCCCGTGTCTGTCCCACCAGCAGGAGCAACATCATGGACGGCGCCGGACGGAGTCCGGTATGAACTCATGACCCCGACTGGGTCAACACCGGGACAGCACTATGTCCGTTCCGGATCCGGACATAGTGGGGCCGGCCTGTCGGTACGCAAACACAGTCCCCTGGTCGGAGCCGCTTCCGGAGTTGGAGTGGGATTGGGTCTGGGGAATAGCTCGCCCATCGAAAGCACATTTGGCACAGGCACAGGAACCATGGGCACAACAGCGACGTCATCTTCGGGTAAAGGCATGGGCAATACCGAGCTGCAAACAATGGTTGACTCCGAGGGCCGACTCTGGGTACAAGTGTCTGCCCCTGCTGCAGCTGCCAGTGACCCTGGTGCGGCACCAGCGTCGCCGCATCACCGGTTCCAGAAGCACGAACACGGCCCCGGTCTTTACTCTGGCCAGGGGGGACCGTACCAGCAGCAGCACTCACCGCCGGGGTTTGGCGTCCTCGGAGAGAGCGCCATGTCTTCTCCCTTGTTTCCCTCTGCGTCCACAACGACGCCTGTAAATGCAAGCCATCTCTTCCATACTCATCACCAGCAACATTCAAACTGGGCAGGAACCCAACAACAGCCCCAGATGCATGAACTCAGCAGTGAACCATTGCGACAAGTCGAGAGACAAAGGCTTGGTGTCGTGCTGGGGGAGCAGGAAGAGGGGGATTCAAGCACGCACTGAGCGGGATGCAGCGCATGGCAAGGCGCCGAAACACCAAAATCAATCTCTCTATGGCACCTAAGCTTTTTGTCAACAGGGGTATACTCAGTGGTCCTTCAGGTATTTTGGGTATTGCAGAGCGAGTTCCTTATCAAAAGCAAGGGAGGTGAGAAATTCTTTTTCAGTCCCTTTGACGTTTGAAATTTGGATCAGGCTAGGTATGCGTTGGCAGTTTCATGGATTGTTGTGATCATGAAGTTGAGGAAGAGACCAAACAAATTGGATATGAACCTGGCCGTTCTAGCTTCGTTAGGGTAGGGGCGAAATGGAGGATGTCAATCGTTGTGGTGTTCAATAAACCTTGGAGCAACAAAGCTGCCTTTGTTTAGCATTGAAGGCCGGGTTCTCAGTAAATCTCTAATCCATTTGTGGGAGTCATGTTAGAGAGGGCTAGCCATGATATCATAAAAGTTTTGAGGTTACTCACTACTATTAGACTTGGCATGAAAGTCAAGAAATGGTTGTGTGAGTTAATTCTCATAGTGAGTTTGTGAAATTGAAACTCGTCTCTCAGATATCTTCATGCTCATGAAAGAACTCATGGTGAGTCTTCGATTGATGGCTTGTGAGATTCAGTTACAAAACCGTACGTTCGGGTGGAAACTTGGGGGAGTCGAGATTTACAGTTCCCCATCTTGTGGCCTACCTTGCAAATCTTAGCCATGCCCGATCTCGGTGATCGGGTCAAATACCTGCGTTAACATTTTTTTCAGTCATGCTGAAACATAAAACAATCCCGACTGGTTGGTAACCACAACTACTAAGGAACAAAAAAAAAAAAAACCCTGGATATGCTGCCACACAACTATGTTGATACCCGAGTTCTACACAGGCATACCGTATGTAATTGCCTTACAACCAGCACAACCCCTNAAATCTCAGTGGCCAACAACCACGACCTGCTTAGGGGTTGCAAGGGTGCTGACGTGATCTGCGCGGCAACAGTCACAGAACCCACGTGCAGCTTTTGAGACAGCATGCTTTTCCGTGCGTTCTCATTGGTAAAGAGTTCCTTGGCTGATCAACACTGCGTTCTCCACAACAAGGCTCACTCACAACGCCTTAAATATGAAAATTTCTTTGGAAAGTCCCAGAGTTGGAGCTAGATCAAAGTTATTGGTTCCTAACTGCTGAGATAAGAGCTGAATGAAAAAATCTAAAGCATCAAAAACCGTTCGTTTTAGGCTGCGAAACCGGAGATTTAATACTAGAAACCCATAACACGTGGTGAACCCAAGACAGAAAACAAGGCTGGCCTACAGGTGACGGATGCGGCTCCAAAGCCTTATGGGGCAGTCTCGGCCGGCTGATGGGTCGGAGCCAAGAGCCGTCCTCCACAGAGAGTCCACCAGCTGAAAAGGCTATCTTGAAGTGGTCGGTCCGACATCTGGGACCTTAGGGCTTGGAAGTTGTAAAGTCTGAGAGCGTGGAGAGGGGATCCACAAGTTTCTCCTTGGCCTTAACCAGATCTGCATCGAGTCAAGCCAGCCGACAGCCAGGCGCTGCCCTCAGTCATGAAGAACCGAAGAGGACTTGGCAACCGCGCGAAATGGCCCCCAGCTCCGGGATCAGCCCTTGATCGGATGCGGGGTGTCATGGAAGATTCCGGTCGGTGGCCATGAGGCGTGATAAGCAACGTTTTCTGTGGGTTTTTAGCGATCGGACTTCGCTGTGAGATTGATAAGAGAAGCCCGTCCCCGGTGCCCCTATCAAAAAAGCCAAGCACCGGCTAATGTTCCTGCAGCTGGCCCCATGCGGGAGGATGCTGCTCGGGGGAAATGCGTTGTTCAATCACTAGGCCAACAGACAGGTGAATGTGGTGTGGGGGACCATTTAGACGCCGGATCTCACTGAACTTCTGAAGCAGTGAGACATCAAAGGTGCTGTTCTCGACAACAGCCCGAGTCGTGCAAGCGTTCAGCGGTACAGATTATGTGCTCACAAACACAGACGCAAGCCGCAAAACCCTGGGTGTGACTCTGTTTTAAAGCCCCTGAAATCCGTTGCTATCCGTTGATGGACGGACGACGGGCTAAAGATAAGGGCTATCCGCGAGAAAACGCGGGTACAACGGTTCCAAGCAACAGCGGGATCAATTTTTCGAGCCACACCGATGAGGCATTGTACCGGTCCCTAGACGTGGGAATCTGATCCATCACATATGGTTTTGCTTGTTCGTGTCCATGGAGAAAAGAAAATCTTGGCTGTGTGTTCTTGACGGAGGTGATAACTCCGCAACTTGTACCATTGATGCCATTGTGGACACAACAAGATGAAACTGAGATGAGAGCCGAGGCAAAAGAGACTTTCAACGAGGCACAAGACTCTTGAGATGACACAGCAGCTTGTTGGCTGCCATCGATGAAGCTGCTTGTCTCTCCTGGTTCCCAAGAGATGGGACAAGCAGCACCCTGGTAGTGGCCGGGAGGGTCCAGATATCCATCGGGGCAATCCTCGGGAGCAACAAGGTGCAGACCACCTGCACACGCAGCCTGCATTGGCGACATCCGAGATGCAAGGAGCTGTCGATTAGCTGGCGGGAGGGGCACAGGATCGCGGCAAGGAGGTGGGGGATGCATGGCCGGTCAGTGTCAATGTTCCCAATGGCCCAGTGTTCCAATGCATCTCACCGTCCAAGGGACCTTCCAAACTGTTCTATCTACCTGGACTATCGCCGGCTAAGATGCCATATGCCTGGACACATCGAGGAAAATTCTCTGCAGTCCGTCGTGACCAAATGCGGCATGCCGAGGTCTTCGATGTGGCACAAGGCAGCAGCTGAAAACTTTTGAGAGCTGAATAACATGTTTCAAACTTAGCAAGGCACAGCAGTCAAAGTATGGCATGGCAGCGGATCGTCGTCACCTTTTGGTAGCGCCCCGGCAACAAGGTTGCCGTCAGTGTGGGGAACCGTTGGTCGCTGTCTCGGTGGCTTTCTGTCAAACACACCGTCAGCGTGAGCACTGTTCAAGGCGAGAATAAGGGCGAGAGCCCCCACGCCGAGCGGGCGAGACCAGAATGTGCGCTTGTCTGGACGGGACGGCTTGAAATTGCTTGCACACCATTCCCACCCGACGACGACGATGCACGATCGCTCTTGGGTCTCTTGCTGCTACGCTACGCGTCAGGCAGGCGATCTGGCAAGCTGGGCCGCGGGCAGAAGTCGGGATGACACACCTTGGGTTCGGAAGGGATAGCGTTATGGCCCACGATCCGCGATATGTCCATGATATTACCATTGACTCAGCGTGAGGGAGTAATCTTGGATGGCGATTGGCCAGTGCCGTAAACACCCGAGTGCTTCTGATGCAATGCCACGCGCTGCAATTCGATGAGTTCAGCCTCTTCAAAGCTGTAATAGGCACTGCCAACGCCGTTGTAAACACCATTCGGAGCAGCATCTTTAAAATGCTGCTGACCGAAAGAGTTCACAGGACCGTTGCGCGGCGGGACGGGCAGGTGGCAACCAAGAAATCATTGAGGAATGGGAAAGTCCAGATGATGAAACTGAAACCTGAGATCTGACAGCGGATCGGCTTCCGGAAAACTCAATGACCTTACAGGCTCATTGCCGCACTTTCTGGGATAGTGGGATGACGGCCCATGGCGTGATGCCCTGGCAGATCATCGTCATCCGATCGTTCGCAGCTCTGTCAAGAGACTCTTGACGGTAAGCAGTTTCCACAATCACGGTGAGTTAGTGGGGTTGCCGCCCAAACCCAGCTGAGGACAATGGGTCACCTTCATCAAAGGATGAAAAAAAAATTTTTCCCATCGCCATCACGAGCCCTGACCGCAGCCAAACAATCGGGGAATCAAGGTTTCGAGAACGGCCGGAGGAGCTTCTCCAACTATGGTTGGACAGGCCGTTCATGAGTATTGTGTGGCGAGGAGCTATGAGCCAAATGAGCAGCGCCGGGATCGCATTGCGTGCGCGCGTGGGAACCGCCATGGAAGCTCTCAAGCTTCGAGCCACCGCGCTACAGAGGGACCTTGCTGATCATGCTGGGTTATTTGCTCTTTGACGTTTTCCCAGAAAGTCAACCAGCAGCCGCCGTTTGCACTCTCATTGGCCAGAATCCGTACAACCTCTTTGTCTTGGAGCACCTTTCTGGCTCAGGGTTGCGGTTCATGTTGCAGGTTGCCGGGAAGGTCAACCGATTCCAAATTCTGCAGGTGAGAAAGTTGGCGGATATGTCGGAGCATCCTATGACGCTCAAAGCATATGGCAACATTCTCGCAACATCTTCGCTGTCAGGCTCCTCTTGGCAGGCGGAATGGCGACATCAAGCATGTCACTATTTGCACCATTGGCTCCAAAGAGATCTCATCATCCAGATGAGGCCGTTGTTTGTGATTGGACTGCGAGGAGGGGAGATGGAGGGGGGTTGAGATGGATGGACTGCATGGAACACGATCACACACCGTCGCAGAATGCAGTTACTGCAGCTGTCCGCTTCGGGTTCAGGCTCCCCAGGCATCGATCAGTGATCACGACCATCTATGTCCATCGGCCATTGGCAGTCTGCGAGTCCGACGTGCCATCCGCTGGGCACCGCAGGCCCAGTTGTCCAGCGATGCAGGGCAGGTTCCGCCCGTCAGGGTAGCGCACCCCCACTTTCCTCAGCAGGTGCCGACCCACAGTGCCCCCTCCCCAGGGCCCAGGCTGGGCTGCTAGGCTCCCCTCCTGGCCCCGCCTATCGTCATGGGGATGCTGCAGGTCTGCAAAAAAAGCCCTGTATAGCAGTTGGCTAATTTGATGTGACTAGCTTCGTCGCTGTGCACATTGCCTAAGCAGATTTGGGACGTGGCTACAAGAGCAACGTAATTCCTCCATCAAGGCCCTTGTCGTGCTGGCCCCCTACTCTCCTTTCTTCTTCCCTAGCTACTAGCTTCCCAAGTTGCTGGGAAATCGCTGACCATCCCGCCTTCCCCCACTAAGATCACCACAGAATCTCACCAGGCAATTGTCCCTCCCGCACCTGCTACTTCAGGCCCTGTTCTGCCAGGGCCCCTTGCACTGGGAAAGCGCACCCGGTGACCGCAATTGTGGGCGCTGGAGCCTTGTCTTCTGGCGGACGCCCCACGATTGGCTGACCAGCGGCTCCGTCGATCTCCGTTCTCGGCAGCTTCCAGGTCCTGAACTCTGGGGTCGATCGACAAGCCCCGACTGGACCCCGACAGGCCCAAGATAATAGCACGACCCGGGCGGAGAGGAAGTCATCAAACACTAAAATACATTAGCAAAGAAGAAATCGCATCGTTTAAGGTTCTTCCCCTGTCTGACATTCAGCGTTCGCGGTCTGGGACAAGTCCACAGTCACAGTCCACATCCGCAACCATCCACAACATATAACCATCCGCTGCAGCTGTTGTGAGCCAGCTGCCGCCCCCTCTCAGCTCTCGACTCTTTATCCGTCTGTCCGTCTTGCATCTCTCCAGGTTGTGTGTCATTCCACATCACCTCACACACACATCACTGTCCTCTCACACAGCCTGCTTCCCCGCAATCCTGGAGACCTGGCACTCTGACACTCGTTGACTGCTGCGGCGCTGCCCAAGGCCAAGCAAGACTAAACGGCTGACGACTCTGGAAGCTTTGTTTGGCAAAACAAGACATAAAGGACCTCTGTGTTGTCCCAGTCCCCATCGACGTTCCCGTTGTCTCATCCGGGCCGTCACCTCAGTCACCTCAACTCCATCAAGCCCCCTCACTGACAACCGTTCCGGCCAATTGGCATTCTGCTGCCACCCGGGCGTCCATTGTGCATCGTCGCGCGCCGAGCCAGATACCGAAACATCTGGACGTTGCTTGATTGTCTCCCCGCGCGAAGCTACTACTTGTCGTCCTGGTTTGACCACAACTCACAGCTTGGGCACCGCAAACCGTCCGACCAAACATCCCGTCCTCTGCCCTGACCCGTGTTGGTGACACAGGCACAGGCTCACAGCCTAAGTAGAGCCCTCTAGTGTCTGTCTGTCTGTCTTTCAGTCGCAGTCCTCGACGGCGCAAACCGAGTCAACCGTTCCGATCCAGCCAGTACCACGTTCCGTCGCGCGGGCCCCTCCCGACCTCCGGCTGTAAAAGGGCTGCCCCGAGACTGCATTCATAGACTGCATCCGGCATACCACCAACCCACCAGAAGCCTGACGAGCCAAGAAAATCGCTTCGTGCAGCAACCTTACATATTTGCCACCTCGCGACGCACACCAATTTTTGAAATTTTTTTCTAACTGCCCCAGTATTTTTTTTTTAGCTTGGGCAGCCAGCTTCATTGCAGCTCAAAAAGGCCTTCCTATCATCCTGAGTTCCCAGGTTCCCTGGTGTTCTCATTAACTACTTCTACTCTGCTCTTGGGTACCTGTCCAGCGTCGGGAGATTAAGGCTTCTTCAACCCCTCTTTTCTCCTTGATTTCCCCTGCGCTGGATCCTTACGGGACCTGCTTTAGTTTCCCCCCACATCCGTTTCTGCTTCTACCCGTCGCCCGCCAGGCCAATCACAACCATCAAAGCCCGGCCAAAATGCACCACCACCGTCGGAAGTCGAGCAACACGTCTTACACAGACGTTCGGAAGGCCGTCACCGCCACGGATCTCTCGAAGAAGAGTACATCTCGCTCCTCTGCTAAGATTGAAAAGCTGGGCAAGAACCCCCGAGACCGTGAAAGGGAATGGGAGGAAGAACGCTGGTGGGAAGATGAGAGGGAGAGCTTTCCTCACTATTGGTAGGTTTATTTTTCCTCGATTCCCTGTGTTTGTTGTGCCACAGCGACATTTCACAGACGGATGGCGTCTTTGGTGTTCCCCCCTCCGGACGCTTCCTTTTTCATTAACCTGCATCGTCACCTGACATGCAGTTGAGTTGGTGTTACCTGAAGCGAAACCTGAGGGAATAAGCTGGAAAAGGTCTAGAGAGAGGGTAAATGGCTAGACATCTCGTGCACCTCCATCTTGAAGTTGCCCGAGCATACCGTTCCTGCATAAGTCTCGTGTTTGCATCATCGGGAAGAAAAATGGCTAATCGTTGATCGTTGCAGCATGTTCTGCGAGACAGCATTCGAGCCTGAGGGCGATCAGACTTTATACTGCTCTCTCAAGCAAGTGCCAAATTGGTCTCTTTACCTTGGATACAAAATTCTAACAAGCATGTCAGATGCCGTATGAACGATCAGAACTCCGCATCAGCGGTGCCCAATCGGTATTCCACCAGTCAACAAGATCAATACCCAGTATATTCTGCTCCGCCAGAACCTCGAGACATCATTCCCCGTGCTTCGCCATCCCGGCCTACTTCGACACTGATGTCTCCTCCCACAACTCCGGCTGATGTTCCCTCTGCTATTTCGGCACTCAAGTCTCTCTCCATCCGTCCCGCAAGTCCTGCCTCTCCGGTCGGGACTTACCAGTCAACTTTGTGGCCGTTTGGCGGCCGCAGTGTTACAACCTCGAGCCCTAAGAACTCTTACACAAAGACAACCCCCGGTGTCTTCTCATCCACCTACGATTGCACCTACTACACGGCTACCGATTGCTATGGGACAAGTCACGAACGTCCTCTGCCTTCGCGGAGGCCACCGACTTACTCAAGGCCAAAGAGCATCGAGCTGGTTACTCCTATGTTGGGACGGTGACCTTCCTCACCCAGGGGTGATGTCCCTCCAACACAATGAGATGAGCCCATATCATTGGGTCCGTGTCATGTGAGTGAGGGTTGGCGCGGGGAGCCTGTTGGTTGTTGGGCAGTGCTACATATCCGTGCCGGCTGATCCGAAGGCTTGCCTCTCTAATTCCGTTGCCCCAATGTGGGGGGATCAGCTTGAACGCAATGCAACCATTCTGGTGCGGGGCTCTGTGGCATGACCCCTCGTGGCGGTGATGGCGTTCTCTGATTGCTCCCACACTGGTTCCTTGGATCATACCCCACAAAAAGCGGATGATGAGATCAGCGAGTTTCGATGTCCGTCAGACGTCGGATCTTTGTAGGCTTTTCCTGATCGGGCCTGGAGGATCACCGGGATGCGGCCCTTTTGGGTCTTTCTGGGCGCTGTGGCTTCTTCGCGCGGGGTTTCCCATCAATCCCGCGGGAGGACAGGCTTGGCTTTCCCAAACTTTCGGAACTCTCCGTTGCTTTTGTCATCTTAGTTCTGTCCTTTATTCATCTTCACCCGTTTCATGTTTCATCTTACCTTTTCAACACGTGGGTCAGTCATCAAAAGTTTAACGGCATGGCGGGTTATCAACAACTGGACGGGAAAAGCAAATCTACCGGAGCATATCTTATCTGCATTTTTGGGTATAACCTGTACATATCTATAACTTACATAATAGGTCATCTAGACGGAGACATGGATGAGCTTGACAAAGCTCCTGGATAATGTGATAATAGCATCTAACATGAGGGCCGGAGGATCTCCTTCTGTTTTCTTAAGCGGTTATGTGATTTATTCTATCGTGATGTCTTCAGTCTCTGTGGAATGTATTCAGCTTATTCACCTATTGCATGACCAGTGCATCCTTGAATAAGATGGAGCTCCTTGTGGACCAGAAAGGTTTCCGATATTTCGTCTCCAACATCTTTTCTCTACAAATGTGCCGCTACCATCAGGCCATTGACAATGACAACTAAAGTTCTCAACCCAACTCTACACTTTATTTCTTGTTGTCAAACAGCTTGATGATAGAGCACCAGCCAAGATGAACGAAGAGATTTGTTTTCTCCAACTCTTGACTCCTAGATGATGAGCTCAAAAAATTCCCCAAAATCTCGGGGAAATGAGAGCTAATCATCAATTACATTGCCGTAAGCTAGTCTCCAGCAAGTGTGGAGGATGCGATGGAGTCAAATTGGAGTAACGTCGAGGCTCCGTGGAGTTTTTGCGGGGTCTTAGCTGACTTCCTTCTGGGAAAACTTCCTGTGGAGAGGGCACAAGCGACCTGAACCTACAGGTTGACAGAGAAGTTGTGGTGGAGTAAGGAGTATGGATTTTCCTTGATTCGTTTTCTTGCGACGAGACGAGCTCATCAAGAGAGGAACGCCGAGGAAAAAGAGTGTAGCAAAGAAGCGGCGGCGAGTGAAAGGATTGTTGAAAGATTTGAGAGTTTGAGGAAGGTGGATGTGGATACCTTTTGTAAGGAAATTGTACGTTTTAGGGGATGCTAGAGGCGGTCAGGCTATGAGCTGAGGATCCAATGTCATGATGGCTGATGAGCGGTGAGTAAATGAGCTGAAAGTACATTTTAGACCGGGGGGCGAGGTTACACTGGACTATGGAGAGGGCACTATACTGAGCTATGCCTCTAACGTCGGTACAAGGTAGTAAGGTCAGGACTATACGCTGAAGACATCACGGCGTCGTACAATGCGGTGGACAGAAGCTCTCCGCTTGCCCGAAATACCCTGATTGGTGATGTTGAACCGAGGATGATGAGAGTGCTGGATACGACCTAAGCGACAGCAGACATCTACGTATGCTCCAACCTCGGCAGAACATTGTTGATAATCTTTGTTGGTAGGTATGCATCCAAACCAGAGCCGCATTCATTCCATCTCAGTTTCCTCACAATTGGACTCAATCATCTTTCCATTCCGTTTATTTCATTTATATTCACTTCTCCTTTCTCCAGCTGCTTCCTTTAAATCCCCCAGTCATACATAGGTATATAACTGAGCAGTGAGGTGTTGTATGGTAGGTATTTAGGCAGGCCCCTGATAAACCAGGCCAGCAGCAGTATGTAATCGGTAGTTAAACCCGTACTAGGTAGTAGTGTAACTGATGAACAAAACTCCCAACAAAGTTTCGAATCTCATCATCATCATCATCGAATCTTCTTTCCATGCTCCTATCCTTGTTATTGCCTCACCCTTCAGCTTCCTTAAGATCATTACTGGGCAATCCCAATAGTTCTTGAACTCGCCATCTCGCCATACCGCCCGCGATGTCTTGTCGTATCATAAGCCTGCAATACACGTGTCTGCGACTCGTCGGCCATGGAGAAGGCATAGCCGCGCTGCTTGCGCATGCGCTGCACCTGGCGCACTTTGCGGATGGCTTTTTGAAATTGCTCCATCCTGGGCGACCATCAGCACTCCGTAAGAGAGAGTTGTGAAATGGGGGGTGACAGGGACATACCTAGGCCGATAATCCTGAATATTATACTTCTGAATCTCTTGCACATGGTGATAGGCCTCCGGCTTCCAAAGGCGCTTGCTAAACTTCCAGGCAAAGTCCCTCGCCAAACACAGAATCGCCAGTGTGGGCATCTGCAGCCAGAAGCTCGGATTTGAAAATAATCTCGGGATGACCTCAAAAAACTCCATCGAGAAGCCCAGCTTGGGCGCCACCGTACCGTAGACACCCACAAAGACCAGCCAGAAGAGCATGCTCCCCGGAATACCGACGACGTGCCACTTGGTCCAATTATTCGTCACCAGCGCGGCCTTGCCCAAGACAGTGAGCAACACAGCGCCATACATCGCTGTACCCCAGACCCATTTGCCAGCAGGGAAGCCCTCGGCGTTCTGCACGCCAAGGAAGAACAGCGAGCCGCCGATGTAAAGCAGGATGGAGTGGTAGATGGCTGAGGCGATCCACGCGGCAAAGACCTTGATACGAAAGAATGTGTTGTTCTGGCCAAGGGAGTAGAGCTGCGGGTAGCGGTCGAGCAGACGGGCGGAGACGAACTGGTCGAGGATGCCGAGGACGAGGGGCGGAAGGACGGTGAAGAAGACGTTGTAGAAGGAGAGCGTCCAGGACTCGTAGATGACTTCTCCGGAGAAGACGTTTTCGAAGGTGTACTGAGAACTGTTAGTTGGGGGTTGGTTAGAAAGGGCGGATGAAGGGACATACCCAGAACTGCGTCAAATAAAGAGTAATATTCTTGTAAAACGAGAACAGAATCGTCTTCGAAACCCGGTGATAGCTCCACGCGCCATGGACCAGCAGCAACTTCCTCAGATACCTGAATTGCGCAATCGACACATCGGCACTTCTTGCTGCCTGCAAACCCTCCACGCCGCTAATACCAATTCCGATATGGGCAGCCTGGATCATAGACACATCATTGGCGCCATCACCAATGGCCAGCAGGATCGACTCCTTCTGGTACTTCTTGACCAGCTTAACGACCATAGCCTTCTGCAGCGGCGACACGCGACAGCAAATGACCGCCTTGCACATGATGGCCAGATCGAGGAACATCTTTTCTAGATCCCGTTCCAGCGCATATGTCAAGCTCTTGCCATCAATGACCAGTGCCAGCGTGCCCATCTCGACGGTACCATGTTCCTGCGCGCGGATGGCGTCCAGCTTCTTCTGAATGTTGTCGCGTGTCGCCTCAGCCGTCTCCTCATTGATAATCAGTAGCATCATGTCCTCGCTGAGAAGCTTGCAGCTCATGCCGATGTTGATGGCCGTTTCCTGACGGTCGCCGGTCAAGACCCAGACTTTGATGCCGGCTTCCTGGAGGGTGTGGATTGTCTCGGGCACGCCATCCTGAAGACGGTCTTCAATGGCCGTAGCGCCAAGTAGATAGAAGTCCTTCTCGATGATTTCAGCTGCCTTGTCCAGCTCCTGGGCACGGGTACCGCCGACAGTCGTCTGTGCCTTGTCATAGACCTGATACCACTCCTGGAACTCTTGTTCGGGGACTTCCCGGAAAGCAAGGCACAGGGTGCGCAGACCCTCTGAAGCATACTCCTCCAGATGACGCAGTGTCTGGTCGACGTGCGGGTTCTGGTCGTTGAGACGCTCTAAAATGACGGTATCGGCACCCTTGCAGTAGATCCGAATCTTGCCGTCTGGGCAGCGGTAGATAGTCGACATGCGCTTGCGGGTTGAGTTGAATTCGCAGACTGCGAGCAGCTCATACTCTAGCTGCTGACCATTGACAGTGATGATGACAGCACGAGGCTTGCGCGCCAGGAACCGATAACCCAGCTGCACGGCGCCTTCGACCAGCGCGCCCTCGTCGGGTGAGGAAGCTTGGTACTTGATTTCACCGGAGTCCTTTTGCTCAGGGATGACGGTGTGGCAGGTAGCGAGGAGAGTCAGGAAGTGGTCGATGGCCTGGGCGGTGGGGTGACCGTTCTTGAGGTTGTCCTTGAGCCGCTTAAAGTCGTGGATGCCAACTTCGACGCCATCCTCTATCGTTGCGACACGGTCCTCGGGCACACTCTCGGCGTACATGACGCCGGCGATTGAGCACGCCTTGAACTCCATCTGATTGCACGTCAGGGTACCCGTCTTGTCGGAAAAGACGTACTCGACCATGCCAAGCTCTTCAACCAAGCTCGACGTTCGACAGTTCGCCGGGGTGTCCGTGACATCGTAGTATATATCCAGATCATCATTAATCAATATACCATGCCAGTACTTGACCATTTCCAGAGTGACGAATAGCGAGATGGGCACGAGCGACGAGAACAAGACCCAGTAGGTGACCATATCCTTGATGAAGATCTTGAAGACAGCAATGGCGCCGGTAATGCCATCCAGATCGAGGTACTCGAAGCTGCGACCGGCAACGCCACGCATAATCAGGTCACCGGCAGTCGAGATGACGCTGAGAACCATGAGCATTCCGACGAGCATCAGGACCAACTTATTGAGCTGCTTCTCGACCTTGGTGCGCTTAATGGGGGCCGCGGTGGCATTGCGCATCAGCTTGGTCTCGTGGCCGGTGAAGACGACGACGCCGTGAATCCAGGGGGTGTTGCGTAGGGTAGCGCCACGGAGAAGCAGCTGCTCGGGGTTCAGGGGCAGCTCCTTCTCGCCGCCTCCGGTCTGCAGTGTTAGGGTGGCCTCATATGTGTACAGGCTGCTGTTGGGCTGTTCAGAACGCAAACGGCCTCCCAGGCGGCTCAGCTCGGTAGAGCTGACCAACGACGCGGTCTCAGGCAGAGCCTGCTTGATCTTGAGGTTGGTCTCACCATCCAAATTAGCCGTCTCGATGTAACACAGACCCTCAGGCTCCGAACTAGCCAGCAGAACGAGATCAGCCGGGAAAGGTTCCTCCGATTCCACGCGCACAATGTCGCCGACGGCAACATTGATCCACCTAGTCTCCTGGAAAGTCGTACCGCGCAGGACGCGGGTCTTGGACATGTTGAGGGCCTTATCGGCCTGTTTGCGGCGGTAGTCTTCGACCAGTTCTTTGCCGGCCGAGACAAGCAGCACGACAATCAGGGGGCCGATAGTAGTGTAACGGTTGGTTGGCGACAATCCGGGAATCTGCTGCAAGCCAGCAGTAAACAAGAAGAAGATATTGGCGAACTTGGAGAACTGCTCGAACAGAAACTTGGGTAAGAAAGTAGCGAAGTTGTACTTGGCCGTCGACACATGGTTGTCGACATATTTGTTGGCGGCATTGGCTGGCGGATTGTTGAGGTAGATGATGCGCGGGCCGAGGGTTGACGGGTCAGGCTTGGACCGGCCAAAGCCAAACCGGAAGTTGCCAAAGTCAAACTTCTTCTTCTCCGGCTGGGCTGGTATCTCGCCGCTGCCCGTGTCTGTCCTATGTCCCGTTCGCGACTCCGTCAGGGGGAGGTCCATCTCGGAGTAGCCCTGGCCCATGCCCAGACGGTTCTTGACGCGACCCAGAAAGCCGCCTCCCAGGCTGAGCACGCTGTTACGCTGCCTCGCATTTGCTCTCCCGGAGGACGGCTCGCCGCCGGCGCCACCGTGCTGGTAGTAGGAGGTGCCCTCGTCCGGGTAGTCATCATAGTCGTCGGCATAGCGCTGGTAGTTACCCAGGTCTGATGTCTGACTGTACTGCCGGTTGATCTCGGCCGTGCTGTACGGGCCTACTGGCCGCGACGATGGACCCGGCGCAGAAAGCCCCGAGCTTGGTGGAGGTCTGCCGGCGGAGTGTCTGGGTTGGGAGGAGGAGGAGCCGATGAAGTCGTCGTACGAGACCGAGGGGCGTGAGGGGGCTATGCCATCCTGGTCATAGTTGTGCGATCGCATAAGGTCATCATCTGTCAGAGCCGAGCGCTGGCCCGAGTTGTAGATGGGCTGGTCATTGTCGAGATCGAGGAGCAGGTCCTCGTTGGGGTTGTGATGGGAGCTTGAGGCAGCTCCGGGGGGCGGGCGGCCGGACATGCCGCTGGATGGCGGCGCACGCTACAATCGGAGGGGTCAATCGAGAGGGCACTTCTAGGCAACGAAACGAAGGGGGTCGGCTAGATCGAGGAGGACGCAGGCATCGGTTGGGGTAGGCGGGACCACGGATGGCCAAGTTATGAAAGGTTGATTGCTGAAACGCCGAGCGATCCGGACGGCGCGCTACGATGCTGTTGTCGAGGAATCGGGAAATTTTCGAATGAGCGCCTTGCGCGGACAGTCGTAAGCGCGATCGCTGGTCGGGCAATTATCGTGGAGTCGGGCGAAGTCGTAGTGAAGTGATGAGGGCAGAGCCTCCTTGCGTGCTTGCAGCTCCGCGTTCTCTGGCTGGGTGCGAACTGTTAAGGTCTTGGGCAGCTATTGGTTTCTTCAGCCGTTCTGTTGCTTGAGCGCAGCCGTGCAGCTGTGCAGCCAACGTGTAGGAGAAAGGAGTGGAGGATGGAGGGGGCCTCTTGCAGCGGCACCAGGAGCGGGCGTCCACTTGGATTGAGGGATTGGGATTGGAAAGGAGGGACGTGACGCGAGAGAGAGAGTCTTTGTATCGACCGCGTACTACCTCAACAACTGATTTGTTTGCTGTGACTTCAGAATGAATCTCTATCGCATCTGCTTGAACTCGCAATTTGGAAAGATTTTTCTACAATCGGAATACTCTGGCTTGCCGCTGTCGCAGATCGAGAGTTGACAATCAGGCCGAGATGAAAGTTACGTACCAAAGTCAAGACAGGGGCTCGTCAGGGAGGAGCCTGTGCTGCTGTTGTTACGCTGTCTTGGAAAGTCTTGGGCCCCCAAAAAAACCCAACGTCAGCGGAGTCGGCATCACTTGCGGCGGCTGGCTTGGCACAGCTCCACCGTGGCAGTGAAGCCAAAGAACCTCGTTTTTCGAAGACAAGCTGACCAATCAGCGCGCAGCCTCAGCCCTGTGCGACAAGGCCTGGGCGGGCCTGTCATCTTGTTTGTTCCTCCTGTCTTCATCTCATCGATGCCATCATCTCCACAAGCCTCGCCGTCGTGGTTGTCGACTTCACACCACCAAGTTTGCAGTCAAATCAAGTCAACACGATCTGTCAAAAGTACATACTTCTTACCTAAAATTATTGAAACCTATCCTTTTCACTACGTCCCGTTATCGAAAGAGAATTCCCCGAGACAAAACTTCAAAATGGTCTGCGCCAAGTGCCAGCGCCTCCACAAGACTGTCCTCGCCACTCCGGAGGTCAAGAAGAAGACTGAGATGTACTATGGTTCGCCAGCTTCGAGCTCATCCTCGACTGATAAACAAAAGGCAACGCTTGGTCAAGCAGGCATCTCCAAGGTGAGTCTTGATTTGAAAATCACAGAGACCGCCAGATCGAGGCTAATATTTTGTAGAGCAAGCTCCTCTCCAAAGCAGCAAAGAACCCATTTGCCCAGTACTCCAGCTCATGCCTGAGGTGTAAGACAAAAATTTCTCAGGGGCACTCGTACTGCAATACATGTGCTTATAGGCAAGATGGTATGATGCATTTAAATTCATCTATCTCACGACCCCATCGCTAACTGGCTGATAGTGTGTGCCATTTGTGGCAAGTCCAATAAGAAAAAGACAGCTGCCCCAGTTGTGGATGGCCAAAAGCGTTCTTTGAAGTGAGAACACTTAGCTGGAAGCATGTCTTCCTTTCCAGGGTTTCTTGTAAGGAGAGGTTCGCAGTTCTCGCAGGTCAAGTTCATGCTTTTTGCTACAGATGGGTATGAAAGGCGTTGGGTTTCTTTCCTTCCACCCGAGGGGTTGGCTAAAGCATTGGCGTTTGGAGTATTGGAGTCTGCTAATTGGAGCTTGCTCGAGACACATGACGTTGTAGATAGGCGAAGCAATATTGTCTAATATCACTACTGGTACACATCCCATCATCAGTCTGATGTCTTGGTTTGTTCCATTACTTTCTCTCAAATAGATGGCCTCAACCTCCCCTCCCTGTCCAAAATCCCCCTCAACCACTCCGTTAGATGCGCATTAACCTCCGCCGGCCTTTCCCACAACGCCCAATGACTAGCATCGACCTCAACCATCTTCAAATTCTCGATGAAATCCTTCATCTTGCCCGCCAACTCCGGCTTCAGTGCCACATCTTTTCTCGCGACAACCATCAGCGCCGGCGTCCTGATATTCACCCTACCCGCTTGTGCCAGCTCCATTTCCTCCTTGTTGTTGATTTCGGTCATACGGTACCAATTGCACGCCCCCTTGATCCCTCCCTTTCCAGTCGCAAACTGCTCTACGTAGTAATCCATCTCTTCCTTGGAAAGCAGAGGACTCGGTCCAACCCGGCATTGCTCAACCAAATCAAGCGGGATCCCAACCTCAGGATCAAACAGCCCCTTTCTACCCTCATCAATGGTCTTCAGATCCTCCATCAGCGCGCGACCGCCGTACAAGGCGCCTAAGAAAGCCCGCACGCGGGCAGGATCGCGGCCGACGCGGGCTTCGCACTCACCGGAACGGAATTGCAGCTGGTAGCGGAAGTTGGAGTGGATGGAGGTCAGGACTTCGAGGGTGATGGGTTGAGAGATGGGCGCGAAGTAGGGCGTGCAGACGGAGAAGACGCAGCGGAGCACGGACGGGTGCCAGAGGGCGAAGCGCCAGGCTACCATGCCGCCCCTGAGATGTGTTAGCTCCTTTTATGGGATGATGGGAAGCGTTAGAGACGGGGGAGGGGGGGGGGATAACAAACCAGTCATGCCCGCCGAGGATGATCTTTTCGCTCTCGGGGTCCTTATGTCCTGCCTCGCGGAGCACGTGCCTCACGAGGGCGACGAGGTCGTTGGTCACGCTCTTGTAGGAGTACTCTTCCAGCTTCTCGGGGGCATCAGTCCCGCCATAGCCGAGCATATCGGGGACTATGACCCTCAGGCCTAACGACACGAGCGCTGGGACCTCTTTGCTCATGTTAGTCTTCTTCATTCTTATCCTCAGACAGAAAGTATAGTAAAGGAGACATACGATAGCGCCATCCCAAAGCCAAATCAGGGAATCCGTGTATCAACAACGCCGTCCCTGTCACAGTAGTTCTAGCCGGCGGTTCAGCAAAGAGGTAGTGGTAGGTGTGGTTGGATGCTGGGACGGTGTAGGTCCGGTGCTGGACCCGAGAGTCTGAGGGCGTGAGCTTGTCAACGGCAGCCATCTCGATTGACAGCTCCAACCGAAAGGTTGATTTGAGCTCAAGGAGGCTTGTTGATGGCGGTGTCGAGTGTAATCGAGCTGCAAGTGTGAGTAGGTAATGGGACCGAGACAAGATGATGGGGGAGTTGAGTCCAGTGGCCAAGTGGCACAAGCACACCTTCCTTCCACCCCTTCCCGGTTTTTATATCCCGTCACCCAGTCCAACCCCTTGCAGCTCAGGACAGGACGAAACTTCCACAGTCGAAGCGCAAGAAACACTGCAGCAGTAATTCTTCTCTCAACCTTGTTGGTCGCCTTAGTCCTACCGCCTCTTGCGAAGTCCTACAGGCATGTCCCACAGTTGAAGTGTGTCCGCACCAAACCCGGTTATGTCACCCCTCCTCCTCCTCCTCACTCTTTGTATATTCCCCTCAGGGTTCTCCAGATCTCCGACCTGCCCCTTCCGGAGGTCTTACCGTCCCGGGCCCTGCCAAAAGTGGGCCACTCGGCTGTGCAGACCCGGGCACGGCGCAGATCCTGCGAGCTGGGAATGTCCCACAGCTTGACGCAAGCCTTCGGGGCTCGGACAAGCTGCATGGCCGAGTTGGGTTATGGTCATGAACTCTTTATCAACAAGTTTCTCAGCTACACTTTAAACAATGGACAATTTCGCCCTTAGAAATAAAGAAGGAGCCTCAAGCACTTTGAATAGGTTGACAATGTGGAAAATAATCCCAGCCTAAACTACGCCAGCCACGACCTGACCCAGGAACCTCGGTAAGACAACACACCGATGACGCAGCGGACGGGCCCCTGAGTGGGACTCCCCCGCAGCACTCACTCAAGGCTTGTGACATTGTGCATGCGCCCTTCGTTGGACAACGCTGTTGGAAACCTTGAAGTCAAACAGGACTGTTTCTCATGAAAATCGTATTTCTAATCAAACATTAGGTCATCAGCAAGCCCAGTATGGTATTTTTAGCGGGTTTCCCAACAACTCCCATTCCTGACAAACCAGTTATGAGTGGACACCCTTCGTTCACATCGAACAACTGCCATGATCTATGTCCGTGGAATCATCCAGCTCACTAGATGATAGGGAATACCCAGCTAGTATACATGGCACATACTCTGTCTCCGTAGGAACGGGACCTTTAGACATACATCGATCAATAGGCGCAAACAAGCGTGAAACAGAAGCTCTCTCGCCTGCTTCGCTGTTGGTCTCATTGTTTCATAGTGTATTCGCTGGCTAACGACCGGTTGGCTCTGGTTGCGTCACGGGACAATGCACAACCGATCCAATCCGTCCAAGACATGCGTTCATATCCATCGATCTTTTGTCATATCGTCTCGACTTATCCATTGTTCATGTTATCATGATTCTGTCAAGTCCTGTTATGTTGTCGATCTGCATGCTTTCCGAATGTGACAGAGAACGATCTCTCCACCAACTGGGGAACTAGGAACCAGGACGGCAGAGGAGCACGCGGTTAATAGATCACCGTGTCCTCCGCATCCTGCATCATCATCTCGTCTCCGTTCTCGGCATCTTCATGGTCAGGTTGCTGGCTCGTGCTATCGGCAACGGAGGTACCAGTAGAACTTGATGATGCCTGCGCTGGGACGGTCTTACCAGGCTGGGCATTCGTAGATGGTAGTAGTAGTTGTTGTTGTTGTGATTCACCATTCGAAGGGTTAGTATCATTGCCTGCTTCAGTGGGCTCACCAACCGTTTGGGCTTGTTCTTTTTTGTTTGACTCAGTCTTGCCCTCTTCACGATTCGTTGCTGGCTCGTCTTGTTGAGATTGTTCAGGGGTCGGAGGAACCTCGACGCCAAGCTCCTTGAGCCTCTGCTCCTTGCGCCTTTCCCAGTCTCGCGTCTCGCGGTCAATCGTCTCTTGCGCTTCGCGGACTTGCTCGTGGATGGTCTCTTCTTGTTCTTTGGTGAGCTGCCAGGGGAGGTAGTACTTCGCGGAAAGGTTAGCCGCTGCTGCTGGAAAGGACAGAGGAATAAGTGTATGCAGGAAACTCACAATCCTCGGCTCGGTCTTCGTAAACAAGCTATGCGCCCTTGCCAGCATCGCCGCGTGTCGTGTCTTCATCTACTCTGTCGTTAGCATCCCAAAACTTAAAATATTCTTGGGGCATGCACATACCGCCTCCTCATCTAACCGAACCTGCTCCACTAACCTAACCTTCCTTAACCGTTCCCTCTTCTCAGCCCGTTTCTTCTCATCTTCTGCCCTCCGTTGCTGCGCCCGTCTTTCCATCTCCCTCCTCCTCTCTTGTTGTTGCTCGGACAGCTTCCCTCTCGTCGACGCAGACCCTCCTGCAACCCCTGGAACTGATCTGCCCGCTGCGCCAGCCCGCCCAGGTCCACTGACACTGTTGCTGCTTAGCGCGCTAACCAGCCCACCAAAGAGCCTCTGGCCCCGCTTCTTTTCTTCGAGGGAGATGTTCGTGTTCCGGCCGGGTCTGCGGCCTGCGGTCGCAGCGGCAGAGGGCCTGGTGTCGGCCATAGAGGGGCGTCGTTCAGCGCCATTCTGCGCAGCATCATCGGCGTCTCTGTTGGGTTGCACAGTATCGTCATCTACTTTTGTACGCTTCGCAGTCGTCGCGGCGTCATCTTCCGGAAGATCGGGTGAGGCTTTGCGCTTTGTTGTCGTCGGCGGGAGGGGGTCTTGGAGGTCTGCTGTGAATGCGCTCATTTTCGGGATTGACGGCGCAAGGCCGCTGGGAAAAATCGGGAAGATAGGCCGTTGGAGATGTTGCTAGTGTTGAAACTGAAAAATAGCTCAAACGTAGCAAGGTGTTGAAGACTCAAAGTTGGAAAACGAGACTGGTCTCGTGAACTTGAGCTCTTCGCGCTCGGTCGATCGATCAATCAGAAAAGATTCTTCGAAGTGTTGCCGTTGAGGAGCTCAATCACGATCGAATTGAATCAAAAGCCTATAAATTCTTTTTCGCTCAAGCAAGCTCGATTGACTGATGCCGGACAGCAAGTACAAACGTTAGTTAAGACGTCGAGGTAGGGTTTAGAAAGGGGGGGTTAGAATTCTTATCGCGAGGCTGAGATGCTGGCCTACGCGCCGCGTTAAGACGCTGCTTCCCGTCTGCAGGGTGTCATGCAGAAAAGCGGGACCAAGTTGCGCACTTTAACCCTAACCCTTGAAAAGGCAAACGCCACCGCGCCGAGGCTGGCAAACCGAGAGCTGCACGGAAACGAATGTTTTGAGCCTCGCGCTCTGTACTGTGTATCCATCAACTTCGACATCTTGTATAGCATTTTCGACCCGACAGCGAACATTCTGCGGCTATATAAAGCACCGTTGATACTTTCCCGTTCAAAAAGACATTGAAAAACCAAAACCATGTCGCGTCATCATCCGTATGTCCCGATTCCTCTTCCCGCACTCGCCCCCCCCCACCCGCCCGAAAGAATATCCTGCTAACCTCTGCTCCCCAGCGACCTTGTAATGTGCCGTAAACAACCCGGCATCGCGATCGGCCGTCTCTGCGATAAATGTGACGGCAAATGTCCCGTGTGCGATTCCTACGTCCGACCCACCACGTTGGTCCGTATCTGCGATGAGTGTAGCTTCGGTAACTACCAGAACAAGTGCGTGGTGTGCGGCGGCGAGGGGATTTCCGACGCTTTCTACTGCTTCGAGTGCACTCGCCTGGAAAAAGATAGGGACGGGTGTCCGAAGATTATTAATTTGGGTAGTTCGAGGACAGACGTAAGTTCTCTACCCCAGGCGATGCAGAGACTAGGGAGATGGGATGCTGACGGTTGCCATACAGTTATTCTACCAAAAGAAAACAAATCGGACGAATACAATGTTTTAACGACATCGTTGCCCGGGTTGAGCTGTTTTATTGAGGGGTTAGAAGGGATATCATGTGACTTTGAGAGAGCAACCGAGGATAACGGCGTCTGGAGTTTGGAGTCATGAACATAATCTCACATAGAAGCAAGATATTCTCTATGTTTTGATTTCGCCAGAAACACTATCAAAACGTCGTGTCATCCACCACATTACATTCGTTTCTATCTACTCTGTGGTGCTGCATTTTTATGTGTACCTAGGATGTGCAAGAGGTAAGAAAGCCATATCATCAATAGTACAAAGGAAATAAGGTCACAAAGGAAACTAAACAACCACGTCCGCCGCGATACAGGTGGTAATCCTACATCCGAACCCTCCTCTTTCCATCGGCACCTCAACCTCTGGACAAGAGGGGGCTTATATACCCATTATTACACCACCCTTCCTCAAGCCAGTCAGCTTCGCCCCTCCCAGCCCGAGGACTCACCACCCTTTTATGTCGCATCAAAACCCCGCCTCCTAACCTTCCTTTCCCCTTTCAATTCTCAAATATAACTAACCTTAGCCCCCATCCCCACAGTAGCCTTCACCTTATTCCAGCTAACTTGCAGCACCCTGTTCAGCCGTTTGCGCACATTCTTCCGGCTCAGCAGCAGTAGGAAGCCAATCACAAACGCCAGCATGCGTAGCAAGAAGTAAGGGTTTGTCCTGAACGCCACAGCGACATCATCAACCAACAGCGCGCGCAGGTTCGACAGAACCATAGACGCGCGACTGGCCAGTGAAGGCGGCGACTTTGCTCCCGAGGAGCTGGACGATGACAAGCTCTTCTTCGACAGCCCGCCCGGTTTTCGCGTGGCCGGAGGTAACTTAGCCCTAGTCGGGCTACTAGCACTCGTCGACGCCGAAGTCGACGAAGACGTGCTGACCGTCCGTCTTAGCCCACCACGCGAAGGATCCCCTGCTGCCCCCTTCTTCTGCGCCGCCGCCGCCGCCGCTGCGGCAGTTTTCTCCTTCCGTTCCCTCTCCTCCTTCTCCCTGCGTGCCCGCTCCTCCTCAATGCGCTTCCTCTCGCGCGCCTCGTTCTCGGCGCGCAGCCTCCTAGCCTCCTCGATATCCCGCCGGATCTTCTCCTCGCGCTTACGGCGCTCCTCTTCTTCCCTGCGTTCGGCCTCAGCAGCCTCCTCGCGTAGGGTAGTAAGCGCCTGGAGGAAGGCGTCGCGCCTCTCCTCGTCGAGGACGGGGCTGACGCTGATGAACTCACGGGCGTAGTCCCACTCGCCGTTGCGCGGCAAAACGTGCAGCGTGTACAGCTCGAGGAGCTTGACACGCGCAGCAAGGTCGCGCGGAGTGTTGGCGCCAGCGACGCTGCGCGCGGGAGAAGCGGGACGAAGACGGGGGGTTGAGGGCTGGGCAAAGTGTGCCTCGGATATGGAGTCTAAGTTTGGGGCGCGAGTGGTAGCCAAGTAGTTTTCCAGGCGTTTCTGGTTGAGTTGCTGTGTTTTGGCGTGTGCAAGGAGGAGGGTTGCCCTGAGTTATGTTAGTCAAGTTCTCAGTAAGCTGTCCGGGGATAACGGTAAAGGAGGGGGGGTGGGGGCTTACAAGTTGATAACCACATCGGGATCAACATCTCCCTCGACACCATGGTACCCGTTCCTAACCACCTCCTCCCAAATCTCGCCCTCGCGCACTTTATGGCAAATAGCGCGCCACTCCTGTGTGCCAAACGCGTCTTTGCCCTCATCAGGCGCCATCTCCAGCACAGCATTCAAGATAGTCAGATACAAACTCCACACCTTGATCCTCGAAGAGCGCGACGCCCTGGCCACAGGGGCCGGCTCGTGGACCGCAGTTGCAGTCGTAGGACTAGTAACCCCATTCTCCTTGTCTGCCTCGGAAGCGGCTTGCGAAGGGGGGGTCACCAGGGGAAGAATAGTCGACAGGGCCTCGGGCAGGCGACGGGTCAAGAAGAGGGTCGACGCCTGGCGGTAGGTCTTGGATATATGCGAGGAGGAGCTGCGACGGGCATCAGCCGAGCTGGCGAGCCCAGTGAGCGAGGAGGTGATGCCGCGGTGCGGTCTCAGGGGCGTGTCGGCTTCGGCAAAGGAGGCGCGTTTGGAGGATGGCATGGTGGGTGGTTGGTAGGCCAAAGTTGTTGGAGATGTTCCGGGAGGGTTGTTTATCGGGAAGCTGAAGTTTTAAAAAAATCGGCGTGGGCGTTTCAGGAGAAATAGCTGTAGTTGTGGTCTCGGCTGCTAGAGTAGAGTAAGTTGCTGATATCGTTGGCGTTTCGAGCTACAGTGCAGCCATTGTGTGCTCATCAAGGTGCAGATACAAACGTTGCGGTGTCGCAATCGCGTGTGCTTGATCACCTAACGGCTGTGATCGTGATCAGCTATCACAAGATGTGCTTGTTTTTTCACTGTTGACGTTTGATGGAAGACTCTCAACCGCGATTATCAAGATGATCGACGGTTGGGACTTCAAGCAAGCAATGCAAAGAAAAAAGCCAAAGAAGCAAAAAAAAAAGCCTGGCGAGACAGGATCAAAGTTGTGGTTGGTCAAAACATGGCCTGCCCGCCTGCGCTCTGCAGGAAGTACAGTCGCAGCCATCCACATACGGTGATGGATTGCGCTGAAAGTGGAGCCCGTTCTGACCCGGTGACGAGCATTCGTGGCCCACGACTGGCTGGCTGGCCCTGTTCAGCGCTGAGAGAGCCTCGGCTGAGATGCTGGTGGACTCGCCGCGAGACTGGTCGACATGCCGACGGCTGGGGGAGCTAGGAATGGAATCGATTGGCTGTGGGGCGGATCCACAGCAGTGGGAAGTTAGGGAGAAACTTCATTGTCTGCTGGGATGAGAATGGAAATTCAGGGTTCTGCATTAACAGCATGCATTGTCAACCCGATCGCCCAGCGATCCGGTCGGTCTAGGGCTCGGGGAGAAACACGTGCTTCGACATCTTGCGCCATCACTATGGGTCTCGCATAAAGTTGGGATACTAATGACCGAGCGCTACAGAACATCCACCTCAGAAGATTGAAGTTGACCTTTCTTGCCTTTCCCCAGACCAGTCTCTCATCCGGTGAAGGTTGCATTCATTTTTGAGCTCCCAGACAACTTCTCTCGGAGTATCGGTAGGGTTCAAGCGATTACCCTCTCATCCCCTTCCCGGTCTTCAAGTGTCCCTTGGGGTGAACCCCCACACAGAACCAAGGTATGTCTCCCCATTGACATGGCAGGAGTAGGCATGCAATAATTACCAACCTCTCATCCTCTTCAATGTCTCTGTGAAGACCACGCTGTGCCGCAAGAAGCTGCAAAAGTCTTCCTACTCATGTGGTGACGCATCGTTCGATACCGGCATCAAAACCGGTTGTTGTCAAGGCTATATGCATGTATGCCGTGATGGGATTCCCATGCATATTTCAACCCTTTTCAGCCTCAACAGCTGGGTCCCTAGCAAAGAATAAGAGTCAAGCAACAAGAATACTCAATTCCCAGATTGCTTGTACCTGTGTCTTTTTCATCCAGCTATATGATGCTGTTAATTTGCCAAGTATGTAGTCGTGACAAGTATTTCTGTATAAGAGCTCTGAAACATCCATATGACTCCTCAGCATTGTGGGGCAATGTTCCGTCCCCCGCATCATCGGCTCCCGACATTGCCGGACTCTTCGCCGAAATGGTGGGTCCTTCCCCGGTTATGAGCGGCCCGGAAGAAAGAGCCCTGCATTGTATGTCCCAGGGCTACCGGTGTTGCCGATCCAAGGGTAAGAAAGATGCGTTCAATTCAGCATTGACCATAGCATGGCAAAGGGTACAGGACTTGGGGGCAGGGAGTGTGAGCTGAGCAGCACATACGAGACACCATCATAGAATCAACAATGGACAAACCGAAGTAATGACATCAAGCAGATATCTCGAGACCAAATCACAAAACCATTATGCACATTATCAACCCAATCCTTTTGCCAGCCATAACTCCGTTCACAAAAACCAAACAATTCACCACCCCATCCTTCCTCTAACATTCCTCTTTCGAATATCCCCTTACTGCAACATGGAATCAAGCGACTCGCCAAGCTTCTCTTCAATCCCGACAATCCATCTCCTATTCTCCCTCTCCACAACCTCATCGTCATCATCCTGCAGCTCACTAATATATGGTAGCATCTCCGGCAGTAGATGCAACCAATCCTCCCCGAGCTTAGCCGTAATCGCCTGCTGGCACTTAACAACCGCCAACCTGACACCAGGCGAGCCGTTCCTGAGGTGCTTCAACAGCGCGGTATTAATCTCTTTGTAATGCTCTTGGCTCTCCACGGCAGCCGCAAGCTCAACCACGGCCGGCACGACATCCTGAATAACATCATTAACGTTCGTCGCGGTAACCTGGCCCTCCGCACGAAGGAACTGCTCCACGAGCACGGGCGCGACAGCACCGAAATGCGCCGGCGCCTGCCAGAACCCGTCCTGATCATGCTCGAAGCACTTGGCCAGTGTGCACAGCACGCGCTTCCAGAGGTTGCGCTCCTCGGGCACGGCGAAGTCCACTGCCTTAAGGGCCTTGACTGATGCATCAACGATGTATGACGCGTAGCCCGTGACAATGGACTTGAGCGAGCCGAAGAAGGCGTCCAGGAAGCCGAATACAACATATAAGCGGTACGTGCGGCCAGTAACATCAGACTTGGGAAGGCCAGTGGTCGCCCACTCGACGAATTTGGAAAAGATGGGGCGAAAGGCGGCGTCGTTGAGCTTGTAGACCATTTTAAGGGCGTCTTCGTGCGTCTTGGTCTCAATCTCATCCAATTCCATGGCGCTGATTTGAGAGGCGATATCGCCTGCAGCGACGGTGCGCCGGAGGTCCATAGCCGAAAGAAAGATGGACGACAACGAGGATACGTTCTTGACGACGACCGTCTTGGAGTGCTTGTCCAGGGCGATGCCCAGGATCTGAAGATACTCGGAGATAGCCTGTGTGATGTTAGTATGCGCCCAACCGATATGGTCCGTTGATTGTAACTTACAGAGAACCCAAACTTGGCAGCAGAAGCCCAGTTCTGGTGGAGCCCAGTATATAGCACCCTGGCGTCGACAAGCTTGGCCAGGAACTGCAGGCATTGCATGCGGTTAGCGTTGGCCTCGTCGTCCAGATTGGCCGCCGCAGACGCGTTGGAGCAAGCCAGCAGTCGATCCAGGTAGTTGCCCGTAATCATGTACGGGATGTGCTGTGCTAGCGCCGTCATAAAGGCGTAGGCAGCATTGTGGAGCTCGACGTCGCGACCGCCCTCTGCCACGCTCTGCTCCAAGTACGACAGCGCCTTGGGGATGGCGACGGGCAACACGGGAACAATGCCGTCCTGCAAAACGTCGACAAGCGACGCCAGGCAGAGCAAGGCCATGACGCGCAGGCTCTGTGAGGGCTGGCCCAAGCAGTAGTCGCCAGCAATGGTCGTAGCAGCAGCCGCGACCGCATCGAGGTCCTTCTTGCCATATTTCTCCGAGATTTTGTCGACGCAGATGACGGCCGTGTGCTTGTAGTTCATGTCGTCCGACTCGCGGATGACGGCCGTCAGCTGTGGCAGGAAAGCCAGCAGGGCCTCGCGCGACTTTGGGTCCACGCTGCTCTCGCTGTCGACGCGCAGCTCGAGGGCACGGAGAACCTTCTGGCGCAGACCGATGTTGGGCCGGTCGAGCAGCGCCTCGACGCTCTTGATGAACTCGGCGATCGAGAGCAGGTTGAGCAAGTTCGACAGGGCGTCGCCGCAGCGGCTATGGAGAGTCTTCTTTGTCTTGACAGTGCTGGCGACAGTGAGGATGCCCTCGAGAAGAGCGGCATAGAGTTCGCGGATCTTACCGGCCTCCATGTCGTCTCTCTCGGCCAGCTGCATGATCTCTCGCTTCAAGCGACGGTTGGACAGTAGGTGAGGAAGGAGGTTGAGCTGCTTGGTGGCAGCCTTTTGAATATCCTGCTCGCCATTCAGGCCGCTACCACCACCAAGCAGAACGTTTGACAGGGTAGGCTTGGACTTGAACAGGTCACCGACCAGATCCAGGAATTTCAGGAGGGTCTGGAGTTGGGTCTCCACTGTGAACGAGCTGATGAGCTGCGTCATAAAGGTAATCATGTTATCGGTAGCTCCGTATCTATCCACGAACATAGCCAGAATGGCAAACAGGAAGTCATCCGGACCAAGATTCTGGATAAGGGAGATAAAGAGGTTGTGCTTGCGGTGCGATGGGATATGTTCGTAGGCGGTGACGAAGCTGGCCAAAAGATCCTTGGCGCTAGCAACAACATTCCGGCCTCTCTTCCGGAAGGTCTCAATGAGCGGGGGAATGACCTCCTTGATGGTCTGGTTGACGACATGAGCCGAGTAGTCATCAGCCTGCTTGAGCACAGAGCTGCCCATGAAAGTAAAGATGGGCATGACACTTTGCAAAACGACATCCGGGGCTGTGCGAGCCAGACTAGCCACCAAAAGCAAGGCTGAGTTGATAACTGCAGGGCTGGTTGACTTCTGGATGCAGGTGGCAAGGACATCGCCATGGCCAACCGAGGCATCGATCGTCAGATCTTTGTTGTCCTTGTATGTCGGCATCATGGCGAGCAGACTGCTGAGCACCAGGTTCTGAAGGTAGCCCAGCTCTGATCCCACAATGGCGCTGAGATGGTGGAGGTCCGAGAGGGTCGTGAACAAGCTGGGAAGAAGCTCCGGATGGTTCGCCGGAGTCGACTCCTGAACGAGTTCGAGAACAAAAGTGGTTTTGCTCAGCGCTGCCTGTAGCTCAGGGCTGCTCTGGGTGCCAACACCACGCCCGGGCTCCGTCGTGCTGACACGTCTCCGCTTGTTGGCCGGGCCCTCCGTTGCCAGACGAACCTCATCCTGCAGCGAGTCGATGAAGTAGTGCAGGATATCGGTTGTCAGGTCGACCTTGCGAAGAACTTCCACAGCCTCGGTGATAACGTCGCTCTGCTCAGCATTGAGCTTAGGATCCTGTGTAAGCTCGAACAAAGTCTTGGCCGTGGAGTACTTGGTGTCGGACTTCATGGAGGGCCACATCTTTGCAATGCGAGCAAAGATGGCCTGGAGAAGACCTGGCCTGATAGCCTCCTTCACGAGCTGGAAGAACGCTTCCAGGCCGGCCGCATGGTTGGGAACGACAACATCGACGACAGCGTCATCGATAGCGGGCACGTCAACAGATTCCTGAGCAGCAAGCTCGGCAGCCTCATTGGCGCTCAGCCCAGCCCACCAACGAAGCAGAGGAAGCAAGAGGTCGGTCCTCGTGGTACCAGAGATGCGACGGATCTGGTTGAGCGACCGGAGCAAGCGAAGCTTGACAGCTAACAGCGGTGTCTCGACGACATGCCCACAGAGGAACTTGAAGATGCTAAGCCTGGCGCTGTGAGAGAGATGACGCTTGTCTGCGTTCTTATTCTCAGAATCCTTGGAGCTCTCCAGGGCACCGACGAGGGCCGCGACCACATGGTCCTCGTGCAGGACCGACTCTTCCAAACAGGGGATGAGGACAGAGCGAATCAAGGCCTTAAGAGCATCCTTATCAAGCGGGCTAGTAGTGCCGGTCTTGCCATACAAGTCCTTCGCAGCCCAGAGTTGTTGACTCTTCTCCAAGGACTTGTAGGCAGACCCCAGGACGGCGACCAAATCGGCTGCCGCACGACGTACCTTCTTGGCTGGGTCACTGAGAGCAGCAATGCAGTAAGGGAAAATAGCCTGAAAATCCTTGTCGACACAGTCGCCCTCCTTCAGGCGGGTTTTGACGCGCTCAAGAGCTGCCACCTTGGCCAATGTCGGATATGGCCCGCACCAGACACGCAGGTAGAAGCTGAGGTAAAACGAGTTGCTAGGGGCCTTAGGACGGCTCAACACCGGAGTGGCATCGAACCTTTCAAGGTCGCTCTCGGAAACGGCAGCTGACAAGAAAACGCTACACAGATCGTTGAACAGGCTTTCAGAATCCTTAGCAAGACAGGAGGTGGCTGTGGGCTGCAGCTTCGACAACCGTTCGAAGGTTGAATCCAGACTCGGCCTCTGGTCAACCGGCCGGACGGTCATTGCCTCGTCCGAGGGCTCCGGAGCCTCCTCAATGGCAAGCTTCGGCCGGATGGCAGCACCCAGCTTGAGCTCCAGCTCTTCAATGTTGAAGTCGACCTCCTGAATGGCGGTCCGGATGGCATCGCCGACATCACCTTCGGCCTGGGACAACCTGACAAGAGCAGAACCGACCTGCTTGCGGATATTGCCATCAGCATCAACATTGTCGTCAATCTTGTGGGCCGCCAGGAGCAGCGCCTTGTAAGCAACCTTAGCCTGCTTTTCCTGAAGCAGCTCGGACAGCAGCAGCGAGTTGATGACTGGGAGCGTCCGGATATCTCCCTTCTTGGCCAGCCTGTCAACAAAAGCCAGTACCAGCCCGTTAGCCAGCTTATCAACCTGATGCTCCTTGCTGATATCTCGTAGAGAGGAAACCAGGTCCGGGACTTTGATGACGGCTTTCGCAACACGGCCTGAAAGTTGCTTCGCGGACCGATGCTGGGCCAGCATAGTTAGGCAGACAAGGCCAGGGCGCAAGGTATCAACTGTCCAGCCGTGGACCAACTGCTCCATAAAGGCAGTCAAGATGTTGTCATTGAGGCTGCCCTTCGCAGCCAGGATAGCGACCACCATGTAGCTGGCGATTTGAATGCCGGGCACATCCTTCATGACCATGGCCTCACTGAGGACAGGGCCAATTTGCTGCAATAGCAGGTGGTCGTTCTCCAGCTGGATGGCTCTGCGGCCGGATCGCATCTTGTCGATCATGCCATTAACGGCCTCAGCCATGATACCACCCCAGAACGAGATCAAACCCGGATACTCTTGTTTCGCACGGCATGAGTCGAGGGTGTACCGGGAAATGGCGGAGAGCAGATCGGGGCGGTTAGTTGCTTGCTGGACGATGGCGGCGCGGGGTGGCGGGGTTAAAGACTTGATGTATGGGTCCAGGAATCGATATTCAATCGGAATCCGCTGGACAGGCAGGATCGAAAGGAGGGTCACGAAGGCCGGGATGGTGTGGTAGGGGAGGAATGTAGCAAGAAGTGTGCCCGTGTTGAACTCATGTATCCTGCCACGCTCTGTTAACATCCAAACAGAGGGGATAGCAAAAGTTCTTTTTGCCTACCTGAATCGCCGAATCAACCACTCAACAGCCTTAATAGCAGGCATGAGCCGCAACCGGCTCCCAACAAGGTGTAAAAATGAGTCGACACGCTTGTCCAAAGCCGCATTTTCCTCAGCAGTCATCTGAGTACGGTCGACTTCCTGACTTTGAGCGCTGAACAGCGTCGCGTCGAAGGGCACAAAGCGCGAGTCAAGATGGCAAAGCTCTTTGAAACCCTCATAACATTGAGAATAGATCTCGGCGAACGTTTGAGACACAGCGACACGGGGCTCCCAGATCAGCGACTTTGAGTGTGATGCTTTCAATGCCTTGACATTGAAGCTGGACCGCGAGTTGGCGGCAATCTGCGCCAGCTGCTGGGCCAGCGACGACGCCATCTCTATTGGTCGTTTGGATTAAGAATTATCAGTGTATTTCCCCTCACTGGATATATTTGTGAATGGTATCGGTCGCAATCGCAGAGGGGATCACAATGTTGGATTGGGTCGCATGTGTTTTGTTGCGACCGAAGTAAAAAAGCGTTTGGTGATAAAGAGGAACTCGCACGTCCTCCAGGCGCTGTTCAATTGTGTCGGCTCACAACAGAATAGTGAACATCCTGCTGGATGCGCTGGAAATTTTTTGGGTTGAAAGATTGATAAGCAAATATATCCAATCAGAGCCATCCGATAAGATGCACCGAGGTGGGGCCAATGCTTCGCGGTCTCGAAAAAAAAAATCCAATGTAGGCTCGCAGAAAACAGAGACTCAAAGCAAAGAGCAGGTCTTTGTCCGTCAACACCTGCAACTCACCTCTACCGTGGGCGCATACCTCAGAGAGACGGTCCCTGACACAACAATGGCCACCCGTCCTCTTAAGAGGAGAAAGGTCACTCCCCCTAGGGACGATGGGCAAGATGCTGCCGAACGCGAAGCCAAGATCCAGAAGGCTTTCTTGAAGAACGCTGCTAGCTGGGACCTCGAGGAGGCATGGGAATCGCGGCCGAGGAAAGGCAAGAAAAAAGACAAGAAGAAGGATGAGGAGCGTCCGGGAAGGCTACCCATCAGGACAGAGCAGGGCACCTGGCAGGTCCAAGACGACGTCGAGTCAATACCCAGTGACGCCGAATGGCTCGACAGCGACGGCGAGCTGGCCGTTGAGCAACAACTGGAACCTGTCGCCCCCGCCCCTGCCCCTGAACCGCCCAAGATTTCCGAGAAGGAACAGATTCGGCAGGCGCAAGAAGAGCTGGCGAAGATTGCGACGCAATTGAACGAAAACCCCGAGGAATACCCCGGCCACTTCAAAGCCCTCGCCCGCATTGGCGAGACTCCAATTCTTGCTATTCAGAAGCTATGCATTGTAACACAGATGGCTGTTTATAAAGATGTCATCCCCGGATATCGGATACGACCCCTGGGTGAGGATGCCGTGAACGAGAAGGTCTCTAAGGAGGTGAAGCGACTGAGGACATACGAACAAGCTCTCGTCGCCGGGTATCATGGCTACCTCAAGACCCTTGCAACCTACGCTGCCTCATCAATACCTGAGGATCGCAAGGGCGAGCCTATCTCCAGCATTGCCTTTACTTGTGCCTGTGAGCTGGTGAATGCAGTGCCACATTTCAACTTCCGTGGCGATCTCTTAAGGATCCTTGTGAAGAAACTGAGCACTCGCAAAATCGACCGCGACTTCGTCAAGTGCAGAGAAGCTCTGGAAAAGCTTTTTCAGGATGATGAGGAGGGTAACGCTTCTCAGGAAGCTGTATCTTTGCTGAGCAAGATGATGAAGGCGCGCGAGTACCGGGTTGACGAGAGCGTACTCAACCTATTCTTGCACCTCCGCTTGCTGTCTGAGTTTGTCGGCAAGGGATCTCGTGACACAGTCATTCGGCCTGGAGACGACCGGCCTATTGGAAAGAAGCCAAAGAAGAAGTGGGAGTTCAGGACCAAGAAGCAACGCAAACTGCTGAAGGCGGAAAAGGAAGCCCAAAAGGTCATGGAGCAAGCAGACGCTACGGTCAGCCACGAAGAGCGCGAGAGGATACAGTCAGAGATTCTGAAGATGGTGTTTGCAACGTACTTCCGTATCCTCAAGGCGCGTGTACCACATCTCATGGGCGCTGTGCTCGAGGGTCTGGCCAAGTATGCTCACCTCATCAACCAAGACTTCTTCGGAGACCTCCTTGAGGCGCTCAAAGACCTCATTCGCGACACAGACAGGCTGGAGGAGGAAGACGGACCCGATAGCTCACAAGACGATGATCAGGGCGTCTCAGTTGTCCGGGACACCAGCCGTGAGTCTCTGCTCTGCACAGTCACAGCATTCGCCCTCCTTGAAGGCCAGGACGCACACAACGCCCGCTCCGACTTGCATCTCGACCTTTCATTTTTCATCACAAACCTCTACCGCAGTCTCCTTAGCCTCTCACTCAACCCAGACCTCGAGTTGGGCGCACAATCTCTCCATCTCAGCGATCCGAATGACACTTCCTCCGGCAGCACGGAAAACAGCCGGCGCAACAACAAGATCAACTTGCAAACTACCACAGTTCTGCTCCTGCGCTGCTTGACCTCGGTACTCTTGCCCCCCTGGAACATTCGTTCGGTGCCGCCAATCCGCCTGGCGGCCTTCTGCAAGCAGCTCATGACACTGGCGCTGCAAGTGCCGGAGAAGTCAAGCCAGGCAATTTTGGGTCTGTTGCAGGACGTGGTGCATACCCACGGGCGCAAGGTCGCTGCGCTGTGGAATACAGAAGAGCGCAAGGGTGACGGAACCTACAAGCCACTTAGTGAGACAGTTGAGGGGAGTAACCCGTTTACGACTACTATTTGGGAGGGAGAGCTGCTAAGGAAGCATTACTGTCCTAAGGTCAGGGAGGGGTTGAAGGCTATGGAGAAGGAACTGAGGTCTATCCCTTCATAACCAAGGTTAATCGATCTTGAGCTTGTTCAGTGGTTCCGATTCATGTGCTCCCATGATACCCCGGAAGCCAGGAATGATACATATAGTTGATTATTAAGGATTTATCTTCTGTTTATTGTTTCGAAGTTTTTCGACTCCTTAAGTCCACATTGTTGTGCTTTAATTCTCCCAGGCCTGAGATTTACAGTGGCTCCTCTCAAAAAAAAATTCTTAGCCGATGACATTAGGAAGAGACAACATTCATCGGATGCGCTGTTCCTTCCCCTTCCCTCGGCCGCCTATTCGATTATGAGCCTCACGCGCTTTCCCAACCCGTCACACAATCTGATTCCATCATCATTTTAAAGGGCGGAAATTATTTTCTCTCGATGTTACGCTAGAGTCCCGAGGTGTTGTCATCTGGTCTCGATCTGGAATCTACAACCTCGTCGACTACTACCTCAACAAGGGTGTTACTTACTCGTTCAGGAGCCATGGCAGGTGATCTGAGCCCAGGTTGGCAGTCTACGCCGGTGAATCTCACCTGGACCTCGAGATACCACCATATCTCGGTAGTTATTGCCATACTCTTGATGTTACTGCAACTTCTCACAGAACCGGTGTCCCTTGACGGAAGGTGTTTGTCTCTTACTAGGCAAAACCTGATAATGACTAAGTAATCGTTAAGTAAACGGCCTCATTATTGTCGTCCAAAAAAATCGAGAAATGACCGCTAAACATGAATGCACTTCTTTTCTCTGCAATATCCTCTCAACCATTATTATCATAGACTTCAACTCGGGTCATCTCCGTTCTTGCTCCGATCCTCGTCCAGCTAGCAGAACGCCTCTCACCGGATCCAGTGATCCGAAGAACCGAGTATTCGGCACGGTACACCTACCCAACAGCACGGCAAGCCATCCGGCTCCGACCCGTGGCTCGCATGTGCCATCATCACAATCTGACTTCATGTCCCCTTCCACCGCTGCTTCGTTGGGCCAATCCTTCCCGAGCCGAGTTGCACAGCTCTGCAGGTTCTTCGGCTCAATCGAGGATCGAGGCAGTCGAAGTCTTGTGTAAAGTACTGATCTGGTTATACTTACCTTTGCATCCGGTTATGGCAAATGAAAACTAGCATGACTATGCCACTGCCGAAGTCGTTCCCAGGCGCCGTCGGCAACTACAATCACGAAGTCAACTTCACTAGATACACTGCTCCAAAAACATAATCATGATCGTTCCTACATGCCAAACTAGGCATAGCTATCCGCCTGAGCGCACACAAGCAAGCATCACGATCGGATAGCTAGCCTATACCTACCCACGTCGGCAAGTAACAAGGTAGCAACGAAATGCTTATGCGGGAACGCGGACCACGGCTCCTGGACTCCAGTAGCAACCTAGAACGGCGTCTGTGTGTGTGTGTGTGTCTATGGAGAGCGCACGATGCTACCCAAGGTAGGGATGCCGTGAATCGCTGCCCGCAAGTCCAGCCAGCCAGCTTTTCTTGCCACGCGCGTACACCATGCTGTGAGGGCGATCAGGGGCCGTTTCACATTGTAGATCGGCCTGCTGGGGCGAGTTGCCAGCTAGAAACATGGTGGCTTTGCTGGAAGCATGTTACTTTGGTTGCCGAGGCGGCTGTTGGTGATTGAGATGGAACTGAGAGCGGAATTTGTAGGGGGCCGAGGAGGGAACGTAATTCGAAGAGACACCCAATGGTGGAATGGCTTACAGGAAGGACCTGATTCACTGTTTCCCAGAGCCACGAGACTACACAATGACCTACACAGTAGAGATATCAACTACCATGAGCAGCGAGCCCTTTGCCCGACCAGCTCATACCCGATTGATGAAGCTTAGTATACGTAACTGAATGCAAGACTCATGCTCCGAGTCCGTGGTCTCTCTGGGTGGGTTGGTCGGGATCCAGAGGTTTGGCTCGCTGAAACACGGGGCAAAGTGGGGGAAGGGGGAATGTGTGGTGGTGGTAAAGGCTTCGACGGGAGCCTCAGATTACAAAACTACATCAGTGAGGAGTGGCAACTGAGCTGAAGACAGCATATGGAGGTTTCTCCAAGTCTTGATCTTTCATTTTTCAGACTTCGATGCCGTAGCTAGACGAACTGACAGCGGCTTCTGGGCCGTAGGTACTACAGAAGCATGCAACAGCCCGTATTCCATCCAGGTCAACGGCCGGTGAAGTGAGATGAAGCTGCCTTCTATCTCTCTTGTGCCTGTCCGGGCCGCATGGATGTGCTTTGCTGTTGGTGGGGTGAGATGAGCTGAGGACGACCGTGCCGGCGATCCACCGTGGAAGGATGGCGGCGTGCGAACGGGCAGGGAGAGACGGCCTAAGGTCAAAACCCCTGGCCATGATCACGACGTCCGCTTTTGATTTCTCGATCGACCTGCCAACAACACTTTGTCCAGCCGTTGAGGCCAACTGCAAAGATCGTCTCATTTTTCTTTGTGTTTCCTCCAATTTATCTGCTTGCTTTTTCCCGGTTGCTCGCGAGATCTGAAACTCAACGGCCATCTGCACAGCGCAATCTATCTCAAACCAGCGGGAGGGACCGCTGCGAGGCATCAGAAAAAGCCCCAACGAAAGGGCATCCTCCATCCTCCATCCATCATCCACCATCCTCCACATCCCATCTCACCAGCATTACGTAGCTGACAGCACAGCACAACCGATTGCAACCCCTGTGCCTGGAAGAGGACCGTGACAACAACCCACTAAGGAAACGAGGCGGACGACTACGACCTAAGTGGGTCACTAGCATGCGTCCGCGCCGTCCGAATTCGACCGGTTCGCCCGTGTGACGGTGCATGCCGCCCGAGCGGTTGCTTCTGGAAGAAGCTGTAACAAGGCCCTGGTCGGTTTCATCTCTTTCGACCAGCCCCTGAAGTCCAGCCAAGACCCACCCCAAGTACAGCCGGCGCTTGTTTCGGAGAGCTGCCCCTGTCCATCGCCATCGCCACGATCCACCCGCGCCAGCCAGGGCCAGGAGGGCAAAGCTCTTCGCGTTGTATGCTTGGCAGAATTGGGAAACCAGCTGTTGCTTATTGAGGCAAAGAAAGGCACGTTTTGTGTGTGATCTTGGCATGCCCCTCGCTGCCAAGCGGCTAAGCTGACCGAGCGTACAGGATGGTCTTCTCGTTTTCTGTACTCGTGATCCTCGAGTCTGCACCCCCCTTTTTCGTTGTCTGCTTCTGTGCTGATAGCTGTTCAAGGGTTACGTTGGAGACTGAGCTCGATGCTGAGCTTATCTGGTTGGTGTTCTGCGCTAGGTTCGCGGCGAGAAACTGAGGTGGATTAACCACTCGTTTCGTCGTCTGCCCCTCTATCATGCAGATTAGCCAGGAACACCAATCGAGCCCGACAATTTCCGCAGCTCTTTGCCAGTGTGAGTTGTGGATGGTGTATGGGCGTGTAAGACGGACTTTAGAAGAGGAAAGAGTCTATGCTTCGGCACTCCATGGCAGCACCAAGCACCGAGCCTGGTCTGTTGCCACGCTGTTCATCCATTCTTCCCGGCCGTTGTTTTCGAAACTACCATTGACGACGATGACCGTCGTACATACATGCCGAAGGCAACGTCACCATCGGTAGCTGTCAGTCGAGACGTCTTGCTTCAAGATGGACCTGCGTACCCAGCAGCACTCGTCTGTGTTTTAGATCTCCCCTTGGCATCGTGGCTTCCGCTGTCGATTTCTGGGGTGGCTCAGCCGAGCACCCTGGACTGCAGTTGCATCGTTCTGTCTCCTTCGCGATCCCCCTTCACCGTCTTCGTCCGGTCCTTAGCCTTGACCCTAATTTCAACAAGGTTACCTTTCTCAAGTAAGTTGTCATAACCAAAGTACAATGTTGACAAACAGATCGTACACAACGAATGGAGGCTGCTAACAATAGAGTGGCGATTAGCAGCTGAATATGTCAGGCACAGGTACTGTACATACAGCCAAGTCCAGCGGCACGCATCGTCCCGCCTGGGCGCCAACGAGAGCCGACATCCATCATATCCATTGGCTTCCGCCGCATGCTGATTTTTCGACCCTCGCGCTTCACAAAATCTATCGAACGGAAATATGACAACAGATCAGCACATCCAAAAGATCTCTGTGTTCATCTTCCTGCATGACGAACGTAAACTCCGTCTTCCCCAAGATCTCGCATAAACTGCCTGTGTATCGCCAGTCGCCGTGATGCCAAATCACAGCCCACAACCACTTGTAGTGGGTTTTCTTGTTGCCGCCGGCTGTCATATTAACCCCAAAACTTCTCCCGGTCACGTTCGGTGCCCCAATTGTAGTACAATTCGCAGCGGGAGTTGGACGATTCTGATAGGCTGATTGCTTCAACCCATGAGCAGTGATGTAAGCTCTTCAATTAAACGGCCTAATTCTCTGGCCCCTTTTTGCCTGCCCGCCTGCCTGGCCGTCCGTCTGCGACCATTTACGCTGGCCGATATACAGGTCGGGCCGCGTTGATTCTATTCTTGGCCGCATTGCTCTTCTCTGCTTTGGGCTGCGTAGTCAGCTGCGTTTGGCCAATTCGCAGACCCGAATGAGCGAATGAGAGACGCCGAGTGAGCCGGCGCAAAGCGCCCTCCTACGTAAGGTCTAGCCAGCTGATTAAGCTTGTCCAAACGTGAGGCGAGATCTGGACTTTGATCTAGCAAGATCACACATCTCAATCACAGGGTTGCCTCTTGCGTATCGCCGGATGAGTTTTCGTCGTAGAATTTTACCAGAGATGAGGATAGAGCTGATGATTGGATGGGATAGGAGCAGCTAAGTTGGAGAAAAGCAAAGCCTTTTCCCCATCAAATTGAAACGCGGTGGGCTTGTGTTTGAGATGTTGAGCACCACCTGGCTTTGAGCTCGCAATTACATGGGGCTGTCAGTAGGTTGCCAGATCGATCTGGTTGAACATAAGCGGGATCATCAACATCCGTTTGATGGCACAGCAGCAAGTAAACGGATCGCACTCGAGATACGGCAATACAAACTCCGTC